AATATGGCTTTAATGCTTGCCGCTGCACTTCCACACTGAAGGCCTCACTAATCCACTCTGTTCCACACCGCCTGAAAACAGATGCCCTGGCTGAGAGATACTGAGAGAGAGTGAAAAACAGGGGGGAGAGAGAGGAGATACACAGGCTAATGAATCACTCAGATGAATCAGGATGTGGTAGCTTCTCTGTGACATTTAAATTTTTTATTGGGCCAAGAAAATAAGTTACTAGCTGTTAAATGATATGGGCTTAAAATGGGATTGTATAATATTCAGATTATACACCTCTATCTTCTTAATTTCTTACAATCGGATAAACAGAATTTTTTCATTTAATCCTCAAAACTCTGGAAACACAGCATCCATCTGTTATTGACCCCACTAAAAACACCAGTAATTTTCACAGATTTGTTACAAACAGGCTGGCCTTAAAACAAAATTAAAGATCTATCATGTTTCATTTATAAAAACTTCCACAAGGCATGTCAGAAATGAGTCTTATGTCCAAAATGATTGGTTAGGACACAGGCCCTGAAACTGATGTCACTGCATGACAGACTCAATGGTCACTGCCAAGGAGGGTGGGGGCACTGGAGGATGCTGTTTAAAAACTTCTAGTAGCTTCTCGTGATGCCAACCCATAAGGTTTTAGGTCCTAAACAGTATAGTCTAGTCACTGCCAGCACAAGAAATGCAAGTGGACACAGGCCCCAATGAAGAAAAGTAATTTTTCAATTAGAATTAAATAAAATTATGGGCATAATTATCTCTTCTCATCCTATTTATTATAGCTGGCAGTGAAATAGACTAAAATTAAAACTTGTGCCTCTGTCTGATCTATTACAGCAAACTCTACCCTCGGGAAGCGGATAAATTATGTCTGTATAATTGTTTTCTATGTCTGTCACCACGAACAACAAACAACCTTCAAAAAAGATGACCATGTCAAAGGTTCACTCTTAGTTGCATGTTATACATTTAATTTATTCATTTGTATAATTGTTTGTTTGGGTCAGAAAGTGTGACTTACTTGTGTACTGGAAAAGATCAGGAAAGAGACATATCATCCCTTTTTTCATGGTCAAGGTCAAGTAATTTTGAGTAAATGGAAACTGAGCAGTTTAAAAACAGAAACATTTTGTATTTTCTTTTTTCCTGGTGGAACTACAATACCAAACATACTAGCAGGGAGTGCTTAGCATGGCGGTTTGAAATAATTCTGATGAAATTTACCCATCTTTTTCTGTAATTTTATCATCTTTGACATAATAATACCATGCTAAAAATGTCTATGAGGTGGCAGCAGGGTCTGGGCTGTCAGATATATTGGATCATAGGCATGTCATGTTGTACAATCTTTCAAACTTGATCAAATATTTTCAATGACAGTCATATTAATTAGTATGATTACAGGTAACAATGAGACAGAAACCATGTTTGAAAAAAGCAACTTGGTACTCTATTTCTCAGATTAACTGTTAGTTAGTTGTTAGCTTGACGGGCACAGGGTTTATGACCTATACTGCAGCCAGTCAATAGGGAACTCTAATCGTTTTGACTTCACAGTTTGTGAACACCGTAGTTTTGATTTTTATATATTAGTACAGTGCCATTTGGACTGGCTATATGTTTCCATCAACTAAGCTCCCGTGCTTACAGATAATTTGGTTTTGAGTTGGTTTTGCTGCTTGATAGTAGGATTGGTTCAATCAAAGAATGGTGTGTATACATTTTTACTCTAGAGCTCAATATTCATTGAATACTTGGAGTATTTTATTTACATATTTCCATTTATATATTCTGGTTGTTATACCTTAACAAAGAGATGTATATCCATGACACAAACATTGACCTGTTGCACCCAAAATTAACACAAGATTTTTTCTCAGTCACTAATTATATACGGCTTTTTGAAGTCTTGATTAAAAAATCTGCGCTGTTTCTGCATTTTTGCTATTTGCTGCTGGTATCAGTGTTCGTCTGCCGACCCCGGAGGCTTAGAGCTGTGACATGAGTCTTAACTAGTTATCATGTCCCCATGGACATGGTCTTAGTTGTTTTCCCCTCTATGCATCTGTAATCAATTCAAGCAGTAAGGTGGGGAGGGTTCATGTTGTAGGACTTCAAGAGGCTAATAGCTTTAAAATGAGTCTTAACTGGTGTTTAATTCACCAACAGCTGTTGTGCTGGTTAAGGATGGAGCGACAGGCCGGTCTGTCTGACAGACCAGGAGGAGAAATTAGTTCTGCTGATGCCCATATTCCCTCCCAGAGAGCCATCTGCTCCACTTCAGTACAATGGAGGGATTTTCTGAAGGAATAAAATGCTTTGAACGCAACAATTTCTCTCTCTCTCTCTCTGTGAGAGGGCTTTTGGTTAAGGTGTCGTATTTCCCGACAGGACCGCCACTCAGTAAATCTGTGGCACATTTAATGATTGGTTCCTTTTGTCAAGAGAGGATCATTTCATCAGGATGACTTTGAAATGAGAAGTTCACAGGAGTCAGTCCAAATGAGATGCATTTAAATGCATATAGAGCTGAGCCAGGATAATGAGGGGAAGACAATGAAAGCAGTCACTGTGTTCTGTTTTAGTTTTCTGATATTTGATCGAGGGTAAGGGTTACACTGTTCAATCAAACAATCCATCTCAGATTGTATGGCAGCAATTTATATGAAACATTATCTGAAGACACCTGACAAAAGGGCATGTTTAGACAAGGCTCTAAATGACTAGTGGGGGCCCAAATAAATCAAATTACATTTATACAGTGGTGTGCCATCAATGGAGAACTGATGGACTAATCGCAGCATTGATGGGATATCTGCTTTTCTTGTTTTGTTTCATTTGTTTTCTGTTACATGGTGCAAGTAATTTATATTTTTTTAATGTCAAAAAACATGTTTCATAAATGTCAAAAAAACTCCTAATAGATGCCTCAAGTTTTTATTCTTTCCTCTTTCATATAATAATGCTTTTATACTTTAAATCAAAATTTTGGTCTTCACATCCCTGATGGACTTTATTCTTTATATAAACCTATTATTGCCCCTTTTTGGTACCTGTTGCGTTTGTTTCCCTTTTTTTTTTTTTTTGTATTAAAAAAATCACTTATATGAAATCCCTTCAGCTAAAACAAACAAAATCTCAAAGCTCATGTTGAATTCTGTCATTTGCAGAAGTTCATACACATTAAAAGCACATAAATGACCAGAAAATATAAATTTGGATCTGTGAATAGAGGGGAAGAAAGCAGCACGTGCTGAAATGCCATTAGTCACAGGTCTTACTGTGTATCTTCAGGGACTCAGATCCTGCACCCCTGAAGTCCCAGACCCGACCTTCTTTTAAAAGTTCTTTGTCCATCCCTCTTCATCTCTCTGAACACAAACACAGCATCTATCTCTCCATATGCTTTTTGAAAAGGTCAAAGGGCAAAAGTTTCAATGAGAAGATGGTTTTGAGGCATTAAGTCAGTCAGTTGGTTCTTGCTTGTTAGCAAGCTTAAACCTGGGACTGGTAGAGACAGGCTTAGACTGGAGTTTGGTCTAAAACTGAATATTTTAAATCAGTGTGACTAGCTAGCATGAGCTGTTTTGTCATTGTTGATATAGGATGTACTTATTTTGTACTTATTTTTTACAGCATGTACAGTATATGCTGAATAATATCTTTGCTTTTTTCTAACACAGTGAAAAACAAGAATTTCAATTAATCAGAAATATCTGCACAAACTTGGTAAATTACTTGATGAAAATTACTAAATGATATTATAATGATAATATAATAAATATAAATGTTATCTAATGATTTTAAATAAAGCACGTTTTAAATGATCATTATAAAAACAAAGCTGTGCTTATTTTTAAAATGCAAAGCTTATTTAAACAAATGGAGAAAGTCAATGGGTCAAACGTGGTGTATTTATTCAATTTTACTGCTGTCCACTTATTGAAGTTTCAACATTTACCTTTTTTCAATTCAAGCAAATATTGTGATCACCAACAACATTTTAAATGTTTTGGCTACAAGGGGACAAATCTCAGTTTGACACAAACTAGATTTTTGTGTCTCCCCTTTTACCTTTTTTAACTTAAGACTGAGACTCTGTCATCATTTTCATGTGGGCTACTGTTTTGCTTTTGCAAACCTATAATTAATTTTCCCTAACCAAATCACCAGGAGGCTTTCAAGCGATCATTGTGATCAAAGTCTTCTGGACGGATCTGACTTGAAGTCTCTGACAGAATGACTCTTATAGGCCTGTTTCTTGAAATAAATATTAAAAGTGCCCAAAATGAAACTTTAAGTTAACTATCAGCTTTAACCGATGGGTTTCAAACTTGGGCCTTTAGTGTCAACTTTTGTGAATTGCTAAAATGTTTCATCAAAATCACCATCACATCCAAAAGGATACAAAGCTCTTGTGTAAACTGACAGACGTGGAGACCGGGATCAAAGAGCGGACAGACAGCGGGCGCTCGGCCGAGGTCGTTTCATGCTTAACGGGATCAGACCAAGCAGGCCAAGGTCACATTTAATGAGAGTCTCTATCTGTCTTTGAGGAGTCCTATTATTATTATTATTATTATTATTATTATTATTATTATTATTATTATTATTATTATTATTATTACTATGACTTAAGTTTCACAGAGCCATTGCATTTTTAAAATTTTGCACACATTTACCTTTCGCTTTCTCTCGAATATTTAGTGGCGCTTTGCTATCATATAGGGCAATAAGTAGGCCTATCATGATACAGGCCACTCAAACGCTGTGGCTTAATTATGATACACGTAGACATGAGAAGCGCACGTAGGCCGCGTGCCCCACTCTTCTGTTTGAGTTTCCGAAGTGACATCAAATTTTCATCCTCCCATACGTTCAGACACTGAGGTCAGATTAGATAGTCTCATGTTGACTGACTGAGCTCCATATGAATGAGAGGACCGTTGACCAATCCCCCTCTCTCCACCACCCCCCTTAATTCTGTCTTCAAACAGCTTCACGCGGAGAAGCCTCGCGCATCGCTGATGGTTGAACTTGTTGTGCGCGTGCACACATCCTCAAGTGTGTGTTTGAGTGTTGGGGTGTATAAAACCTCTGCAGCAGGACTCGGGAAAGCCAGAGTGAATGTGTGTTGTCAAAGTTCCTCTTTATTTTTCTCCTGAGGTAAAAACCAGCGACCAGGAGATCAGAGTTTTCCAGCCATGATGTTTCCCTGCAGCGCTCTGCCACCCCCTCTCTGCCCGGCCTTAATGCGTCCCCCTTCGGCTCTCTCCTCGCCCCTGACCCGCTCCCTTCCTTCAGGCTTCCTGGTTGAGGACCTACTCCGGCTGAGCCAGCCTGTCAACTACATACAGCGGACCGTCTCGCCCCGGGGTCCAGGGGACGTGTTCCCCCTCAGCCCGGGGTTGGGTGCTTCTCCCCGGGCGTTTGGACCAAGCAGAGAGCGGTCTGTGCTCCAGAGCTCCAGCCAGCCGAGTCACAGCAGCCCCGGGTCTCCCCAGACAGCCTGCCCGGACTCTGGATACCTCAAGTTTGGTGTCAGTGCGATACTGGCCCCGTCCACACGAAGCGGTGAGTGTGTGCTGAACTTTGGACGCTGATGTGTTGGTTTTTGTTTTTCCCACGAGAATGTGTTATGCCAATATAACAAAACATTTAATATTTTAAAAATTACTATTATCATTTATAAAGTTTAGCAGCGCTGTAAATTATGTCAGCATATTTGTTATATGGGCAGTGTATTAAAATCAGCAAATAGTCTATGCAATGTTTTAGTAGCAACATCCAGCAAAGCAATTAATGTTCATTAAATAAAGATGCTATTAAACATCTGCATCAAATCTATATCATTTAATAAACACCACTGTACCTTTTTTCACAGCTGGACTTTTTTGGGGGGTCCTATTATAGTCCTATACAGAAAGCAATAGTTCCATAATTATCTATTATTTTTAGAGTCATCATTGTAGTCTGTTGTAGCATTAATATGAAGATAATTTTAGGCTGTATGATTTCTTCTCTTCAGCTCAGAGTGTGCAGAAGTCCTTCCCTTTGCCTTTCTTTGACAGAAGTCTTCATCCCTTCATCAGAGCATCTTATTTCACAGGTGAGTGGATTCACCTGTTTTGCATTTTAGTTTAGTTTCAGAGCTGGTCATGTATGCTATCTCTTTTCCCACATATTCACCACAGCTTTAGCAGAGAAATACACTGTAAAACTGTGAGTTAAAATTCAAGCAACTTGCAGTCACTCGACCAGTTTCTCTCAGGCGTTCCTGCACGTTAAAACACTTTGGAAACTCTTGTTTTTGAAAGTGCTACATAAATGAAGTTATTATTATTATTTCCTTCTATGCAGATACTTAATCCTCCAAAGAAACTTGGCATGTTTTATGCATTCATGCCTCACTTTTTGTTAATATAAGCTATTGTATTATTTGCCTGAATTTGATCACTGGAAGCATGTAAACTTTTAAAAGTGTGTATTCAATTCAACTGTCCTTCACATGTAAAAATGAGAACTTAACTTTAACAATGGTAACTAAATAATTTAAAAATTATTTTCTGATGCATCTGATTTATTGTGGGATTTCGTTGAAACAGTTAAAGGCTCCTCTTGTTTTAATCACTCTCTAACAGGATGAACTCTGTATTTGACGAAAGAAAATAGCACACAGTACACCATAAACTAGATTATACGGCTCTCTCAATCAATGCACAGACTTATATCATACAAACATGGAACTAATTGAACTAATGAAATGTGGTAAGTTTTGACTATTTATTTAACTATTAAATTATCTTTGGTTGGAGGCCAGAGCATTAAAAAATCTAAAGGGGCTTAGGCAGATATAGTGTTCTGTGATGCAAACCTTCAAGCACTACTTACATTCATACACAATTATTATTTTTTGTCAGTGATATTGTTTGTAAAGGGACAATATACAAAATTAACCATAAATCTCAATATTCGATGTGTTATACCAGTGTTAGCTGTTAGCTCATCTTCTTAACGGGTAACATTTGAACATATACAGTGAATTGGGTTTATATTTATTTTGTTGATATATTTCCATGGCTTCCCATGTCTTTGAGGCAACTCATCATAACCATCCACCCTCTGATATGTCCATGTGTGCATGAAAAATGAGAAAACAAATCCCTGTGGAAATAATCATGTATTGAACAAATGCTGACACACCACTATTGTTTTAATAGAATATAATATAGGCATTCATGGTGCAAATTTGGAATAACTTTTCCAAAAACTTGCTGGGATTATTTATTTTTTCCAAAACTTTTCCAGGCCTGAAAAAGGCCTTTAAGGTTTGCTTTTTGACTTTTCCAGGTCTTTCACGAGTGTTTAAATCTTGATCGATTGAGCTGCTTGAAACAAAGAACACAGAGTAGCACATCACATTCACACATTTTGTACAAGTATCATCAAAAGTGCCGTGGGGACAGCATTTCTTCAAACTGTGTTATTTATCAGTTCATTCAATTTTTATTTATAATTTTTTTTTTTTTGCATCATACAAACTAATGACCAATACTACATTATTCAATCCTGAACTGGTTTACGATGGTTTTCCATGGATGGGACTCTGGTTATAAAAAACTAAATATTGAATATATGAGAGGTGGTATCAAGCACAAACGCAGAGGAACATGGATGCGTAAAAAAACAGAGTTAAACATTTACACATCAGACTGTACGTAACACAGATTAAAACATTGTAAACAACATAAAACAGGATGCTCCAGATCATGCACACAGCTTAGTCTTCTTCGAATGTTTTCAGTCACATGTTTGGCAGTGAAATTTGGAAATCTGGTGCGAATCTTGACAGGTTCTTTCCCAGGCCAAGCTACACCCATCCTTTAAGATTTATAGAGATTTGTGTGATAGTTTTGCTGACAAATAGGCAAAAGATACTGATCATATGACCTCTTTGTTGGTTTAAGCAGAACAGATCTTAGAGTGGTTCAAATTTGGATTTTACATTATCTGAAATTAGAAGAAACGCTCATTCTACAGGCTTGTAAAGGTAATGAGGTCTTCTTAGTATGGGAATCCCCCCCGGACAGCCTCAGAATCAGCTCCGCCAATTTGAAGGCCTATTTAGGCGACTCACTGACTGCTGACATTAGCACCAGTTGTCCTAATCTACAAATTAGTCCAGTTTGTCACGCTCTCAACCTATTAGTGCCGTTTGTCATGGTCTAAATGTGAGGCGGGCATCTTCCCAGCTCGGGAACTCAACGCCTCTTCACGCCACCTTCGTTTTCCCACCAAGCCCCCTCGGCCTGCCCACAAAGCTCCCAGCACCATGACCAAAGGGAGCCAAAACCACACACACACACAAACATAGAGACACGCATTCCACAAAGTCCTGCACTCGGTGTATAAATTAAATGTAGATATAGTTTCAGCTTATTTTCCGGCGTATAAATCAATTCAGTCAAACAGTGAGGATTTTAGTGTTTTAAGACTCAGCATCTGTGTGACATGATGTGTGTGAATGTGTGTGTGCGACTCAAAGCTCTCTGTGTCCTCTGAAGCTGAAGTGAAGACTCTCCAGCAGCTCTACATTATACTGACCTGTCTTTAATGGGTCTGTAATATACTGGCCTGTCGACGGCCTTTTCCACTCAATTCATTACAACACAATCACCTTTCTCTGTGCATTTGCAGCCCATACAATCCCTCTTCATGCTTCATTAGAGGCAGTGTGAGCGCAGCTTTGGAGAGCCCGTCTCATTAGCATAGGCTCTGTTTCCACCGGCCGACAAATTGGGCTTTTAAACACCAGATTTCAGGCAGAACAAGTATATTATGGGCAGCATCAGGGAGCCTGTGTGTGAGTGATGCTTTTTCTGAGAGGACTTTGCGAAATCAAAGTGGTCAAAGTTTTTTTCTGAATGAACATAAAAGCTTCTTTTTAAGAGTGAAATCCAAACTTTTATCCATTGAAAACCTGTCTTTCTGTTACGCAAAGAAAAAAAAACTCAGACATTTGCTCGGAATACAAAATGAATGGCAGACAAATATTTGACAAAGTCACATTTTTCATCAACATGTCAAAGTTAATCCCAGTGAAAGGCTAAGGAAAACCTGGAGATGCACAAAAGATGCTTTAGACATAAAAAAGGGCAGTTTTCTGCAGCTCATATTAATGCACAAATATATTATACAGTATAAAAAAATCTGTGGCAAGTCATTGGGGATAATGATTAGTAAAAGGACCTTTTAATTACCAGCAGGGGGCAACATAATTTTATAAAGAGGAGCCAATGGAATGAGTGTGAGAAAAGGGGTTTACTTTTGACACATTTTTTACTTTTATTCTGCAGACATTTTCCTGATGAGTTTAGGGCCACAGTCTTTTCTAATGCACAGTGATATCCATGTTTTAAATGTAGTTCAAAAAGTCAAATATATCATTAAAAAAGGGGGTGTAATCACCAGTGATTGACAGGTGGTCCATGATACAGATGAGGCAAAAATTATCTCCACCACATAAGTTATTTCTTTATTTATATATATATAGATACAACTTGTGACCTTTAGACACCAAACTTGGAGCTTCTGCAGGAGTTCTGTGCAGGTTAAGCAACCACCAAGCTCTATAGATAGATTCTAAACAATTGTTATATTGGTAGTTTTAGGAATGTAATAAAATTGGCAATTTTTTAAAAGTTATTTTTGGCCAGTTATTGGCTTCATTTAATTGTACAGATTAAAGCTCCTGTCAGGAACTTTCACTATGTGTCAGTTCTGGCGCCCCCTGTGGACAAGGCTTTACTTAACTTATTCTTCACATGCAGGAGTGGTGAGTTTATAAAAAGAATCTCATCCTGCCCACTTTTGACTGTCAAATGTGTCATTAGCTGTGGATAATTTATGTGGAAATCGTAGACCAGGGCTTCTCACTGACCCCCACCCCCTCACAACAGTGTCAGGAAATAAAAACTAAAATATAAAAGCTATGGATCCTATAGCTCAAAGTTTTTGTTTGCTTTTGTTTATCATAAAAAGGCATCAATATGAACTTAAATCAGTTTCTCAAATGTCCAAAACCTCCTCACAGGAGCTTTAAGTTTTACCTCTAATATACTCTATTTTAATGAGACTGTGTTTTGTGCCTCTAGCCTCTTCCTCTGTGGTCCCAGTTCCTGGAACATTTTCCTGGCCCTTGGCCCCTAGAGGGAAGCCCAGGAGGGGGATGCTGCGGCGTGCTGTTTTCTCAGACCTCCAGAGAAAGGCGTTGGAGAGAACTTTCCAGAAGCAGAAATACATTAGCAAACCAGACCGGAAGAAACTTGCCAGTAAGCTTGGACTGAAAGACTCTCAGGTACTTACTTTCTGGTTCTGGAGTTTATGTATTTAAAAAGTCAATTTTAGCCAATAAGTTACAAAAACTTTGAATTGCAGCCATTACAGCCTGTTAAAGAAAATCTTTTCAACCGCCTCAATAAACCCAAACCACATGTGACAAAGCTCCAGGACTCTTTGTAATATCTTTTTGTGTGTCCTGTAAAGGTCAAGATCTGGTTTCAGAACCGCAGGATGAAGTGGAGAAACTCCAAAGAGAGAGAGCTGCTGTCCACGGGCGGCTGCCGTCAACAGACCCTCCCCACAAAAACAAACCCTCACCCAGACCTCACTGATGTAGGCAGCACTTTCTGCCAGAGGCTGGACAGGACTGGACCCAGCACCCAAGCACTGACGGGGAGCCAGGAGACACATCAGCACCAACACCATCAACATCATCATCATCATCACAGTCCCTCCTCTCCATCAGAGTCGAGCAAACAGTCTGAGTCAGACAGTGAAGAAATCACAGTCTCGTAAAGCTACGGACACTTTTGGTTTCATGTAAATATAGGAGGTTCTTGAATCAGCTGTGTTTTTACAGCTACTTCCCCTCAGTGTCATATTTCTGTACAGCGTTGTTTATATCGTTTCTATATGTAGTTCAGTTTATCTACATACACTAAATAAGGTATACTGAGCTGTTTTAGATGCTTTAAGATTGAAATGTTCAAACTTTTAAATATACAAACTGTTGTTTTCACACAAATTTGTATTTTTTATATTTTCTAATAAATCTTGAAGTGTTAAATCCAGAAGTTTTATTTTTTCAATGCAAATTATGAAACAGCTGTTGCATTAAAATAAAGTAAAAACAATTTTAAGTCTATGAATTAAGGTACATAAGGTTTTCTGGTATATACTTGAGCTGGCAAGAGTTCAAATACAACATAGAAAATATTTATTTTGCTAATTTAAGTTTTTGCTTAAATGCAAAAAGAAAAAAAAGAGTTTTAAAGTTGACAAAAACATTTTTTTTAATGATTTTTTGTTTGTTTGTTTCAACCAGAAATAGACCCAGCATGACTTTCTTTAAAGCTGCCAGACACTATTCACAAAAGCACCAGTTTCACTGTGTAGCACACATAGACTGTATATACTATATCCGCCTCCCGCCTGTATACGGATTTGAAGCCAAAAAGCTCTCGGTATTTCAGCGATTTTTCTTCTAACCTGAAACCAGCGCTGCGCAGTAGCGTTGTGCGCCGAGAGTCGCTGTGTTGGCGCTCGGCTCAAACAGCGTATCCCCCGAGTGAGCTACGCAATCCCTGAACGCCAATAGGCTGTATCAAGTGTCAATCAAAGAAAACATGAACCCCCTAATAACTTTTAAAAATGGAGCTTCACAGAAAAAAGAGGACTTGAGCACAAAACAGTCTTACACTAACTACATGTCAACATCACAAGCAGGGGGGAGAAAAATTTATGTTCTGTGTAATAAATTTCTAAAGTTTGTCCACAGCCCCATAAGCTTTGCTGGTGGAGGCATGATTTATGACCTATACTGCAGCCCATCAACAGGGGGTGCTGTTCTCGGAGTGGCTTCACCCAGCCAGGAGGCAGATGGCGTCCATTCTATATACGGACTACGGTAGCACATGAGTTTCTTTGCAGCAGTTGTCACTGTCAGTTATTTCTCACTCTGCGTAAGCAAGGGAAGGAGACACCCTCTATGTTTGAGAGTAGATTTTAAAATTTCAGTTTGATAGATGGTAAAGTGAGGACAGGTTCACGCCTACACTCAAATATGCTGCCAAAGGTTTAGACCACTGTGGGACCTCGTAAACTGTCTCCCGGTATCCCACTGAAGTTACAAGTCACAGATCTTCCAGGGAGTTATTGAGCCCTCTTGTCTCAGAGGTCCCTCTGGGAGGTTGCTGTAGACAGCCTGCTGCTCTGGATCTCTGTTTTTCTGCACACCCTATACCCTGCACTTTCCAGGCAGTTGTCTTTTAGGCACAAATCTAGGACTGCTCAAGGTGTCTGGAAGTTTTTCTTTGCCATTGTTATTCACTAAACGCTGTGTTAATAAAGAACGATTTAGTGACGTGAAAAATATAAAACTGAATTTAAGCAGCTTTAAGGTTCATGATGAAAGCACCTGTCCAGCTCCAAAAGATAATGCACTGGATTTGTTTTTAACAGAGCATCTGAGACAGTTACTGAGACACTGCTAATCTAAGTGAAGATATGAACAAAAAATCCTGCAAACTCAAAGACTGATTGTTAAAAAAAACAAGACTTTATTGCCATTTTCCACTATGGATTATACAAGGGAAGCTGGAGAGCAACAATGAAAGACGAGTACTGACATCTGAATTAAATACAAAAACAATGTTATTTATTTGTCTTTACTCAACATTCAGCTACAAAGCAGATGACTGACAGGGCAATGACCATCATCATCATCATCATCCTCATCATCATTGTTGTCTTCATCAGAAAAAACAATGACTTAATTAAACAGAGGTTTTATTAATGCAAACTTTATTTACATGAGAAAATAAAAACAATCACTGACTTCATGCCATGCTCTTTAAAGCCTACAAACACAACAGAGTGGCTGCTGTTAAATAACTGAAGGGGGGCGTTAATGGAGGACGATAAGTACAGTATTTACAGCTGAATGTCAACCCACGACACAGTCTAACGCACAACTTCAACACACCTGTGTATGCCTCTGCTTAGTCTTAGTAGGACACAGAATCTCTGCTCTGATTGGCTGAAAAGCTGCAGCTGCCCGCACTAAATTGAACCACTTTTCCTGTGAAATTAAAACAACAGATATAGCCTGCTCTTCAGAGGAATTCTGATTCATTTAATCATGTGCTCCAGTTTTTACACTGTTTATTTGGGGTCTTAATGACTCACAGCCTGACTGCACCAGACTTCTTTCATAAAACGGGGGTATTCCCCAGAAACTCAAACATTTGATGCTTTCAAATGAGTGTTTTTGTCAATGGAGTCTGGTGGTTTTTGAGAAGGCAACACAGCTGAGAGTGTGACAGTTTTAGAGAAGTCTGTGCTAGCAGTTGAAATTTTGTTAATGCTTGTGAGTCATTCAGATCCTAAAGTTTACGGTAACAGAGCACAGGTTAAACCATAGCAGAATTTCACTTAAAATTCAGAGAGGGCTAAAAACCAATAGAGAAAGGCCACAAAGTTCCTTCAGGATAAAAACAAATAAACTTAATAGGTCCCCCTGACTGAACGCTTCCTTTAAAATCTGCACACAGCTGTGCCTTTTACAGTCTTATCAGCAGAAAGAAGACAGAGGACTGGACATCACTGTGTAGATGCAGTTTAACTTTTTTTGTGGCACAAAATGTCTGAAATTGACAGAAAACAGACACTTTGTATATCCAAGCAACCCGGAGCTCTGAGTCCTGCTTGCATGGTGGTATTCTGAGACAGTGCACCAAAACACAGCCATTTGTTACTTAACTGATATAAATAAAGCCAACCCCGTCACAAACAGGACTCAAGCAGCAGTCACTGATACTAGCTCCAACCACAAGGGGGCAGTCAATCTGCATTTACACAGCTACCTCAGCTATTTACAGCAGTGTTTCTCCTTCCAAACACAGCAGCAGCAGTGACATGGTACATCGTGGCTTAACAGGAACGAATGACCTGTCAGTGGTTTTCTTCTTTTCTGAAACCACGAGAAGCTCTTCATAACAGTTAAGTGGTTAACAGCCTTTAAGTATGTACAAACTTTTTTGTGTGTGTGTGTGCTGATACCAGGCCAGACATGAGGAGGAAGAAGGGGGTGGGTTCACTATGATGTCATTATATTACAGTGAAGGTGGAGGCTGGAACGTGGTGTGGTGATGAAACTGTACAGACTGAAAACTACTGTTGACACACATCACGACTCACTCTGAATTCACCTCTTCTGATGGTTGACACAAACAAACCAACAAACATTATGTGTGAAGTCTGAATATTCACTAAAATTGGGTCCTGCTGTGTGTGTGTATGTGTAGTGTGTGTGTGCTAAAAATCCCAGTCACAGCCTCAGTTCAATCTGAATGTACTCAACTATACAATCAGATTAGGGTGCGTTTGATTTCTAATAACGTACAGGCACAGTGGGTGGAGTCAGGTTCAAACTCAAGGGCGTGTTTGGTAAGTTGCTACCTGTTTTTTTGAAACAGATGTGTGGTGTCTAAGTGCTTTCTACCTCCATCTAACATTAGACCATGAAAATGGACATTGAGGGAGTCGAAAAGGACGATGGATGTTCTACCAGCTGAACTCCACAGGCATTTTTGCAGATGAGATGAAGTGGTGATGCAGCGCTCCTCACTGCCGCTTGCTCTTTATTCTCTCCAGACGTTTCTTCAGGTCGTCCAGGTTGGCTGCGGGCGAGGCGGAGCGCGTGTGTCCATGCGTCGGGGATTGCGAGTGAGCGTTGTGTTCCTGCTGGTACAGCTCTCGGGACTCTTTGAGCTGAGACAGCTTACTGTGGAGCATGTCGGTGGAGGAGGCCACCGACGGCTTGGAGGAGAGCAGGGAGGAGATGGGAGGCCTGTGCTGAGGCTCGTCCTCGCCTCCTACGACGCCCTGCTGCAGGCGGAGAGGAGGAATAAGGGGGAGAGAAAGGGGATGCGTCAGGTGAAGCACATTTCCGTCCACTCTTCACAAAACTTTGGTCCTCCAGAAACGCTTTGCTAGGATTGCTACTCGATCAGAGTCACACATTTCATCTGCTTCTTTATATCAGAGACTTCAGATCCTAAGTATTTATGACAGTAATAGTTTTCAAATATGTCTTTTTCTTTCAAATGAAGGAAATATTCCACCACCCTGCAAATCTTCATTTCCCTAAACTCCTCAATACCAGAGGTCAATTCACAATTAGATTTAGAGGTACTAAGTTATGGAACAGTTTCTTCCATTTAGCAAAAATTGTTCTTCTATGAAATGTTTTAAAAAATGTTTAAAAGATCATTTAACTTCTGTTTTGTAATGTATTGTCTATGTAGGTATTTGTCTTACTGTTCATTGAGGATTATATATTTTAATACTTATTTTTGTCATTATTATTATTATTGTTGCTCATGAGTCACTAATGGACACATGCGCGCGCATACACACACAATCTTATCTTTTCTGTTTTTTTTTTCTATATTATTGTTGTCAGTCATTCGTATCTTTTTAATTTTTTATGTTATCTTGTGCTTTTGTACATTAATTGTAATATCAATATTCGGCTATCATAAGGTGAGGGCTTCAAATAAACCCATCGTGGCTTTTTTGCCTCTCTCATCATTGGAATAATTAGAAATTATGTTATGTTCCCCTGGCTTGTCGTTCTGGTGCTGTGTAGTAAGGGTAATGACATTTTGTTAAGTCAGCTAATTGTGCCCATCTCTGGTCTAAACATTGCTTCGAAGTTGACAAAGTTTCAAAAGTATATCAGGATTTTTTCTCTTTTCCACTAATCTGATGCGAAGGCTGTAAGCGAGTAAATGTGTGTAAAGATGTGTGTGTATGTGAGGACTCACCCTTGCATTGTTTTCCAGGCCTTGTCTCTGTCTGAGGATCTTGAGTCTCTCGTAGTAAACCGCTGGTTTCAGCTCTTCATTGTTCCCGCTCAGAGTGGAGTCCACACCGTGCTGAGGAATCACTGCAGATACAAAAAGACACACAAATACAGCTGTGTTATCAAAGACTCCTGCCTCCACTCTGAATGAAGGGACACAGTTAGAGCTCCGTTTTACCAGCTGAGGTCTGGATGCGGCTCTTGCCCTCTCTCTCGGACTCGATCATGCGGAGGCCTCGTTCCACGTAGCTCTGGAAGAACTGTGAGGTGTTTTTGAGGAAGGGCTCCAGGTCGGCGTCAGAGTACTTCTGTTTGTATTCATACAGCTCCGTCAGGCCCTGAAAAAAAAGACCAGGCACATTATTTAACTGTTGCTGTTTCATGGCTTGATCTCTCCTATTGTTTTGCTTATCAAGTCTAAAAGTCATCATGATTTCAGCTTGTGAAAAACGGCAGTGTGGAGCTGACCTCTTTGGTGTTCTCCTTGGAGCCGATCTTCTTAAAGATTTCAGACAGAATGTCACTGACCTTTGCCTTCGACATACGATCATCCTGGAGACAAAGCGGAGGAATAATTCAAGTTAGATCCATCATCAAAATGATTAAAAATCTTGAGGTCATTTAGACTGGCCCCCCCATCTACAAATACAACCAGGATTTGTCCTTCAACTAAGATATCTCTATAGGGATCCTATGATATAAGCAGACAGTCAGTGGTGAAAAAAAGCACATTGCGTTGATGTTGTTCGGTTAGACCAGTGGTTCTCAAGTCTAGTCCTCGAGGCCCACTGTCCTGCATGTTTTTGATGTTTCCCTGCTCCAACACACCTGATTCAAATGATCAGCTCGTTATTAAGCTCTGTAATGGCTTAATAACGAGCTGATCATTTGAATCAGGTGTGTTGGAGCAGGGAAACATCCAAAACATGCAGGACAGGGGGGGCTCGAGGACTGGATTGAGAACCATTGGGTTAGACCAAGGTTCCTACACAGTTGGAATTTCCATACTTTTCCATACCCTACCTTTTAGAATTATTTTTGGAAATACCTACTTCTCTGTTTCAAAAAATAGTATTTAAGGACTGTTTCCCCTTGTGAGACTAATAAAAAGGAGTATCTCTTATAGTCTGGAAACATAAATATTTTTCCACACTTTCATACTTTATTTTTCATTTTCGATACTTTTTACAACCTGGAAATTGATCAAATTTATTTCCATACTTTTTATATTTATGTAGGAACCCTGTTAGACAAATTAGCTCTCCAGATTACAGCCGGATAAATAAAATAAATAAGTGTTAAGGTTGGCCCAGGTTGGGGGAAACTGGAATTCCCCTTTTCTGTAACTGCACAAATACTCTTCAGAGAGAAGCGACCCGAGTTTGTTGTTGTGTATTTGATTTGTGTAGCTCACCGTGCGCAGACCACCCTTCTCATTTCCACGGTCACTCTTGTGCCCCGACAGGTTTCCAGAGGGTTTGACCACCCGCCTCAGATGAGCCTCCAGCTCTGACTCGTTACGATTCTCTATCATTGAGAGGTGGTCCAGGATCTGTTCATCAATGTACCACAAATATTTAACGTGTTAAAGCTGAAGAAACCAAGGTACATATTTGATGCTAAAGAGCCCAAACGCTGCTCAGAATGTGGTCATGGCATTGTGGGTGTGTGTGTGTGTTACCTTGGCCCCTGTGAGCTTGCAGAGTGTGTGTAACAGGGTTTTGAGGGTTCTGTGTGGGACATCACTCTTCAGCTGCTTGAGTTTCTCTTTGGGGAAAACCTTCATGAAGTTGTGGACGTCCAGTAAGATCCGGTCCAGGTTGATGCTGTTGATGGTATCTGGGAGATAGCGGATCATCCTCCACAAACACTAAGAAACACACACACACAGATGCGCACGTACACTCATGAGCTCACAGACAGCTCATAGTTAAATCTGTGTCAGGTACTCTGGCTGCTACCATTACACTTCTTACCTTCATGACAAGGTCTGAGAACATGGGGGGACCAGCTGTCGTGACTAGACTGTCCTGGAGCAAAACCAGCAGAGCGCTGCAAGGAAGAGTAAGACAGGTTATTATTTAATGTATTGTTTAAAAAAACACATACACAGACATTTCTACGTAAACCTATGACTCACTCAAAGACGACAAAACAAACATGTTGCTGCCCAGTAGGGTGGAGGTGTTGTTGTCTAACCTGAACATGTTCGTCTGGTCAGACTTCTCCAGGACTCTGATGACCAGCAGGTTGACTGATCTGATGAGCTGCTGTCCATCTTCTATGTCCTCCACTCTGCCGTCCAACATGAGTGTGATCAGGCCGTGCATCAGGTCCTTCAGCACACCCATGGATGCCTCTCTGGCCAGTGACTCCATCGAGAACAGCTGAGAGATAGAAAAAAAAACAAACAAGGGAGTTCATGTAAATGTACTTGGCCTCTCATCCTGGTGTTTTGTCATGAACCACACAGATTGATTCCACTCACAGAGAGCATGTTTCCAATGATGCAGCTGTACAGTTTGGTGATATCTTTCTTGTCCAGTCGGTCATCAGCCATGTGTGTGCTGTAGATGAGCCTCAGCTGCATGAAAGTGGCGATGAGGAATTGATCAATGTGCCCTGACATGACTTCTGCTTTGTCCTCCTGTCGCAACACCTCGTCAATCTGCAGGGGGGAAAATACACGCAAGTCTTAACCCCCACCAGTAAAAATCTGTTACGTTGCAATCAAAAACACTTTGTAATTAAAGGCTAGAGTATAAACTAAGAGTATATATGCAAACCTGTGCCAGCGCCTGTATGCTTGTGTTGATGTCACCACTCGCCACCTGAGAGATGACAAAGTTGATAGTAGAGGCTGTGCTGTTGTGGAGGTCTTCAAAGTGTGGAGAAACAGACCGCATCCTGTGAAAAAAAACTCAAAATGAATTTCTCTCTTTTTCTCTCTCTAAGACTTCAGGTGTGGGTGTGTTTGTGTCGACGGGAGAAACCAGCACTCCAACTTAATATGTAGTTTTTCGGTCTTTGTATTTACTTGGGTTCAGGGATCATGATTGGCTCCAGCAGCTCGTCCAGCTTGTGTTGAACGAGGTCCGGCAGCTCACACACTCTGCTCTGGTCCATCTCGATCATGTCCAGGTCCAACTGGAACTCCTTGGGGATGGATGGATGGGAGGACTCGCTGTGATGGGCGTTCTGGCGGGCTTGGCTGAATGAAGGGGACAGGAGAGGAGAGGAATTTAATCCATTGTATCATGGATCAGTGCCTTTGAACTCCAGTCCTGACAAGCTTTTACTTATTTGAAGTTTGAGGAAGAGTTGATTCGTCCACATGCTTCCATCATTTTTCAGGTTGAAGAGACTGTGTTCAGAGGATAAAATAGTTTGACATCCCACTGTCAATGTTCATCAAGTTAAAACTGTTCAATGAAGAAATAGAAAAAAAATGTGGCCATGCTTTCTAGCTGTAAAAAAAAACTATTATTCAACTTTATTGAATCTATAACCATTTCCAAAATAAATGGATTTTTGGATATTTGAATAAGATGGGTTAAGGCGTTTTATCCTCCAGAACCAACAAAAACCATTCAGCAAATTAAATACCAGAGTTTTCAAGCATAAATTTTCTCTCTTATAGTTGGGACTGCCAGGACAGGAGCTGATCAGCACTGATCTATTATTAACATTTGTCTCCTTCACATAGGAGGGGAGAAAAGGTGAAAAACTACAGAGCAACAGTTTTCATATTCAAGAACACGACATGTTTAAGTTTACATGACCTCTTTTGGATAAGTATGCTTAGATTAAATAGGAGGGACCACATGAGGAACAAATTACCACAGAACATCTCTCACACTCTGTGTGTCTATGTTTGCAATTCACCAGAGTCTAATTGCAATAAACACACAATCACACAACCAAGAGAGTGAGGGTAGATTTGTCAACTGTCCATAACCGATGATTGAAATAATGCAAACTGAAAAACTACAAACCGCAGCTGTTCTGGTATTTTATTTTCAGGGAGGTTTTTAGGAAGAAAAGCTGGGTTGTGAATAGATAATCTATTAAGAGGCACTGTTATTATCTGAAGTCTGTTACTCCACTAATTTCAAGCACTCATAGTGCTTTTTTAAACCGCCCACATAACCGCTCATTTTTAAATGTTCAGTAAAGTTAGAGGTGTGTGGCATTGGAAAAAGGAGAAACCTCAATATTTGGGGGGATTTTGCTGAAAACTAAAAAAAATAAAGTAGCCAACCTCAAAAGAAAATGCACAAAACCAAAAAGGTTATGTATCTGTGTACTATACCTGCTACTCTTATTTAAAGCTCCCCATGAGGAACTTTAAGTTGTTGTCAATTTTCACATCCTCTTTGTTTACTTTGCCCTACATGCTTAAGTAATGTTCTCTGGAAAAACAAAATCTGATTTTTGACAGTCAAATTTAGGATTTATTGTGAATATTTCAAGTGAAAATGTAAAAACTGGGCTATTTCTTCAGCTGCTTCGCTGACACCTCCCCTTTTTCATGGATTTCAGGCATTAGTTGAAATCATTGTTAAAATAATCAGTCTTGTCTCTGTTTGTTTTTCATAAAAAAGGTATCAATACTGATTTTAGTAATTCAGCTTTAAAATGTTCTTATTAACAGACTTTAAAAAAAAGGGTCATTTAGATATATACCACACAGGTCCCAGTACCTGCTCTATTGTGTTTATGGTCAGCCTGGAACCTTTTACACTACAGTATTCAAATGGAGTGGTTAATTTGGGTACAGGTAGCTGTTGAGTTGTCTTTTACTGGAACATGACCTGCATATTGCCATCTATTGGCAATATGCACTTCAAAGCATAGACTATATATACTATGGACAACTTGGTTCCACCAGTATACGGATTTGAAGCCGAAAAGCTCTCGTATTTCCGTGATTTTTCGTGCAGTAGTGCTGTACGCATTTGGCGGGAAAGTCACCGAGAGTCGCTGTGATGACGCTCGGCTCAAACAGTGTATCCCCTGGATGACCTACACAATCTTTGTACGCCCATAGGCTGTATCAAGTGTCAATCATAGAAAATATGAACCCCCAAATAACTTTTAATAATGGAGCTGTACAGAAGAAAGAGGACTTGTGCACAAACCAGTCTTACAATAAGTACATGTCAACATCTCAAGCAGGGGGGAGAAAAATGTATATTCTGTGTCATAAATTTCTAAACTTTGTTCACAGCTCCATAAACTTAGCTGAAGGAGGCGGGATTTATGACCTGTACTGCAGCCCGTGACCAGAGGGTGCTGTTCTCGGGGTGACTTCACCCAGTGAAGAGGCAGACGGTGTCCATACTCGATACAGTCTACTTTTCGAGGCAAACATTCAAATGAAGAGGATCCAATGTAACAATGTTGATTTCTAGGCTGGTGGTGTGAAGTGTTTGGCCTTCTGGTGCCATTTGTTCACTCATTTCAAAACTCTGCCATGCAGGCAGCATTGATGGCCTTTATTTGTTTTGATGTGTGAACCTGCGCAGGAGTTTGTCTCGTTAGGCTTGACCATATTCAGTTAAGTGTATAATCTCTGAAGGTGTGTTTTGAATGTTTTCTGATTCACACATTAACAAAAAGATACAAATATTATCTTGGAGGACATATCCCACACACCCTATGCTAATATTTGAAAACTGATGGTTGTGTTGAAATAGTTAGCTCAGGTTTTAGGTAAACAGACGATGATAAACCCTGATGTGTGGCCATGGTTGACAGTTTTTTTTCAGGAGTTAAGATGCTGATGTTTAACAATTTCTTGTGTATTTGAATATAATGTATTCACAGATATCTTTTTTGGCTCAGTAAACAGAAACATACAGCACAAGTAAGACAAAGGGGGTTTATGCGGGAAGAAACAAACAATATTCAGAGTGACCACAAGACATTTTGAGCAGGAGTCTGTGCTTTCCCAACAATGTGAAGAAGCACAACGACCTCAACTCAAACGTCAGAGAAAACTGTCTGTTCATTAGTTTCATGAACGATCGGTAACGACTGCAGTTAGATGGAGTCCTTACAATGACAGCATGACGAGAGAAGGGACGAGGAGGAGGAGGAGGTACTTACATCCTATACGTGCGATACATTATTCTGCTCCAGAACGGGAGGCAGGCAGAGCAGAAAAAGGAGGAAATCACACAGGAAGAGAGATGAAGGGTTAAGAGACAGACAGGCAGCTAAAGACGCAAACACACTCAGGTTGGTATCGCAGACACAAAAGAGAAAGTTGGATGGAAGTGTCTGTGAGAGCAACCAGACATGCAGTGACTTCGAAAAAAAAAAAACAGGATGAAAAGAAAGAGTAGGACAGATTAGTTTCGAGCAGAGGACAAACATTCAAAAGATTTATGGCATGAATCAAACTACAATCAGGAGTTCAGTTATGGATCTGACAGAGCTACCAGGTGGATGGTTGGAGGAACACAACGCATGCATGAAAAACAGCTGGAAAAGTTGGGTGTCAAGAACTTTTGTGTCCATTTACAGGACTAAGGTGTGGATCTCTCTTTTAAAATAACAGGCATGTTTGTCTTTAGAAGAGTGAAAGTTGAAGGAGATGAGGGGAAGGTGTTAAGTTTTATGTCGTGTCAAAAAACAATTGGTGATCCCAGCACAAATCAACGTTTGTCTTATAACAATATCATGTTAAAGCACCTTTTTTCCCTGAAAGCATCTCAGTCTACTGAGAAATTAACATATTTCATACCATCACTAATGTTTGTGCTCGGTGTTTTGGTCTGGTTTCATTCGTGTTCATTCAGCCCAAAACAAGAGGTGACCTACTTGAGTTTGTTGGGGTCTTCCTGTGCAGGCTTTCGGAGGAAGGTGGCATTGGGGTTGGTTGGATGCTCCCTCTGAGACCTCTCTGTAGCCGTCTGCTTTGCAGGAGCTGCAGGAGTTTTCTTGGCCGACCTCTTGATCCTCTCCTCCAACATGCTCATGTCCTTCTCTGACAACTGAAAAAAAGGAGAGAGGGCAGAATAAACCAAACCTGTACACGAGCAGGTTTTGGTGCTTTTATATCTAAGGCATCATCAACTCCATCTTACATTTCCGATGAGTTTGTAGACTTGTTCCCCGCAGACATTGTAGACAGCCACCACTGTGTTCAGAGCAGCATTGCGGACTGATGTGTCCCGGTCACCGATGTGGACTGCGATCTCCTTCAGAGACTTTGCAGGAGTGGGTTGACATACATTCATTCCATAGCCCTCGATCAAACAACCCAACTCCTCCAGACATTCTGGAGACGGGGAAGAAACCCACAAAAACAGAGTCAGACAAGAGGGAACTGGTTTGCTTGTTTGTTGGCGGAGACAGCCAGGATGTCCTTTCGTTTCTTATAAACTAATAATAGCTGATTGTCTGCTTTCTGTGGAGACCTACCAGCTCTCTGTTTGGAGTTCTTAGACTTGGTGCCATCCATCAGGAAAGGGAAGACCTTAGATGCAGGATAAACCTTACACAGCATCGTCAGAATTGCCCGCACATCTTTACGGACCACATCCTTTGACTCTCCAACCTGAAGTAGACAGAAAGGGAAACTGAGCCACAAAGCTTTTGAGGGGCTTTGATTTGATCTCATCCCTACTTTGACATGTGCTCACCTTGAGTATAAGGTAAGGGATGAAGGAGTTGGCCTCATACTCAGTCAGGTGATAATTCTCTGTGTTCAGCATGGCAAACAGCAGCTTCAAATACTCCAACACCTTCATCAGGACTGTGGTGTTGGTGTCAAAGAAGCGCAAGGTGAACCACTTTAGGATCAGGTCCAGACAGCTTATGGTGTTGTCGCTCTCACTCTCCAGCCTCTGACGAATTCAGAGCAGAAGTACGGGTTAAATCGCTAAAAATAGCCAACTACTAATACACAGCTTCCTCTATGTTTAAATGGGACTAGACACTAGACAGACACTACCTCGATCATGACACCGATGGCCTTGACGTGTCTCTGGAAGTCAAAGTGGAAGAGCTCGTCCTGCAACCACTTGGCAAAGCAGGTGGACATCTGAGTTTTCAGCTGCTCGACGTACTCGTCTCGAGGAGTGATGAAGTTCCACTTCAAAATCTGCAACAGAGACATGTTGAAATTGATTTTGTAATATTATTAGTTTCATTATTTTTAAATCCTATGTTATTCTTTTAGTTTTCAGTTTTAACTCCAGTCCCGGCTGGCTGTTGTCTGTCGGGGTCGGGGAGCCTGGGCGCTGGTGCCCCTGGTGGCATAGCCTGCGACTCCTCCCAGTGTGGATGACCCCAAAAAAGGTGCTTCCTCAATCCTCAGTGTCATGCCATGTCTTCCTATTGTCTGTAGTGACAGTGTGCAGGTGCGTGGGTGTGTGTGTGTAGTATGGAGGGGATTTATTTGTAATTATTTTTCTGTTTCTTTTTTTTTTCCTTTTTTTATGTGTGAAAAGCACTTTGTGTTGTATGTCTATGCAGGAATGGTGCTCTAAAAATTAAGTTTTGATTAACTGATTGAACAAAAATCCAGCTAACACAGCACAAACATTTACAGAATAGTCCTTTAACATGAGTAGGAAATGTTTCTATACTGTGGAAAAAGTTGACACTGAGAGTGTCTTGGCAGGTAATGGCCTCTCTGATACTTACAGCAGTTCCAGGTATTAAAAATCTCCGTACAAAAATAGTCACTCATCTCCTCATCAGTATTAAGATTAGTTGGTTTCATAACCAGCTAACAAATTCCTCACTGGAGCTTTAATCTATATCTTGCACATCTTGACACAGCCTCAACTGTGTTTGATTCCCTTATTGTCCATTTCACACGTAAACATGTTACTCAGCCAGCCAGGTACCTTCAGCTGCTTCTCCTCTTTGATTCTCTGCTCCTTTGCATTCGGGACAAGGACGAAGATAGGCCCAGACCTGTCTTCATCATCTTTCGCGCTTTTGGCTGCAGGCTTCTTGCCAGCTGCACCCTGAGAAGAGGGAGGCAATATTAGAGTTAAAGAGAGAAGGAAAGAAAAGCTCCGTCTTTGGATCTGTACTAGTGAAAGTGAGTAACGTCATGTAATATGATGTGTTTGTGTGTTCACATGTCAGAGGCTGTGAGAGTATTAACAGAAGACAAAGACTGGAAATAACTTCATGTTATTGCACAAACACAAGGCAGAAATATGGAGATGTTGTGATATTATCTGAAACCATGAAACAAACCCCCCCAAACACACACACACCTGAGCAGAAACCCCCAAGTGACAGGTGTCATCTCATGCACATAAAGCCCATCTAAGTCACGTGTTAAAAGTAAGAAACAGAAGCCCTCGGTTATTGTTTCACCTCACAAGCACTGTGCGTTTGGTGTTACAGTTGCATATTCAGTATTAGTGATTTAGAGAATGAGAGAGGATCAGACTGAACCAAGACCGGACCACGCAGAGGCAGAGAGGCGAGAGCACGAGTGTCCGCTGAGAAACTCTGCCCACATCTGCTGCACACTGCAGATGGAGAGGAAAAGACACTCTGGCCTGAGTTTCAGCACAAGGACCCCTGCCTTACATCTACCTGTTGACTGCCAGCCGCAGCCTTCCCTTTACCAGGTGGCTTTTTACTACCATTACTGTCCTTGTCCTTGGAGGGAGGGGGAGGGGCAGGTTCCTCAGGAGAGGAGGGCGGCTGAGTGAGTAAAAAGACCACATTATGTTTACACCTTATGGTCATGAAATGAGTGAGAAAACCTGATTTTAATGACAAAAAACAAGACGTACAACTCAAGTACAAATGGAAAACAGGTGAAGAGAAACACTGGAGAAGGAGAATTTCAATTTGATTTAACCCAGAGCCTCTTTATACATATTTTGAGGTTTAGAGGACTTCTATTAGAGCCATTACAGCTGTGTTTCTGAGCTCTTTGCGCAAAAGTCATTAAGACCTCCTTCAAAATACAAGTAAGGCCTTGGTAAGAGAAAACAGGACTTTGACTTGGATTGTTTTCTGAGAAATAAATCAAAAAAGTGTGTCTGTTTTTGTTGAACACAATGAAAACCAAAAATGAGTGTTGACCCAGTCAGAAGTACCTTTTTAGCAGCCGCTCCTCCTCTGACTTTCTTTGCCTCAGGTTTACTGTCGAGATCGTCAGCAGCAGGCTGAGACCTGGTGGCTGTAATATAGAAACATAGATCAAAAACTGCTTAAGTTCACAAATAAAATCTTACATCAACTTTTCGATCTACTCATACAGATTAGAAATCACACATGACTGGACATTAACCCTTGGTTCCTACTATGTCCATTTTGCGGACATTTGTCTTTTTTTTCCCCATCTTTATGAAGTCACATTTTTAAAGATTGGGGCATCAAATTTGGTTAGTTCTTATTTTTCTTCATATTAAAAAAACTAAATGTGTCGCCTGCAGTACTCTGTCGCCGCATTTTAGCTCCATCGATTCCATCCAAAGTTTCATCTCGGTCATTTTATATAGGAAATATGGCGATTTCGTGTTTTTTACCATTAAAAATAACAGTGACATAGTACACAATAACTGACATAAAAAGGGTAATACACCGAATTTTTTATTCATTATTTTTTAAATGATCAGGGCAGTAGTTGTTAAAGAGATAAGAGGCAGAAAAGTAAAAAGAAAATGTAAAAAAAATGCTTAATTTAGGAACGCTTTTCTGCATGTCCGTTTTGGGGACAAATTAGGCTGGATAGAGCTCAAAATTAACAGAAACTAGGGGTTAAGTTACTTTACAAAATTAGTAGTAAAAGAAATCCATCAGCTATCAGACTGCAAATATAGTTTATGTCACTAAGTGATCCAGAGACCAAGAATCTGTGGTGGCAAAAAGACTTAATTTCTTCACTTTGATCTCATACAGACCTGAAGATGCTCTCGGCTCTCCAGAGCTTTTCCCCCCTCCAGCTCTGGCAGGAGCTGCGGGTTTAGCCGGCATCACTGCCCGGGCCTTTTCCAACATGCCCATCACCTGATCCTTTGAGGCCGGCTGCAGAGACGAAAGGAAAGAGACTGTAAACACCTCTGAAGAGAGATAACTTTAGCTGGTTATGTGTTATTCTCCAAGTGTATTGGTTTAGTACTTTGAGTTTCCCTGTAGCTTTGTTCATCTTGTCGTAGCCCAGGTGCATCATGAAGGTGGGCAGAGCATCCTGTGCTTTCTTCCTCACGTCTCCGTTTCTGTCCTCCAGGCAGTTGTACAGCTGAGGGATACACAGCATCAGATCTGCTGGTACGCTCCTCAAAGTGGGAAGCTTCTCTGCTAACCAGCCGAGCAGCTGAGTGAGGACAAAAAAAAAAGTTTATGGCTGATTATCACTCTCTGATCTGCAGCACGTGCTCTAAGATTTCATTTGGCACTATCATCCTGAAGCGAATCAGTGAAGACTTCATGTTTGTGTGTACCTCTTGTCGCAGGAAAGGGTTCTCTCTCTTCAGCTCTTCTGAAAAGTCCTCTCCTTCCAGCCAGTCTTTCATTCCAGTCTGCTCCACCCAGGCCTGCAGAGTTGCCATGGCAGCGGCTCGTACATTTGACTGCAAGAGAGCAAAAGAAAAGTCTACCAGTGATACAAGGCTAAAGCAGATTCCATCTCATTGTTTCTCATGTCTGGTGTGAAGCATTCTGCCTCTCTCTTCACACTGGAGATATTTTTTAAAAGTGCATCTTTTAGGCTTTCTAATGGTATGCTGTTCTCACACACTGCATCTCTCCTATAGTATAGCATTTAAGGTTAAATTAAACAAAGCTAAAATTAAGTCTGTGCTGTGACTAAGAATATGAAACAGGATTTTATTTGCCTTTATTAACAAAGTCACCATGACAAGAACAGTACCATTAGTGTTTATGTTTGTGTATGTGCCCAGTACCTTGCTGTCTCCCAGAACAGTGATCACAGGAATCCCCAGAGCTTTGACATGCTGCTTGAGTCCAGGCCCCATGGCTGTGGCCAGCTGCTGCAGGATAGTTAGCGTCTGCTGAACCTGAACAGCACAAACACAAATGTTACACCAATTACAGAAACGACATTGAAAATGTACATCTATTAAAGCCGCATTAATGTCTTTGTGACAGATGTGGTGCATTATAGTGTTCTCAGGGTCACGAGTTTAATCATAATATTTGAACAAAAACTGCAGACAAACTTGCTGTTCTTCTACGGTGTGCAGTAAATTACTTTAAAACCAGATTGCTAATGTGACTGTAAAAAAAATACTGGGAAAGCAAAAATTCTCAGTGAAATCAAATAAACACAATAGTTGGAATTAAGGCCAACTGATAACTTTTTAATGTTTCTTGCCAAACAAGGTCACCGGCCTTTGGGAACGAAAACTTCTGTTTTTTTTCCTGACTTACCAGAATCTTGTTGGAGTCGTTCAGGCGAGCCTTCAGAGCGAGTGGTAGCTCTCCAATGTTGGCTGTGATGAACTTGGCCTCAGAGATGATGGCTGCAGTCTCATCAAGACCCTCCTTCCTGATCTTCCAGTTCTTGTCCTCAATTTTAGACACCAGGTCAGATGTTATCTTGTCACTGAAACCGGGAAAGAGGAGTGTGATGAGGAAGGACACGATACAGATCAATGACTTCACCGAGTCATGTTAAGCCACTTTTAACAGTCAAATGTAAGAGAAATAAATGATTTTAAGTGCATTTAATGATTTGGACATATAGCCTCAAACTTGGTTAATGTCATATTGTGGAGTTTCAATCACTTATTGATATGAAATGTGCAATATTTTAACAGACTCTTTGAGTAATAAGCAGCAAACAATGTCTTTCTTTTCTTGCACCTAAAAGCAAAGAGTCTTTATTTCAGACATGTTCAACAAAGTACACAAGCAGTTGACAGAAAACACGCCAACATTTTGAGGATTTGAATTGTGATATGTCATGAGCATGTGAGTCATCTAATGGTCAGAGGAAACTTGGGAGTGCAGCTTTCTAAATCAGTAAGAAATCAAGATGAAAAATTTGTTGATCACTTGTGTTGAGTCTCAAATAGAGGGCTTTGAGGTGATTGTTTTTATTTCTGTATTAGTGCAGGTTGACTCAGAGCCTGCATCCCACGCTGTCCGTTTGTTACCTGATATCTGTTCTGGGCAGCAAGTCCATGATGTCTTGTCCTCCTCCTCCTCCATCCTCATCCTGCTCCTCTCCTTCATCACCGCCATCATCTGCTGCTGCTTTCTTGTTGAACCTGGTTGGAGCAGGTGGAGACTGTCCCTGCATCTGTGGGGGCAAAAAATACAAGTTCTTTTTTCCACATCATTTACTGACAATGAGGTCTGAACGGTCTGATAGTGAGAGGCTCTTAAGTAGGACTGGGTGATTTGGCAAAAAAATTGATCACAATATATTTTGTCCAATCTTTTTTTTTTTAAATCCCCAGTTTCAAAGCATCTGTACGAAAAACTAAAGAAACTAGAGATTAGTTCAACATTTTATTAATTGTTTACTTCCCCTGTTTACTTCTCCAGCAACTTACAGAATCATTAATCACAATCATATAATCGCTCAGTCCTACTCTTAAGTTTGACTGGAGTCTCTTGTCATTTGGTTATTCCTTATGACTTTGACAAAATAACATTCAACATACAGTAAGTAATATATAGGAAGCATCTAGCCTGTTTTGTTACTCTTTGTACCTTCTCGAACTCTGCGTCAATCTGTGCGAGGAGGGCGGGCTTCTCGTCTTCAAAGAACATGCGCAGAGGGGCTCCCATGTACAGGTACATGACTCCCAGCAGGGTGATGGCTGAGGTTCTGACAGCTGGGTTTGTGGCACCCAGAGCGGTCTTCACATTGTTGATGAAAGCCTTCACATTGATACTGGCAACAGGAAAAGGTCAGAGGTCAACGGAAAGCTCAAAAAGTCTGGTAACACAATTACATAAACACTCATTCTTAGACAAATAATCATGTAAAATAGCCAAATTAAGAATGAGTGAAGAAAAGCACTTCAAGCTTCAACGGGAAACAAAAAAGGTTTACCCAGCAAAGCCAAACTCCTTCATTGCATTAGCCAGCCAGTTCAGGGTCTCTGCCTGGTTTTTCGGGTTCTTCTGTGCAAATGCCATTGACACAACCTGTTGAATAAACCATGTGAATAAAGTAAGTACTTATCATCAAAGACAGTATTGTTGATCTCTCTTGGCTGTTGGATCTTTCCTCAGGAGACAAATACCAAAGATCCTCTCTCCTCTAAAGAAAAGGTTTCAAACCTGTTCTGCAGTCCAGGGCAGAGAGCAGGCCTCTCCAATAGCAGTCAGTCCCTCCTTGGCATTCCCACCACATTTGACGTCCCCGACCTTGTCCACCAAACCGTCCAACACCACAGAGGCTGAGGTCTTTGAAAACTGTCCTCTCTGAGCGATGAGAGCCACAATGTGCAGCTTCATCTGCATCACCTGCACAAGAGGGGAGAGACAAAAGACACAAAACTAGCATAAACCAGTCCTTTAATGACTCCTAATGGCTCACCACAGTTAAAGTAGAACAAGAGTTCACCTGACAACACAATAAATGGAAAGTTACACCAAGCAGAAAGGACAAATATTCTCCTAGAGGCCAGCTTTCATGGCAGCACAGTTACCTGGAAGTTGGTCTCTTTCCAGCCAGGTTTCTTGGCCAACATCCGTACTAAAGCCTGGCAGGGCATTGCAGTTTTGTCCATGGTTTCCACAGCCTGGAGGCACAAACAAAACCAGCTTTTTAGCCTTTCTGAATAACACCAATAGATCAAATCTAAAAGCACACGCGGTTTATTTTCATACAACAAGAAAGCAACACATCTGCACTGGAATTACCAATATTTCTGTCTGAAAGGCTAGAACAAATTCATTTCATAAATGATTTACGTACTTATTTACTCTAGCAGAGAAGGCGTAGGTAAAAAAAAAAAAAAAAAAGCATAATGCTTCATCCTACTCCTTTTCACATTATCATTATTATTATTATTATTTATTTATTTTCTTTGATTATTGTTATTGTTGTTTTGAATATTCTCATTGGTTTTGTTTGTTTTCAGTTCTTGTGTTGCACGCACATGTTCGAAAAAAATAAAATAAAATAAATCTCTAATTATCGAAAAATGATGTCAACTTGTTCACTTCTTGATTGAAAGAAAATATATCACACCTCTCAGGTCTACAGTAAACCATCACGATCCAATGAACCCACCCAGACTTCTAATTCACTTCTTAAAAAGTAAAAAAGGACCTTACCCTCTGGAACTCCTCCATACTGGCCAGCCTCTCCTTCCAGTTAGCCGAGTCCAGCTGTTGTAGACAAGAGGCAGGAAGTACACCTGCAGCCAGATCTTCACACACCTCAACCTGAAAAACACACAGGTGCAAAAAACTGTTAAGGATCTAGATTTAGATATCTGTGACCTCTTGATGAGGGTCAGAAGAGTTGATTTAAAGCAGACTACTGGAACCACTTTGCTCTACCAGCCTCACTAAACCCTAAAGTCATGCCCTTGTCCGTTAACATAGTGTAGTTTTTAGTCCATCCACCCATGTAACTGCTGCATTAACACTTTACATATTCAGATTATCACTGAGGAACTGGTTACATGGGTGTTAGAAAACCAAACATGTATGTCACCAACAAGTAATAACAATAAGAACTCTATTCTCTTTGGGGCTAATTTCACGTCAGGGAAGCCTTTAAAAAGTGACCGACTGTTGAAACATCCCTTCTTACAAGTTGTTTTCAACAGACTTTGCTGAGAGAAAGAAAATCTTAAATATTATACTTACAGAAAGTTCACTCTCTACTGTTTCTTTGTTGTCTGAGGCCTTCTTTGCTTTTCCACCAGCTGCTGATGCTGGTTTGCCTTTTTTAGCTGGACCTGCAGACGGCTGCAAAAACAAAACACAATGCTAAAATAAGGATAGACAGAAAACAACCTTTCATCAAAATGCACAGATTGTTTTGGTCAGAGATGGAGTTCTTCTTCTAAGAACAACATTTTATATTAATTTCAGCTTTCAATCAATATTTTGCTTCATGCGTACCTTGCTGGCAGCAGAAGTTGTGCTCTTCTTGGGTGGGCCAGAGGATTTGGGCGCAGCTTCAGCAGCAGGAGGAGCTTTAGACGCTGGCTTCTTGTCCCCTCCAGTGCTGCCTCCACCTGCACCCTTCTTTCCTCCAGGAAGCTCCACTTTATCAGCACTCTCTTTAATCTGTTACAAAAAAAAAAAACATACACATAGTGAAGCAGTCAGCAGTTTACTGTATGTTAATACAACTGAAGCAGATGGCGGCTGCCTTTGCTCCGCTACTCGTCCTCACCTTGTCCTGTTTGAGTTTATCAAGGTCAGTCAGGAAAGGGTTGACAGCTTTCTCTCCCACGACTTTCATGGCCGTCCCCAGAGCTTCAAAAGCAGCATCACGCACCTCTGGAGCAGAGTCGTTCACTTGCTGTGATGGTTTAAAAAGAAAAGTACAAAAAATGACAGTTCAGATGGTAGCTTAGCCAATCGAGTAAAATATGTGATCAACAAAACATGTTCTAAATTTGATCCAAAAGATGTTTATGTTAATAAACTAAACCTTTATGGTGACAGATATAATCAGATGGTTGATTGGTGGAACTGAAATGTCTCCATGTGTACCTTTATGAGAGCAGCACAGAAGGGCTTGAGGACACTCTTTGGCAGAGTGGCCTGCGTGCAATGTCTGAAGGAGCGGGCCAGAAACAGAGAGGCTTGCTGCTTTATGGATGGATTCTTGTTGTCCATCACGCCCAGGATATCCTCTGATAGGTTCTGCAGAGTGGTCTGGAAAAAAAAAAAGATATCATATTAACTGAGATATTACATCAGCTTCAGAACACAAAATTCCATCAATTCTAAAGACATTAGAGGCTATCTGGGAAGTCATGCAGTGCTCTTTAAATAACTCCAGTCAATACAGTAGAAATGACTACATTAGGGGAGAGCAGCCTAGTAGAGTCATGCTAAACAGACTGGGGGGCTTATTTAGAAAAACGGCCGACTGTAGTGAAAACTAAGTGCGCATTAGGGGAGACACAAGTAGCAACAGCCTTCATCTCTCAGTGCCCATTACATCTGTTACAAAAGAGGCAATAACGCTGCATGTTAACTACTTAGTTTAAGTAAGGTTGCCTTCACGTTAAGCTTATAAATATAGTTGTGAACCAAAGCCGTGGGAAGTTGGCCTGTAGGGACCCGTGTATTACAGTAACACTGATCAGGTAATCACAAGCACTTGGCGCCAGCTGCAGGTTCTATTCTAGGCTTTGTCTCAGTTGCACTGTGTGTACTTCGCTGGATGCATCGCTAATACGAGGAAATTGACTTGAGCCTGAATGTAGAGTGGAGGTAGAAACAAGTGCTGAGTGGTGTTAACCTTTGACCAGTTCACAGTGGAATAACTGATCAAGCTATAAAGACAACAGGGACTCCATAAGTTCCCCATTAGAGACAGAAATTCACTTGGAATCAGCTTAGTGTCATTAACATCAGTGCAAGTATTATTATACTAGGGCTGTCCTGATACAATGCTGATATCGGTCCGATATCAGGGAAAAAAAAATGTTGGATTATATCGGCCTGCATCTAAAATCTTCAATATAAGCAGTCGATTCCAGACTCCGCTCCAGCACCTCTATCTAGCAGCACCCTGATCCAGCATGCAGAGCCCACATAATCATAACAACAGTGTGTACTAAAGTACTGAAAGAGTAGCAAGGAGTAGGAGTGATGTCGGCCTTGTGGCAGTATTTTTTGTTTAAGTCCAAAAAAGACATTGCAGCTGAGTGAAAAACTTGTCATGCACAATTTTGTGCCAATATTGGATCAATATCGGTATCGGTCAATATTGAAGGCTACAATATTGGTATCGTATCGGAAGTAAAAATGTTGTATCGGGACACCCCAATATTATACTGGCATTTTTCTCTGAGTGGATACAAAATAAAACTAGGAGGTGGGTTATCTTGTTTGGCTTTAGTGAAGCTACAGCCAGACAAAATAGATGAATGTATTTCGTTTTGTTTTCCTGTCTATGTAGACAAAGACAGATATTTATCTATAACTCTTTCACACAGACTTTTGAGGGGAGTTTGTGGAATAGATGTAAGGTCAGGATCTCCATTTTAGTCATGCCTCTGTGCCCATCTTTTAAACTGGAGCACTTGATCTGCAAAGAACTGCTCACTTTTGAATTTGATTCGACTTACAGTGTGGAAGATGGCGTCCATAGCCTCCTGCAGGGCCTGGACAACCTGAGGCTTCTTCTCCTTGAACTTCTCCAGAACAGTTGGAACCACCTACACACACACACAGAGCTTGAATAAGTGACTTGGAAAGATGGTGTCAGTACTATCATGTAACCGGCATTTCATTTGAGCAAAGATATTAACATCCTCATTATTCACAGTTCACCCTTTTCAAGCTGCAAAAAAATCTCTACAACTTACTTGTCCTGCATATTGTCCAAACTTCTTCCTGAGACCTGCGGCCAGTCCAGCCAGACATTTAGCTGCTAGAGTCACCAGCATCACGTTGGCATCTTTGCCCACAACCTTAAAAATTAAAAACAGAATTAGAACATTTAAGAGTCACAGATTTATCTTCAGTACAAAACTTTGTTTATTATTATTATTTTTAAATCTTGGATTTTAAATTCTTTGTCTTCCATGTCAATAGCACAGCCCCCTTCAACCTATATCTGATTTCTATCATGCCCTTAAAAAATACTTTGAGTGTTTACCTTTTTCAGTGCACGGACGAGGTCTCCATAGTCTCCGTTCTCCAGTTTGGGGTTCTTAATCAGAGCCTCCACGGCCTCAAGAGCTTCTTTTCTCTCCTGCCACTTTTTAGCTTCCTGCAAAGTCAAGATTACACATTAACACATGCAGGTTTCCATCAAACAGAAAAACTCAATTATTGTACTGCTAATGCTGCTAATTTAAGATTAAGATTAACTAAGATTACTCATTTTAGCACACAGTGACATTCCAGCATGCTTGTCTGTATAATTTCAAGCACTGACCTAACATTTTCAAAGTGCAACTGTCTATTTTTATCTTGTTTTGGCCTATAAAAGTACATCTTTTATTTACCTATCACAGCTTGATTGCTCTGAGATCTTTATTGATGGATGAATACATTTACATAAGGAAGAATATTTGCTGGCGTGATGCATAATTATGTTGATTATGGCAGCCCTACCCTGAGTGCATGGGTGTGGTGTTCTCCAATAAAGAGATTCATCCTGTTTGCTTTTAACCGACTGTTCCTTCAGCAAACATACTTTTCAGTTTGAGAATCCGTGAGAAAAATTTTCAGCTGATATATTAAGAAAAAGTCAATCTTCTAGTAAGTGCTTTGGTTTCCATTTGTAGGTCACAGCGTCAGAATGAAAACTGCTTCTTTAGTAATAATCAGTCGTTTTGTAAACTTGTGAAGTAGGTCTCTATGAGTCTTGTTACAGACTCGCTGATATCCATCTCCGCACGCAAAATCAATTTTAAGTCTGTGGACTCAGTTTAGGTTTGTAACTCACTTCTGGTTTTCCCAAAGAATCCTCTGTATCACAACAGCTTAACTTTTAAATTTAATTCAGAACAGATTTTGAATGATCTCACTGAGCATGGCAAGACAGTTTCATTTCACTTCAAAAACAAAAATGAGTTTACTCATGTTACTCTACATACTTCAAATTAGACACTTCAATTTCTCTATTACTAAAAACTGTGAATCTGTATTTGTAAATAGAATATTAAAGCTTAAGAGATGGCTGACAAAGATGCAAATAAAGGATTTCAAATTCACTTTGCTGCTTTAAATCAGGCTTTTCTACAGACTATGTTAAAAACATCTGCGTTCCAATTAGGAGTCAAAATCACTGTAGAAAAACTGGCTTGGAAAACAACTGTTGATAACCAATATATCATGAATATATTGTTTTTGTTCCAAGCATAAGCCTGGGTTACGTAGTATAACCTACTATTTTGTCATAGAAGTCTTTGGGCAACTTGGACAGAATCTCCACCGCCTCCAGCAGCTCATAAGGATCCACAGCTGCCACTGCTTCCACTTCATCCTCTCCTGAAAGAGACACAAACTCATGACTCATCACCTCAACACCTTGAGAGCCACATGAACACACGAGAGGTAACCTGATGTTGAAGCGCACCTTCAGACTGGTCTCCCTGGGCTTGTTGCTGTTCAAACTTTGCCTTCAGGTCCTGCTGTGAGCGCAGAAACCTGCTTTGCTTGGGTGGTGATCCGGGCAGTTTCACCCACTCCTCCTCTAGCTCCTTCAGCTGTGTGGAGAGACAACAGACGTTGATCTTGATCCTGAAGGCTGTGTGTTTACAAGGTAGAAGAGCGTGTGTGCAATAACAAATGTATCTTACCTGGACAGAGTTAATGTTCTGCAGTGGAGGTCTCAGAGCGTCTCTGATCCATTTGTAGATCTCTATAGCCAGAAGTTTGGCTTCATCTCTCACTGCTTTTTCTCTGGATTCAAACTGTTTTGGTAAAGCCTTCACGACAGGCTTTAATGTCACAATCTTAGATCCAAACTCACTGGAGACAGAGGAAGACAAGGCAAAGAGGACTTCAAAGGTTAGTGTCACAGGAGAAACAAGCATCCCAGATGGTTTGGTCTTTGTATTTTCAAAGAAAATAGCACTGACCTGAGAGCCCTCCGGAGAGCTTCAAAGCAGGCCACCACAATCTTTGGGTTCTTGTTTTCTAGCCCTTTTAGGAGCTCCTCTTGAACCACCTCATTTTTCTCGATCTCAATGTACATTAGACAGATGTCTGTGCCCAACTCCTTCGCCCGGGCCTTAGGCTGATTGAACACTTTGGTCACCACACCTGACACCACCTCACCTGTGGTCCTGTAGCAGAGGAGAAACACAGTTAGTTAGATGAAAATACTTGAAATAACAAGGCGTAAAACAAATGACTTCCTCTGGCTTTTAAAAAGGTCAGTATACATAGATGTAGTAATGTAAAATGGACTACAGTAAGCAGCACTGTCGCAGTCATCTTTCTGACAAACCAAACCATGAAAATGCAGCAATCTTTGACAACACCAAAGCAGAAAAAAGTTTGATGTGATAGATTTTCCAAAGTTTAGATTTTTTCAGCATTTCGAACTAAACTCAGTTCAATTAGAAATATAAGAGACAATGGAAATCCTTGCAGTATTTTCAATATGACTGCGAACATTGGAACAACTCCCTACATCACTGGTAGTGTGTTAGTCCAGAAAACTAGGTGAAGTTGTGTGTAGGCAGTGTCCACTTTAACTGGCATACCTAAGCAATTCCTAACCAGCTCAGACATAAAAAGTGACATAAGAATGTTCACCTCCAATGTGCTCAGTGTTGACTGTTTTCTGATTCTTTCCTCACATTTTGTTCCCAAAGAGTATTCTTAAATATGATTGTTTCATTATCTAGACATCAAAACACTGTTGTCATTTATAACTTAGTAATTTTGACGCTGCATAACTTTTAATTTGACTTCATATGAAAGCCTAGTTCTCAAAGACATTCTTTAGATTAACTCCTGACTTATCAAACAGATGCTATCCCTGCATTATATTAAGTTTGACTGCCTTTACAGCAATGATGTCATTAGTTATTATCACAATAGAAAATCCTTTGTCTTGTGCTTAAATGACGGGTGTGGTTCTGTTGGAGCACCTGGGCCATGTTTCTTAACAACAAAAGCCTCTGCTCCCTTCACAACAACTGTCCAGGCCCTGTTTCATCTACTCTCAGTGTTGTCACAGGACATTCCTGTAACATCCACTCACACATACCAATCAATTACCAATCACCACATCCCTGCTCTCTTTGACAATCATGCTTTATGAATGAACAGTACTGCATGTCTGTTCTTGTTTTCCTAAATCAGTTTAATTAATTTTAGTTGTCCACCCTAATTGAAACCCATCTCATCTCCAACTCATTTCATGCCTCTGCACCTCTTAGCATTTAAACAAATAATCTGCTCCTGTTACCAACCGACATGTCCCTGCACTTGACTGTCTGCTGCTTCAGGTCATCAACTCCAGACTCTTTGGATAAGCTCGAGGTGTAATTCTCGTTCAGACTCATACTCACTTTCCAGCTACATGTGCGTTCTCGATGAAAGCCAGGGCAGCCTCCAGGCCTTTAAGCTGAGCCACAGCATTTGAGTCCGTGACAAACTTCTTTATCAGTCCCAGGTACTTGCCCCACTCTGGACTCTTCTCATCCTCTATCCTCTGGAACAACTTCAGAGCTTCCTCATAACCGTTTAAACGGGCTTTCCACACCTGAGCGAGAAAAAAAAGACTTCACTTAGAGAGAATAATACTAAATTTATGTGGATATACACACCGTGAAATGTCTCTGCATTTCACATATGAAGGATCAGAGTCTGTATGACAATAGATGTAAGCTGTGTTTATCATGTCTTAGTATCTCTGTTACATGCCATCCCCTTGTTTGTTTGCCTTCAAGATTGTAGTCAGTGTTTCCTCAGGCTCATTTTGCATTTAAATGCCAAGGAGTCTGTCCAAGCTCATAGGAAAAAAAAAAAACTAATTTGGAGTTTGATGATACACAGGCCAAAACAATTGCTTTGTTTTAGGTGAAAAAAACAGAAGACTATTTAGCACAGCAGGGTTTAGTCTTGCCTGTGGTCAATCTGCTTGTTATTCTTGTACAGTTCCACTTCAACAACATTTCTCATTTGGATTCAGTCTAAAATTAACTCTGGGTCAGAAAGGTGAAACAATAGTTGCTGGGTGAAGGTATTCTTTTAATCTCCCAAATTATCTACATGAACATGCCTTTAGCCTCTCTTTCCTGTGTAGAGACAGTGCTAATGTAGTGTATGTTGTAACCTTACTTTTCAATCCATTAGAAAAAAAAACAACAAACACTGAACCTTTGCTCAAAGGGTGACATTTAAATAATTTTTGGATCCCTTTTAATTTGATGTGAATTTTAAGCCTTTTAGGCTATGATCTGATAAAGAATCTGATTTATTGCTACAGTGTAGGATAATAGGTTTGCATAAAGCTGAGTGACTGTAAAAAAATTTTTAAAAAAAACTGCCAAGGAATCACACAAGACTCCATTAGCCAGTCCATCCCATACATAAAAAACCACAAAGGAAACATTGGCAATCGTCAGTTTCTCATACTCTCTCGCTCAGGAGACATTACTATCATAGCACAAGATTATTTGACTACAGGATAGGGATGGGCAACAAATTATCGGTCACAATATATCGTAAGAAAAATCCTCCATGATAAATATTTGCAATCTCATGATAAATACAATAAATGCAAGTTGATGACATAAGCGTAAGTGACAGACTCGCAGCCATAGCCCAAATAGAGCAGAATAACAAACAAACATGGTTGAAGGTAATAATGAGGATGTTTCAGAGCAGCTTGTTACTGAACGAAGGTCCACATGAGGGATTTCCTTCAAGTCTGGGGTTTAGATGAGTGCAATCAGGTATGCCTGACGTCGGACAGAGGATCTGCTGCTGCTGTTCACTCTGTGCAATAAGAGTTTTCAACAAATGTTGAAAATGTTTTCACATTTGAGACTTGTTTGATATTATTAGTTTTCTCCGAAACCTACCACTCAAACTTGTGGTTAAGTATCTTACTGGACTATTCCAACTGGTGTTCTCAAGACAAAATTTGTCAAAAATATTGATTGGAATTATAATATTTTTTATCGGGCAAATCTTATTATGATAAATGTTTTACCCCATATCACCCATCCCTACTACAGGAGAATAATTTAATTACAAATTGAAGTGAAGCTCAACAGCAGAGGAGACCAACAGATGATGAATCACTCACCTTGTGTTCACATTTCTGGTCGATGGGAAGCTTCATCCACTCGCTATCATCCCCCATGGTTGCCACTCGGGGGGTGGGCTTCCCCAAAGCTACTCAACTGGAAAACAGAAACATCAATGTCAACATTAGATTACATTTCTCCTGAGGATTATCACTGGAGCAAATCAAAACCTACAATCAAGACTCAAATAAATCCACCAGGGGTGATCTGAAAAAATGCAGCTGCAACCAGTTGAACTTCACCCCTGCTGGAGAAATTTAGCATTAGCATACTTTTCTTTTTCAGATATACAGTGCAGTTGTGTTTCGATATAGTACATATTACTCATAGCTCACACATATTGAACATAGAGTTCTTCATTTTTTTTAAACAGTAGGCCTCTATCACTGATCCTCTTGCACATACTCGTCTTTCTATAGGTGTTATTGGGACATGAGTATGGCAAAAATGCTCAGGCTTGTTCCAGTGTTACCCTGTGGCCACATACGTTACTGCAGCAAAAAATTCCCCTGCAGCCTTTGAGTACTTCTCCAGATCAGCGTTATAGAGAAGACATCAGTAAAACTTGACAAGGCATGTTAACTTGCAAACTTAGCTTTCAAGTTTATTAAAGTGATACAAAAATCCTTGCTGCTGTCATCATGTGAAGTTTTCCGTGTTCTCTCGGTCACAGGAGAAACACTGTTGTTTACATCCAGTGGGCCACGTCATTTACCCAGAAGGGAATCCAGACTTACATTTTTTGCAGGTTTATGATCCCTTTGAACGAGTGAACTTTGAATGAGCAAATCTCATTGGACTTCCTGGGTGGTATCTTTTTACAAGGGTTAATATTACATCCACTTCTGTTTCTCACATGATTTAGTCAGCTACACTATGCAACCAGGCCAATTTGAAAACAACTTGTGGTGAACATTTCAGCTGCCTCTTTTATGTGTCAACTATTACTGAAGCACTACAAACACTTGATACCAACCAACACAATCACTTTATGATAATAAAATGAGCTTTCTTCAGCAGCTCTTACTTGCTGTTCAATGTTCAAGTCAAAAACACATTCCTAATGCAGCTGAAAAAGTAACTTTACACATTTGGCCGTGCTTTGAGCAGAAAACAACACTCACTTTCCCACATGAATTTCTCTTGAAAGCCTGAGCATGTGATTGTCTAATGCACGCTCAGGGAGGGGCCATGAGTTCATATTTCATATTGATCCAAGCCAGCAAAGTAAACAGTCTACAGATATCCTCCACATCTCTGCAAACTACTGTCAGCATGGTGCCAGTCTGTCAAACACTGAAAGCAGACTGAGCCAGTTTAGCCTTCCAAGGCACACTGATCCACAGCAGCATCCGTAAAAATCTAACTCAGCTCATAGTGTTGCCAAGATACACAAGCTTCAGTTAGGTGACATAATCCAAGAAACGATAGAGGAACATGAATGGGATGGCATTATTAATAGTTTCAACACTGGAGAGAAACAGCTAGAAGCCATTAAAATCCTATGTAATGATCTAGTTCCCAGTTGTCGTCACTAAACTGTAAAGAACAAATTAGAACTAGGAATGCACAATATATTTGATACAGTATTGATAACAGCAGGTAATAGCATGAAAAGTCTATTCATGTTTTGGTGGGTATGAAAATTTTTGCCGATAAGTACTGCCGATATTGTCACGCATGGTAATGACCACATTGGCCATGCATGTCAACAAGCCTCACACTGGCTGTATCAGAGTAGTCAAAGGTGTTGACATCAGACAGGAAAATAGCCATTTGCAATGCTTGTTTGGCTTGATGGGAAGAAAAGCCATTCGGCAGTCCCTTTACACCACCAATGTAAGTGTGCATTTCAAAAACTGTCATCCTGACTGGCACCAAAATAATACATTTCCCAGATATAGTAGTTAGTAAAGTAATTAATTTTTTTTGTCTATTTAACAAAAAACTGCAGACACAAATGAGTAACAAGCAATTCCTTGCACAGTTATGGCTTAAATGTCTTTCCCTCAATGTACAGATACAGGTATTGGCCTGACATGAGGAAATATGAAATTCAAATATCATGTATTCTTATCAATCACCAACAACTGGACACGTCTATATTCAAACATACAACAACAAAAACCAACATAGATCATGCTATATAACCAAGCACCCTGCTGTCACACCAGTTATGGCACAGTACAGGAGAAATGTGTGTGGGCATGAGGGAGACAGCAGTATACCGCCAGAAATGCGACTGTCAGCTTTAAAAAAACAGAAGAGGTTAAAAAGATGAACATACGGACTCTTGGTTAGGTGGGAAATGGATCAAGCTGACATGCTGGTTCAACTGTGCCCTCCATCTACTCTATGTGCACCCATGAATATACGGCTGCACCCACAAATGCAACACAAATGATAAGGTTAGCAACCATTTTCAAGCTGGATTATCAACCGGTAGGCTCAGTGTGTTGGGCCACAATGGCTGTCACCAGGCCGGTTTCTTAGTTTGTTTAGTCTGGGAGTGGTAAACATCTTAACAAGTCGTGGTTGATGACTGGTTAATTAGATGAGCGCCACAAACTAGTGAGCTAACTTAGCAACGGCTGTGACAGTTGCTAGGTTGGCTCGGTAACCCGTTCATTTAACTTGAGGCTGTTTAAATGAATGTACAGACCCTTAATGTCCAGTATGTTTAATCTCAACTCGGGTGTTTTGAATATTTAAGGTCCAAAAATATGTTTAGAGTGAAGGTATTGTTTTCTGTCGGTCTGTGTCCGTCGTTAGCTGTCTAGCTCCGAGCTAACCTTCCATCCGCGCCAACACAGCCAGGCCTAACAACGCAGTTCATAGCAGCAGCTGCAGAAACACATCAGCACAGCAAGCCAGCCTAAAGTCAAACATCGGCTTTAACTCAAACTAAGACATGATTTAAGATTAGTGTGATACCTGTTTGCGTATGTAGGAGACAATACGATGCTCACTATCCAGGTCGATGGGGTTGATAGTTGGATCACTGTAACGGAGCTCAGCCAAGCTTTATACAAGCTCAACTACTGCGAGGACGAAACACAACATCCTTTTCAAAATAAAATAAAATAGACACAGATTTCTAGTCATAATAAATTATCCATTCACAATATATAAACCGTGCATCAGTTACGATCTGTAATAAAACAACAGTGCAGTATATATTACAAATTGTTTGACAATTATTCTCTTTAATTTAGACATTTCTAAGACTAACATTTGCCACGGATCAATACCTTTTTCCGGTCCGTCCTCAGCTGCGAATATCCAACTTGTTCAATCTTTTTGAAATATCTCCAAGGGCGGAGAGACAGAGGAGGGGCGGAGACAGGGCACCACCCTGACTACATCGCTCCAGTGTTCAGTCATTCACCTCATTGATAGTTTTGTTGTAATTAGATGTAAATACGTGGCATAAATCATTTAAACATAGCGCAGACTGCTTGAACACACAGTGGCTCCGATCTCAAGGCTGCAAACGTTCTCATCAATTTATTAGTGATCATTTACTTATCTTTCTTGTTTGTCTCCAGACAAAGCCACTGATTGGTTGAATTTGAACTATAGCCCGCCTACTTGTACGAGATTCCATTTTGGATTGGACAATTCCGTCTATCGCTTGATGATTGATCTTATTTAAAGCCTTCCTGTGATTAAAATAAGATCTCTGCATAATAATCGGTGTATTTAATTATTTTACCTTCACCTTTATATCATCCACACATTTATTATGTATGTTTGTGTCGATGAATGCACAAAATATTTCTAATTAACGATCAAAAAATGTCTCATCTTATCTTATGCACTTGCTTTCTTGAAAAATTACACTGCAAAAAACAACGATTAAAGAACAGCGAGACATCCAGAAAAGGTTGACGTAGGTCAGTGAGGAAGAAAATTGAACAAATAAAACAATCTAACCTGCAAAATTCAACAAAAATTACATGTGTTTTCTAAATGTGATTAATTTAGCCAATCTGTTGTTTTTATCTTGTAAGACTGTATCTCCATCAGCTTGAAATGATAAGTTTTGACAGCAATTGCATTATTGTAAGAATATGACATTTTTGATACTGACATAATGCATTTCTTTTTTTATTTTATTTAATTTGACACAAAAATGTACCTGTGTAGAGACCATGAAAAGTAAATCTCTGCTCCTCTTTATCTTGGCCATTACTCTTCCAGAAGAATGTAATTTATTGTAGAAGATATATAGCATCCATTATGGATGAGAGGGGAGGTCTAGCCTGCCAAGTCTTAATACCAAGTTTATATGCCGCCGTAGTGACTTAAGATTTTGTGATTTTGTGAGATGGAAGCATAAGAACAGTTGTCACTACCATGTACATTTACTCTTTCTTTCATCTTTTTTGGTGACAAGCGAAAAGATAAAGCTTCACTTTGGAGAGGAGAGGTAATTGTATTGTTGTTTCAAAAATTCTGACTCTGAGAAACAAGACAACCCAAACAGCAACAATAATAATGACAATAATAATGATAATAATAGTAAGAATAATGATGATGATGATGATGATGATGATGATGATAATAATGATAATAATAATAATAATAATAATAATAATAATAATAATAATAATAATAATAATAATAATAATAACAATGAAAATAATAATATTATTAATAATAATAATAATATTATTATTATTATTATTATTATTATTATTATTATTATTATTATTATTATTATTATTATTATTATTATTATTATTATTATTATTATTTGGTTTAACTAGGGAACAACACGTCAACGGAACCTTTGTTCACTGTGTTAACAGGGGACATTAAACGATGAAACTCAAAACACTCCGGTGTTTCCATGGAAGCCCACCATGTCAGAGCGACGGTCGCTCTACGACAACTAGCACAGCCTGAAGGCAGCAGAACTGACATTATGAGATTATATCTGTCGCTCGAAATAAACCGATCGTAGCTGTTAATGTTAATATAAATGTTAGCTTCCGAAGAAACAAACAGGATGAATCGTTTTAATTCCAGCGTCCCTGTGGACGAATATCTCGGTATGATCGTGTTAGCTGTGCAGTGTCAACCTTTTAGCTTACACCTTTTCGTGCATCAAATATACAGTCATTGTTTATTTGGAAAAAATGCTGCTGAACTCATATAAGCTATCAGCATGCGGTAGCTCCAGTATCTACGTTGCTAGCGTTTGTGTGTTGTTTTCTTTTTCTTTCAGCTGACAGTAATGTGCTATTTTACCTGAGTGATGCGGTGGCCCAGCTCTTGGAACACAAAGAGGAATACACACAGTTTGGGGTGATCCGCTACTTTGCTGAATAGTGAGTATTACTGAACACACACACACACACACACACACACACACACACACACACACACACACACACACACACACACACACACACACACACACACACACACATACAATCACCTATCTTCTTGAACGGGAAGGATGGTCGTAAGGTAAGTGCAAACATATGATTTACACCAGAAGTATGTAAACAACAAAATCAGGAATTCGTCATGCATTTCTTATAGCTTTATCCATATCAGGTACTCAGCGCATCCTCCTTCTCAGTTAGCTGTAGAAAGTCATTGAAACTCAGATGATCTGTCATTCATACTACGTTATAGGACTTGTCCAACTCAAAAAAATAAAATAAAAAACATGTTTCACTATTGAAAGTGAATTTAGTCTGTCATAAGTTTTATTAGATTTGTGTTCAGACCAAAAAGATCATTTTAAATTTGTTTTATACATCAATTGTGGTATCTATGAGCTACAACATGAGGTCAAAAACCTAGCCTAAAAGTCCACCATTTTAGCTTAGAGGACTAATAAAGTCATCATAGTAGTTCAGGGGTAAGTTAAGCCAGTGACTCAAATGAGAAAGTAAAGGAGTCTGATGAGAGGATCAGAGTTTCAGTTCAGATTGTTGAAATGTGTTACTTTTTCTTTTCAAAAATACAGCTGTGAATGTTCTGAATCACTGAAAGGCATTCTCATGTTAAAATGACTTTTTACAAAACAGATTTTTAGCAGTTATATAAAATAATAATAAAAAGAATTATTGTACCAGTCGAATAGCGTATAATAGATAAAAATACACATGAATGTGAAGAGATGACTGTTATTTAGGGAGAGAGAAGGTGAGGGGGTAGTAGGGATATGGCTCAACTTACCCCACTACTATGGTCAACTTACCCCATACACGGGGTATGTTGACCATAGGAGACCACTTTTTTTGCATGCTTTATTATCAAGACAGTTCTGTTTACACTCATTCTGTTGGTTTGCAGGGATGCACAACATCTTGAAATATATGCAGATACACTAGTTAGAGACAAAACTATGATTGTCTTGATGTAGTGATCCGAAACATGAAAAATGGCTCATCTTTCCCCACTCTCCCCAAATGTAACCTCAGTTTGAATAGTCATTGTTTACATAAAAGCAAGCATTGTGTTTTACATTGTTTTACATTGCATCCATGTGAACTGTGAATGTCTACAGTTTCAGCAGTGTAAAGAACAGCAACCACGTCCTCTTCAGAGAGTATAACTACATCAAAGCCACTCCTCATAACAGAGCCTCCTTCATCAGAGTCTTCTGGAGATGCTACAGGCAGATTGGCAAGAGTGGGGGTGAGTGAGAGCTTGAAATGAAGAGAGTGTGATGGAAGAGTCTGTTTTGGTTTATTAACTGCGCAACAGACAGTTGAGTCAATCAAGCTCGTTTGGTCATTGGATGCCAAATATTAATTTATTAACTATCTTAACAACAATTGGGCTTTCTGTCTTGTTATTCTGCAGACTTGTTGTCAATGCAAGAATACAGATCTCTGCTTCAGTTACTGTGCCCAGACTTCCCTGCAGAGATGATACAAAGCACAGCAAGGTCAGTACTCAATTTATTTTTGTTTATGCAGTTTTTCACTGGCATGTAGTACTGCTGAGAGAGCAGGGCTGAACTGCTAGGCAATAATCTGATGGTGACTTTTTTTCTGTTTTGTCCTCTAGAATTGTTTTGATGGACGACGCCATAGACTGTCTGATGTCCTTCTCTGATTTCCTTTATGCCTTTCAGCTGCAGCTCTACTACCAAGGTACAATAGGATCTACTGTCTTCCATTGGATGTGTCCCAATCTCTTCACTCTAGTTGAACATCTATTATAAGCCTTCATTTTGATATTTTCTAACCCTAAACAGAATCTGGTTTTAAAACCAGACTTGATGTTCCAAATTTAATCCCTGGAGTGTTATTCAAATTGAAATTATGGACAAATATATGTTTGACATATCTAGATGGCTGATTGTGGTTCAATCCATTAAGTATAAACTCTGTTTATCATAGCATTTAAGGATAAAATTGTGATTTCCTCCCCACTTACACTAGAAAGAAAGAAAAAGGCATATTATCAAAATCTAATTCAGGAGGGGAAGAATGATGGCAACAAACTGTGGAAAACTCGGAATGAAATAATGGGCAGAGGCCAAAGTAACTCACCTTCTTTCATTGAGGTTAATGGAAGCTTTTTAACAAATGCAAAGGATATTGCAAACCACTTCAATGATCATTTTACAAATAAAGTTGATATGTTGAGGAAAGACATGGGCTCTCCCAGAGTAAGTGGTAAGTCACATGAAATAATATCCAACATTATTATGAGAAACAAACAGTGTGTTTTTAAGTTTCAACCGATAAGAAATGATGATGTAAAAAAACTGCTTGATGGGTTAAACAATGATAAACCAGCTGGTATGGATAATGTTGATGGACGGTTACTTAAAGTTGTTTCCAATATAATCTCCTTGCCAATATGTCATATTTTTAACTTGAGTCTGCAGGAGGGGTTATTTCCACAGATCTGGAAATCTGCTAAGGTTATACCTCTTCCGAAAAACAAACGTGAGAGTTTTTCAGCTGTCAATAGCAGACCCATTAGTATTTTACCAGTGCTGAGTAAGCTAATGGAAAAAGTTGTTCTCGAGCAGGTACTTCATTATTTTTCAATTAATCAATTAAATTCCGAGTTTCAACATGCCTATAGGTCAGATCACTCTACGTGTACGGCCCTGACAGATATGGTGGACAAATGGTTATCTTATATAGACAAAAAAATGATGGTTGGAGCTGTGTTACTAGACTTTAGTGCAGCATTTGATGTTGTAGACCATGGGATATTGTTAAGGAAACTGACTGCATATGGGTTTAGTCCAAACTCAATCAATTGGATGAATAGCTATCTATCCAATAGGATTCAGTGTGTGTTTTTTAATGGCTGTCTTTCCTCTTTCAAATGTTTACAGTGTGGCGTGCCTCAGGGGAGCTGCCTTGGTCCTCTGCTGTACACTATATTTACAAATGACATGCCTTTAGTTTTAGAGAAGAGTGGTTGCACTTTATTTGCAGATGATTCGACTGTCTATTTTGCATCAAACAGTTTATCCGAGTTGAGAAATACACTTCAATCTGAACTGCAACTATTATCGGACTGGACATGTGAAAATAGACTTATTTTGAATGTAGCAAAAACTAAAAGCTTAGTGCTTACTGCAAGACATGCCACTCGAGAGGATTATCACCTTAGGTTATCACTCAAAGACTCAAACATTGCGCAGGTTCAAGAGGCACTTTTGCTTGGTGTCACACTCGATGCACATTTAACATGGGAAAAACACATTGAAAACATTGTAAAAAAAATGGGTAGGGGTATTGGATGCATTAAAAGATGTTCCTCATTTCTTACTCCAGCTTCTAGAGTGCTGGTGACACAGGCACTGGGTCTATCTCACCTTGATTACTGCTCCGCGTTATGGTCAGGTGCCGACAAGAAACATTTGTCCAAACTTCAAATAGTTCAGAATAAAGCTGCAAGGCTGGCATTGCACAGTCCATTGGGTGTAAGGCAGAGCACTGAGAGACTGCATGCTAGTCTCTCATGGCTCAGAGTTGAGGAGAGGTTGGCTTGTAATTTAATGAGTTTCTTTAGGAATATTTGTTTTAACAAAGAATCTGTTTGTTTGAACTCGCAAATACAGTATGTGAGAGATCGTCATAATTATAATACCAGGCAGGCTACTAGGGGTGACATGGTTAAAGAAAAACCCAGAACAAATGCAGTCTGCAGATCTGTAATGTATCGAGCAATTACCATTTGGAACACTTTACCGACAATGATCACGGAAGCACCTAGTAAGGCTAGTTTTAAGAGACTCCTTAAAAGACACCTGACAAATTACACTAATCTTAATTGTAATCTTAACTGACTTTTAAATTTTTGTTTAATTTGTTTGCTGCTTGTTTTTTTTCTTGTTGTTTTGTTTTTGTTTTTGTTTTTGTTTTTTGTTTGTGGTTTGCTTTTACTGGACTTTTATTGTCTTGAATGACCTTTGCAAGACTGTACATGTTTTATTGAATTATGTATTGTATTGTCTTGTATTGTATTGTTTGTTTTATTTGTGGACCCCAGGAAGAGTAGCTGCTACCTTGGTGGCAGCTAATGGGGATCCGTATGAATAAAGAATAAAGAAAGAAGATATCAGCATTGATGGAGAAAATCATATCCAAAAAGGGTTAAGGTTTTATCTTCAAAAAAAGGAAAAAGCCATTTGAAAATATTAACCAAATGCTGAAACAAACAGGCCTGTTTTTCCTCTGTGTGTGTGTGCGCAGAGTTCCTGGACAGCGTACTGGTGATCTACCAGGATCTGTTATCGGGAAAGAGTCCAAACACTGTCATTGTGCCCACATCTACTTCCATCGAGCAGCTCCCCTCTGTGGCGGCTGAGGAGAATGAAAAAGAGGAGCAGCAGCAGGATGGAGTGGAGCCGTCCATGCTGGCCCAGTGTATAGATGACCTGTGTGACAGGTTCAAACACAGGTACACACACACACACACACACACACACAGGTTATCTTCACTTGCTGGGACCACTGTGTACAATTTATACATACATTTGAAACCTGATGTCCCTTTTCCATCTACATTAAAACTTAGTGTAATTATTTTTTGTTGTTGTGATCATTTATTTAGGAATTTCTTTCAGTCTGTAAAAGTTTTAGGATTGCAATTTGTTGAAAAGTATTTGCTTGAAGTGAAACTTACTGTAAATGGTGACTATTAAGTCTAATTAGTATTTCATAATGACTCTCAAAGAAATGTGTTTGCAAAAAAGAAAATCAGACAAAAACAGTGGAAAATACTGCGAAAATCTAAAAGATTTAGCAATAAATTATAACCATGATGAATCTGAAGAACGCAGAAAAAAATCCAAGTAACTCTAAGAAATAACCGGAGAATCTCATATTTCACAGGAAAAAAATAAGTTAAACAGCCATCATATGCATAAGTATAATTTGTAGTATTAGCATTAACATAGGCTACTTTGTTTTTAGATATGATAACCACACAGAAACAAATCCTATCTGAAAGTCCCCATTTGTACTGTGGCCCAGGAGGAAGAGTGGATTTTTCACTAATCACAGATTCCAGTCCTTCACAGTAATCATGATGAAATGTAAATGCATGGTTTACCCCCTTCTGCTGGCCCTGATGACTCAGAGTTATTGTCACTTAATAGTCACATTAATGTCTTTTCCCCCTTGAAGGTTTTGTGTAGGGAGAAAATTAAATGCCCTGTGCCAAGCCATCATAGGCAGAATGACTTTCATTTTACAATTCATCTTTTTCTCTGTGTGTGTGCGTGTGTGTGTGTGTGTGTGTGTGTGTGTGTGTGTGTGTGTGTGTGTGTGTGTGTGTGTGTGTGTGTGTGTGTGTGTGTGTGTGTGTGTGTGTGTAGTCATCCTCCCAGGTCCTGTATGAGGGAAGCACTGGAACAGGTGGACAAAGTCTCGTACTACAGCTTTCTAATGAGCCTGTCCAAACATGAGACCATCAACCAAACTATTGGTATTTTACAGAGCACATTCCCTCACCACAACTATTGCTCTACTGCTACTACTTCTCTGCTACAAATACCACTACCAGTACAGCTATTAAAATACCACGACTGGTACATGCTAAAATTCCAAAACTTGACATGTTGACTTCATAATTAAATATATTAGAAGGTGTTTATTTTAGCTCACCATTATGTGTGATCCCTTTTCTCAGTCCACTAAATTTATTAATTAATTAATCTATTTGAGTTAAGACAGTTTGCATAAATACAACACTTTCTCTCTGCAGGAGCATTACCCAGTAAGGCAGAGCTGCTTATCGACCCTGAAATGGACCAAGAACTCGAAAAACTGTAAGAGCACCTCGTGCATACCCATATTTACACACACAAACCCCCACAGACAGCATATTAACAAGCACACAAGGTGACTGTATCAGATTATCTTGTCATCTGTCTTTCTGTTAACATCTCTTTCTACCCTTTGCCTTCCAGAATCGCCCAAATCTCTGTAAGTCCTGGCAGCAACAGCAGTGGCAGCGCTGTGGGGGCACTTAAGGAGGTGCAGAGGAAGGCCTCCCCCAGAAGACACATCCACCACAGGAGGAGGATGGAGGTGGAAAGTGACGGCTCCACGGAGGAGACTGACTCATCTGAAAACTGACCTCAGTGTTCTTTGGCATGTAAATCTCCATCTGCACACTGTGACTGCTTGGTTCATTCAAATCCTCTCACTTGCCTTGTCACCCTAAAGTTCAGAAGTAGAAAAGTGCAGGTTGAAAGCAAGAGAGAAAGTCCAAATGACTCAGAGGTTCAAATAGTTTTGGAGTTATTCAAGTGCACTGCTTTAGCCATCAACTGGTACACTGACTATAATGACAGCCAAATCATCATGATGGTCACAAGATCCATTTATACCAGAAACAGCTGTCACCGTGCTCCCTTCAAAGCAAACAGACCTTATTGAAAAAAAACTGAAATTGAAGCTTCCAGAACACTGTTTTAGTTTTATGCACTTTAGATTTGTTTTCTACATAATGTTCCCAATAGTCTGCAGTATATTTTAACCTTTGTCGCCGTGTCTCCAAATAGAACATGCAGTAAGTCTTCCCCCACACGTCAGTGGTTCATACTTTTACCAGCCAGTCAGTATACTAACAATATATGAATAAAGCAATGACTGTATTAATAATGAATGCAGGCTTAACAATGTCATTGGTCTTCTGAAAAGGTTTTATGTATCCAAAATAGGGCGGTCAGGATATCAGATTCTCACCTCAAGATTGTACTGGCCATAAAATATCACAATAGCAATGTTATCACTATATTGAGGAAAAACTTGAAATTTCATGCAAATTGAGTAAAATTAAAAAAGGCAAGACAAGGATAAAGCAACATATTATATTTGTTCCTCAATATTAGAGGTCCATGATATTTACAAATAAACACAATTAATTGATATTTTTAATTATGTTCAAATTTATGATTAATCCATAACTGGCTGTGAAACTGAAAGCTCTTAAGAGGAGACTTTGTCCTACAAAATTATTTTTTGTCATGCTTTTGTTCTGTTATTTTTCACCCTACATTTTAAAACTATGCTTCTATTTTAAAGTGAAAGCTACTTCTGGTAAATCTTAAGTCAAGTCACTGATCAGGAACAGTTGAAGTTGAATTGATTTGCAACTCAAGGAGACAAGTTCCAACATTGCATTTAGATTTACACAAAATCATGAAATATAATATATATTTTTTAAAGTGCTGAATCAAAAACTGACATTTAAAGCTTGACCATGAATCCAAAAACAATGTTAAAGCTGGCGCCAATTTTGTTTTGTTTTTTTAACTGTCCTTTTAGCTTTTTATATTCAGTTCAGTAGTTTACAATTTATCAGCGGAAGTGTACTCCAAAACAGAAGCACGGTTTCATAATGCAGAAAATAAACCCAGGGTAAAAAGAATATCAAAATAAAAGCATGACAAACAATCATTTTATGAGGCATTGTCCCCTCCAGAGCAGATTCAGTCTCAGGACTAAAAATGCAAATATTCATAAATCAGAACATGATAAGAAATGGATGATGATATGTACATTTATTTTGTTGATGAGTAAAGATGATCAAATATTGTGTCATCAAAATTATTTCAATAATAATGTTTATTGTGATATTCTCTGACCGCAATAATCATGAGGTGAAAATCTGATATTTTGACCGCCGTACATTTAAGCTGTCTGAGGTGAATGGTAGACTATATATCCTTTTTTAATTTCGTGTTAATGCTGCACCTGATGAAAGCAAACAAAACTTTGCACATTATTAGCTTTGTATCCGACCTTGTAACAGTTTTTCTGTATGTACAGTACCTGGCATCTGTAAAATGGAGAGAAACATTAAGTTTGGGTGGCTTTTGGCCAGAAGTAAGTGTGGATCATCCTTTTTAGTCCACACTTTGTCACTCTCTCCACTCGATAGTTACATTTTCAGATACGAGTCATTGTGATATGAAAACTTCATGTAAATTTATAGTGGGTCTTGCCTCTTAACAATTGTCTTGGTCATCTCTGCAACTACCATGTGCAGAGTCAAACGCATACTGTTTGCACATGCTGGAAGTAGTTAAAATACTGTCTACAAATTACAAAATAAATGGCAAATATAACAGGCCTTTAGCAGCCAATAGATGGCAGTGTAGCTATATATCAACAAACATGTTAACACTGAATTAATACTAATAATGTGAAAAGATAACTGCTTGTCTTATTCATACACATATCACTGTGTTTCATGTTTGGTGCTCCTGATATAACAAGAGGAAGTCCAACATGGATTGCTGTAGCAGGTAGTTTTTGTTGTTGTTATTGTTTTTGAGCTGAAAACAAATAAGTGCATGAAGGACTTTATCTTTACCCTATTAGTTATCAATTAACGGATTGCTTTGTGTTATATGTGAGATGCCTGACATTAAGCTGAAGATGTGAATGATGAATGGAATGTAAAAAGATCCTCATACTGTAATTTATTCTGATGATTTCTATTTGTCACTTTTGGTTTCAGACAATAGTTCTTTTTTCTTTTTTGACTTTAAGAAATAAACAAATCACACATCCTTTTACAGTTTGAATGAGCATATGAAAGCAAAGAAACTTCTCAAATTTAAAAAAAAGAAATATCAATGTCACAAAAGAAAGGTGTGAAAAGCTCCAGATGTACCAAATAACATGGTCCAGTGAGGCTTCATCAGGTTTGAAAAAAATAAAAAGGTCTGAAGGTATGGACCAGGTTCCCTCAGCATCAGTAACAGCTTCTCTCAGAGCCCATACTGACTGGATTTCCTCTGTAGCTAGCAGGCTGACAGGGACTCATAAACAAGTTTTTTTTTTCCTTGGACCATCATGGAGTCAAATTATAACACCAGCATCTTTTCAAAATGATTTATCTTTTCTTCGAGGTCCACTAGACTAGACTAATACCCAAAGTCCTTCAGGGCTGTCAGCTCTGATGCTTATCCCTTTGCACAGTGGCTGTGAATTGATTTCACGCTCTTCCTGGATGCTGCTGTGACTGTTTCAGTTTCTTTACATACAGTTTTTGTTCTATTTTTCAGATTGCAGCTGAGTAAATTCAGAGATACATCTCCTGGCTGGAAACCCTGGCAATCTAAAGCAGCTCAACACAACAGCTGTACCGTAATCTCTACTTTCAGGAAGCTTATGAATATTCAGTTTGTGTTTACGTGATCTATATTTTGTCCACTTAATCCCCTCATGCTTGCGCCCCAAACATGAAGGGGTGAGTTGTTTCATTTAATGCACTCAAGTATAACACCAACACCTATAAAACACTTCAACAATTATTTTAATAAAAAGTTATCACTGCCAGACCATGTTGAGGAAAGTTTTAAATGTAGAAGTTTTATTAAATTTGAGCTGTTGTACTGGGTTGTTCATAATTTTATGGCTGGTTGGTGTACGTCTCTTTATTGTGGCTCTTTAGTTCACCACACTCTTTAACACCATACACATAAGACAATTGTTATGAAGCATTAGAAATAATTGCCATCCAAGCACCAAATACATTAAGTTTTTGCTAACACCAGACTCATGCAAGGGAACAGTGTTGAAAGCAACAAATTGTAAACTGAATTGGTATCAAGATGATAAATTCTGTTATTATTAGTTTCTCACCTAAAAACACAAACGGTAAGTGCATTTGTAAACGTGATTTATTGACAAGAATAACCACCATCATTATCACATGTCTGTGCATCTTCTGGGCGTCTTCATTTTTACAACATAGATATCATGCGGTGTTACACCCAGGTTTTGGTCAAACCAACAGCATACAATAATAACTCCTTTACAACCATACATACATACATAAGTACATACATACATAAAGGATCTATACAGGATATATCTATGTTAATGAGTCATGTACAGTAGATCCCTGTGGTGTTAGAAACACAAAAGTTAAATACATAAAAAGGACACTTTCTGGTGGATCAGAACTACCTCCTGTGATACACCTCAGATGGCTGCCATGACAATGAACGTAGGGTAGATGGTCCTCTACACTGTGACTGTTTAGAGAAATGGATTTTAAAGCTGCTGTGGGGAACTTTTGGTTTATGTTGATATTTGCATCCTGTCCTGTACATGTAAAAGTCATATTTTTAAAACAAAATATCCTCTTGCAGTTTTTTAGCTGTGAAATAAACCACTCATTGTGAATAATTGCCATGGAAAAATCTTTAAATAAGCTGTTTTTTCAAGCTTGCTGTCAATCATCTGGCCTGAGACAATGGTTTAAAGCATTAAAAATTCCTTGAGTGAAGTTATCTGCCTTGACGCTGTTAGTCTTGTTTGCTTTTGAAGGACATAGAGACCCATCGGTATAAGTTTCTAGTTTCTGTTGGTTTTTCAAACTGTTAAAAACTCCTTATACTGCATTTAAAATCACCATCAATCATGGCAAACATTAAGTTTCATATTTTTTTGACAGCAGACTGTAATAGTAATACACCATTGCCCAACTAGTCTAACAGTGAAAGATAATGTTTTTTCCAATGTAAAAGCTGACAAATACCAAAGTTTGAACATTTTTGGACATACTCTACATGTTGAGTGGAAATTTAGGACTTTAAACTGATTTTGCTCCAACATTTAAAACTACTTTGGGGGGATTGGCGTGTATTTCTTATCCCTTCAGATCATGAGACTAAGATTTATCCTCAAAAATTTCAGCTAAGCCTGTTAAAGCTGCTCAGACTAATACCTCTAAAAAACACGTTCACAGTATCATTTTGCAAACTTGTGCATAGTCCCGTTAAATTTGGTAATACTGCTACTTTGACTGTAATGTGACACTTTCAAAGATTATCTGATCTGAGCAAGGATTGTCGTCTCTTCATGGGGTACCTTCTCTTCCAACTGAGTGACACCAACACCCCCATTGTAATGCAATACTGACCAGTTCTGAAGTCAGTATTACAAAACACCATTTGACCATGAACCTGAAATTACCTCTTGGGTCACAGTTACATTATTTTAAGTCCATGGCAGTCATCTTAGGTGTACAAAGTCCTGCCCTACATAACTACTCAAGACTGGCTGTTGTATCCATTTTTGTTTAGTGACTGTAGACATCTGAATTTAACAGCTACGACTGTATTCACCACACCAGAAAACTAAAAATAGGCACTGTTTTTTTTTTTCTTTAAACACAGAACATATCCTGGTACATTTCTGTTGACTCTGCCTGCTCAAATCTCAGTATCGGTTAATTTCACTGTGCTAAAAGGCAGTTTGATAGGCTGGAATTCAGGGTCTGAGGGCCTTGCTTCAGAGAGTTGGTTTGTTTTCTTTGTGTCAGAAACTGAAGCGCTTGACAAATAGCGTTTACACAACTTTCTTTTTTGAGTGTTGTCTGTGCTGATACTCTCGCTGGTTTCTTATTTAAAGGGTCAAGCTGACCAGAATCTCCTGGGGGTAAAGCATTTAGTACTGTCAACATCCTCACATCAAGGAAACAAACTATCGCTTTCGGAAACAGGGTGCCTACTCCTAGACTCTGCTAGTGCATTCAAAATATGTCTTGCTGCACTTTCGCTGCTTGACCTGCAAAGTTTATTCCAGGGACATGGCATGTAATCTCTTTTGTAATCATAGATGTATTCAAATGAAAGCAGAGTAGTTGTAAAGCTGCTGAAATGCACATCAAATGACGTACAAACTAAAAATTGCAAGATGAAAATACGCTATTTAATTTGCACCAGGTTTTCTTGGTCATCTGCTATTTATGACATCAATATAACAATGCAGCAACAATCCACCTAACCAGCACTATAATGTTCTCGCAGATCGTTTGAGGTATGTTTGCTATTCAGCATTGAATCTGTAATTGCATTGGTTGGACAGTACCAAAAAAAGGCAAAAAATTAAAATAATTATGGGGCCACAGTGCAGGCGAAAATATAATATGTTTGGAAATATCTAACAGTCATCAAATGACAATATCTAACAACAATGACAACAACCTTCATGATACTTAAGTAACCTATTTGCCGCTTACTGCCAAGTCCGGGATTACAATAAAGTGTACATGAACACGAAAACAAAATCCCATGTCTAAAAGAGAATTAAAATCTTCTTAGATCTGAGGGTAACTGCCTTTTTGGATACTTCTTTGTAGGCTTTACTTTTATGAGTAACCCTGTTTGCATGGTCACATGACCTCTTGATGTAAAAAGTATTGATTGGTGCAGCTTTAGGTCTGGAGCTAATGGACAAAGTGAACAGAAATAATACTGTACATCCTTCTCTTTCCAGACAGGTGCAGCTCAGTAACAAAAAGCCAGGTTCAGTATTGATTCTAAAACATATTTGGTCAAACTTTCATACATCCTGATCACGCAGACTCCAGTGTGAGATTTGAGCAGGCAATGCAAAAGAAGTGTTTGCTAAAAAGTGCTAAGGACAGACTCGAACAAGACAGCACAGTGATCCACCATCCCACCAGTCTGTCATTTTGCACACATAGAAAATTGCACGGCGTCATTTGGGCCTGGTTATTACACAGAGTTAAAGGAATCATGTCTTAGCTCAACCAGAGAAACCCTGCATAAATCCACATCTGGAAGAAAAGGAACATGAAGCAGCAAAAAGAGAAATGAGGCACCTTCACAGCAATTTCAAACACCTTCAACAGGAGATTGTCAAGTTTCTGGCTTTAGAGATACAGATTTAATCTTCTCACATTTCTGGAAACATCATTCTGTCCTCATCTGTGCAAAAAAAATCAGGCAGGTTCATTTGTTTACTGTACATTTCTTCCAAGCATTACCTTTAAAGAGGGAGAATTTTGAATTTCCAAGAAGCCCTTTTTGACTATAAAATCAGTACAGGATGAAATTAATTTAGAGACAGAATTTTCACTTAATTTTGTTTTACTTAATTTTGATTAGTTGCCAAAAAAATCTTGCCCAATAATGGTTAATCTTTAAAGCACTAGTCGCATATTAAAACATAACATTCTGTCCATAAATGAACTTCACCCTCCTGAAGGCTATCTTTATGTTTTTACAACAATTATTCACTTGATAATTACATGTCCGTTATTTTAGCTGGTAAAATATATCAATATCAAATATTTGCATCTGGTTTGGGTAAAGGGCTATGTTACATTTCTTCTCACTGTCAGGAACATCTCACTTGATCCTATCCATCCAAAGAGGTATTTATATCGTGACATGACCAAAGGACGGGAAAGTTTGCTGTATCACTGGATGCCACTAAGAAAAAAAATTCCACCATGCAGAAAGTAAATATCTGTGATCCAGTTTGTGGTGTAAGACGGGGCTTACATGCACATAGTGAGTATTCAGTACATAACGAGAGAGAAGGACAGGTGTTATTCAATGAAGATGTCTTCAGTGGGACAGGAGTAGCCAATGTGTTCCTTGTAATACTGCTGGAAGGCCTTCCTGCAGGGCAATACAAAGAATGTGAATGTGGGATTTCACTACTTTCACAAATATGTACTTTATTTTACACAGATCATAGGGTGCAAAAGGTTTTGGACTTGCTCTGGCCTGTAGCAATTACAGCAGCCATAATTGCTGCAACATAATGCTTATTAATGTTGTATTTTATGCAGAATATGTGCAGTATAGGAGATGTGCTATGAATGTTTGAGGTTATTATTGTTAACTAGTTCTCTGTTTTGTGTAGAAAGAGTGCAGCATTGGAGTCTTAACAAATTTTACTAAGTGGACTATAAAATGCATGACATTGTACGTTTTTGTTGAACTGGGTTTACTCTTGACTGTTGAGGTGGTTCGTGTATGTGCATAAATAATGACACAAAAAAGTTCAAAATGGATCTTACCCTAAAGACACAGCAAGAGGATACAGAGATGTGTCTGACATCATCACATGACAAGCAAAGCGCGGTTGGTCGGGGTGCTTGGTGATGAAACCAAAATACCTGTAGTGCGACAAACATCAAGAAACACACATTTACAGACGTATATATCGATGCAAACTTTCTCAAATGGATTAAACACGAACTTAAATGTATATATGTATTTATATGGTTCAGTTTAACCAAAATTTCTCAAAGGATAACTTGATTTTCCTGAAATAAACTGGACTCACTTGCTATGTTTAGGATGACAGCCACAAAAAGAGATGTTCTTCAATTGGAAAAAATGGAAACACTGGTCCCCCTGTGATAGACAGAGACATATTTTTTAAGTACAGTGTGTCTGGGTGTTTTAGGGTTTCTTTGGGCTCATAGGTTGACTTGATTATCGTCTTTCTGAGTGTTTTTTTTTCCTTTTGTTTGTTACTCTAGAGTGCTTTACACCCCGGTGAAAGTAACTCATTCTGAATAATATATTCATCAGGAGCAGATTTCAAAGGTGACAGTCAAAAGTAAGACATGAAGGCAGATAGACTGAGTGGTGAACTCACCCTGTGAGCAGAGTGACACTGATCCTCGACTGTGATTTTTACACCCTTCACACTGACTTCCAGCACACAGTTTGAGGGAGGCTGACCTGTTGCCCGTCTGTTACACGCCACCTGTTCACACAAATAATCAGGGTATTAGTGAGTGACATAACTGGAGTAGTCCGTGGTGTTTGGGTTGGGTAATACTTGCTAAAACACGTTTGAGCCCCCTGCTTTGATTGTGTTATTTGTAGCTGAACTTTCAAGCAGGATTGAAAATTTCAGCAGTGTTGTCGCATTTGACAACTCGTAACCCTGTGCCCCATGGTGCAGCCCGTTTGCGCCACATATACAGATACATACTGAGTCCAAAGTAGCATGTAAAAAAAACTTTATTGTTGAGGTGTGGTGGCTTTTATTTTACCGTGGCAGTGCGCCATTACATGTAGGGGAAACCCTGCAGTTAATGTCAAATAGGAAAGGCTGATCTGCCCACAGCTCCACTATCCAATTCTTTTTACATCGCCGGTTATTCTTCATACATTCTTGTTTTTCTTGTTTTGACTGTCAGGTTTCCTTTCCTGGCTTTTGTCAGAGCTCATCAATTGGTTGCTGATTGTGTTACGTCTCTGCGACTTGCGATATTATTGCAAACCCAAGATTAGGAAAAGACTGATATAAAACAGTGCAGATTACCACCTTGAAATTAACGATCGATTTAGAAGATTTTACTTAAAACTTTCAGTTTTCAGTCTGGGACTGTGAAAATCGTTTGAAGGAAGCCCAGCATTACTCCCCTCTGAGTCCAATAACTACTCCATTATTTCACCACAGGTATGAATTAAACGTAATCCTATTTCACGGGGTACTTTAAATAAAGAGTGAAATATAAAATGTGGCATGGAGGGAGAGAGTGCGTTCATCCAAATCTGAGCTTAAGTAGCCAGCTCTGTGCTGTAATGTTCTTATGAAAGATTAAGACCCAGTGAAGGATTTAGGGAAAACATAGTGTTTAGCTGCAAAAGACACAGCTAGTTTTTTGTGCTCAGACAAGGGGGTTTGTGGTTTTTGGAGGCTATTTGTAGTCAACTGTGGACATTGTCAGAAGGCCAGTGCTCATGCTCCTGAAAATGTTCATGTTAAAACTGTGAGAACAGGGAAATGCAGGATTCTATAAACCTGACAAAAAATAAAAATAAAAATAAAACCTGCCTTTTGTTTTGTGTGTACACAAGTAATCATTTCATAATCATTTCTGAATTTGAATGGTATGGCACAATCAAGGAGAAACTCTACTGCTATTCTGTTCAGACTCTAGATGCCACTTTGGGTGATCATGTGGTTAGACCATATGTCATAGGTACAACTGTGTGACTCTGGCCAAAATGTGACCATTTGTGTATTAAGAATTAAATAAAACACTAAAAAAAATTCTTAAAACAGAAAATATAGCTTGAGTGTTCATAAAGGGAGAGGAGGCCCCAAAATCGTTTCTAGAAGGGACAGAGTACCAAAAATGTCGCAATGTTGTGGTAAAATAATAATACTGTGGAGAGACCAGAGACCAGATAGGGAATATGTTTGAGGAAACGTTTCAGATGTGTTCTTCAGAAAAAAAGATTTCACAGCCATTTTTTAAATCTTACAGCACTCGTATGTAAGCTGCTGCTACCTTGCAACAGCAACACTTTCCTGCTCATTTTTGAGCTCTCATTGATTGTTTAGTCTTTACTGACATAGATTGTGCTTAAAACAAATGTAATTTAATGACTGTATTGCTATACTGTAATCCTGGTTGAGCTCCAGTGTTAGCTTTAGCTGTTCTCTACAGATTGCTAATGCATAAAATATTTTACTCAGCGAGTCATTTCCCTGAAGTGACAAATTGTTCTTGAAGTGACCGTTACCTGGTGTCACCAAGACTGATTTATATAGCCTATGGTATCGACATACCTTCTGCATTGCAGCACACAGCACATCATTGCCTGTACGAATGGGAACCTGAACTGAACCCAGAAATCGCACCAAGAACTGCTCTGTCCAACCGTCTTTCTGAGCTATGAAGAGGAAGAAGAACAAAGTAACAAGTTAGCTTTAAAACCTCTCTGGGTGTGGTAATACTTGGTATCCATGGTTCACTTTTTGTGTGTACCTTGGTCACTTTCTTTGGCCACCTTGACAGCATAAAAAGCGGGAAATATCCCAGTAGCTCCAGACCTCATGTTGTAACCCTGACACCACAGATCCTCAGACTGGTTCAGCATTAACACCGGGTCGTCTGTCTCAAGATGAAGCTCATCGGCATGACGAGGCACGAACCTGAAAAAAAGGGGGGGCATAAAGAGTAATTTTCAGTCTGTGGTGTTCATTTGGAGATGTCATAGTTAGTTTGGTCATGTTAATGTGTGCTAACCTATAGGCGGCTCTGTGGCTCTGCTCTCTCTCCACCCCATCCAAAACACAGGAGAACATGCCAAATGATGCAGCTCCTGTATGACACAGCAATTATGTTTGATAAAGCACAAAATAATACGGCAAAGGTTGTGTCATTTTAATCTCTTCACAAGAAAAGTCAACTGATCTAATCTGACATCTACGAAGAATGGAAAGCCCAAAGGACAACCTACAGTTTATTGGATGAAGGACAAGTTTGATGATGAGCATACCATCTTTCCATTTTCCAATAACACACTTAACATGCATTTGAGTGTGATATCTTTGGGGTTGTCATCTGTGATGCAAACAGCCAAAATGGAGTCTCACTTTATAGGCTAACAGTTTATTGGTAACTCGTTATTGGCAACCCTTTTTGATTAAAACAAGGCAGCTAGATATGACAGACCTGTCGCACTGTAATTGCTGCCTTTGTTGGAAAATAGGTTGAGGAACTTCCTACTTCTGGAATTTTCTGCCTTTCCTCCATTAGACTCCTCTTCCTCTGAGGTTATGGTTGATATCACTTTGGAATGCTTGCAGATCCTCGCCACAACTTCCTTTCTTCTTTTCACCTCCTCCTCTCTCCTTCTCTTTAAATCCTCTTCCTTCCTCTTCCTGGTCTCCTCCTCTTCTTTTATTCTCTTTTCCTCTTCTTTCCTCCTGTCTTTAGGTAGACAGAGAAAATAATAGAGTTACTTGCCAAAAGTAACAAGAACCAAGGAATTATGGAAAAGTCAGCCAAATTTAGCCTGAGCTGGCAGTGCTGAATAGTTCCCGTGCAAGTCTGAGTATGTGTGGCTGTGAAGCTCCGTGCGTTTGCATGCAACACTTGCAACTATGCTACTAGGCCATGTGAAATTAAACATTTGAACACCAATATTTCACAGACAAGGAATTAAATATGGTGGAACTGTTGCTGTGTATAAGGAGCAATTATCTGTTCAGTGGTGTTCCTCAAGAGGTAGTATTGGGTCCCCTACCATTTCCTCTTATTTCCCAATATTCAAACTTTGTTACACACATAATTATTTTTCCTTCAAGTAATTGATCCATAAATACCTGTTTGGTTGTCTTTGGCAGTACCTGTGAAAATAAGCAGTTATTGGAGTTGGTTTAGCATCCTTACAGTTTTCAGGTTTTTGATTAAATTAAGTTCAACCGTCTGTCTTTCAGTGCTGGGTGATATGGTCACAAATAAGTTTCTTGGTTAATTCAGCATTATGCCTTTATTGCAAGTGATGAGCGATTATTTTGTTTGTTTTTTGTTTTTGTTTTGTTCTCTGTTCATCATTTATTGACAAGGTTTGTACTAAAAATATTCTCAACTATTAAAGCCGGGATATGTTAACCATGACAAGGTGCACATCTTATCTAGTTTAACATTTACAATTAGGTTTGTTAGCAGTGTAAGTTTGCCATCCTCAAGCTAAATGCCATCCTCTTTCTGTAGACTGCCAACATCTTTTGCAGCAAACACATGGCACTGCTTTGTGACAGGGTTGGGCCTGTAAAGTAAGTCACCCCGTGTCATTACCTTCCAGCCTTTTTTCTTCTTTTCTCTTCCTCTCCTCCTTATACTCTGGGTCTTCCTCCTCATTGGCTGATTGATATACTGTCTCTGCATCGCTATCTTCGTTGTGCTCATTGTACCCGTGCAAGCAGTCCTTGAGGCTGACCAGCTCCAACTGAGCGTGTTCATCAACCACCAGAGTGTATTTAACAGAGTCATAATTCAACCCTGCTTTAGCTTCACTCTTTGGTACAGTCTGAGCAGCTGCACTCTCCCTCTGAGAGACTAAGTTGTTTTTATCCACCTCACAGATACTCTTCCCTCTCCCCCGCCCTCTGATAACTTCTGAGTTATTGCAGTCCATCGCTGTGTTGCCATTGCCATTAAAGCAGTGGGCCGGACCATTCTGTATGTTCACGCAGGGAGTAGGGTCTCCTTCTCCTTCCTCTTCAGTGATGTCAGGGTTAGTTCGGTGAGATAGAGATGGATTCAAGGGCCCTGGTGGGGGGCCCTCAGTATCTGAACTGAGAGACATTCTGTTGGACCCTCCCTCACTACTGGATCGAGAGAGGGTAGGAGGCTTGTCCTGGGCCCTGTCATGGTTTTGACCTGAAAAAAAGAACAATTGTTCAATAAGAATGAATATTATCAAAACCTTTGTGTTCAGCGAATAGATGTTTATCCGTCTCAAAGATAAGACAAGAGTAGACATTACTTAATAAAATGTTATTTAGCGATCAAGATAAAACGCTGAAAAAGACAAACAGGAATTTTGTAAGCTTCCAGGTGTGAATTCAAAGGTTCTTCAAAACTTCAGCTATAATCAACTTTGTTTCCAGCAACAAGTAAATAAAAACAGGACTGTAGGACACTTGAATCAGACAAACCTCTGATTTTCTGTGATAGACATGAAGCAATGTGCAAGAATGACATGAGAAACCCAGCTCTGCTCCCTGACCTTCCTCTAACACCTGAAACACCTGAAACACCCATCACTTTGAGCTCCACAGGTGATTCATTACCTTGCTCTTGGGTCTTGTCCTGGTTTCTTGGTGCTACAGGTGTACGTGGGACCACCATGGCTGGCAGATAAACATGCTGGTTACACAGCATGTTGTTGAGCTTGAGTCCGCCTCTGTTACCCCCTTTACTACCTGTTTTCCCTTTCCCATCAGCCCCCCTGTTTTTCAGTCCATTTGTCTCTTTAGCCTTCTGATATCCATTCTTGTCTTTCTCTTTCTCCTTCCCCCTGGACTCCTCACACAGTCTTCCTCCTCTCTTTTCTTCCTTCCCCGCTGTCACCCCATCCTTCCCTCTAAAATCTCCTAGGCCCCTCTCTCTCATTGCTGTTGCTGCTCTTCCACCCGTTCTGCCTCCTCGTCCTCCTCCTCCAGCTGCTTTCCTCTGACTCCTCGGTGTGCTGGACGGATGTGTGTGTGTGGTCCCAGACGCCTGTCTCTCCTGTGGTCGAGGGCGTGGGTCTGCAGTAGGAGCAGCAGTCTGAGTGTTGGTTTTTCCGTGAGCTCCATTGGTCGTAGGCGGTTTTGGGGCTGGGCGCCGCGTGCTGCGGCGGACTTTGTCCTCAGGTTTCGGTTGGACATCAGGTGGTGTGAGATCTCCTTCATGCACAAGAAAGAAAAGCATCAGATTATGTGTTGGGCAACCAGATGTATGCTGAGGGATTATCAAAGTAGCCCAGAGTAAGCAGTTTATCTTAGATAAGAGTTACAGGAAAAGAGGAAAAAACCCACACAGGATTAATTTTAAACCATTTGAGGACATTTTACTTCATTCTTCAGGGTCTGTTGCATCCACTCTTTCTAATTTCTCTACATATAGATGATTCAACTATGATTAAATCTGAGTCCATTTTCATCTACTTTGCAGTCTTATTCACTTCAATAACAAATCTTGTTTGAATAACCAGAGTTGATTTAGCCAATGAAACAAAACAATGGGCTTTAATTGCTGCAACTAAGTTCTTATGGGCATGTTCATGTAATCAAATACACCCAACAGAAGGGCTTGTTTTTGTTTGATGGTGTGAGCTAAAGGTGTAAAAGTGGTGGAAAGAAAATGAAGTATTTTCCACTCTTTGCTTCCCTGACATGCCACAAACACTAAAACTTACAAATTAGCCAGAAAAGACATCTGCATCTGATGTTACTGTACATTTCGAAGACAGATGTGAAACTGGTTATGAAAACTTTTCATCATCACACAATAATGTAAATCTTGTATAACTATTTGTGCTGAATTTATTCCACAGAGAGATTCTTGGAAAAAAAATGAAACCTTACAGGGCAAAGTGTGTTGTAATCTAGGTTAACAAGATTAAGGGAACTATTTTCTCTAATAAAAGTACAATATTTTGGGAAATCTGATTAAAAAGGGAGGAGGGAGTTGGTGCGTATTTGGCAAAAACAATCGTATTTAAGAATTATTAGTGGGGATTAGTCAGATTTATTTAGAAAGTAAAATAACACACGAGGTGTAGCAGAAAAAAAATATTCCTTTTTGTCATTCCTCAGTTTTTACTTTCAAATCACAACCATAGATTGTATATAGAATGGACAGAGTCTGCCTCCTTGCTGGGTGAAGTCACCGTGAGAACAGCACCCTCTGTTGATGGGCTGCAGTATAGGTCATAAATCCCACCTCCGCCAGCAAAGCTTATGGAGCTGTGGACAAACTCTAGAAATTTATTACACAGAATATAAATTTTTCTCCCCCCTGCTTGTGATGTTGACATGTAGTTACTGTAAGACTGGTTTGTGTTCAAGACCTCTTTTTTCTGTGCAGCTCCTTTTTTAAAAGTTATTAGGGGGTTCATGTTTTCTATGATTGACACCTGATACAGCCTATGGGTGTACGAAGATTGCGTAGCTCACCTGGAGGATATGCTGTTTGAGACGAGCGTCATCACAGCGACTCTCATCAACTCTCCTGCTGAATGCATGCAACACTACTGCGCAAGTGGTGGAGTGCGTACAAAGCTACTGCGCAATCTTGGTTTCAGGAAGTAGAGAAAAAAAGCGGAAATACCGAGAGCTTTTCGGCTTCAAATCCATGTAATGGCGGAAGGCGGAACCAAGTTGTCCATAGTATATACAGTCTACGATCACAACTAACTTGGAAGTCATCTATTTGTGTACAAAACTTTAACTCTTTTGAGGAATACGGTTAAATGCAGCTGCAACTGATGACACATATTTGCAACAGAGTTGACACTGAGTTTGAGTTTTTCGCCCGATGTTATAACAATAAAATCTTTTTGAAGAGCAAACTGCCAAAGGTTACAAGCAGCTAACAAAAATTAACACAGTTAGAAAGGATGTTTCGGGCCTCCAACTAGATGAGTATGGTCAAATACAGGCTTTTGCAATAGTGTTCAACATCTTGATGAAAAAAGACAAACTAATAATGTTCTAAAGATTACACATACATTAAAACCATGTAACCAAATAGTTCAAAATAAGGGCTGGTAGTGCTTCATTATGCTATGTGTCACCTGCCATAATTTGGAAGGAAGTGGAAAAAGAAGACTCAACTGAGCTAGCTAGTGATAATTTACAACAGTGTGTGGCTACTAATGCAGTGTGCATTATGTTAGAGGAGATCAGTGCCTTATTCCGACTATTTGAGAGGCAGGGGCAGAGAAAATAAAAAACAGCACCCCCTACTGTAAGCGTTGAGGTACCAGAGTGAAGTGAGCTGAGCCAAAGAAAGATCTAACTCTGGGAGCATTTTGATGACTATTCTGTAAGCCCCTCACTTTTCACCTGATTAATTTTTTGTTATCATTAGGTAGATGTCAATGATAAGTGCAAACGTTTTAGGTTAGAAGAGTTAGGGTTAGGAACTCCCAATACCCACAGAAGAGGCTTCATTTAGACATAGTACTTTATCAGAAGTAACAGAATAGGGTTGGGGTCAGGGTGTCATGAAATATTTGTGCCATTGACCTTCAGGGCCACCGTACCCTAAAGCTCTTTTAGCTTTCATAGATGAAGCACTTGGTTCAACATAATCCAAAATACTTCCTTTGCCAGCCCGCCCTTTTCCTCCAGGATTAATCAGAGCTCTTACCTGTAATGTGTGGGGAGGAGGAGCGGGAGTCCTTCCAGCTGTCCTTCTTCCCTAAGGAGTTGTTGTTGATGGAGTCCTGGAGGTTAATGAGACAGAGAAGCAGCATGAGAGCAGGGCTAACACATGACCTCATATACAGGGACGCACACATGAACACACTCGAGCACAGCAGATGTCCCGTTTGGAAGAGGATAAGCGTACACTGAGAGCCAACACACCAGACCTGCTTTTCTGGTGCTATCTCACACCTTTCAATGCCACAAAAGGAGGCCTTGATTTATGCATCATTTTCTCTCTTTCTCCTGTATACAGATGAAGTGATGTGAAATCCAAATGACGGAGCAAGGATCACATCATCTAGACAACATTGATGAGATTTTGCAATTTTCTGATTCAGAGCTGCACAATAATGGATTTAGTAGTGACCACTGAGTACACAAAAAAGCTGATATACAAGGGAAAATGAGTAAAACCAACATCAGTATCTCCTCCTTCTCCAGTCCAGCCTTTTTTACATCCCAGCCGGGAAGAGGAGGGAGCATCAACCAGGAAGTGAGCAGCAGCAGTACTCAGCGTCATAGGAACCACACGTCATGCTGAGTCACTGACATCTCATCATACATTTGCATTCCCTGTTGCACATCATGTTCTGTTACTACGGTTACTCTTTGTGTGTTTGTGTGTGTGTGAGAGAGAAAGAGCGAGAACACCAGAGTGTGTGAAAGAGGAGGATCAAAGTATATGTCTTTTTTGTGTAAAGTGCACCCCTCTCTGACATCTTTCTTCAGTCTGACATTGCAGCACAAGTCTGTTCTGATTTCAATGAAGAGACTTAAATCTAATTAATTGAATTTTATTACTAACTCTGCCAAGACCAGTTCACACTGCAGATACTTATCTCTCATAGGACACTCAGGGTGGGAGGCTAAAAACACTGTTATGAAGCCCCGCCTCTGTCTTTGAGTTTGCTTGTCATCACAGAAACAAACTGTAGACCTTATAAGAAGATGGACACCATAACCACTCCCTGAAAGCAAAGCAGAACCATTTAGAGCCACCAAGGACCAGCCGCAGCATAAAGCCTGCCTCCTTCACAATGACTGATGGGACATGGGTTAAACTAGACCATATTTGAAGTAGAAACAACCATCACTTTCACATACACAAAGCTCATTGTAGAATTCAACTATTTATAGCTATGATTACCCTTGAATAAAAGATGCATGAACTAATTTTTAGATGTGGTCAAATGGTACGGTAATATCTATCCCTGTTAAAAATGTCAAAGACTAAATGGCTAAATTCTTGCATCAGCAATGACCCACATTCAGCGCTGGCTCAGCAAATGTCTCCTGTCAACCACCAAGATAACAGTTTGCACGATGATCTCAAAGCATCCAGAAGAGTATCCATGCTGACATGTGGTCCCGGGAAGGGAAGAACTATGGCTTGTTAATTAGTTTAAATACCTGAGGGTAAATTTGGATTCTTCACTTTCTTCTTAGAACCACGTTTAAGAAAGTGCCAAACCCGGTCTAATGTAGCCTGTATAATTTTAAGTGAATTATGGATGTCTCTGACTGAAACTGCTGCCCTAATTTTTCATGTTACTCCTGCACATTAACTAACCAGTTGGTCACTTCCAAGAGCAAAAACTGTCAAACTTTTTGAATCTGTACAAAAAGTGTTGACAGTATTGTCTTTCTAAAGCACGAGCTCTCAAGTTTGACAACATTTAAAAACTCATCAATACTCGCATGTTGTACAAAGTCCTCCAAGAGCTGTGTGTCATTTGAAGAGGGCACTGTATGAAACAGCACAACACTCTCGGTCAGTGAATGCTCCACCTTTGCAAAGGTCATCTGGGGGTGCGGCTCAGGGAAAAAAAAAAACACATTTGTGACCATGTCTAACTATCCACCCATCAATGTGCATACATAAATGCATCTATGTATGCAACTCCAGTGAATCATTGCAAACACAAACACATCCATGTTTTCTGACCCTGTGCTTTAATATTGTGTAAATAAACATGACTATATATGAGCTCTCTGAAATTACACCAACAATTACATTGAATAGGCGTAGGGTAAATTTGCAGTGTACACCAGCACCTCTACAATTATGTGCAATACACCAGCACTTAAGCACTTAAACACTCCGGCACTGCGCCGCCCGCCTTGTGCACTTTGAACACCTTATGCACTTTAGAAGGTCACTGTATTCCTGGTTTGTCCAGAGCAGAAAGGGCATCTTGAGCATCTTTGTAAAGGAATTTATAGTTAATGTTGTTTAGTCTCTGCATGGTTTATGAACATTATTTGTTTTTCATGTACATGCTTGATGTACTTTACATGACTGTAGCACCAACCTGAGGGGGCTGCTGATGTACAGTAGCCCATGTTCATCAATATGCACTCTTCTTTTTCAAATGAAAAAATATATATAAATCAGTAAATAACAAGGTTACATGTCATGCTATGGAAAGCATAGCTAGCTTATAGTAATGATAGCAAAGAGTAGTTAAAGTGTCCTCATCTCAGCTGTAGACAGTTATCTCAGGTTGGTCAAATTGTTGTGAAAATCAGAAATCACTCCATCCGCAACATACTGTTTGTGTAAAGCAACTAGTAAAATGTATACTGCATTTTAATAACAAAACGGTATAATATTCTGAACTATCACACAGGCTAACAGTCATCTGTGAGTCAGCTCTATTTTTACTTGAGTCTGAGTTGGATCTGATCCCAAATTTCATTGATTTTTCATTGGCCCCAGCTGTACCCCTCCGCCAGGTTTCCTAAAAATCAGCTGCTCAAAAATAAACCCACAAAGAGCTCCCAGAGCATCCTCAAGTCTCTGACTGCACCCTTTCAGTGCTAGAGGAGTTCCAAAAGTAGCTCTTCTCTGCAAACTGATATTCAAGTACTCTCACTTCTTGTTAAATGACTTTTTCACACTTTCTTCTTTTGCAAATCAAACAAAAAGACAAAAAAAGAGAGAGAAAACAGAAATGTTCTTTGTCAGCTGAGTTTTGTTACACTAGGAGGCCAGAAAGTCTGTTACCAACGTATTTACTCTTCACATGCAGGCTGTAGCTTTATATTAGCATAGATATGAAAGTGATAGATCTTCTCATCTACAAGAAACCCTGTTAAGTATTTTAAGCTCTAAAGTAATGTCTAATTTCAAGATTTAAATGCTAAACTTTGAATTTCTGATTTTTTAAGGCATTACAATCAATTTAAGTCTTATTTTTGGCCTGTTATATCTTATTCTTGGGGTAAATGTAGCTAATTTTAAGCACAAGAATTAGACATATTAGTGTGATAAAACATTTTCCCTAAAAATAAGCCAAAAAACTTTTTAATGTTGTTGTATTGTTGCTCTATTAACTCCTTCACAACAATGACATACAGAACCAGTTGTCACATGTAAACTAACTCCTTGATGGTTGGATACAGAGTCTAGCTGGTTTAAATATTAAAAACATGCCATTAGTCCTGTCCAGAAACCAGACTCCATTAAAAGTGTTCTTAAAATGACTTTGGACAGACATAACAGATCAATATGGCTGCCTTTGAAGCTAAATCAACAACCCTCTTCCCATAGGTGAGGCAAAAACCAGTACAGATCAAGCCAGATGTCACCCAAAGGTGAAAGAGTGCTACTCTTACTGGTATTTCATTATTTATTTGAAAGCGCTTCCTTTTCCAATTGCCCCAGATTTATGCTCATCAGTAGCAGCCTTCTCCTCATCTTCACCACGAGTCTTGAAAAGCTTTCATCCAGACTGCAGGGGTGAGGGAAAGAGCATGTTTCACCATCTGGGTATTTCAGGGATCTATCAAATTCAGTTTTTCCTCTTTAGCTCGTCCATGTTTGCTTATAAAATGTCTAAAGGGTTTAAATTTTCCACAGCAAAGCAAAGTCAGTGCACACTGCTCAGCTCTCAGATTACAGTGCATGAATGCACCACTGCCCCGATGAGTCTGCATACAGCTGCTACCATACAGAGATAGGGCAACTGTGCCAAGAATCGAGAAGTAAGACTAATATGATCAGCTTTAAAATATTTGTGTGTCCATTTGCATTTCTCATTAGAATGAATGGGAAGCACAGGGTGTTTGGAAAGCAGCTAACAATCTAACGGACTGTACATAAATGCAGTAATCCTTATGTTGTCAGAACTTTGCCTGTTAAAAACATAAGAGACATTTTATTTGCAGACAGTTTTTTATATACTTCATAATGTCAAAGAGTTACAGAGCTCCTTGACGTGTATCAGCTCCTGGGGCAGAGGTTGTCAAAGTTAAAGGACCCAGATCCAGATCAGAGGCTAAGTAAGAGGACACAACACACAGCTCACAACCTCTGACAATGTGCCCCATCATTGTGTATTACAGCAGTTTGATCTCCCACGCAAAGACCTCACTTTGAATGTGAAAGGGCCATTTTTTAACAGCTTTTGTCCCACCCCCAGATTCCCGCTATGCAGGCCACACTCAGAGAAGAGGAGAGGACAATCGCGGACCAAGCGTGTGCGTTAGCGGATTGCAATGCTCGTAAGAAAGCTAATTATGATATTAGCTCTCATTGTGTCCCCAAAGACATTACTGTCTGACAGCTGAATCACTTCTATGTTACCTGCCACTTCTGCTACACCAGCAATGGTTGGCTACAAGCTAGCATGAAGAGGAGTGTGCAGAGCAGCACTGTCTCCAGTACAGGTGAATTGCTAATGAGCTACTGGAGCTCTGCAGAAGAAAAGCCCTTGAAAATGACACAAGTAACGTAATTTTGGCTAAAAATTCCAAAGTCACAATTTAAAGACCACTGATAACACTTAAAGGAATAAAAAAACGATCGGAGTCGGACTTTAAGAAAAGAGCTCTGGACAACAACTTGTTTATGTGCTCCAGTAATGACATGCCAATTCTCCCAGCATCCATCCTTGGCAAAGAACAGCATAAAGCTGCGACTGTAGCAAGGCTGGAGGGAGTAAACAGGAGCTGTTTCATTTGGAGGACCACAGACAACCAGCAGTATGTAATGTTTACATTATATCTTTGAAATATCTCTTTGGCTAACACTTTTTTAATATACTTTAAGTGGAAATAGTGTTAACTGTAGCCAGCTCAGGAGCTAATTAGCCTATAACTCATACCCAAAGTTTCCACACTCCAGCAGCAGTCAATCATCACTATGTGTGCCAACTTTTAGTACAAAAATCACACATATCTAAATTTAAAAAAATACTTTCTTCTGTTTTTAAACTAATGATGAGTACTCTTTGTAATGCCAGCGTGAACTTAACATTCAAGACCACATCCTTGTGCTTTTGATCAGAACAGCAGAAGTTTTTTTTTTTTTTTTTGTAGCCAAACAATAATTTTTGCTCAAGCTATTTGATTGGTAAGCTGGTGCTCCAAGGCGGTTGTTGAATTATGCACAAAGCAGTCTGGTACTTTTCAGTGCATGTGGGAAGTGTGTTGGCTGCATGACAACTTTAACCACGACCCTGCTTGGTTTTTATTTTGATATGCTAACATATGCCAACAGATCTAACTGTTCAGATTGTTAGCATCTCCAATGACAAAATCTTGCAAATACTTAATAGCTCACTGATTTTTTCCCCAATCTAATAATCCTAAACTTAGTTGGCATGAGTTTGACAAGCTTAGCTTTCAGCTCTGCTGGAGTTAAAGCCGAGTTTGACAGTAGTCTACTGTCTTCTCAGAACCCAAAATGAAGTCACATCTTGCCTGCTAACATAGCTTTTTAATACTATGTATGTATGAACTCAGCTTTTGGCGCCATTTGAAACAATGTGCCAGCCCACAACCTTAAAAACAACCAATAAATTAATCGAGAAGTTGCTGTTTAACATTGTATTGAAAAAACAATGCAGGGTGGCTTATGAGATCTCATGGAGATTTTAACACATTTCTTGAGCTAGTGGGAATCCACCAACACAGACATCTAGAAGCCGTCTCCTTTACACTCACTCTAATTTCAGAGCTGATAATAACATGAATCAACACACTGCGTGGAGTCATTGACTTTGCATGCACACACTCTTGTGCACATACAAGCGTACACAGGACTGAGTAAGCGTCAAGGCTTACATGTTGAGTGAGAGTAAGTGTTATCTGGTCTAGTCTAATCCAGCCCCTGTGGTGAGTCCAGCTGTCAGGCAGGGGAGGCGGCCGAGGACACAGGTTACAGCTCACTGATGACCCACAGGCTGGAGGTTTGGAGTGACTGCTGACATGTCGAGTGACAGCGGATCGATATCACACTGGGTATTTATGAACCGGTGTACCTCACATTTAAACTCATCCACAGCCATCTATTATCGGGTTAAGGTATAGCTGGGTTCTCAGCTAGCATGCTGTATGCTAGCTACAGTTGCTGCTACAAAGCTAGCAAGCCAAGAGGACCTGAATGCTTCTCAGAGCAGCACACAGCTTCAGAAAACAACAACCGGCATGAAAACATTGGATCAGCATCACAACCACAACCTTAGAGTTTAAGTATTCATTCAGGTCTCAATACATCACCTGTTAAGTCAAGCACGTGTTTATTTAATGACTGAAGCATATGGGCCTACCTGGCAGCGCTATATGTGCCTTTAATCCACTGAAGACAGGATTCAGGCATTTACATCAAGACTGTATGCATGCCTCTTTAGTATGCAGCTTGTGAAGGATTGGATTGAAGGCAAAATAACCTTCTATATCTGCCTGTCAGCACATCCTCACTCTATTTCAGGCTGGAGAGGATCATTGAGCATTGAATGAACCTTCATAGTCAGATCATTGCAGATAACTTCTATAGGAAATTGTCACATTACAGACATCACTTTTGCAGTTATTTGACTGCATAATTTCACAAACTTAACTTTAACTGATTGGTATTTTGATGTTTATTATATTTCACATTCTTGTAATGTAACTAAGATTGGAGTAAAATTTTGAGAAAAAGATTTCCAAACCGTGAAGATGCTTTATAGGTTGAATGTTCAAATTCAACAACAACAAATAACCTGAATATGGACATAAAACTTCCATTATAAAAAATCAAAGATTTTGGGTGCTGATGCTGTAATTGTTTCTATTATGGTGAGTCCTGAACTCTGAAGTAGACGGTTTAGTTTGTGGTACTCAAGAATAAAAGTGCCAGTAATCTTCTGAGCAAGTAGGTTAGCAGGTGCAAAGGACGCAGACCTAAAACAGACTTGTAAAAAGGTAAGTACCCGTACACACCTGTCTACCCTGTGTTCTTTTTCAAGTTTATTTTCTGTTTTTATCAATGAATTCTGGTCGATTTTCAGAGACCGATGAGCCAGCTATTTATAAACATCTTACTCCTTAAAAAAATGGTCTGATCTTATGTGCCCTTACTTTAATGTTGTCAGACACCTATTGAAGAGAAATGTGAGCATGTTCGCTGCACTGACAAGTCCTTTTAGGGGATTTATCTTAGTGTGATGCATCATGGCTGCAAGATTAATAAATCTCCTGGCTCAGGCTACGTTGCTTTCACTTTTATTATTTAAGGTGACCAAATCGACCACTTCTTCCGTATGTCTTTTGGCATTTTTATTATCTCCTTTGCAGAGAAATACAGTTAGAACAACAAAAGTGTGAATGGTTGTTTACAGTTAAATGCTGTTGCTATTTTGAGTGATTTGAGTGTCGAAACCTTAGATAGACCCATGTGAGGGTCTCTGATTTGAACTGTACTGACACAATAAACAGGATGTAACTAATGTGAAAGAAAACACCAGTAAATTTGTTCTGCATCCCTCCAGAGAGAGCTCATTTCTGATCACTGCTGGGGGGACTAGCCAAGGCTGGTTACACCACAATTAACTGGATTTGTTTTGACTTGACATTTTGGTATCCTTTTCTATTTTTACTACAAGACACGATCACAGCTGACCTATTTTAAGCATACATGTGTGTATTTAACAAGATGGCAGAACATCTCAGAGGATTCTGTTTAAAAATCCGGATCCGGAGTGAGCTGTCAAAGCGTCCTTGAGGAAGTCAGATTGCTCATCTATTGCGGCTGTTACATGATATAGATTGATCCAGGAGTATGGATGCTCTAAATATAGGTGCTTGCCGAGAAATGTATGGCAAAAATACACAAAATAGGGGCCAGATTACAGAGGAAAAGAGATGTATAATTAAAGGTGAACCATTTTCAGAGCTGACCCACTGCCAGCACACACACACACATATACACACACCCAAGAGCGTACACAAACACACAGGCACGACTAACCAATGCTGTCTCATTCTGAAGACAGGATCCTCCCAGGAAATACACACACACACATACACACACACACAAACGCACAGTAACCCATTTATCCAGCCTGATGTCACTGCCGCTTAACACAGCATCCACCCCTGCACACACACAAACACACACTTGTACACACTGATTTTTTTCGAGCAGGGATCCTCCCAGCCTCCCTACCTGGGTGCCGGCTTGTGGCAGCTGTGGGAAGAGAGCCAGGGTGGTCGGCCTTTTTGGTCGATATTTATCCATGACAGCACAGGTTTGATCCCCCCTCTGACAGGTGACAGCTTCCTCCCTTCCTCCTCCTCTTCCTCCTCCTTTATTAAGCTGGAGTAGGCGCTCCTCAGCTCGGACAAGGCCTCCCCCACCCTCCTCTGTCTCCCTCTCTCTTACCCCTTCTTCCTGCTCGGTCTCCTCAGCATCGATCAGCTCCAAGCTCCCAGCCTCAGGACACACCCCTCACACTCAAACCTCGAGTGATTATTGGCTGGCCGGTGTGTCACATCATCACCATCATCATCATCACTCTCATCTTCCTGGCAGGAGCAGAGAGGAGAGGAGCGAGGAGGAGAGGAGGGAGAGAGAGAGAGAGAGTGTGTGAGGAAGAAGGGTGGTGTTGAATGGAGACACTCAGGGTTAGGATTGAGGGAGTGAAGCAGGCAGGGGGGAGAGAGACGCAGATGCAGGCAGGAAGAGAGAAGGGGGAGGAGGAAGTGAGGATCAACCAATCAGAGCAATGGTATGACATCACCAGCTCATCTGCCTGTGGCGTTTTAAAGCTAATAAACACAGAGTGTGCCTGTGTGGTGTGCCTGTGTGTGTTTGTGTAACCCCGTCAAATGAGATTAGACTGTAACTGTGATCCCATGGAGAGACAAAGACCACAGACCAGCCGGTAAACCAAGGAAACAGTCATTCAGTTAACCAAAAGAGCAGCCAGGAAAACAAACTTAGAACTGTTTAGACTCAAACTAAACAGTCATTTAACCAGCCAAACAAGCAATACAAACAAGATACCATCCTGTCTGTCAACAAACCAGCCAGAACATCAGCCATTCAATTGTCTATAGATGCCAACTAACAGGTAGTTTATCCAACTAGTCAAAGAAACCTAATGAGACGGTCAATCAGAAAATCTCTTGAGCAGTACTTAAAGTCAAGCCTACAACAAATCAGTCATTCAGGCAGCTAACCAAGTCACTTAAACAATTATACCCAAGCAGTCAGTAAATCCCTGAATCTAAACCAGCCTGAAACTACAGACGAACATTTCTCAAACATACCAGCCAAATTTTGAACCAATCTGTCTTTGTCTGATAGGAATATATGCCCCTGAAAGCAATGGTCCACATTTTAAGGCCCTATATGTCACCAGGATGTCCAGCCAAGACATGAGATTCATATTGATGGACAATATTATGCCTACATGACAAGTGAAATCAGAGCACTTCCAATACTAAAATATAGTCCTGTGCCTATAGATTTCTGCTGTCCTTACAAGATCTTTTGACAAAAATGGTTCAACAGAAAAAAAAAAAATCATAATCAATAATTGTCCCAGGAATAGATTGTTTCATGGGTCTTAAAAGGTCAGGTTGTATGTAACAAAAAGGAAGGTTTTATTTGATCACAGAGTTTACATTAAAATGTAGAATATAGGTCTGGATTTTTAGACTGAAAAGGTTATTGGTGTGTCCAAGTAGTCCTCCTGACCTGCTACATATTAACAGGTCTTGGTGTTTGCATGAAAAACAACCAAGTGGAGAGCAAAAGCAGGCGGAAAGCAGTCCTCTGTAGTGACTTCCTGGCTCTTTTTTTATCTGATGATAACAACAACATCTGAATAAAAATTCAGTTAATGAGCCGCTCCAGATTAAACATTTCAAAGTGAGTAACAAGTATGAGCAATCCTGTATCTCAAAGGTCAATCAGTGTTTAGATTGCCTGACTACCCATAATGCATCAGAAATGAAGGATCCCAACTCTGTTCAATGAAAGTTATTCCTTTTCTTAAACCTGACAGAGCTGGCATTTTACCTTTGGAAAATCTACAATTTGTATTTTTTATTATAAGGCAACAGCTCAGAGCTACAGTGGTCACAACTGGGACACTTCACCACATGTGGTTTGGACAGGGTGTTATTGTTCATCGCTATATACAGTAGATGATGGGGACTTGGGCCTACTGAGGGACTTTTCCTTTGCTCACTGAGGTAGCATTCTTGTGCTCTAGCAAATCGGTGGTTCAAGGTCTACTGGTGTTCAAGTGGGTGTGGGCTTTGGAGCCTCCTTTTTTAAAGTGATCCAGAAGTCCCTAAGCTAGTGGTCTTAATCTTTGCGCTGCCCCACAGTCACTCAGAGTTAAAAGTTTAGGTATTTTCCAAGCTTACTAGCACAGAGTAAACAATCCACCTTTGGGGAACTACCATAGAAATTTGTCAGAGAAGCTTTATATTAGATAACCAATATTGTCATACTTGCAAACAAACCAATGTATGGCCAAGTTACCTGATACCTAAAGAAGCGCTGTCTGCTATTTTAATAATTAATAAGCCTGACTTTACTTACTGCTCCAAAACACCATCAAGAACAGCAACTTATCCACATGCAGCAGTTTGTATGATTTCTAATGAAGAGTCATTGACAATTTTCTGTGTGAAAATCTGCAATACCTGACACATTTTCATGATGAGGACAAGGGTTTGTCAAAGTCATCCAGTGGGGTCCCTTATATATGATAAAAATGTTCTGTTTCTGATTCAAATTGTCCTGTAACATTATTTTAAAGTATCTGGTTATTTTAAGTTGAAACACAAATACTAGACTTAGTGGTTTGGGTTAAGGTAAGAACAAAATATAAGCTGCATGTTTCACTACAGAGTCAAACCTTATTGTCCTGCATTGTTGTCTTGTATGTTTACTCCAGTTGTAATCTCTCATAGACATCATTGGTCTTTATCTTTCTTCATCTCGGGGTAGACCTTAAATTTTACATTCATGGGTTAGTTATGCATCATAGACCATACTATTGGCTGGTATCACTCTGCACTGTAAATGTAAACCTGGGACCTTTTGAAATCCTGTTTCTCACAACTTAAAGCTATAATTTTAACACTGGACCAAAAGTGTGCTCTGAAAAATCACAGTAATGAATTGGTGTGCTGGGAAAATGGGCCAAAAATGTAGTTTGTAGGTCAAAGTTGAATTACAAGTCAGTTTTTAAACACAGTCAACGGATGAGGAATTTTATAAATGATCTCTCCAAAGACTACTTTTCTATTTTGCTATTCACAACCCAGTTTCTGCCTCTCTCATATCAAAGATTGGTCCTTTTTTTCCCTTGATATCTACACTTCAGTCATTGTTAGCATGTCTCTGTTACTGAAGCCACTCTTGTGCATCAGGAGCTTCATAATGGAGAAGTAAAGGGAGGGGTAGATGTAGAGCAGATAGGAGAATGTGCAGGCTAATACAAAGGGAAAATTTAATATAACCTGAACACAGAGGAAATTTATATCCTTTCTTTGTTATATTTGTGCCGGGACTTTACCCACAATCTCTGCATATCTTTTGGTCTATAAAAATGTCTATTACAAAACACACGCCAACCCTTCCGCTTTAACACATCTCAGATGAAGTGTCGAGTTACACCAGAGCAGATCAGGCTGCAGCAGTGTCCAGATATCACTTACGGATCATCAGGGCAGGATGCAGCCGCAAAGCCCTTACACACTCTGAATCCTGCAGAGCGATGAAGAGATAAAGTGGGGGAGGATAGAAAGAGGGAAGTGAGGACAGATTCAAGAGAAGAAGGAAACAAAGAGGAATAGACTTTTGGCATTTTTGGAAACTACTTCATGAAAATTTTTTGATGGCAACGATTAACAAGGATTGCTTGAAATAATTTAGCATACTTGATATTGTTAAAGCTGGACTTAGAACTCATGGGAATCCTCTTTCATACTCTTCTTATTTCTCAAGACATGCCATTAAATTCAACGATAGAAAGACTTGTTGATATGCTGAGTAGGAGATGTGCAACTCACTGCAAACACAAACACAAGAGCCACCATGAAGACATTTCACAGAGTGTGGTCATTGAATTGATCTCTATAAACTGATTTCTGCATACAAGTGCCACTAACAGTCTGGTCAAGATGTTTAACTTTATTCTCGGATCTCAAGTTGCAACTCAGGCTGTTAACAATGACCTGGGAATGTAAAAGGAAGTCTTGCCCTGAGAGGCTGGATGGCTTTTCTTTGAAAGTTTGCTGGAGTCTGGAAATAGATATGTGTTCAGTCATATCTCTGAGATTCCCGTTAAACAGGATTCTGGTTGATTAGAGAAAATAGAGCCTTGAACAGCATGATAGGCAGAGCTCACTGAAACTGACCCAAGTGAGTGTTAGGGGTGTACCAATCAATTAAACATCAGTATTGAACAATAAATGCCCCATTGAAAGACTTTTGCTGAGTGATAGATGATATCCAATGCACTGATGTGAACAGCCAATCATTATCTGTATCTTGTTGTATCTCATATTTGTTCAATTGCATTAACTTGACATAAGCAAACCAGTACACCTGACTAATAATGATTTACAGCAATGATGCAAACTGAGAATCGCCAAAGCCCCACTGAAGTCTATGGAAGATGATGAGGCCACGAGAGAAAGGTCAGAATTTGGAGAAAACGGGTCAGACCAACTATGAGAGTAAAAAGTTTGACTTCTGACTTCAAAGTCACATTTCTATCAGAGTTCTGAGAGAAAAAAAAGTTTGAACTTTGATAGAAATGTGAGAATTTGAAGACAAAAGTCCATTCTGTGAATTCTGTAAATTCAGGGCTCAGAGAAAATTATTTAGAATTACAAGAAAAATGTCAGAATTCTTAATTTTGCCATCTGAGTTCAGAGTTTGAATTTACTATTCTGAGAAAGTGATCATTTTGAGAAAAAGTCTAAAATTTGACCTCAATGTCAGAATCCTCAGAAAAAAAACTGGGGGAAAACAAAATACACACCTCTCTCTTTTTTTCTCTCCCTTTTTTATATGCTCCTTATTGTCCTCCATACAAGTGTCCAAAGATGGGTAGATAATATTGTCTGTCATCCTTCTGGTCCAATTCCCGCAATGATGTCTTCAATCCCAGTGTCAGGCTTCAGAACAGACTCATCATATTTCTTGGCAGCTGTGTAAAATATTATTTATTATTCATTATCTGAGCTGGGTTTAACATTACTCCAAACTTACCTGATGTCACTCCAGTAACTTGAACTTTACTCTATAGCTTTAAACTTCTCTATGTTCCTAAACAGTGCGATATGCTAAGGGTTTGTAACTTTGATCTCAGTGGTCTGAAACTCTTGTGGTTGTTAGAGAAGTTTACACCAACACTACTTAGTACTCTGAGTTTACCATTCCTCTTTGTTCTGTTACTAAAGGTTTCACTTTGCGACTCTACAGACTGGAGCACCTCCATTAAGGATTCTTGATATGCAGAGTGCCAGTTGTTGACTGTATTGTTTGTTTATTTGCATTCGCAGTCCACACAGTTGATTTGGCTTTTTGCAGCACTTTTTTTTTTCATTTTCTCATATGCCTTTGAATTTGCACTGTTTGAGTATGTGCAGCATATTCAGTGAAGATCCTCTTTGCTGTTGCTGTATGCCTTCATCAGTCTCCGTACAAACGCGACAGAAAATGTCAGCTGTGTGGACGTATCACAACATTTCTGAGGAGGCTCAACAATTGGCATTTTATAAACCACGTTCCAGTGAAATGTCAAGAGATACTTAATAAAAGGAAAGCTTGAGAGGCACTACAAGTAAGAACTGAAATACATCAAACCTCATTTGAATTTGAAAATAAGTCACCAAGATCAGCAGAGAAGTAATGCAAAAAAACATCATCTGAATCAGCTGTTTGCTAAATTATTGTTCTAAACATCAGTGTCCTCCCTGATTTTCACAAATGGTGCATATCTGAATAATTACTGGTGGGCTAGATGTGAATCAAAGTTTGAGTTTGAGCCTTGCAGACTGAGTTCATGTTGCTTTAAAACTGGTTGTAAATCTTTTAGGTTTATGGAAGTGAACACTGGTTTCATCTGGACAGCTCTAACTCAGGGTAAATGTAGAAGGGAGACAGAGCAGTACATCGATCAAATCAATGCTCTACATGGCTCAATCAGGTTTAAATTCGTTATAGTTCATAAACGCTTGATTAAAAAGTAAAATTGGGGAAAGAGACTGCAGTTGCCTTTTTTCATTTGCATGAATTCATGTCAAGATACAAAAGTTGTTCGAAAATGTGTACTGCGCGTAGCACGAAGAAAGACAAACAAACTTTCTTTTTGATCACAATTCCTTCAGCGGTTTTAATGAAAATAAACTCTTTTTGTACAATACAAAACAAATAAATATCCATTTAGCCCACAATTCTCAGACATGCCTCCAGTCCTGCAGAGCGTTGTACTGTTGTTCGTTGGAATGTGCAGCAAAACACAGGATCAGAGCCGGCGTTGCATTCAGGATAGGTGGGAACTGTGAGCTTTTTTCATACCTACAGTTAGGCTAGTTGAGAGAGCATGCGCAAGCTGATCAGTCCTTTTACTCTTGAGGATTGAAGTGGCTCACAGTGCACAACTGTCTCAAACACCAACAGTACATCGTCTGCACAGGCTGCGAGTGCTGTCTCTTGACATTCTTTGATCCCTTTCAGGGGAAAACTTTGCGTTATCCAGGTGAAGCACAGGGGGGTTTCACAAAGTCCACCTGCTACTGTATGGCTTGCTAATTCTGCACAGGGGTCAGGAAAAGTTGAAAAAGTAGTGAGGATGACAGCCACACTGATTGTCGCTTGAAAAAAAAAAAAAAGAACATCTGATACAATCAGAAAATTCTCCCAATGAAAAATAATGTGTGGTTCTCACAGAAGTCACCTTACCCTGTTGAATCGATTTTGATCTATTTTTAGACTGAAGTTCAGGCCCAGACTCTAGACTAATTACAACCCCAATTCCAAAAATATTGGCACACTGTGCTGATTCCTTTGTTTACATTCAGTCTTTAACCTGTTGCAAATGCATCAGAGGGAAGTTAATTCTGGTGTTTCTTTAGCGTTGCCTGTCTGAACATTATTGAAACCTATTGAAGAAATAAAGATAAGCAAACTTTTTTTGGGAAAAAAGTAAAAGAAGTTAAATTTTCTTTTTCAAAATCACGATTGTCTACTATTTTAGGTTAAACTTTGGTTTTAAATCATTTGCAAACTTTTATCAACATAATTCAGTGTCCCAACTTTGACTGAATAGGGACTGTACTGTTATATTTTCAGGAGTACTGACAGCCGATTTAAACAGGGGAACAATGTATACATCTAGCCTTGAAAGACATTAAGCACTTAAAATCCTTTTTTTGTTTTTGTTTAATGAGAAAATCAGACGTTTTAGATATTATTACAGCCAACAATTCACTGACCATGTGCTGAATCTACTGCATCTGTCACCCTCTAGTGGACACTTGAAGTAAACCTCCAGGCAGACCAAGAGGTCACCTTTGTGAAACCCCCCATGTCAGAGTTAGTAAAACAGACATGTTTAACATATTTTATATACAAACTGATAAATATATGGGGAGAACAACACTAGTTTTTATTCCTCTACATTCATTTTACACAAGAGGTATTGACAATTGCCAGTAAAAACTCCAGCAAATGAAAAGAAACTTGTGTGTTTTGTTTTCTTATTAAAGCTGTTCACACAGAAGGTCTCACCATGGCCTTTCTTTGAAAATTTACAGATTCAACCAGCAATTTGCTGTACTCTCAAAGTGACCCTCTAAAACAGACAGGGAATTCACGACTTGGGGAGGCAGAATATAAAAATGTTATTTTGTCCACTAATTAACATGTTCATTTCTGCTAGCAAAAATATCAGATATTTCCAAAACATTCATTTACATATTAAAATGTGGAGTTTAAATAATTTTTTTAGTGTATTTGTATTTTTTGGGATGTGGTTCCATGTTATCAGGGCCACATGAACAGAAATACCCGCTTCATCCCTTACGCCAAAAAGTGGCTTCTTGGTTTTTTTTTTTTCCTTTTTTTTTTTTTTTTTATACAGTCAGACATCATAACAGTTTTCTAACCAGAGTAGAAATGAATGCCTCCTAAAGCAGGCCACAAGTGTACACAATTGAACAACGCAGGGAGTCTCGACATTAAAGTGAAGTCAGTTAATCTGTCTGAAGCTGTAGAAGGTTTACAGCTGTCCTCCGAATACAAAGAGTAGTCTGTGTTTTTCTTTTCAGGACTTGGATTTGAACCATCCAAACCTATTCAATCTTAGAAGCTCAACTTGTGTGTGCAATCATTACTGCAAACTGTCCGAATGTGCGTCTCTATGAAATAACCCAGAGTTATCTTTTCTACATTTAGCAGCTGAGCATACAGAGAGATGTTGCGGAGACAGGACGGTGTTTCAACAGCTGACATTCAGACTCCTGCGCTACCTTATTTCTAAGGAGAGGACATTCAAGAGGATTGGTGAGAGGTACTGCCACTGACAGTTCGTTGTACGGGTTCAATGTTGTGCTCAAGCAGCCATATGGAACTGTACAAGTGAAGATCTCTTATCCATAATAGTTGAAAGGATAATGACCTCCTCTGTCTCTCCACATGAGGAGTAGTTTTGAGTCATTTACAGTAATTCTGTGTTTTGAAGGAGTGACTCTGATTAAAATGCTTTCCCAGACAGTAATTCCATGTTTCAAGTGACTGGATGAAAATGGGTACAACGTTTTTGTATGACTTCCCCTTTTGTTGTGTGCATGCTATTCATATACAGTCGTGGAAAGAAATTTTAAACCACCCTTGTTTAATCAATTTCTTGTTCATTGTAATGCCTGGTACAACTAAAAGGTACATTTGTTTGGACAAATATAATGATAAAGACAAAAGTAGCTCATAAGAGTGTAATTTAAGAGCTGATATTGAGCTATTTTCTGTGGTTTTCTTGATAATAACCAAAATCACTGGAGTTCTTCCATCAATAGCTAAAGCTTTTAGTCATTCCATGTTTTCTCCTCTGTTTGTTGGTCACATGATACACACAGGAGTTAGTACTTGATTTGATAACCATTATTTTTAATGGTTGTTCTTCTGACATTGTTTTGCTGTCACAGCAGCCCATTCCTGTAGCAAAATTTCAAACAAATCTGCTTTGTTTTTGGGCCTGTGGATCTCTATTTTGAGTTTGATGATGTTCCACAGGTTTTCAATTGGATTTAGATCTGGTGATTGAGCAGGCCAAGGCATGGTTCGAATGTTTTGGTTCTCCATCCAGGCTTTAATTGACCTTGCCGTGTGGCAAGGCGCATTGTCTTGTTGGAAAATCCAGTCATTCAAACCAGGACAGAGTTTCTCAGCTGATGGAAGAGGACCGTTTTCAAGAGTAGCTCTGTACGTGACCTGCTTCATTTGCATTTGCCCTGTTCTACCCATACTGAAACAGCCCCGGATCATCAACGGTCCACCCCCATACTTTACTGTATGGGCAAGACCGTCTGGTTTGTAGGCTTCTCCAGGCCTCCCCCTAACCGGTGAGTTGGCTAGAGTGTACATCGACTCAAAATTGAATTCATCACTGAAGAGAACCTTAGCCCAATCATCAACAGTCCAATTCTTGTGATCCCGAGCAAAGAGTAACCAGGACTTCCTCTGCTTTTTGTTTGGCTTGATTTTTCTTTGTGTAATGAACAGCTGTCTTGGAGATCTTTAGTTTTTTTTTTGGCTACTTGTCTCCCTCTTATGCCAAGATGGCTGCCTTTGTGGCTTCACCCACCTCTTTTATTTTAAGCATTATGTTATAGCTGACAACTTCTGAGCTGTGCTATCTAAGCCTTTGCATGTGCAGTGCTGCACATGACATTAAATGGCCTCTTATATACCCTGGGAACACGTTAAGCTTGAGCGTGCCAAATGGGACATAAAATATTATGGAATCAGCTGCATTTTTAGTCACGTTCACTGTGTTCTTCGGTAATGCACCTTTTGTGGTATCAGGCATTAAAATGAACGAAAATTTGAAGAAAACAAGGGTGTTCTAATATTTTTTTTTCCATGAACAGTATATTCATGTTGTTTAAATATCCAGGGACCTGTTGTTTCTCTGTGTGAGTCCAGTTGTTTGGGGATGGATGCTTGAAGATTATGTCTTTGAACCTGAAAATGCAGAAAACAGGAAAGCTATTTATTAAATGGAAAGTTCTCTGATAGTCAAGTGTCATTTATGGCCGGAGATAAACACCTGGCTTCACAATACATTTCAAATATGTGTACATTTCTAATCTGGATAAAAGGTGATGGAGGCCATCCTGGGAACCTGCAGACCAAGCTGGCATGCTGCTTTAGTTGCATGTGAGCTATCATATAGGCAAACTCTAGCTCAGAGCACCAAATAATCCCCTTCAACAGACTACGTGGCAAAAAGTCCATCAAAATTTTTGTTTTGAACAAAAAGATGCTTGAGAATGCTGACCACATTTTTACAGTTTGCTAGACTGTAAACAAAGTTACTGTATGTTATACCTTTTATCACTGCTGATGTCCTGCTGTCTCTCCACAAGTCTCCTCCTCCATTCTCTCCTCCTCCTGCTCTACGTCCTCCTCCATCCTCTCCTCCTCTGACCTCCTCTCACCCTCCCTGGCTGCTGACGTGCTGCTCTGCCGTCCTCGTTGCCTCTGGCTGCGCCTGACTTTACGGGCGAGGCCTTTTCGCTTTGGCCCCAGGGAAAAGGGGGTCTGAGTCGGGGTTGTTGCTGGACTGAGGGATGGGGATAAGGAGGGACATGAAGAGGAAGGGGAGGAGGGTTTTGACCTGGACAGAGAGCTCTGGGCTGGAGAGGAGGGAGTTGCTGTGGATTGAGGGTGGCTGTTAGACGTAGATGTTATGGCTGCAGGAGGGTGAGTGTGTGAGACCGAGGAGGTGCAGTGAGTCTGGTCCTCTGTGTCCTCCTCCGGCTCTTCATGTAGGGCGACGGTGGAGGAATCTGGAGCTGCAGAGCAGCAGGCTGCTTCATTGTCAGCAGGACCTCTGGGAGGAGAGTCTGTAAAAGAGGGAGAATGTTACACAGTGATAAACCCATCAGAGAAATATCCCGTATGAAGTATGAAGATCTGGCTGGAAAATAAATAAATAGTAAACAAACAGTTTTGTGTCTGTGTTTTAGTCTTACCAGGACCACTGCTGGTCTGTGATTCATCTGTCATTGGAGGCTCCGCCTCCTCTTGAATCGTTGGTACAGATGCAAGAAGACCTGAGAGACACACACACAGACACAAACACATTTAACAGATTATCTTTAATCTCAGCTTTTAGCACTTCAACAGACTTTCCACTTTCTGACTTCTCCTCTTTTATTCAGAATGTATGATTAAAATTACTTAAAACGTCTGAAGAGCACAAGAGTGCCTGGGTTAGAGACGCCTTGAGGAGGATAAATATTGTAGCAACTGCTGAGTTTACATGATTGTTCTGTGTAGAAACACCTTTTTAAAGTTTATATGACCTGAAAAAGAAAAGACGCTTAACCGTTATTCTTTTACTGTACAGATGATTTGATGAAATTCAAAGTGGATTTTACATGAAGCAAACAAGGAAAAATAGAGGGAGGAGACTAAAGGGGGTTTGATGACTAATGCATTAATCACTGGATTAAATTAAACTAAATGAAATACATTTACGTCCCTCTGCCAAGAGAAGGTTACAGTATGTGTCACTGTAACAGCACGGTTTTATTCTGTGTAATCAAAATCCTGACAACGCGCTGCCAAAAATCCTCATATACTGATGACTAATAAAATACACCATCGATGAAAATCACAGCTCTTCACAGCCCATTTCAAACTGTAATCTGAACAAAACCTAGACCAGATCAGGTCAAGGATTGAGTGTGCTTTACTCACCCAGTTAAAGAAGAGTCTGACTCATAGCACTGAAAACTGGCTCTAGGTCTAACAGACCCAGTTCACCCACTAACCTTGCTTAGTGGTAGGGCTGGGCAATACAACTGTTTTGTTGATGAATTTTTATTTAGAGTATTTTTTTTATAAAAGTCTCGGTTGTCTCTTTAACTTCCTCTCCTTAGGCCTAGAAGCTCTAAGCCTTTACCCTTGTTTACTTCCAACAGAGACACACAGAACTTAGAAATGGTTTTTAGGGTCAGCAGAGCCCTCGAGGTTAGAACTGTTGTAGGTTAAGGCTAATTACTAAAGACAAGACTGATGATCCAGTTAGAGATGATATAATCAAGATATCATCTGAAACCTTAAATAAAGGTTCACGACCCTACGACTGTGTGCTCCTACAATCATTTACAGTGACTTTCCTGTCCTGCAGGGCGTGTTCAGGCCCTGTTAGATTTTTATTTATCCAAGAGTCTGTCGTTAGGTCAAACTTCAGATGACCCGTGTTTCCTGTGCCCCATTAAAACGTGAGTAACTATGTTGAGGTGTTGTAGACTTACTGAGTCCTCTGTAATGTGACAGCTGCTGGTAAACTTGTTTCATTCTCTCAATGTTGAGCCTGCTGCCCTCTGCGTGGTTGATCATAGGTTTGGGGTAGTCCACTCCCACCACACAGTTTGCAGCCTTCTGGACAGACTCTGGGGCGTTCCAGGGCTCATAGATGTACCGGTTTGGGTAGTCCTTCAAGATGGGGATGTAACGCCTGAGGGATAAATACACATAAGATCAAACCTTTAGAACCCAAATCTGCTTTCCTGAAGACTCACACAGTCAGAGTAGACATTGAGGACACATCCTTTATCTTGCAAATATTGACTTTATGAATTTTGAACTATTGAATTTCCCTTTGGGGATAAATAAAGTTCTTCTTATTCTTATTCTACAAGAACTAATGTAGTGTGGTGGGAGTTCCAGTATAAAGTCTACCTGATGTAGTCTCCTGATGGATCTGTTCTCCTTCCAAAACCAACCGGACAGTAGCAGTGGAAGAACTGCTGGAAGAAGGCACTGCACGACAGCCACATCCAGCTGCCAGCGTTTACACTCCAGTCTGCATCCAGCAGCAGCTCCTCAAACACCTGCACAAACCCACAGAAAAACACAAAATGACCGCCATCAGTGCACTGGACAGTTGAAATGCCAAGAGACGTAGTTGGCTCGGTCAAAGTGGAGCAAAGAAAACTTGAGAAACTGATGAATGAACCTTCATGCCGCTCTCCCAGCTGATCCACAGGTCCCCCCTGGTGAGGAAACAGGCCACGGAGTGTCGGGCCAGATGGTGGATCCAGCCCTCCTGCCTCAGCTGGGTCATTATAGCGTCAATCCAGGGGAAACCAGTTCGGCCCTCAGCCCACTTGGCAAGCGCCTCTGGGTTCTGGTCCCATGGGATCTATGTGTGACAGGGAAAACACAGAGGATTAGAAGATCAGGTAAAACAAGTTTTTATGGTTATTATACTAGGACACGGAGTATTGATTGGCCTTTTGTCTCACCTGTACACATATTGGGTTTCCCTCCATGCGGTCAAAGTTGGGGTTGTTGGTGGCAGCCGTGTAGAAGAACTCTCTCCATAACAATTGGCCGAACAGCGACAGGGGAGGACTGCAGCGCTTCCGCAGCTGATGGAAAAGTAGGGCAGAGAAAGAGAGGAGCGCTGTGATTCATAACGTTAAAAATGACTGTTTGTGGGATTTACAGTGAGACTAGCTAGAGCAGTACCTTCATGTAGAGCTCCCTGAGGTTGTAGTACAGAACTCTGCAGGACAGGCAGCCGAAGCGCAGGTAAGGGCTGAGGCCGGTAGGACTGGCGTAAAGTGAGCACATCTTCCCCTGTGGGTGCTCTAAGTTGGCCACCCATACCTACACACACACACACACAGAGAGGGAATTGGTGATTATCTGAGAGACATTGAAAAAATTACTGCTTTTGTTATTAATAGCAGTGAACTGACAGTCCTTGGGTTGAATGATTTCACTTTCTTAATTTAAACATCTGTTCTCTGTTGACAAAAACTCAGCATAGCCTTACACGCTACATGTAAGCTGTTGTTATCCAAAAACACAGCACTGTACTGTGCAAATACACTCTCTCTCTCTCTCATCAGTAATACTTACACATAAAAAAACAAACAAACAACGAATAGCATAAAAACTTAAAGCAACAGAGTGACACAGGAAATTGAGACAGCCACAAAACTTTAAGGAGCGATAATAACTTTCATTATCGTTGCTCAAACCAGAAATAAGTTACAATCATCTTACCTTTTTATCCAGATGCTTGTTGAGTCTGTCTAAGGCCTCTGACTCTCCTCCATGCCAGACAGCAGGAGCTAAACCCTCCGTCCTGAAACCTGCACACACAGTCACACAGAGACAAGGTCAAATAAACAGCAGCATTTCCCACCTGAAGTGGCCTTATCACCTGTTTAAGTGTACATTTAGAGTCTTTGAACTGCAGAACTATTATTGTTGACACTTTTTTTGAATTGTCAAGTATATCCCTTCAGGTGGCGGCAGCTGCATTAAGCTACATAAAGATCAAGGGACATCCACTTAAAAGTGACAGATTTTTAGTCCTGGATTTGGTGTTTTGGGTTCTTTGCGAGACACTTGTTACATGCAGTAGTGTTGAAATACGAGTAAAATCAGACTGTAGCTCATGAATCTAACCACATCTGCTCTTCGATGTCACTCACTAAATCTGAACAACAAAACGAAAAAAAAAGATGCTGCACTTCCTATTACTTTTAGGAGTTTTAGAAATGTTGGATTAAAAAAAAAAAGTCTAAAAACCAAAAAAGTCACGTTACCTAGTTCTTCCAGTGAAGGTATACTATATAGCTGGTCATGGTTGTCAGCTATCTTCGTACTACATTTGTCCATCTGCTGCTGGTTGATGGGAGGCAAAGGTCTCCTGGGCAACTCCAGTCTGCTCACTATGGTCTGAAAGCGCTTAAAGGTCAGAGGAGGACTGTTGTTGTTCATCTCTATTATCCTGTGATCAAGAAAGAAAAGAGAGAATCAGCATCAGCATGGATCATGAACAACAGTAAACACAAACATGGATGCAGTATATATATATATATATATATATATATATATATATATATATATGCGCTAAACTTCAATTACCTGTCTTTTTAACAACACTTAATGTGTTTGTCTGATGGAGATGGAAATTCGTGGTCACCAGAGGATGAATCCTGACTACATTTTTGATCTCATGTCTTTCCTGAGGTTGTCATTAGTGCTTTAGATTAAAAAGGGCTCTAAAACCATTTGGTGGATTGATTTAGAGATGACTGTCCTTCTCTCAAAGTGCTGCTCTTTACCCGACCTCTCTTATTTTTTAACAGGACATTTTTATTAATCTACAGTGCTCTGTCAGATGCCTTTTATGTAACCTTGAAAATGTGGCTGCTTCCTTCCACCTCTGCTCTCTGTCAAAGACACAAAAAGGTGGAATAAGGGAAGAGCATCTCCCACCTTTAAGCAAGCAGCAAAATCTGTCAATCTAGATCTGATGGCTGTTTAAGATTAGACGACAGGATGTGTGGGACAGGGGTGAGACATTTAAAAGGTAATGATATGCATGCAACCAGCAGTGACTACTTAGTCAGTCAAGACATAAAAAACGAACAAGAGCACAACTTGTTTAGAAAAACAAGGTCAAAGAGCTTCTTAGAAAATCATCTGCCATAAAACAGGCAGTGTAAAGAACAGTGTCTGTTTGATAAGCTCCTCAGCTGCCCTGTTTATATCGTAAACTTGAACCAAGCCAACACTTTTATGTTACACACAGCAGCCTATTGTGAAGAACGTCTTTGAAAAACGAAAACATCATAAACATGACGGTACAGCTGTGGTTTGATGTTCGCTAATCATCTAGATTCTGTCTCTAAGTGGCCTCAGACACCAGACTCCTAAACAGCTGGTAAGTGCACTGCAAAAATAAATAAATCAATCATTTTAAAACATGTCATATGTTGTCTTTGTACCAATTTAGAACAAATAAAGGCCTTGAATAGTTTGCAAACCATCAGAATCTGTTTCGAGGAACATTTTATATAATGTCCCAACTTTTAAAGAATTGGGTTTGTAATCTGTTTGGGTTGGAGTTCCTTTAAATGAGCTGAATCATGTGGTCGGGTTGATCCCGTCTGTAGTGGTTGATAGCTTGGCTCCCATGCTGCTCCTCTGGCAGGTTCTCAACAAAGGAGCCAAGCTGATCAAGATCCCCTGTGGGTGATCCACTTAGTATCGACAAGGACCTCATACAACCTCACTACTAAATAAAAACCTATCCCCTTCAAAGGCCGGGTGTACAAGTTATTCTTCATGCAAAAGTGTTAATTTTCAAATAGAAAACCAAAAATGGATGAGAGTTTTTGAGGGTAACACAACTGAAGAAATAGAACTTGCAACAAAAAACTTTGTGTTACTTCAAACAGGAAGATTATCATCTGCTCATTATGTCCTCCTCTTGGGTTTTGCTTTCATTCATGAATTTGGGTTATTGATTTTAGTATTTTCAAAGTCCACCACAAAGCCCCTTCAGCCCTGCAAGCACAGCAAATGACTTTGACTCACACGTAAAAGGGTCCTGAGATCATTAGCAAGAACTCAGGATTAACATCAATACTTTCCCTCAATATCTAAAGATTACCAGCTAAGATAAAAAGGTAAGACTGCAGAGTAAACAGTCAGGCTTATATCCGCAAACCTACTCCAGCTGAACCTGCTTAAACATGTGAAATACCTCCAAACTGATAGCAAACCATTTTTAAAGAAACACATTTCAACCTGCACTGCTCCTTATTAGACGGTGCAGGTGACAGCGCAGCTCTGTATTTATAGTTTTTATCTTATACAACTTGTCTGTATCTGGGAGGCTGCTCTGGTTCTTTGGTTGGTGGATTTGCAAAAAGCAAAGTATCCCATTGGTCAACTGACTGCGGCAACTATGTCTTAGCATGGTAAGCTGAGCACATGTTCACCACCACCAATATAAACCCTGCAGCAGAGCATGCACACACACAGCTAAGCTCCCCTCTGCTGTCTCGTCCACTCATTCAGTATTCTTACATAATATATTGGAATATTGCGAGCCTGTTTGTGTAATGTGGTGCCGTAATGCTGTGTCAGTCAGAGTGCCCTCTGTATAGAAGGCAGTACACTGAGGGCTGTATACAGGGAAAGTCCTCTGGCACTCCTTCCACTCTTACTCATTTCGCCTGCCTATTCCAGCACATGGACAGGGGTGTGACCCGCAGTAACATGACACGACCACCAGAGGGCTCTGCTGTGCCAGATCTTCTATGAAGGCATTCAGGTTTTATAACAGCTTCTTGTTTGAGGCGGATTATAGATGACTTTTAGAAATGACAGAAAAACTCACAAACTGACAGCTGTTCCTGTTCTCATGAAACCTTGCACATTTATTGGTCCAGCATTTATTTCTGGGCCTGTCATGTTATTTTTGAAGCTTTTTTAAATTCTCTGCATCGACTACAAATCGATCCAAAGTTTTTTCACAGGTTACAAATCTGCCATTGATGGAAGTATTGAACATGTACGGCAGTTTTTAATAAATTGGACATATTTTGCCATCAAATTATTCTGAATAACACAAAATATATCAAATTTACAGTAAATGTTTTTAAAATTATTTTGATTTGCTTATTTCATTGAGCACAGTGCAGAAGTACAATGCCTCTAAAAGGTTAAAAAAAAAAAAAAAAGTCTATTAGGTGACAAAACTGACTGTTTTATACTGTCAGTTTTCATGTCTCAATTCAGTGCAAGAGGGTAGGCTTCTCTAAGCAGCTACAGAAAATAGGTTTTTTTTTTTTTATTTACACCAGATAAATTCACAACAAGTGATTTCTTCAACCATCACAAGTCATCAGGATGAGGATTTTCAGCTTGCTGTTCTACTCAAGGAAGTACAAAGACTGTTTTGCCCACAGAAGGCTTAAGTTTTCACAAACCCAAAATTCCTCACAGGAGCTTGATGCTTACTTCAGTGTTGTTTTCATCACACAACAACAATCTTTTATAGCGAGATTATGACCGTGCTCTGCCACATGCACATTTAGACCAACTATTTTTCCACATGCCGTGTTATCGAGGAAAGACAAACAGAGGGAACACAACACAGAAGCTTGAGCTTTGGCTGCCAAGGCCATTCATTCGTGCGATTCATTCTTTAAACTCAAAATAAACAGACAAGGATTTTGACAGCCTTCGATGGCCTTTGAGTGATTTTCATAAAGTTGACCTGTTTGGTTTAGTCTACTGCAGGGCTTCTCTGACAGAGATTAAGTACCACTAATTTATTTATTTGTTTTACAATGTTAGGAAAAGTGTCAGCTCAAATGAGTGACTGGTGTACAGGTCGAGACACATTATTGTCATTTTTTCTGTAGAGACAGCATTCCCAAAACCGTACGACGACAAACACAACAAAATGCCAACAAGTTGTTTTTAAAGCCTCTTTTGCAGCACATGCCCTCCACTGAGCAATAAGAAACTATAGACAGTAACACTTTAGAATAAATATAAATATACTTCTACTACTATTCCTATGCCAGAATAATAAAGACTTTTTAGTGTGTGTGTGTGTCAGTGCTTGTTACACACCTGTCTAGGTTGTAGAGGGTGTGTGAATTTCTGACAACGGTCTCCACTCCAAACTCTTGCGCCATCTTGATGATGGCCCCATCCCTCTCCTTCCCATAAGGCTCCGGGTCGTATTCAAACGTCAGCCTGGTCACTTTCCACTCCTGCAGTGAGGGACAGAAAACAAAATTAGATTAGATTAGATTAGATTAGATTAGATATTAGTTTATTCATCTCTCAGTGGGGAAATTATAATTGTTGACAGCAGCAGTACACGCAACACACACATTCACACACACCGGGTAAAAAACAAATAAAGATCGAAGAACTTGTGCAAAATAGAAGGAGCAGTTCATCGAGCAGGACTATGTTTGTCGTAGTACATCATCACCATCTTATCATAAGACAAGTAACCCGTGGTTGGTCTACTTCCTCAGTGAAGTTCAAAATAAGACTACATTTGTCAAAGTTCACCATCTGCAAAGTTAGAGCTCTTATGTTGCTTCCTGTACTATGACTCAAATGAAAAACAACAACATACCTGACAAAGTCTCAATCTGACAAAATGAGGGTCAACAGCTCAGACTATCACTAACCGACTATCACAGATGAAGAGTGCTTTGGTCTGCATCTGAATACTCCTGGTGGATTTTAAAGCAGTCAAAACCTACTAATCCCTGTAAAGAGTCAAATAAACCAGTCCATGTTTGTGGGAACATATTCAGACAAAAAGGTCGATCCGAAAATGGTTGAACTGAATATTTCTGCAAAAACTTGTTTTTTTTTTTTCCTTATTGAGAATTCCTCCTCACGGTGATGGTGATGTGGTGATGTCCACTAGGGAGACTGCTCAGATAATGTCATCATCATCATCACTACTCTAATTTGTATTTCCTAAATCAAGATTTGGGGTAATAGTCAGGTAAATCTCATCAAACCTGCTGACTAAAATGATCATGTTCTTTGTCTGGTTCCAATGAAAAGCTGCAGACTATTGAATTTCCTTAGAAAACTGGAGGTGTGTTATATAAAAGGCCGTTGTATGGACATGGTGAGTGCCTCATAGCTCCTCCCTGCCTGTAACTAAATCCCATCAGGAAATCTCCTCATAAATGTTAACACTGTCAGCTTCTGCTTTAAAACAACTCAACCTGCAAACTATGACACTTTAAAGTAAATACAGTTATGCGAGTTACATGAACTAAACCACAAACAACATGAAAGCCGACGTCATCATGTTTCATTTCCTTTTGCAGCGAGAAAATGTCAAATAAACGTGCGTGCGTTTATGTCATTCTAGCATCATTGTTACTGTTGTCATGGATACCTGCAGACAGAAGGGGCCTTGAAAAGGTTAAAAAAATATATACAAGCCTGAAACAGGAAGCAAAGAGTTAAAAAGCAAGAGCTGTGCATGCATAAATAAGATGTTGTTTTAAAAAAAAAAAATCCTTTAGGCAGCTGTTTTGCTTTATAACTGAACAAATGAGAGAATTTAATACTTTATATACACCGATACTTGCAACTCAAATTTGTAATCTGGTTGTTAAAGTTATCAATGATTTGTTGTACCTGCTGGTGGGAGAAGTTGGAACAGGTTGGGTCCAAAGTGTGAGAGAGCTGCAGTGATTTTAGGGCCTGTTTCCTGACACTAGACCTTTGTAAATCCTTAGCAGAGGGAATCCTGAAAACTCACAGTACTTTATTCCTGTCCTGTTTGTTATCAGATCCAGCCTGGGCACCGAAACTAAATCATGAAAAATGATGCATTGCTACGCATTTCTCCTGCAGACACTTATCAGTTAGATCATGAAATGAGTTTTCCTTTAAATTACCAAGATAATTTCACGACAAATTGGTGCCTAAAAATACCTAAGCAAACAAGTCAAGACAAGAAGGTGCTTGACGCTCATAATTTCCATGGGGAGAAACAGACTGAGGCCAGACAGAAGCAGAACATTCACACCTTGAAGATGGGTACCAGATGTTTTTTTAAGCAAAGGGCTGTTGCAAACTTCTATTTCAAAGCAGGATGTTAGGAACCGTGTAACACCCCATCTGCGATAAGTAACATATAGAGGTGTACTGGTGGGGCAAAGTTGACCCTCTCTTGAAAGTATGGCAGAGATAGCATTGTGGGAAGATTGTGGAGATGTTAACAGCTGTGTCAGCAGGACAGGACAGCACTGTGTGTTTACAAGGAATGCTTCTTGTACCATCCCAATACCATAACGGAGAGTGAAATCACACCTGGGACACCAACATTAGGGCCACTGACTTCAATGGGCAAGAACAGATGTAGTGATAGAAAAGCTTATTAGGGGGCTGTTGCCAAGTAGCATCATGTAAGGGTGTGTTTCAACCATGAAGTCTGATTTGGTGCTGTACCGTCAGAGCATTTATTTGCATTTTTATCGTCTTAAGTTGGGTTAGTGGGTACCCTGCTGTTGGGGTACCAAGCATTCTGATCTGACAAAACAACCATGAGAAAAAATAAGTAGATGGACGAAGAGATTTAACTGAATTATTTCCCTCCTTGCCTCTTTTTTTTTTCAAGAGTCTGATATGGAAACAGAAGCAAGATTTTTCTGCAACAAACTGTAGTAAAGAAAACAGCGCCCCTTGGTGGAAATGCACCTTAAAAAAGGGATATTCCGGCGTAAATTTAAGTTATGGTCGAAGATACAGTAACAATGAGTTAGACACCCCCTTGAGAGATGAATGTTGCTTCTTTAGTTATACCAGCTTTGGTAACGGTACCAGTGATAGCAATACACAGCGGTCTACGTCTCCAAAAAGCCCCTCTATAACCACAAATAATGCTCAGAACAGCACCTAACTTCATCAACAGTACATATAGGGTCCCTGCCATGGTACTAGCCACCTAACATCTTTTTAGCTTTGCCTGATTTCTTTAGCAAAGAAACCAAACACAACTCACCTACTCTCTTCCAGCCCTGACGAGTCGATCACTGAGTGCAGGGGATCATTTCCATGAAGTAATAATCATCATATTAATCATTTTGCACTGCAGATACGGTACTTCTTCCGTCTGATTGCATTTTGATGTAGTAATGATCTTAAATGTTCTTCCTTGAGCTGTGAAACTCTGCTGCACTCTGTGGGCTCCCCCACAGCCAAGCGGCTGCTGGAAGAGAGTGGGTGAGTTATGTTTTGTCTCATTGCTAAAGAAATCAGGCAAAGCTAAATAGATGTTTGGTGGCTAGTGCTATGGCTGGGACCCTATATGTACTGTTGATGAAGTTAGGTGCTGTTCTGAGAATTATTTGTGACCATAGAGTGGCATTTTGAAGACGTAGACCGCTGTGTATTGCTATCATGTGGTCGTTATTAAAGTTGGTATAACTAAAGAAGTAAGCAGTCTGCAACATTTATCTCTTGAGGGGGGGTCTCACTCAGTGTTACACTGTGTTTGACCCTAACTTAATTTTAAGACAGAATATCCCTTTAAGGCCTGGGGCAGAAGGGAGGGGTAATTTCTGGCCTGGAGATCTTTGATCTCTGAAGCAGCTGACAAACGGCTTCTTCACAGATTCTTTTGGGGGTTTAGAGGAGGAAAGGGTGAGTGGATGGTAGGGGAGGGTGAAGGATTATAAAACCTGCTGTAAACCTAGTCACTTTGTTTGCCAGTGAATGATTCTCCACAGCACAGGGGATGGTTTTTTGTGTTAGTGGAGTTCCTAAGGTACCCCCATAGAAGGCTTGTTATACACTCAGCTGCTATTTTCTTTACACTGGATTAGACAAAATGACATAATGCTTCCCTTGTGTTTGATTTTACACAACATGAAGACAAATTGATAATATGCAACACATTGCCATCTTGTATTATGTACAACACATATTGGACAGAGAAGAGCTAAAAAAGTCCTTGTTGTTCACACTAACTGTAAGAGTGCTGTACAAACTGAATATGCCACAGCCCTGCCCATACACACAGCATGTGCTCTGCGGCTAACTCAGCTGCCTGTTAAAAGGTGGTCTGACAATGACCTCATTTTGCTTTTGTTCACTTTACCCATGATAGAGAGGAGGGATAAAGGCCCAACATTCCTACTAGAGAAAAAGCTGCAGAAGAGGGGTCAACAATCTTAAACCCCTTCAGTCATGTGTTAGATGGTTATTTGGTTCATGTGGGGCAAAATGTTAACAGGGTGCACATGGCTGTTTGATGATCAGTGGGTGAGGGGTGGACAGAATGGATTTTTGTCCTTATTTGTAGGTTTGTTTGTTTTGTAAAATGGTGCATTACATTAGTTTAGGAGGTGACAAGTCAAGCATTGCAGGAAGGCCAGATTGGACTCATCTACTACTGAGCCATGCTGCTGTTCTCAAAATGTAGTTTGGCATCTTCTTGCTATATTATGCAAGGTCTTCCCTGAATGAGGCATTGTCTGGATGGCAGTATATGTAGCTCCAAAACCTCTTTATACCATCCAGATATGATTGTCTGTCGTTCACAGTGGTTTTTAGATGCGATTTTGAGGCCATGCAGTAATTTCCACTCCAGAGTCATGTCCAGTTTTAATGAAAAGCTGTCTGAGGGTCCTTAGATGAGGTGTAAGTTACTAATTTGTACCCACAGGTATGTCAGTTTTGCAGAAAGATGAGTTTCACAACCATCAAGTATTGATTTAGGGGCCTGGTCCCTTCTGTATAGAGATTTCTTCAGAGCCTCTGAATGTTCTGATGATAGTATGTACTGTAGATGATAAACGCCACAATTCTTTGCAATTTTATGTTCAGGAAAATAATTTTAAAATTGAACTATTTCCTCATCCAGCCTTTCACAGAGCGGTGAACATTTTCCCATCTACACCCAGCAGATATCTTTTTTCCCATGTTTCTTTTTTGTGCACTAGCTCTTAAACCTTTGGTGTTTGGCTTTGAGTGTGCGTGTTACAATCCTTTACACGAAGAAACAGGTGATGGGTAGGAGTACAAACCTTTAAAAGCCTTGGAAAAACATCGGTAGGTTGTCCTCGGACGACAAATAATCTGGAGTTGAGTTTCTTCAGACTGTTATCCAAGTCCTCCAGAGCCTCCAGCAGAAACCTGCACACAGACACACACCCATTAGCACAGTGATAATAGAGTGCAGTTATTTCTGTGCAACCACTCACACTGGATGCTTTTTAATCAAACTGAATAATAAATAGACAAGTGCAATGGAGAAAGAGCAGAGTAAATGGGGGTGGATGGTTCACTCAACTGTAGTACCTGTTGCACTGTGCGCAGCTCCTTATGAGCTTCCTGCAACTCTGTTTCTTTACCGTTACTTTCAATGAAACTAAGAAACCAAAAATACCTTAAAAAACTCAGCAACTCTATTTTACTGACTGAAATTTTACAATGCATTTACATGGCAAAAAAATTAAATAGTGGCATAGCTTTTGTTGATTTATATCTACAAACATTATGAAGGTCTTCATCAGCTGAATAAAACAGCTATGGTCATGATTTACAGCTTTTCGTATGCTATGTCTATTTATAGATTGAACATCTGATTGATTTCTGTCAATCACTGACAACAGAATCAATTGTTTGCTCTAAAATTGAGATTTCTGAAAATATTTATGTGCACACTGATCCATTAGGGCCCCAGTAAGGACAGAGACTTCTGTACGAGGGTGTCTTTCATGAGATTGTCCCGAGGAACATGTGAAAAAAGACACTGATTAATTTCAGCTGAACAGGAGAAGGCGCTCAATAACATTGTCTAAATCCACCCCTATCATCTCACAGACATCTGCCTTCCAGGCTTCAGGCTGTATTTTGTGGCTGCTGATATCTGCGGATCATGGTTTACAGTCTGGTCAGCAACTTGAGATACAAGAATGAGTTTGGGTTTGTGGGACAATATCTGTCGCTGGTTTGTTATCTACATTCTTGTACAAATAATTGATTATCAATTGTGTACAGAGAATCCCTTCTGTGTAAGGGGACAGATTTAGACCCTCTCAGCTACAAGTCAAAACCACAACAATCCCAACACCAAAAGTGGTGTCTTCTTCATGTGCAAACATTCATATGCACATTTTTCTCATAGCATATAATCTGATATCAACTAGTTGTCCTTCCTCACAGACAGTGTGAAGTTGCACACATAACAATATTACACTTTGTTGACAAAATGACTGAGATTGTTTGCTATGCCTTCAACACAGACTGCTTGAAAGGGTGTGTTTAACTCAGATCTGTTTTTTTCCAAATTCTGATACTTAGCTTCATTTATAACAGACCATATTCTATCTATCACAAATGTGCAGGGCTGTTATATAAATTTACATGAGTGTCCAACCATCTAATGAAATAATGTTCAGTTTTGGTAGGCAAATAAGCAAATAATACAGATGGCTATGGACTACAGGAGGGAACACTTTTTCACTGCTGTAAAATACTGGATTACTCTTCTAAATGACAGCCTACCAAGTATGTATGTAACACAAACTCAACAGGGCTTCTTTCAACTGTGCTGCTGATTGAGTCAGTCCCTTCAGAGAAGACCATTATCATGAGTAAGAGGGTGAGAAATGGCGCTCTGTCTGGTGACCTCCTATTCTTTACCAAACATACTAACAAAACAGCTTCACACATCGATGCTGTTTATAAAAGACATATGTGGTGTAACATGAATGGCACTGGATGTTTCACAGTAGATACTTTTTCCCCAATTATATCTTGATTAAGACAATTCTTGAAATGCATACCAACACTGCTGCTGCTTTTTCAGTATAAACACAGGCCTACAAAAAGTTCTTTTAGATATTTCAACACTTTTGTTTTTTTTCTTTACAACATATCAATGCATTCATTGTTGGAGGAGCCAAAGCAACATGTTAGCACAGAAACTATCTTTCAGCTTTTTCATATGTAGATATTCACATTTTTGTTCTGTGTGCAAAAACCTAACAGTGGGTCATAAAAACAAGCCTATTTGATTACAATCGTGAAATTGAAAAACAAAATGATAGACTGACCACTAATACCAGTAAATAGGCAGATAGGCTCCTTTCTGACGACAGGGCCGATATAGCCAATGCTAAGCCAATGCAACGGAGCACCTTACTATTGTAGCAGAGTGTATATATTTCTTGGCTCATGGCCCTCTTATTAAGAGGGGAGTATAACTTCAAAATAAATAAAAACCCACACAAGCAGAAAACATTTTGCATTTCATTCTGTGGGGTGAGACTGTGGAATGGTATGGGTGAGGAGTTAAAACAATGTCCAAACTTAAAACAGTTTCACACAAAATATAAAGAATATGTTTTCACAGGATACAGAAACGTATATCCATAGTAACTATTATCATTATCATCATTGTTTTGTTGTTTTCATTATGGGGATTATTTTTATTGCTATTATTACTATGATGATTAATATTATTATATAATATTATGCTATATATTTAAACCATTAGTGTAGGAAAAGGGGTGGGACTAGATAAGTCTCGTCTTCTTCCCATTCCTTTTTTTACTTGAATAACTTTTTGTCATTTGTTGTCGTATTCTTTACTTTTTTTATTGTTATTTTTTTAATATATATTCAAAACAAACTTCAATCAATCAATGTACGACTTAAAATCCTTTCTGTCAGCTAACACATTACACCAAAAATGACAACTAACTTGCAATGTCACCAATATTCTGTTATTGTAATGAGTATGTTATTTAAACAGCACATAAAATTGGAAGTGTCAAGGGTACTTCAAGTTTACTAGAATAACTGTTAAACAGCTCAATAACATCATTCCATCTTCCATATATATTAGGCACGCACCATATATCAGCTCACAACGACGTTAGTTATCGTATTTATTCAGGAACTACTTGCACACCAGCTTTTACGTTTAGATGTGACCCTTTATGTCAAAAGACATTTTTTTTATTATGAAATCTGAGCCTCAGAGCCTCTATAGCATTACAGCCCCCATGTCCACTTCTGCGCCATTCAGTTTTATATAATTCAGAATCAACCGACTGCTTACATAAAAGGCAGTTTTCACACTTAGCTGTTACTACCATGACTCTTGACGACATTTATTAGACTACATACTCAGAAGAAAGAGATAAGCGATGGTCAACATCAACATGGCGTTTGTATTTCTCTCTGTAGCTTTAGCCGTCGCACTTATATATCCAGCACAGAAGCTAACATCCAGAAGTTAGCTTTCTTGCATAACACAAGAGCGTGCAACTGGTTGAGCATGAAAAGTAACATGGTCTTCCTTTAAAGCTACACATCATTTCCAGACACAAATCGTACTATTAAATTGTCCGTCTGTGGTGCTTGACACTATTTGGGCTAATAGTTAGCGCTAACAGTTAGCATCTGCTATCTGACGTGGAGTGGAGGCCCAAGCCTTAAATCCAACTGCTGCAATATTATTAGGTAACGAATAAAACAAAAAACAGCCCGGAGATACGTTTCAATGTTATTTTTTTTATGACAGACAGTTCCTAAAAGCGTCCCAGAAGCGTACTGGATTAGATAAAACGCCTTACCTCCATCGGTTGATTCCCACGTTTGCGGCGCCAGCAAACCACGGGTCTAAGATATAAACACAGCGCACCGTGTCCGCTCCATTCAGGGCCTCCTGCAACGCCGGATTATCGTGTAAACGCAGCCCTTTGCGAAACCAGTGCACAGAATTTACCACCATGATGATCTCTTATTCCATCGTTAGAAGAAAAAATGCAAAGATCGGTCGAAATGAAGCCAAAAATCCGTTGATTTACAGGCAAAAACAGCTACTGTTTAGGAGACTCCCGAGAAACTTCACTCGCTGTCAAACGAAAACCAACACTGAGGGGGCGTGGACAGTACACCGTGTGAGTGTTAGATGTTATTATCCCTGAAACTGATCGCTGATTGGACAGACGGCCCAGCGTCAGCTTGCATTATAAAACCAAAGGGACTGTGATTGGCTGATTGACAAATGGTAGCGCGCAGTACAGTAGAGAGGAGCAGTGTCACGTTTGTGTTTGAGAGCAAAGTCATGCTACGTCTGATAGCGCCATAAATGTGATATAACCTCTTTTTATATGTATAACGTGCCTGCAGTACAATTTTATTATAACAAAGACCCTTGTTTTAATCGCTTTTATGCCTTTGAATGCTTTGTACATGCAATTTTCTCCCACCTAATGCACAAAAAATAAATTTTTAAAACTTTATAGCTTGGTTGAAATTAGCCTGAATATTTTCAATGGAGCAGTAATAAAATGCAAAAACTGAAATATGGATAACCAGTTCAGTGATGTTTTTGCAGTGTTACATTTACTAACTGTTACATTTAAGTTTCTAATGGATAGCGTGAATGAAGTTCAATTTAATTTAATGGAACTGAGTTTGTCAACTCTTCTCTGACTTGCTTGACTTAAACACTTTTTGAAAATAAATTCAAGGCCAACCATATTTTCTTGTTTATTTGTTGCCAGCAACTTTCAAATAATCAATGAAACTGTTCATTAAGTTCCAATGAGGAACTCTCTGTTTGTGTTAATTTTGGCAGAGCTTTTGTGAGTCATGTCATCTGTCTTCCTCAAACATTCAAACTTAAAACTAACTGAGGATGTTTGCAAGGGGGAAATTATTTATAAAAAGACATTTACTTCTGCAGGCTGTCAATCTTCTGTTCTGGCATTTCCTCACAGGGGTTACAGGCATTCATAATTACAATAAAGACACTGTCAACTTGCTGTTGATGGTTTTTGTTTGCTTTTTATAAGTCCTTTCAAAAGCATTGTTAATTTTAGTCTGTTCCATAACTGGCTAAACACTCCTCACGGGAGCTTTTGCACTCTGGATGATGGGTGATGATTTGTTCCTCTTTATTTTTGCATGATGATGTTGTTATTATGAAGTTTGAGGTATAAAATGTACAATTTAACAGAGTGCACTTCAGAAATAAATGAAGTCTGATGGAAATTTCCCGATAAACAAACTTAAACCAAGTAAAATCCAGGATAAAAATCTAGTTTTAGGACAGTGACTGCTGTTGTTCACATCTAGTCCTGTTGATAAATATGCAGCCTGAACAACAACATGAAAAACTTGATGCATCTTCAAACTAATAATCTTATCTAATCCTGTTTGGAAAATTAAAATTTGTCCTGTAGGATTTTAAATTCTTTTTCCCATGCTTTTTCAGATACATGTACTAAATGTAAACTTAGAGCATAAAACTAATCTGATTGGAATAAAAAGATTGATTCTGTTGTCATCCTCTGACAAAGACAGAAACAAGAGTATTTCAGTTAGATGGTCCTTGTCAAAAGAGGTTCATGCCAAAACTTCCTTTGAGAAGAATCAGTGCTGACAGCTGTTCCTAATTAACACCAATTAACCAGGGCTTGAGGACCCTTTAAAAGAAGCTCAGAGTCTCATGAAGACATGGTGGCCAAGCTTTGCTGAAAGACATTGCGCCAGTGACAGGTATGTTTAAATGTTTTTTTGCTTGTTTTCTGGCTTATCCTTGTATTGATAGAAAATAATGTTTGCACTTTTAATTTGCAGCTTCTTGGAGGCAACTGAAGACCAGATAGATCTTGAATTTAGCCATTTACCAAACAAAATGATGTAAGTAGATAAATATGCTGTAATGTTATGTTGTTTTTGTTATATAAGACCCTGTGATCTAAACTTAAAGGAAATGTGTCTGCAGGATTCTGTGGATTTCATGTCTGCTGATTGGAAGCATCTCCTGCAGCCCTGTATGGAAAGGTAAGATCATTCTAAACTTGAACACTGTTGCCTCTGCTCTTACAATGAATAAATTGACCTTTCCCCCCTACTTTTCAGCTGAACAATCAGGCAGTCAAGGTCTGGCAGGCACAAGCAACATGGCACCATCATATCCTGCATCTTGGGGTTCAGGAGGAGTGGAGAGTGCTGGTCTGAGCAGCAGCTCCTCAGGTCTAGCCAGCCCAAACTATGTTGCCTCCAATGCTGGTGCTGGTGCTGGTGGCTACGGAGGCTCTGGAGTTGTTTACAGCAACCCTGCAATGGCTGGAGGAAGCGCTGGGGGCTATGCAGGTTCTGCTGGATTTGGGGGTGCTTATGCCCCCTCTGCTAGGTATGGAGCTGGGGCTTCCAGTGGAGGCTATGGTGGTGCTCATGGAGGATATGGGTATGCCTCAGCCCCTGAAGGTGCCGGCTCGAGCTCTGGATCTACTGCTTATGGCAGTGCTGGAGGTGAAGGTTCAGCAGGGCCGATCTTCAGTGACGTGTCTGATCTGGATCCAGTCTACGCCTTCAGTTCTCGTTCACGCTACCAGAAAGGAAGAGCAGTTTTTGCCCAAAGCCGCTACACCCCAGGAGAGGCTCTTGTCCAACCCATGCCCATTTACAGACCAGTCATCAAAAATCCAGTCATGATCAGCATTCCTGTCCAGGAACCAGTGAAAACCATGCCTGTTCAAGCTCCTCAGGTTCCAGTGAAATATCAAACTAAAGGAGGCTACTAAAGATCTCACTGGTAAGAAGCAAATGTCTAAACGATTTTGATAGTTAAAATTCTCTTTGCTAAAGCTTGTTTGGTTTTTTTCCTTGCAGGTCTTGACTCTAGTGATGACTCGGTGCTGTCATGTGAAAGATGCAAATAAACTGACTTGACTAAAATCTGTTCTTGCCTAGTTTCTGTCATTGGTGCAACCAATTATGAGATTTATCTGTTGCCAGTCTTAAAAAAAAAAAAAAAAAAAAAAAAAAAGAAAAAAAGGCTGACTTATGGGTGGCCGGATACAATTTTTACTTCCAATATTGTAGCCTTCAGTATTGGCACAAACTTGTACATGACAAGTTTTGCACTCGGCTGCAACTTTTTTCGGACTTAAACAAAATGCTGCCACATGTGTAACGTCACTCCTTGCTACTTTTGTATGTACCTTAGAGCGCGCGTGCACACACTGTTGTGATTACGTGGGTTCTGCATGCTAGATCTGGGTGCTATTAGATAGAGGTGCCTGAATTTAGCTGTCTGAGTGCTTAAGTGATAATTCATTAAATACTAAACCGATCAAGGTACATCTTGGTCATGGCTGACAGATGAGCGAAGATATTACAAGGTGCACACACAAATGTTCAAGTAGTTATAGAACCAAACATTTTTCTAGAAAGAGCTGGGGTACTAGAAATTTAAAATAAAAAAAAAAACTCCAATAAGTGCTATTTTTATGTTGGTCTCATCCCATTGATTTCAGTGCACATTTTTTCTGCATTTTTTTGTGATTTTATTTAGTAAAAAATTTATATAATAGAGAAATAATATCACACTCGTCCCCATCAAACTGCACATTTTGATGGATATTTTGTCCTCTCTCTCATCAAGCTGTAGGACTGGTAGTGAATTGAAATTTGTCCACCGTATAACAATAATGCATTGGGGCTTTAGTTGGGTTGTCTATAGCAATTCCATGATTGTGGAGAGTGACTGTTAATTTCTCATTGGATTTGTAATCAACAGTGGTTAAGACAAAAATTAAGCTGGGATGCTCCTTATAAAAATGTGGGTAAGTTTTGTGAGCACTCTATATCTGGAATGGCTACAGTCTGCCAAGTTGAAAATAACTTTTTAATGATTTGGCCCACAGTGCTGCATAATATGTGGTTTCTGATACTATTTGGGTCAAGAAATTCATGAATGATGTAAATCGATTGATCATACCCTTTGAGAGACAACCTGTTTGAACATCACTTGGATGTGGGGCTGGCTGTTTGTGAGTGAGGTATGCTTTGATGAATTACTGCATAAGACAACTTTAGAGATATTTTATGCTATTGGGAAAAGTTATTTTCTGGTTACCAATGGAATGATGGGACCAATTCACCAACATAGTTTAGGTAACTAATGGTAAACAGGACATCAGCAAAGTTTGTTTTTCTTTCACTACAGCTTGATCTTTTTTACCTTTTGAGATTACTTCTGTGTAGCCTACTTGTAATTTGTTTTACTGTCCTCATCTGAACTCAGTATGAGCAGAGCTTTCATTTGAGCCAAGGCTTTATGACAGTTTTGAAAAATTGACAATTAAAGAGCAAAATCTGGCAGCCATCTTGAATTTAAAAGGTCCAAAATAGGTCAAATCACCATTGTGGATTTCAAAAAGTTGTCTGAGAATCTGCTGTATTTATTTTATCATTTACACTAAATAGATTGTTCATAATGAGCAAAACAAGAGGATGGCTTTTAATGCATGGTGCACACAGTACACACAATGCATCTTAGTTACTTAGTGTTTTTACAAACCTATTCAGATACACAGCAGTAAGTATGTGAAGACCCAACCCAGTCTCATAGAAAATTGGAAGACCGTCAGACACACTTTGTATGAAAATGGTTAAGTAAACCCTTAATTACATTTTCGGGGGAGATCAAAGTGCTTATTCAACCTGTTTTTTTTTTTTTTTTTCATAAACAGATGTACCATTTTAACATAGCATGCCCTTTGCTGAACAGTCAGGGGTGCAAATAACTGAGTCAACCCTGCTTCAGGCACACAAAGCTTTTATGGTCTGACTGGAACCAGTGACAAATTGGAACTGGGATGGAGTGACGCTCCAGTTTGAATAATGAAGCATCTGCATCAGGCTCAGAAGTTGTAAGCTGGCTAGTATGTTATTATGTTTCACAAATGCAGTAAAATATACACTTAAAGCAGGGAAATAAAATGTACCCCTCTGTCCAAAAGAGTGTTAAAATCAAATATCCAGTGGCTGAACATTTTTTGTAATTTAAACACCAAGATAAAACCTTGTGCCTCTCATAACAAATTCACTGAGGAAATGGTTGCAGGAGGGCCTTCTGATTGTCCAGGGTGTACTCTGTTTCTCCCCAATGACAGGTGGGATAAGACGTGGGCCTCTGCAACCCCAAATGGGATAAGCAGTATAGATAAAAGGCTCAACACAACTAAATAATTCACTGAGATAGAATTTTTTATTGTTAAAATCCAACCAAAATACATGAATTGGTGCAGAGAATATGATGTCTTCAACTCTGATGTGGCAGAAATCACCATCAGTAAAATCTTATCCATAAGCTTCCACTGGAAATGGACTCGGAGCTCAGTATGTGAACAGATGTCCTCCTTTTGCACTTAAAGGGTTTGCTTATACTGACAACCTCATCAATAGTGGCAGGCTGCTTCTTCTTCCCTTGTTCATTTTTGCGTTTTTGTGTTGAACTTTGAAAACACTGTTTGGTGTTGTTTAATGTTGTGTTTAAACATTTATGCTTAAAACTCAGTCTGGTTAAAACTGTTTCCTCCCATCTGTGTTTACGTTAATCAAACCCTGTGCTTTGTATTAAAATATCATCTTTCACTGATATCTCTTTCTTATCTTTACTGCTATTTCTGCATCACTTTATCATCACTGCCTAACTCTCTCCTTTGCAAATGTACACGCGACTAGTGAAATCAGCTGAAGACTACAAGGGTTCAAGGTCCAGGGACAGTAGCTTTTTTGCTCCTCTTCTCAACAAGAATGTTAATAAGCAAATGCACATACACCTGTGTGTTTTAGACCAGCTGGTACAGATCAGCAATCAGTTCAACAGCATTGAGAATCCTTTAAAAGCAGCTCTGAGCACACAGAGATGTCACAGAGGAGCTGCAGGTAAGAAATATGAAGGTTTAGTGACAAGGTTTACAGGACCAGGTGTTATTTGTCAATCCTGCAACTTTATTGAAATGTTTTTGATTTAAGGACAGGTGACTTCAACTCTAACTGAATCCAGACTATACTTAACAGCAAAATGAGGTACAGAGCTTGTTGAAATTTGTCTTGTTTAAAGTGTTAAATCCTGTTTTATTTCTTAAAACTGAAACTTTTATCTCTTCAGGGTTTTGTGGATTTTGTGTCTGCTGATTGGAAGCATTACCTGCAGTCCTGTATGGAAAGGTAAGATCACATCACACTTGATGGGCTTCCTTTTAAAAGGCTAGTTTTAATCCTTGTTTGTCCTTTTCAGCTGAACAATCAGGCAGTCAAGGTCTGGCAGGCACAAGCAACATGGCATCATCATATCCTGCATCTTGGGGTTCAGGAGGAGTGGAGAGTGCTGGTCTGGGCAGCAGCTCCTCGGGTCTAGCCAGCCCAAACTATGTTGCCTCCAATGCTGGTGCTGGTGGCTACGGAGGCTCTGGAGTTGTCTACAGCAGCCCTGCAATGGCTGGAGGAAGCGCTGGGGGCTATGCAGGTGCTTATGCACCCTCTGCTGGGTATGGAGCTGGGGCTTCCAGTGGAGGCTATGGTGGTGCTCATGGAGGATATGGGTATGCCTCAGCCCCTGAAGGTGCCGGCTCGAGCTCTGGATCTACTGCTTATGGCAGTGCTGGAGGTGAAGGCTCAGCGGGGCCGATCTTCAGTGACGTGTCTGATCTGGATCCAGTCTACGCCTTCAGTTCTCGTTCACGCTACCAGAAAGGAAGAGCAGTGTTTGCCCAAAGCCGCTACACCCCAGGAGAGGCTCTTGTCCAACCCATGCCCATTTACAGACCAGTCATCAAAAATCCAGTCATGATCAGCATTCCTGTCCAGGAACCAGTGAAAACCATGCCTGTTCCAGTGAAATATCAAACTAAAGGAGGCTACTAAAGATCTCACTGGTAAGAAGCAAATCTTTCAAAGATTTTGATGGTCAAAATTCTCTTTGCTCAAACTTTTTTTTTTTTTCCTTGCAGGTCTTGACTCTAGTGATGACTCAGTGCTGTCAAGTGATTTAAAAGATGCAAATAAACTGGCCAAAAGAAAGATCTTGTGAAATTATTTTGAATAGTCTACATTTCAATGCAACCCTTTCCCTTGAACAGCAAACTAGATTCTTGCAGCCCTCTAGACTGAGTCTTGAGTAAAAGTCATTGCTGTCCCAAGGCACCAGAATTTTAATGTGTTAAATGGTCAGTCCTGTCTTCATACAAATACTGTTGTGAAAAGCTTGGGTTTTAAAGCACAACAGCATTTGCAAGTTTTCCTACCCTAGGAGTGACCTCAGAGGCCAATAGCTTCTGTGTGAAAGTCAATGGGCTGTGGTCATTACAGCTGCTATCGGCCAAAAGTTTGTGAATAATACTTCTCTTAAATAAGACATTCTGATACCAGAAATGGAGCTGAACACCTGCAATTTCTTGGTACCTGCACATAAAACTATCAAAGTAAAGTCACATGGTTTCCAGTCAAATTTAGGATTAACTTCAAGGTTCTTGCTTTTGTATATAGAGCTCTGCATGGTCAGGCCCCTGAATATATTAATGACCTGCTCCACCCCTACATTCCCAGTAGGTCACTCTGGTCCTCTGACCAGGGCTTGCTGGTTGTCTAAAAACAATCCTGACTGTGCTTTTGAAGTGGTTGCTCCAATACTGTGGAATCATCTACCCGTTATATTTGTTCAGCTGTCTGTCACTTTTAAAGACTCACTTATTTAAAGAGGCCTTTATCTCTCAATTTTTACTGTGAAGCACTTGGTGAATCTTTTCTATTTAAGCTGCTATACTAAATAAATTTTACTGACTTACTCAACTGTGTGGGACATGAATACATAGTTTGGCATTTACACTGTCACTTGGATGTTCATTAACTAAAAGGTGACTTCCATTTATCAATTATGTCCAACATGAATGTTAGAGCCAGGCTCTTTTGACAAAGGTTACCAAACTTGGGAACTGACTTCTGCAGGAATGACAAAATATGAGTGTGCACATGATACACCACTTACTGAGTTTGAACAACTGAAATAAAAATAACCCTGACTCAACAAGGCGTTAAAGCGTGTGGCAACAGGGAAGATTTTAAATATATTTTTGTTCTTTATTTATTTATTCATTTATTTAGACAGGACAGTACCAGTTCATGGACAAGGAGAAGAAGACATGATACAAGAAATATGTATGTCTATTCTCATCGTAAGCCAGCCGGAGTTAGCTAAGGCTAATTTCCATCAGTTGTCCTCAAACAGAAAAGCAACAACAACAGACAACAATACAGTAGCGGACGACAAACACGACAAATATAAAAACAGAGGCAGACTGTTTGTCTTGCAAAAGACTGTGAAAAACATCTTTTGAAATGTCAACATTGATCCTCTAAAAATATATTAAACCCATCAGATTTCCTGGATACATTATACACTATAGTATAGCTATGCCCGATGACCACTTGGTGCCTGATGGTGGGCTGAGGATTACACCCTGAAGACAGCTGTTGCACTGCTACATGTAGGTTGTATACATAGATTGTATGGTTGTACCCTGCTTTTTTGCATAATTTGTCTTATGTTATTGGTATTTCTAGAAATAGAGTTTGACAAAAGCTTTTGAAAAATGTATTTTTGGAGGAGTGCCTTAGCTTCTTCACCTTTCCTGATCGTGTTAACCCTTTCATTCACTGATGGCAGAATACACTATGGTAGAGGACCAACAGTATTTACTAATTCCATTCGCATAAGTACACTGATCAGTTCATTTTATGTGTTAAAAAAACTGCCTTAGTCTGAATGAAACTGAACTTAAAAAACATTTTAACATACGACTTAAATGTGGTTTGGAGATTGAGTTACTCCCTTGTATTCAGCTCACTTGTAGTGAAACTGGCCTAAGTGTCATGCACATGCCTCAGTGTTCACATGTGGGCTTTGAACTTAAGTTTTAGTATGAATGTTCCTAGGAAGCAAAGTAGAAACCTTGACAGGATGTTAAAAAAAAAAAAAAAAAAAAAAAAGTTACTGCCAAAACTGTTAGTGACCATTTTCATAATTTGAAGTATATCCCATTAGCATCTTGCCAACAATGGATAGAAACATTCCCTACCACAAAAAAACAAAAACAAAAAAAACAAAAACACACTCTTATTACTTGAATATTGGTTTACCTTTGAGCCAAGTATAGAAAAAGCTGGCTATTGCATCTTGTTTGTACAAGCTCCACCTGTCCTAAAATATTTATTATGTTTAAGAGCACAAGTTAATATTGCAGTCTGTGGCTCCATTTAACTAGAATGTAAAGGAGCCACACAAATGACAAGCTTGAGTTGGCATCACTTAATTGTTCTTTAGACTGCCAACAGAAATATAATTGGTTGCACCAATGACAACAACTAGGCAAGAACAGATTTTAGTCAAGTCAGTTTATTTGAATCTTCATCACATGACAGCACAGAGTCATCACTAAAGTCAAGACCTGAAAGACAAAAAAAATAAAAAAAAATTAAATCTCAAGTTTCAGCAAAGAGAATTTTAACCATCAAAATCTTTTAGAGATTTGCGTCTTACCAGTGAGCTCTTTAGTAGCCTCCTTTAGTTTGATATTTCACTGGAACCTGAGGAGCTTGAACAGGCATGGTTTTCACTGGTTCCTGGACAGGAATGCTGATCATGACTGGATTTTTGATGACTGGTCTGTAAATGGGCATGGGTTGGACAAGAGCCTCTCCTGGGGTGTAGCGGCTTTGGGCAAACACTGCTCTTCCTTTCTGGTAGCGTGAACGAGAACTGAAGGCGTAGACTGGATCCAGATCAGACACGTCACTGAAGATCGGCCCCGCTGAGCCTTCACCTCCAGCACTGCCATAAGCAGTAGATCCAGAGCTCGAGCCGGCACCTTCAGGGGCTGAGGCATACCCATATCCTCCATGAGCACCACCATAGCCTCCACTGGAAGCCCCAGCTCCATACCCAGCAGAGGGTGCATAAGCACCTGCATAGCCCCCAGCGCTTCCTCCAGCCATTGCAGGGCTGCTGTAGACAACTCCAGAGCCTCCGTAGCCACCAGCACCAGCATTGGGGACAACATAGCTTGGGCTGGCTAGACCTGAGGAGCTGCTGCCCAGACCAGCACTCTCCACTCCTCCTGAACCCCAAGATGCAGGATATGATGGTGCCATGTTGCTTGTGCCTGCCAGACCTTGACCGCCTGATTGTTCAGCTGAAAAGGACAAACAAGGATTAAAACTAGCCTTTTAAAAGGAAGTCTGTCAAGTGTGATGTGATCTTACCTTTCCATACAGGACTGCAGGTAATGCTTCCAATCAGCAGACACAAAATCCACAAAACCCTGAAGAGATAAAAGATTTGGTTTTAAGAAATAAAATGTGTTTTGACAATTTAAACCAAATAAACTTCAACAAGCTCTGTACCTCATTTTTGCTGTTAAGTTTAGTCTGGATTCAGTTAGAGTTGAAGTCACCTGTCCTTAAATCAAAAGCATTTCAATGAGAGATAAAGTTGGCTTTACAAATAACTCAAAGTCCTGTAAACTCTTCATATCTCTTACCTGCAGCTCCTCTGTGACATCTGTGAGCTCAGAGCTGCTTTTAAATGATTCTCAATGCTGATTGCTGATCTCTACCAGCTGGTGTAAAACACACCAGGATGTGCTTCTTGGAGACTTCTTTAGAGGAGCCACCCTTCTGTCCAATGAAAACCTTGAACCTCTTCAGTTTTAAGTGACATCACTATATCACTTTTGGGGTTTGTTAACTCTTTGTGGCCAGGTGTTTTAAACTTACAAGAATTTAAATATCACCATAAACACTGAAAGCTTGCAAACATTCATGAAGCTGCATTTACAAAGCACTATGTCATATTTTTTAGACTGTCTCAGTTCATAGCCTTTGTAATTCTCCTGCCCTTTGAGGCTCCAGAATAAAACTGCTGAGCTGGAGATGCCCCTGGAAAATCCACAATTAAATGGATTTTTCATGCATTATAAAGCACTTTGCCAGCAATCAGCTCAGCTAAAACAGAGATGTGTTCACATCACACACAATGAACATCATTTAATAGCATTATAGAACATTTGGTGCCAAAGAAAATTCCTCACTTCTCTGGCAGTCCGTGGCTTTGTTTTGCATGGAGGCAACTTAAATTGAATCTTTTCATGTTACATTTGAGATCAGCTTTTAATATCAAGCATGTAATGAATCCTGACATTTTAAATACATAAATATATGTTTTTTAGAGTTTATGAGTCAAAGTCACCAAGATTTTCATAACATATAATTCAATTTCTATAAGCGTTTTTAGCACATGAATGCTGGCGACAGTTGCACTGAAAATTACATCTCTACTACAACTTTTTTCTTTTGTCTATGGTTGCTATGAACCTGAATTTGAATTTAACCTCTTTATCTTCTCTATTTATGGTGCAACATACTAAAATATTTCAGGCCTTAAATGTATGTGAGCAAAACCTCTATGTGATGTGTAGAGCAAAGGAGATCGGCTTGCTGTAATGCAATACTGCACATAATATTAATTTATGGAAAATGATAGGACAAGCAGCACCCATTATTATAGAATACAAGATGCAATATGATGTGATATGATATATGATATGAGAGGATAGGATTGGACAATATGATAAGAAATCATACAATATAGCTTACACAAGGTCAATTTTGTATTATATCATCCATCTATCATACGTTCCATTTGCAGATCTTTATCTTCCATTTTACATAGATTAGTTTGATCCAGAGCAAGGACTTGTGTTATTACATTTCTGTCTTTTAATGGGAACAGATAGAGTTAAAAGCCTGGTCTACAATGCTCAAGGTCTCTTACATAGGCTCTCTCTGGCTGCACTCTTCTGAGACCTGCATTATTGACAAGGTCAGGGTCAATCCATTAATCACGCTGCAGGTGTGTTTTACACCCAGCTGTTCCTGCTCAGCAATCAGTACCTGCAACACCAAGAATTATTTAAAAGCAGTTCTCAGCTCACATTGACAGCTCTATACAGGGTTTCATGAAGGAAAAACCAATCTTTACATTTAAAGCAGGTATAAATGAAGACTAAACACATGGTTGTTGTAGTTTTATTTTGTTTTTGACCACATGTTTGACCTGATTTCTTCCTTTTGTTACAGAATTCGGGAAAGGTTTCTCTAGCTTTATTCCAGTTCAAGTAACTGCAGAAATGAGGTAAAAGAAAAGATTTTTTTTTTTAAAAAAAGCTGTTATTTGTTAAACAGCTAACAGGTAACCAAACTAACTTGTGCCCTCTCTATTTAGGGTTGTATTGATTCTTTGTCTGCTGATAGGAAGTGTTTTCTCTAGCCCTGTTTGGAAAGGTAAAATCCAGGAATCTAGAAGCAATGCAAGACTGACTCTCCTGCTTATGAATTCATAAAACTGTGTCTCTTCTATTTTTCTTCAGCAGAGCAAGGATCGGGCACTCAAGAGCTGGCCGCCACAAGCCACATGGTACCATCATATCCTGCATCAGGAAGAGTGGAGAGTGCTGGTCTGGGCAGCAGCTCCTCTCTACCAGGTCTCGTCAACCCAGGCTATGTTTCCAGTGCTGGTCTTAGCACCTATGGAAGCTCTGGAGGTTATAGTGGCCCTGCCTTGGCTGCTGGAAGCACTGGAGTCGGTGGGTTTGGGGCCGCTTACCCACCCTCTAGTGGGTATGACAGCAGTGCTTCAGGTGGTGGTTATGGTGGGGCTCATGGAGGATATGGGTATGCCTCAGCCCCTGGAGGTGCTGGCTGGAACTCTGGATCCACTTCCTACTACGCTGCTGGGGATAGTGGGGATGGAGGCTCAGAGCCAATTTTCAGCGACGTGTCTGATCTGGATCCAGTCTACGCCTTCAGTTCTCGTTCACGATATCAGAGAGGAAGAGCAGTGTTTGCCCAAAGCCGCTACACCCCAGGAGAGGCTCTTGTTCAGCCAATGCCAGAATACAGACCAGTCATCAAAAATCCAGTCATGATCAACATTCCTGTCCAGGAACCAGTGAAAACCATGCCTGTTAAAGCTGCCCCACAGATGCAAGTTCAAGCTCAAAGCCAAGGAAGCTACTAAAGATCTCACTGGTGAGAGGGAAATCTGAATGGGCATGATTATTTAGTCTTGATCAGTAAATAAACTGTCCTATTTTTTATTTTTCCCTTGGCAGGTCTCATCGTGTGACTGAACTTGTCATGACCACATGCCAATAAACTAATTTGAAAGTGGCAAATTTATGTTTTGGCATGTTTTTTTAATACTTGAGGGGAAAAAACAATTCTATGACTGTCTTACCATTACTAACAGTTTACTTTATTCTTATTGGTTGAACTGATGAGAGGCCTTCTTTCTGACATTTCATTAGGTTGGTAACTACATCTCTGCATTGGCGCTCAAGTGGACTTTATCTCATCAGTGTTTCTGTACCCATTGTTAATAGGAGGTGGGGATGGGGTCTTACTTTACACTCTGGTCTTCAATAGTATTTTCATTCAGGGCCTGCCAACCAGTTGTGAGCTATGAAAGGGTTTTTGATTTACATTTCCTTCAAATTCCACAGTATCGTGCTCAAGTTACCAAATCTGGCAGAAATTGAAGGTCTATTGTAAAATTTGGGTCAGAAGTGTTTCAAATATCTGTGGGAAAATGGTTCAGTATTGCCCTGTAGCAGCTTTCAAAATTGTAGCTCCATGAGGTCGCCTATAAAGAACAGCTCACATACAAGTCAAAGCTGCTCTAGCAGCTCATCAAATTTTAATGTTTAACTGCCATTATTTGGGGATTCATTCAGCAGAAGACCATTTTAGATTCTCTTGAGCTTGCGTACAAGATTCCAGCCACTGAGGCTTGTCAAAGTTGTCTTGCCACTGAAATTAATGTGACTGTAACTCCAACTGGCTAAGCACAAACTCTACAGCTTCACAAACATGTTTAGAAGTCCACTGTTTGCAACCATTGCACCACACTTGTGACGGGCAGGAAGCTTTGGAGGACATGATTCAGTATGATAACACTGAATTCCGACTGTGTACAGTCAGTTGGAAAAACAGGGCGATGCAGAGTCATTATGACTGTTCTTTCACTGATACATACACTGAAGCTGATAGACCTCTATCAGCCCCTTTCCGGTGTGTTTTCTTGGATAGGTCTCCATCTCATGAGAATAACAGGCTGTCTTCATAAAATGAAAAACTCACTAAAAACTAACAGTGAGATGGGAAAAGACAGTAAACTATTCAGACCGGGAAGCATTTTATTACACACATCAAAGTTTCAAATAATTTCTGTTTGGGCTTCCCACTAATCATGTGATTCATTCTAGAAAAGGCAAAATGAGAAATCTGACATTTCCAACAAAGTGACCAGTGACCAGTAGTTGTTTCCTAAACAGGAAGCTATGTTGGGGTGCCCTCTGCTGGTCCATATGTCTCACTTTACCAAGTTTAATGAACTAACATCCAAAAATGATTTTTGAGAGGGAATTTCTTTGTTGGCTTTCATGTTGCATCAGAAAAATGATGAGTCACTTAATTTCATATTTACAGAACAGCCTACTATGAAATAATTTTTTGAGGTTGGTATAGTAAAAGAAGTTTGGTAAAGCTTTGAACTCGTGTGTGCAGAGCTGATCCTGAGTTGACCGAAAGGTGAATTACATGAGAGGTAGTGGGAGAAGAGTAAACTGAGAAAAAAGGTTATGTAAGAATGGAGATTTATTTGTAAATATTGCAATGTAAAGTGATAATGTACTTATACTAATCCAACTTTAATTCATAACCCCAGTCACTAATCTTTGAAACACTGAGTTTGTATTCAGACCATTTGCAGGACATTTTCACTGTAAAATAAGTTGGTCTAAAAAAGGGCAGCACTTATGAACAGATCAGTCTGTTTTCATTAACTAAATCCATTTCCTGCAGGCAAGATTGGGCTCACATAAAAAATAAGATCTACCCAAGACCATTCCTGCAAATTTTGATATAAACACATAATTGAATAGAATCATATATATGCTAGCGTAACACATGTGTGTTTTGCAATTGAGATGAAGAAAAATTACTGTTTTGGATCGACACACTGTATTAGAAATGCTTATTATTTATATTTAGACCATAGAAGTCTATATAATTCCAAATTTCTTTATGTTCGCTCAAGTTTTTGATGAGAGGGGATTCTGTTTTTGATTACACGCAAACACAAAGAGTTTGCCTGTGCGGCTACTTGGGGAAAGTGTTTACCAAAATCGAAATGAACGCGCAATTCTATGGCCTACTGTTTGTCTTTGTTGGGTAATACTTTTAATTAAGTGTCGCAATCAATTTTTTTGTTGTTGAAAATCGTGTTTCTCAAAAGAAAAGTTTTGGCATATCCAAAGGCAACCTTTGCCAATGTAACGTCAATCGAAAACCTTGACATTTCCAACACTACTGTGAACCCGTGAACGCCACACCAGCCAATCCAGTGAGCTACTACTCGGTGACGTATTATTTCGGCGCCATATTGATTTGTATACAGCTCAATAACAACGTTGCTGTCTGAATGTCCATGGCATGCCGAGGTGGCCTGTGAGGAAATATGAAAAAATAGTTTTGTTCATTATAATCCAACGCTTTTGAAGTTTTCCACAATGACGAGATGACTTCAGCGATTTTCTCAGCGATAAGTATTCTTACAAAACCCCTGGGAGGTAAGTGGAGAGCTCGGGTTACTGAAATAAAACAGAATAACATAAATTTTGGGATGACTTAGACATCTTGATCACACTTTCTATTAACCTTGATCAAATATACTATAGCAAACACTGTAATACAACTTGTTAACACACTCTCTCTCTCTGTCACACGCACACACACATATCTATACAATCAGCCCTCATTGCATGTTCTGTGTTGTGTTGTCTGCAGATGGATCTGTGCAAAATGCTCAGTCCTCTCATCAAGAGGCTTTATTGGCGGTGCTGCAAGCCCACAGAGCTCTCCTCCTGGACCAGCTGCACAGTGTCTCCACCTTCAAGGAGGTGAAGAGGCTGAGGGAGGAGGTGATGACAGAGGTAGACTGGTACTCCTGTGATTCAGAGGACATCACATGGGGCTTCGTCCAGGAATGTCTTCTCTTGTTTCTCACCTTGGCAAGACACCTCTCCAGTGAACTTGAACTTTTTAACCAGAGGCCTCCTCCTCCTGCAGCCAAACTACACACCCCAGAGATGGCGCCTCCTTTGCCCCCTGATGTCCTCAGCGTCTGCCAGCAGAAGACGTTTGGAGCTGCCCTGCAGTTTGTGGTCTCTCTTGGGCTCTGTCCTTTCTTGGCACCTGGAGTAGGGGTGCCTCTGAGTTGCCGGTCGGCGTTTGGAGCGATGGTGGAAAAACTTGTCTGCGGTGGTAAAGTGTTGGAGAGAAGACGACGCCTTCTGATCACTACAAATGTTCTTCTAAAGTTGGCAGAGCTGTCCTCTCTGGCCACACTGGTGTTCACACGACATCTGGGAGACGTGATGGCTGCTCTGTGCCAACTGGGCTACCAACCAGCTCGGGCAGAGGAAGAGAAGGTAGTGCTTTAAACTTTTCCTGCTTGTGCTGTTTGAAATATAACCCCAAAGTAGGGCTGGGCGATATGGGAAAATGTTTATCACAATACATTTTTTCATTTCAGTTGATATCGATATACATTGTGATATAAAAAATGAAATTTAACAGTGCTTATTGGTAGCATGTCTTTTGCAATACAAAAAGCTACTGTTATCAAAGCATATATTGTTATCATTTGATCGCCCAGCCCTACCCCAAAGCTGGTTAAGATAACATTGAAGTGTGCTCAACATTGAAATCAGTCAATCAATGTCTTTCTGAAATAAAGCATTTGCCAATACCTGTGCTCATAGGATTGATTAATAGGTAATCACATAATGTTTCTTGAGGTGTAGGCAGCCTCTTCAGGGAGGCTGTTCTGGACAACAATGTGATATCAACATCACATATATCAATTAAAAGATTTAGGTAGACTGCCAGTTTTCGTCTCATGTGTACACAAGACTGATGTCAGATCACAAACAGTCACTGGCTTGTGTATGATAGAAGATGAATCAATGAACTCACTACTTTCATTACACTTTCTGATACAGGAAGTGGCATGTTTTAAAAATGTTACCTGGCAGGATTTAAACACTACTTGAGGTTGGAATAGTTTTTATTGCATGTAAATGTGTTATAGATGATAAGCCAATTATAAGACTATGAATGTGTTTCTAAATGTTGTCCAGAGGTTTGAGCCCCTGTGGTGGAACATTATGTGTGCTGTCTGTTTACCTTTGCAGATGGGAGAAAGCTGAAGGATTTTTTTTTACTTCCTTTATTGTAAACTTTACAGATCCAGGACCTCAGTGCTGAAGAACGTCATAAATGCAAAGAGGCGCTTAAAAGCCTTTTGGGAAAAGTCTACCAGCCGATCGTTATCAAGGAGCTCCTGATCCTCCAGGGTGGACCCAAACAGGTGTGTGTTTGAGAAGGCATAGCTGTAGGGATAGAGTTGTAGTTCAATTATTCCAGTTCACCTTTCACAAACTCATTGCAGTCTAGTTTTACATATACTGTATGTTGTCCCCTCATTTAGTCTCCTGCTGTGGGGGCCTCTGGCGGTTCCAGTAGGTCAGCTCTCGGATCAGCCCCTGCCTGGTTGAGGCGTCTGTGTGGTCAGCTGCTGTCTGAACGGCTGACCCAGCCAAACGGAGTCCAGTCTGTAGTCAGAGCCATTCTTGGAGGAGGAACAGGTGATTAAGAGAAAAGAGGTCATGAGAGTAGATGGAGGGGAAATGAATGAAGTCAGATTTAAGGAGCCAAGTCTAACTGAAACAATGAGGGGCCAAATGTAATCTATGAAACAAGGACTGGATTTTCATTCTTTGATTCATTCTCCACAGAGCCTTTTTAGTTTCATCGGCTCTCTCATTCCTTATGAGTCGAACAAAAATATATCAATGTCAAACCTCCAAGTTTGACTTTATATATTACATCCAGGCACAATGGGATTTTTCCTCGGTTTTTGTAACCAGAGGGTTACGGTTCTTTTCTTTCTTTCTATGTTTTTTCCCCTTTTTATGTTCTTGTTTTTTTGTAACAAAACACCAAGTCAAAGTCCTTGGATGAGTTAACCTGCTATAAAGCAGCTTTTTTAAAAAACAAAAACAAAACTGGATTAAAGTAAAGAGTTTGTATTTGATGTGTCTAAACGTGATGCACTGTCTGTGTCCTGTAGGGGGCGAGTCAGACTGGAAGAAATGCGAGTGTGTGGCTCGAATCCTGGTGACCTGCCCTCAGCAGTCTACCTCGGCAGACAGCTACTACAGACAAGTCTGTCCTCAGGTCAGCTCAATACGTACACACACACACACACACACACGCACACACACACACACACACACACACACACACAACAATGTCAGTCTGTTAACTTACAAACAACAATAAAAGGAAGATTCTGTTCTTTAAGGGTAGAAAACTTAGCTTGAAAATTTAGCAGAAATGATCACAAAACCTGTCTTCTGTAGACGTCAGTTACATCATGCAGATCCTCTTTTTATTTTGTTTGCTGAAAAGAAACAAAACTAAGGTTTAAATTAAAAGAAAACGGTCTGAGAGTCAGTGAGGAGGCTGGATGGATGTTTGTAAAAACATGCTCCAAAATTATGCCCACCATCATCCCTACATCCTTTGGCTTGTGTTGACTCTGTGATCTGAAGACAGCTTCATGTTGTTGCCCTGAAATAAGTTTTCATGTTGAAAATACAAATAACAATATATTCTAAGATAGTAAACACTACAAATGACAAAAAAACAAACTCTATTTCTTGTTGTTGTTCAGATTGTCCAGCTTCTCCATTTCAAAGACAAACTGACAGCCCAACAGTTCCAGCGTGTGGCCACCAGGGCGGCGCTCTCTATGGTCCAGGAGAAACCAAACTTTGCCCAGGAGTATCTGCTCACTCCTCTGCTTGCACCTCTCCACCGCTGCATGACTACTTCAGGTCAGTAACCTGCGGCTGTCTCATCTGTGACAGTCCAATCACAATAAGGTTAAGTCGACAAAGACAAAAAGTTACATGTGTCAGGTCTGCCCGCCATTTTTGAAGTCAACAGATTCAGATTAAAACAAGTTATTTTTATTGAATTTGGTTTTTACATTATCTCTAAGCTAAGATATTTTGATATTGTGTTTTTTCTGCTGCTATGAGCGTCTTCTCGGTTCATCTTTTGGTGAACGGTGAACTGAGTTGCTCCTTTTCAACTCACGAACAAGAACGTGAGCTGAGTTCACCGTGGAGCCAGTAAATGGTTGCTCACATTCACTTGTTACAAGGGTTGACAGCATCTGGTGATACTCACCTCTGGCATCTAGCAGATATAGAAAGTGTTGCAGATGAAGCAGCTCTGTTGAAGTTTTAAACTAGTTCAATGAACAAATCAGGACTTAAGCTAAATATTTGTCTCTGATTCTACAGTGGAAGTTGATAAAACATTGATTTTAGGAAAGGAAGTTGTAATAGCTACCTCTCTTTCCAGATGAAGGTTGTTCCCAAGCTGCCGTGGAGGAACTGGAGCTGACTCAGTGTGTTGAGGACGTGTATAAGGTCAGGAGGTACCTCTTTAAATACGAAGTACTTTTTCTTAATACAACTTTGATGCGTCTCAAATTCATATTTTCATGACGTGTTGTTGCTCATGTCCTTGTTTCTACTCAGTTATTGATGTAGTTTTAGTTAAAATGAAGTCTGTCCAAAATATATCACAAACATTCGTAATAATTGGAAAGAAAGCCAGTAAAAAGTGATAGGATGTAAAACTAAACTCTTGATGAAATGCACAGTATCATTGGTGTCTTTGCTGTCTTGTTTCTTATGTGTCTGTCAGATCTGGGTGGTTGGAAACAGTCCCTCAGCTCCTCTCCTCAAATCTCTGGAGGAAGTTCTTCCTGTCATCTTCACGCTCTTCTGTTTCACCAAGCAGAACGTCTCCCACCTGCGGTAAATTTTGTAATGATGAAACAACTAGTAGGGTGACCATACGTCCTCTTTTACCCGGACATGTCCTCTTTTTGGTGGGCTGTCCGGCCTGTCTGGCCTTGTCGGAGGGAGTTTATAAAATCCGTCAAATGTCTGTAGTTTTTGTATGGAAGTTTTGAGTTTGCGTTTCTTGGACTTACTGAGTTAGAAGCGCGTAAAAAACACTTGACCCGACCCAGATAGCTCTCAAAATGAACTACGCGTGACTCCACTCCCATGTTGTTCTCTTTTTGGGGATTCAGAATATGGTCACACACTACAACTAGTGAAAGCATTCTTTCACAGGAAGTACCACGCTACAACTGAGTAAATAAAAACAGGGAATACTGAAAAAATATCACCATATGAGCTAAATCTCCACCTCTTGATTCTAATTTTGTGATGAAAACAGCATCTGAAAAAAAGGCTAAGTTGGTTATGAGGAAGGACACTAGAAATAAACTCTGTGTGTGTTCTGTGCTCTGTAGCACCCCCTGTCAGGAGATTTTGCTATGGTACCTGGGTCACTCTGAGCCGCTGGCAGCCCTGTCTGCTCTGAAGCAGTTCTCTGGCCTGCAGGAAGAGAAGAAGAAGAATGAGGTGGCTGCAGGCTTCAGCTTCACCCCAGGCAGTGATGGAGGAGTCAGGCTCTGTTCCAGAGACGCCTGCAGGTGACTGATATTTTCTAGCTAGACACGTGTGTGCTGCTTTAACTGTACGTTAGATGACTAAGAGAGGATTTGCCCAACAAAAACTGAGTGAATTCTGGGTTTGCCTCACAGTGATGAAGATGATGCTCTGTATGAGAAGCTATCAGGGGAGCAGTGGAGGCTGGAGTGTCTGATGCAGCTACTGGCTGAACTCAAAGACTCAGATGTGCCAGGAGACTTCTTCCTGGAGTTGCTACAAGTAAAGAATACACACAAACACACACATGTAAAACAAAATCCACTCCAGTCCAAAATAATCTCATTGTGCTTATTTTGGACTGATCTGTTTGTCTTCTTGTGCTGAGGTTGCTGAGATTTTCAGTCGTTTTATCATTTCCTTTCTTCTTCTTCTTTTTCTCCTGCAGGAGCTGACCTGCTGGGCTGCTGCAGAGGATGAAGAGCACAAAGATGAAGAGGAGTTGGACGTGTCCAGTATGACACTCTTAGAGGTGGAGCAGCGGCTGCTGGGTCAGGCTGAAAGGCGAGGCCAGAGACTGGCTTTGCTTCAGGTGTTGGCTGTGATGGTTGAGTCTCTGCAGCACACTGTGCTGCTGAGGAGAAGTACCCAGGTGAGCAAAGAGCACAGTTACTTTTTCTTACACTTTTGCTGTTTGAAATCATCCAAGAGTCTAATGGTTTTATAGATAACCATATGATAACAGTTTTTAGAAGAAGAAATAGCCAATAAAACCTCATCTAAACCTCCAATCAAAGGTCTCCTTCTATCTGGAACTTCTTGTGAATATTGTCTTAATTCAATGTTGTTAGTTACTGACAAGCATTGCAAACAAAAAACATAAAGCACAGTCAACAAAAATTATGGCTACCTAGGCTCACCTCTCCACCCCAGTGCAGGTAAGACCACCCCTTATATAACCCACCGGTTTTCAAACACAGTGCCCATGTGACCCAAGCCCAGCAAAACCAATAGCAACCAGACAAAAGTAATTGAACATAGGATAACTGGTCAGCTAAATAACATTATGGCTCCTACATATAGGACCCCCTTAAGTGCCCCAAAAGATTCAATTGAAGGTTTCCAGATGAAGCTGTTCACTGAAACAGTGAAAAAACGTTTGTAGATATTAGTCATTGAGACTCTAACAAATGCAAAAAGAGGGCCAGGGTTTAAAAACGCTGGAATTTCCTTTAGGTGATGCAAGTTTAGCGCAGAGTGGGCGGCACCTCAAAATATACTGTAGAGGAGTTCTTTGAGTGTCTGTAACTGCAGAAGATTCACTGCATCTGTCCAGACAGTCTCTGTGTCCTAAATTCATCTTGCGTTGTTCTGGTTATGGATAAAATTTAATAAGACACATGTTGCAAGACGAAAAAAAAATAAACACTCACACTTTTATGCTGAGACTGCTCATAGAGGAGCCTTGACTCCTGGTTCCTCCCTCACTGAGGTCTTATCTCACCCTCCTGGGGATGCGTCTCTCCTTTCCAACTTCTTTTAAGCTCAGACGTTGTTCCTGTGGGAGTTTTTATAATGAAATCAGGCCAGAGTGAGTCATGCTGCCTCAAAAATAGCCTATTTTCTCTTTTCTGGTTGGTAACATTAGAGAGTTGACAAAAATGCCCTCATGGATTAAGAATTGTGTCTGATAAAGCAGCCTGAATTCACTGGATAATGTGCTATTTTTGGATGTTGCGTCTGTTTAAGGGCTGAATCTTCTCCAAGTTCAACCTAAAAAAGGTCCTCTTACATTTAACCCTTGATGGTATAACTACATTTCAAAACTAATGTACACTGTGTCTACCTTAAAGCTCCAAATTAAACACACTCTCTTTTTCCCTCTCCAGGTTGTGGACTTCCTTGTGTCGCTGCTCCAGAGGGCCTGTGTGGGTCTGAAACCTTCTCCTAATCCGAGTTTTAGGAACCCGGTAGAGTCTGAGACACTAAGCATGGCCATGGGTCTGGTAGCCACTCTGCTCTCATGCCCTCAGGTACTGTAGACACAGCACATTATTGGGTTACATTTCTATTCACTTCAGATGCATGTAGTGTACTGTCATTGTGATAAAAGCTGAAGCTGGCAGCTGTTTGGGATTCATTTATCGTTTACCTCCCACCTTTACTTTGGGGGATGGTCTGCATATCAGGGTTTTCGGTCTCTGCTTTCTCTAGGGGTGGAAGAAAAAATCGATACAGCATAGTATTGTGATATTTTGTCTGGTGATATTTCGTCTCTTTTACCAAGTTTTTTTGTATGAATTGTTCATATGAAGTCAAATCTATGATAATGGAAAAATAAAATCAACTGTTTGTCCAGTGAGGTTGGCAGAGGTGACATCATAGAGCAGGAGAAAGTGAGTACAACAAATATATATCAGGTTTGCAAGATGTGCTACATGAAAATAATTAAAATACTGTGTAAGTAAGACAAACATAGCGGAAAGCTAAATGCTAAATTAGCTATATATTGTATCACAACACTCACTATATTGCAAAATGTTAAAAATCGCAATAATATTGTATCGTGGCCCTAGTATCTTGATAATATCGTATCGTGGGGCCACTAGTGATTCCCACCCCTAGCTTGCACTTTTATTTACTCTGTGTGTGTTTAAATAGTATGCTTAGACTCACATTTATTATTGCACAAGCAAAGGAAGTGTCAGTGCAAGCAGGAGCGTTTTTTTTTTATGGAAATGTTGGCAGAACTGACCCCTTAGTATAACTTCAGGTTAAGGGGCACGTGTGAGAATGCAGCCGCAAAACTTCCGGATGATTCACTGCAGTGGCAGAGGGAGCAGACAGGGAAGTTGATGTGCATCATGCAGCTGGTGTTCTGTCTAGTTTTGCTACTTGACGGAAAAATGCTGCTGCGGCATGAATCAGTAGTAAGGTGGTCAGGTTGCACTATTTGTAAATGTTTTCAGGTCATAAATCGGAATATATCTGCAGTAAAAATAAGACAGCATGTTTTGGAAAACTAATATAAACTTTATTTGCGATTTTTAGGAGAGTTGTATATCAGTGAGCCGACATACCAAATCATACTGTCTAAGCCATAGGAGTGTCTTTTGATAAGATGCTGTCTGAAAGCAGCTTCAGGGTTTCCTACAAAAATCATATCAGAGAATTTATGAAGCACATCCTTTTCTATCCAATCACCCTCTTCTGTTTTTTTCTTAATTCCAGCTCAGTGCAGAGGTCTACTCCTGTATGTCCAGGTTACTTCTACCACTGGAGACTCTCTCCCAGAGGCACTCTGACGTCGTCATTCAAGAACTGGCATCCAATCTCAGAGCTGTTATTGCCACTCACGGTGCCTACCGCCCTGAAAATCTCACTACTGCTGCTCAATCCTCTGAAGCCCCTGATAAAAACATGAAGAACAATAGTGTACCCTGCAAGAAAAAGCAGAAGATTACAGCTAAAGCAGACGACACAGAGGCTGGTCCTCACTCAACCTCCAGACAGAGTAGTTCTCAGAGTACCACCCAAGTAAGACCCCCTGCATCACCTGGAGGGTCAGCAGCAACAAGGAGTCCAACAGGTGGACAGAGGACCTCTAGCACAAGTGAACCCCAGCCCCCTTCCAAGGCCTTTTCTGAGTGTCTGCTGGAGGCGTGTGACCCTGACGTGCCCACTAGAGCGGTCGCCCTGAGGGTCCTGACCCAGATGGTGCAACATAAACTCCCAGAGGCTGTCCAGGGGCAGGAGAAAGTCCTCATGGTGGGTTTCCTTACTCATTTACAGAATCTGTTTTTGGTTTTAATTCGAATATCCGCAGATCTAACAAATCATTCAGTCTTTTCAAGCTTTGGTTTCACATTCTTTATCATGTCAGACTTGAGCTTGCATTTTATAAGGATTCAGAAAGATGTCTCTCACTTTTCAGCCAGCGGTCATTAGCTTGTTAGCGCTCATGCACACTTGTGATAGCTTTAGCCTCTTTCTCGATGTGCTCATTCCGTCCCGTGGCACGTAGAAAACACACACCTGCCTCCTCCTGCACCTCTCCCTGCTCTCCTCTCTTCACATGGAGCTGCCTGATAGTTTGTACTGTTACACTGTATGAGCCATTTATCTATATTATTTTTGGGTTTTGTTTTGTTACTCGCACAATCACCACAAAGGGCACTTAAGGTGAATGGGCAGGTAAATGCTACAAAGGGATACAGGTGAAGCAATGATCTGTGGAACGGGAGCACGCGGTTTTTACTGCTAATCTCCAACACCACTCTCACCCTCATCACGCACATCATCATCATCATAGTAAATTGGACGCATCTTTCTTTTTTGTTTATTTTCATTAAATCAGAAAATTTCAAAAAGATAACTCAACAACAACCTTGGATTGGACATTGGATTGTACTAGAAGTGTGCCAAAAACACCTCCCTCCCGAAACCAGATGGTGACTTAAATTCAGTAGTCACTACAGTACAGTACAAACATTTATCGGAGGTGAGCTGCGAACTCTTTGTGCTCCATACCTGTTTCACACTAACCCAAGCTGCTTATGATAAAGTGAAACTAGTCAAAGATTTCACAACATACACATTTATTTATGTCAAAATGAACGTCAATCCAAACAGCATTAAAGGAAGTTTATGTAATATCAGCTAGTAACTAATTAGGATTTGAAACCCTGTCATTTAGGAAAAAACGTGTTATCATTTCGAAGGATGTACTCTCAATATGTGACCCTTGAAATAAAACCAGACCATCAGAAGGAGGACGGGCAACTTCAAAGTTCATTACATATCCTGCCCACCCTTTCCTTGGTATGGATAATCAATCAGTGGTGCTTCAGCGAAAAATAACAGGGAAACAGGCAGGAAAGTATAAAGGAAAAATGTTAAGGTCAGAGAGTGCATGTAGTGGTATCATCTCAGAGTCAACATGTTTAATAGATGAGGCGGTTTAACCTCATCTGCCGGGCAGTCTGGGTGGACAGTGGGAGCCTCTGGGGACTTGTTAAGGTGGTATGGGTGAGGGAAGGAAAAAAACTCATTTAGTATTCTCTGTAATCAGCATCCCTGCTGTGTGCACCCTCCATCAGCAACCCGCTTATATGGGTGAACCCCCTTTATTGATTTTCTTTTTTTTTTTTTTTCTGAAGGTTGGGTTGAATTTAGGTCACCTTCAGATGTTTCTATCCTCACATCCCCCCAAAAATCCAGACATTACAACCTCCATGTCTGAGAAATCCTCATGCCCATTTCCCTCTCACCAAATCAAACTTTCATCTTCGGCTCTCTTTTACAGTATCTGGGTGTAGCGTTTGGATTATTCCCTTTGATACTTGTACTTTTAGTTTTAATGTATTCAGTTTCGTGCCAGTATCGACCCGCCTTGGTTCTACTGGCAGGATCCATATTGGTGATGTTTTGATGTTTTTACTCTAAATACTCCCAGTGAGGTGTTGTGTAGTTTCAACACTGGTCTGTGAGGTGATAAATCATATTGATTGTCTGTCCTCTCCAGCTTTTCCTGGAAAACTTGGAGCATGAAGACTCATTTGTCTACCTGTCTGCAATTCAAGGTAAAAAGTGGAAGTGTTATCTCTGTACATGAAGGAATCATTTGTGAAAGCAGATCAACTGAGATCTAACTTTGTTTAGGGCTTGCTACATTGGCTGATTCCTACCCTGAGAGGATTTTAGAAAGGCTCCTCGAAGACTTTCAGAGCGGCCCCTCCCTCCCGACGTCCAACAAGGAGCGCTCCCTGGAGACCCGCCTCAAAGTGGGAGAGGTCCTGATGAGGGCGAGTAGAGCGATGGGTGAGTAGCAGCAAAGATTTGTTCTGAGTCACATTGGTGTGTTCTAACTTGTAAAGATATTTACCTCATGTACAGCACATTTTCTGACCAGAGTAGGGGCGAGAAGACCATTTTCATGTGCTTACATTCATGTAACGTGCAGGGAGATTTCTTTCCGACTTGAGTGTGAAATTAGTTTCACACTGTTACAAAAGCTGGTCAGGGTTTTGATTCTTCTGACAGCCTGGATTGCATAAGAAATGGTTGATTCAAACTTGAGCATTTTAAAAGGTATTTGCAGCCGAAAGAGACACAAATTTGTGGTTAATCATTCATAATGCAAATCTGCACCACAATATAGTGTTTTTGCTCCATTCAGACCTATATACTCCTTAAGTTTAAACATGTGCAGTCACACAGATTTCAGCAGTTGTGTGACTTGCTTGTTAAGGTGAAACTGCTACTTAGCAGAGACTGACAGACAGATGAGATACTCCACATCCAAAACAGAACACTGGTAGTTGTCTGAAAACCCTGTAACAAAGCTGAGTGCAGTCTGGCCTGACTAACAGGAAAAAACATAATCAAGTTAAAGTAAATCCAGATACAGGTCCTGGAGAAGAAGGGGATATGTGCTTTTTTACTTTAGCTTGGGGCTTTACCTCTACTCCTCATGTTTTCAAAACTGCCTCATTATTAAAGTTTCAATGCTTTATAAGGGTATAATATTCAGTATATTCAATGTATGGTTGTGTGTTGCATTATCCAAGATCCATGTTAATAGAAACAGGCAGGATAATAATACTAAAAGATATCCCTAGTAGAACACAGTTGAATAGAAATGCTAAAAAGTTCATCTGCTGAGAAAGAGGCATAAAGAAAGTAATACTTCTTTAACCACCAGGGAGAACTTCTAACAACATTGCCAATGATCACTGTGAGATGTTCCCCATCCAACTCTATCTAACAGGAAGAATGTTCATTTCCTGTATTTCCGATGGTTCAACTAGTCCTTCAGACATAATGTGGAGGTAGATTTGAGCATCATCTTCCTCCGGAAGATTCCACAAACCATGACTGGGGTCAAAACAGTGATGTATCTTACACAAATGATAAGGTGGACACACTTGTGGCGTGAACGTAGTTTAACATGACCCAAAATGGAATCAGTACATGGGTTTCAGTTCATTTCATTGGAGACCAAATTCTTCCCACTTTCACTTCAGACTTGAAACTAATGACTCCATCACTGCCATTATGTGGTCATGACATGCAGCTTTCTCTGTTTCTCCACCATGCTGGCAGGCTATGGTCGTATGTTCTGTGTTTATCCTCACTGTCAATCATTTTTTTACCCTAATATTTCCTCTAGATACAAATCTCTTTTTTTAGCTTTTTAGCTTTAGAAACTTTTCTTGCTTGTTCTTGTTTATAGTCATGTTTTCACCACATGTTCAGTTGCTAGAGGATACTCTTGCACAACAGTTGCTCTCATTTTTTTGACTTCTGGCAAACCAGACACTTGGTTGATTTAAAGTTGCATCAATATTAGTGCACCAATGTGTATATATATTTTCTCTTTCGGCCCCCTTCTTTTTATGATTATAAATAAATTGGAAAAACTCCCATCATTGGCACCGACTATAAATGAAGTTTATCGTTATTTCTACCTTTTCGAGGGTTTCCCCTACATGCAATTGATTGCACCGCCACAGCTAAATAAAAGCCGCCACACATTAAAAATTGGGTGTTTTCTTACATGGCTCTATCTTGAACTCTTATGTATCAGTATACATACTGTACGTGCGGCGCAACGCGCACGCTTAGCATTAGCAAGTTATCGACGACGATCAGACAACTGACTGATTAGCGAGTTATCGACAGGGAGCACACAGCTGATTGATTAACACACACACACACACACACACACACACACACACACACACACCCGGAATCACACACCACCACAGATAGATTCCTGTCCTGGGGCAAAAAACACAGTTTTTACATCGTTGCTGTCACTTAAAAACCTTTCCATGTCTTATCTTTGCCATTTTATCTCTCTTTTTGACTTAATTCAAAACAAAACAGGGAACAGGAGCCTGATGTTGGACCTTTCAGTTGCCAGATGTTTCTAGTGTGATCCCTTATCTTGCTCAAAAAGCAGCAGTTCGTGTTTGTCTGCTGTCAAAAATAAAGATGTTTGTTTGTTCGGACATGTGTCCATATTTGTTCCCACATGTAGCCTGTAGTTGTGTGTGTTGTGAGCAGCTATCACAGCACAAAGCCACAGTGCCGGCTTGTCCTCTGCACAGATCTCTGTTGAGAAGGACCCCTGTTTATCAGAGCCCCTCAGTGATAGAAAACTCTGTTTTGTTTTTCGCTACGCTCTGCTTTTATCTGCCAGATTGCCATCGTACCACTTTCCTGGGACAATCGGGGGGTTTATATCTTTTTTCAAAGATTGGATAGACCTTCAGTTCGCTGCACAGATGCCCAGAGAGCCTCTGTGTTTGTCTTGAAAAACCCAAGAGTGGCCAAGATTTGCCTTTTGCCAGGCTGTCATTGTAAATAAGGTTTTCTTAATTGACTGGACCAGTTGAGCAAATGTTGAATAAATGAATGTTTGGCTTAGATTTGGTTCACTCCCTGTTGCTGGCTTTTTGCTCTTGTAGAGAAGCTCTGGCACAGTTTTGGGGCCCAAACAATGTGCAACGGCAGGCAGAAAATGCACTTAAAGCTGGACTTCTATGCACCGTAGAAAAGTGTGACATCTAAATCTAGTGATTTCTCGCCTCATATAAGCACTGCTAAGAAAAGAAGCCATAAACAATATTAATGTTTGTAGAGTATCACCTCAGTTTTGTTTTTTATTTGATGTTAACATATAATCCAGATTTTTCTTCCCACTTAATCTGAAAGTACTAACAGGGTGTTTTTTTAATGATATTTAGAGCCAAGAGCCAAAATGTTTACCCCTCTGTGAGAGAGGAGGGGGCCAGAGGAAGCGTGGAGTCGGCCGAAGGGAGGCGAGAAATGCAGTGTGCCGCTGAAAACACACTCACAGAGCCGCCTCTGAGAGCGGGCAGAGGTTTTTTTACTGTAATGCACATAGTGCCACATAGTGTAGCTGAACCAAATCCAAATATAGGTAATAGAATTAGTTTTTGCAGAAAAAGAGCCAGTATCTTTCTGTGTTTTTAGACCACATACCACAAATAACCACATTTTTAGCATGTCTGAACATTTATGAGCGTTGCAATGTTAGCCGTCTCTCTTTTCTGTTTAAGGACACGATGCTGTACAGTAGCTGTGAACACGTGGAATAAACAAGGCTTCTAAGACAACTTGAACATTTCAACATTGGATTTTTTAAACAAACGTTTTAGGCCCCAATGAAAAAATCCATCAAGTGATATAAAAAAAAAAGTCATTTCATCTTTGTGTTAAGAGGATGGATAAGAGTTGATGTCGCTCCTCATATTCAGGCAGAGGTGTCTGATGGAGTGTTCACTGAACAGTCACAGCAGCTGAATGGTTGGAAAATATGGACTTTTTGGGATTAGAGTGTCATATTGGGAAATATATCAAATAGGAAACAAGATCATCTAACTGGCTCTTGGATACAAAGACATTCACGCACATTCATGTGAGTGTTACTACTACCACCCAGTCAGCTGGTTGTCTCTATGTGAGCTCTGGCTCTCCTCCTGGTTGTTTGGCAGGAGCAGCTATTCACTGCAGTCAGCTCTGATATATGTCTGTTTGTAGCTCTTTGTGTGTCGGCCTCTTAAACAATGTTACATGCAGCTTTTTAAACAGATGATAACGAATTGAAAGCAGTTGTTTTGGTCTTGGATCAAGATGCTAAATATCTACACTCCTCACTCTCTCTCTTCACTGTGGTGGCTTGGAGTCGCTTGGCCTGGTATCAAACTGACTGAATCTCCAATTTTTCTTTTGGATCTTGTGAACTAGCTGTCTAACCTCATGGTACTCCAGTTGAACTTGGGTAATGGGTTTTCTTCCTTATTTTATCGTTACAATGCGTTTCCTGGTACTTGCATTTGATGACACTGCACAATGTGAACAATTTCTTCCTCCGTGTTCTCTCTTGCAGGGGAACTAGCACCCCATCTTGGTCGTCCTTTGGTGTGCGTCTTCCTGCAGGGAACCAAAGATTTGGACCAAAGTGTCCGGGCCAGCAGTCTGTCTAACCTGGGGGAGCTCTGTCAGAGACTGGACTACTCCCTGGGATCACTGGCTCAAGAGGTGGGACAAGAAATTTCACTGAATTTCCCTTCGAGGATTAATAAAATTCTTCTCTCTCTAAAAAAATTTCTGTGATCCTCTGCATAAACAGATGTAGCAGCTTAACTTTGAAACTGCAGAAAATATATAAATACGATGTTCATAATGTTCATAAAAACAGATTCTGATTTACAAGCTATCCCATGGCACACGGTAGCTTGTAAATCAAGGATAGCACCATTAATGCTAAACAATTTATGAAGGTTTTCCAGCAGCATATACTGCCATTCAGACAACACCTTTTGTATTTTGCTCAAAATATCTGACCATGGCTCCACAGTTGAAGAGTGCGTGTGTTTATCTGACCTGACTTTGGTCCTGACTTGTCACCTATTGAAAACTTATGGCACAAAAATATATTTAACCAAGGAGACCCTGAACTGTTGAGCAGCTGAAATCCTATATCAGGTTTGAGTGGGATGACATTTTTAAACTCCAGAAAGCGGTGTCCTAGGTTTCCAGACATTTACAGAGTTTTGTTAAGAAAAGAAGTGATGCAACACAATGGTAAACATGCCCCCTCTCCTCTTTTGAAATGTGTAGTTGGCATCAAATTTAAACGAGGATATTTTTAAAAAAAAAGCTCAATTTTCAGGCTTTTAATAATTTGTAAATCACCAAAATATGTGTTTATGAACCCTTTACACAGCACCCCAGCTCCGCTGAAAACCTGCCAGTAGTCTTTAGACTGCAGCTGTGCCCCTGGTTGAGTGTATTATTGAAAATGTATGATTAGGAACATCAAACAGAAATCTGTTTGAAGTCACAATAAGGCCTGAGGAGTTCTTTCGGGTCACTCTTGAGGTCAAAGTGAAGATGAGCTGAACAAACAGCTGAGGATCCAATGATGAGGAAAATGATGAGGATCCAGTGTAAACTGAGAGGAACACACATCTGCCACACACTTGTCATTACAAAAGTGTGTTTGTGTGTGTGTGTGAGAGAGAGAGAGATTAACTCCTTGCTTATACATGCATATGTGCTGCACCAACACAAAGACACTGATTAGAGTCTGAGCTTGCAGAAAATAAATCTGCATTTACTTTTATGTACCAGACTTGCTGCAGTTGTCAGAAGTGTATGCTTGTGTGTATGTGTGTGTACATGTGCACGTGTGCGTGTGTGTGCGCACTGAAGCTTGCTTGAATGAATAAGCCACACTGTCAGCTGGAGTAACAGGGCTGCTTATTCATGAACTTGCCCACCTTGACTCCCTACCCATATCTTGTATGAGTGTGTGTGTGTGTGTGTATTTTTGTGTTTTTGTGTGTGTGAGTGTGAGGACGAAGAGAGACTGAGGGCCATGTTGATTTACACGTGTGATCGATACACCAGTCAATCCAGCTTAGATCTCTTACTGACCTCAGCACTGTAGGCAGCTCCACTTGGTGCTCCACCTGATTACTGACTGTGTTCTCAGGTTTAAACAGTTGAACCTGATTGTAACCGTCTGTGTGTTTCATGCATGTATGGTGTATGTGCAGCTGAGCTCCTGCCTGACAGCCCTGATAAAGACAGAGAAAGAAGCTGAGGTGAGGAGAGCTGCGGTCCATGTGATCACCCTGCTGCTCCGAGGCCTGAGCGACAAAACCACCCAGGTACGAATACTCACACAAACACACACACACACACACACACACACACACACACACACACACACACACACACACACACACACACACACACACACACACATAGACTTGAACCTAAGTAGACCTCAATCAGATTGAAGATGGACTCCCTTAACATTCTGGCAGAAATGTCAAATCATGCATTTGGGGTCAGGTTTTTATAAACGAGTAATGGAAGAGTCACATAATACAGATACAAATAACCGTCTTTTCATAGCAGACGCCAATTTTACAGTCGCACATCTTATTCAAGCCAGAACTGTAAATCCTATTTCATTTTTCTGTTTTAGGGCAACTGTTCTCTGTAGATTTTAATTCAGCCTAACTAGTCAAAACACTTCAAATTGACATGGCCAAATCATAGACTGTAAAACTATGGACAACTTGGTTCCACCTTCCGCCAGTATGCAGATTTGAATCTGAAAAGCTCTCAGTATTTCCAGGTTTTTTCCCCCCTTCCTAAAACCACTGCGCAGTAGTGTTGTACGCATTCGGCGGGAGAGTCACCTTGATGACACTCGTCTCAAACAGCGTATCCCCCGGGTGAGCTACACAATCTTCATACACCCATAGGCTGTATCAAGTGTCAGTCATAGAAAACATGAACTCCTAATAACTTTTAAAAATTCAGTGTAATTAATTTCTAAAGTTTGTCCACAGCTCCATAGGGATTGCTGGAGGAGGCGGGATTTATGATCTATACTGCAGCCCATCAACAGAGGGTGCTGTTCTCGTGGTGGCTTCACCCAGCGAGGAGGCAGATGGCGTCTATTTTTATGTACAGTCTATGGGTCAAATACAGTAGTACATGGTTAACAGTAGAAGAGCTGGTCCTCCGCACAGGTTAAAAACCACGTGCCTGTGCTAGTGACACACTGCTCTGCTCATGTAATAACATGCCAGTTTAACCCAAAATAGCCGACAAAAGCCTGATTTAGAAGACCAAAAAAGGCATCACACAATGAGATCAATGACACCTCTAATTTGTTTAAGTAATAAATAGTGAGTAAGTCAAGTAACTAATGTTATGGTATCAACAAGTGAGGGGGACAACACACAATAGTTTAGCCTAGTAGATGCAGTTCTGACTTTCTTCAGGTGGTTGCAGCTGGCTTTGTATCTTGACTTTATTTGAACTTCTTCCTGTTGGCCCTCAAGAAGTCAGGGTGAGCTGATGTGTGAAAGCTGCAGGTATGAGTCAGGAAAGTGGGCAGAGTGATAATGACAGATTTCACACTGAGCAGTGTTTTTCCTGCTTTTTATGTTTTGCAGCTCGCCTCAGTTGTCTGCAGTTTATTTTCTCCTGCTGTATTTGTCTCACAGAATTGTCTCCCCTAGTATGTCGCCCAGTTTTTTGAGTTGTGAAAATCTTCCTCTGTGAGGATGATGTGTGAGCGACAGCTTCTTAAAAAATATCAGGGTTGAAAATCCTGAAATGAACCAGAATATATCAGGAGCTCAGATGGGAAAGGGGCTTATGTCGCTCATTTATCAGAGATTTCTTTCCGTGGTTTCTCTGCGAGATATCTCTTTTTTTTAACCCTTAAATAACCAGTAGAAACGACTTACTGGGATTAAACATCTCCTTCTCAAAGGTGTCTTGGAGGCAGCACAACAGGTGTACAAACAGAATACAAAGTGACTGACTATAGGGCCATAAAATACATCAAATTTGTCAAAACCAGAGGCAATATTAAGTGTATCAAAACAGAGCATTTCCAGCCAGGTGTGTCTATCCCAGCCTTAAAATTCCCCAAAAGGACCAGTTCATAAAGCTCTTTTTGTAAATCCTCTCCAGTTAGGGGAGCAGCATCTTAAACCTCTTTTTCTAGTTCACTTCTGTCTTCAGCAGACAGTCAGATAAGGTCCTGGGATTGAGGATACAAAAACTGATCCTCGGCAGCAGCAGCTGACTGGAGAATAAGACTCTCTTTATAGGTATTCAGTTCTTACACATAGAAATGAAAACATGAAGAGCCAAGCCTCATGCAAAGGATGAGAACTGTGTCTGGTACTGCAGTGTGTGATGAGTAGACAGGTGTGATTTACATTATGTTAGGCCTCACTTGTACGTTTTGCTGTTTAATCAACAAAGACACTGAGTGGTCAGTAAGGTCACCATAAAGCGCTTCCTCTGTCTCCAAGGTTAAAGAATGTTTCCTCTTCAAGGGAAAACAACTAAAAACTAAAAGGTCTAACTAAACTGTTTTTCCTGCTCTACTCCGTGGAATGCTGAAGGCAGCAGGACTCAGTCTGGTCCCGGTCTCTCTTCCAGGCTTTAAAACTGGCTAAATAATGTAGCTCAGGGTGTGTTTTTGAGAGTGAGAGGCTGTTGTTACACAGTGTGACAGGTCCTGTAATCTGGTCCCAGTTTCTCTGTGGTCATCACCACAGTTATAGACTAAATGTTAGCTTGTTGGCCTTCCTCTAAACCTCATGTTTGCAAATCACACCTCTTTTCCTCTCAGCGTTTCCATCCTCAGTCTCTGGACAGTCTTCCCTCAAGTGTTGATCCTAGATAATCGGGCACAGGATCCAAACTAACCACATCATAGTTCTCGGGCCTCCAAATATGGAAGCAGAGAGGCAGCGAGATGACTGGATTTTTTGATTCACTGTTCACCGTGTGGTTCTGAGGGTTAAACAATGCACCGGGTAATGTATAATGATGGTACAAATGGAAATTTAAGCTAGTGTTTAATATACTATATCCCATCAACATCATAACACACATTAGACAGTATGTTAGAAAAATGTTTGTGGTCTGCTCCAGGTCTACAGCACCAGCTAGCTACTCCTGAATAAATACAGCAGAGCTTTAATCTTTCTAACAATACACACAAAATAATAAAAATGATCAGCTTTAAGGTTTAATCTTTACACTGAGGTGATAAAATTAGTCTAATTTACAGGCCATATGGCATAAAAATCTTCACTAGTCATAAAATTTGCATTGAAAGTTAATTTTTAGCTCATTTCAAGCTTGTCAGTGTTCCAGTGACGTGGAGGTTGAGATGCTGCCACGATTACAGCGAGCTGTCCAGCTGCTGGTCTCAGTCCAGGTCCTGTCATTATGGAGCTGCAGCAGCTGTATGTGGCTAATGATACACAGAGGGGCATGAGAACAGATGAGAGGAGCAGACACTGACAGGTCGGGGCTCAAAGGTTAAGCCAAAGGCGCAGGAGAGCAGCGTTGAGGGTGGAGGAGGTGATGGAGTGGTCGAGGAGTAAATAGAGACCAAAACAATGAGGCAGGAGTCAGGAAAGGCCAGGACCTGTTAACAATGTGTTTCAGAGGAAGAACTTTTGATAGTGAGGTATTAAGAAGTCCTGCAGTTGAAATTGTCACCTTTTAAATCTCTTAGTCACAGCATGTGTGGTTTAATACTCAAACACTGGCTTGGCAGCTACTTTGTTAAAAATACAACAAAAAGACGTGCCTTTGTTGACAGAAAAAAGAAAAAACATGCTAATAATCACAGCCAAAGTCTGGCTTCAGGCTGCACATATGGCTCGTTGTTTGCCATACCAGCAGGACTCAGTGAAAAGAGTTAGACACCTTGATGAGAACTTGTTGCGTGCAGCATCTCATCTAACAGCTAACTGTGGCACCTGTGACTTTTTCCTGTGTTCATTATATCGTCCAAAACTGATCCTCTGTTAAGAGACAGGACATCATTATAGTTTTCAAGCCAGGGGATAAGCAATACTTAAACTGTTGTTCTTCAATGTGTGGGAAAATAAGACGACTGAGAGAACTTATAAACTCAGCTTAGTCTGGGTGTTTTACTCCTGATGCTTCTTCAAGGCAGCTGTATACAACACTCAAAACATGTAAAGTCACATCAGATGGTAAAGATTTTTGTATTTTTTTTTCAGTCTGTCACTGAAGTTTTGATTTTTTTTCCAGGACTTTAAGTGTGCTTTGTATAAATATGCACCATTGATGTCTCAGTGTTTTGCTCGGCACAGAGGCAATTACTTTGCTCATATTGGGGACATAAAAGATAATTGTGGCAAATCTATCAGTATAGCTACATTTATTATGAAAGTTAGTTCAGTGTGCAAAGACAATCTCTAAACCTCCTGCCGTGTCTACCAAGAGATATAATTATACGTTTCCTTCCTTTTTCTCTGACTCCTCTAGGTTCTCAAAGACGTCTTGTTGGACCTGTACCGAGCTTTGAAGTGGGTGGTCCGCTCAGACCCGGATGAAGTGGCAGTGCTCCACGCCCAGCTGGCTCTGGAGGAGCTTGATGATGTCATGAGGAGGTTCATCTTCCCTGAGCAGAAGCTGGAGAAGAAGATAGTTGTGCTTCCATGAGCTCAAAGTTTATTTCAGCAGAATATTCTTGGTTTGGCCTGGAAAAAGACTTAATATGTAAGTGCTCTGCTTGTGGACAGAACTAGTCTCGTACTTGCCTTCAGGTACAAGATTTCAGGCATCCAACCAAGTCTTTCTATTAAAGGAGGAAACAATAGAGCCACACTGTCCTGAACTGAAGTTCAACCAAAATAAAGTTTTTAACATATTTTTGTGGTGTCTTTTTATTTTTCAATTATAAAGAATGAACTGTGGTGTTATTCTAATTCTGTGGCTGCCATCTCTTCCACAGGATGTATATTTCATATATAAACAGTTGAGAGTGACCACATAAAAGCCAAGGATCCTTGAGGGACGTAGTTGCATTTCTATCAACATTTGATTTTGGCCGGATTGGAAACAAATTGAAATGTAAATACAGAGGTGAAACTTCATTTAAGACAAGTAATGGAAAAAATCAGTCAGAGGATGAAGGTTGATTTTCTTTTCATTCTTCATTTTTTTTAAATAAGGTTAAGCCCCTCAGGGCAGCTCAGGATAATGAATACTCAACACAAAACATTTGAGTGCAAATCTGGTTTTATGTAAAAAATTATTATTGGCACAGGACTAAGATGTTTACATAGAAAATGTCCTCATATACAAATAGTGTTAGACCAAAAGACCTGTTCAACTTATTATCCCACAAACACAGATGGCAAGTTATTGTTTTGATTTTTACACAAATACAGAACTGTTTATACTTGTGGTTACATCTTTAAGTCTCTAAAAAACATGCTGGCGAGCAGTAGATGATTTTTTTTTTCATCTACTTACTGACCTTAAGTGGAGACCACTCAAAGCTAAGAGTCAACAAGAACAAATAGGGTCCAGCAGGGTTTGAACAGTGAGGCTCAAGGTTGACAGAGAGTGATGAGACATTCCTTCTTTTGTTTCATCCATTGAGCAAAAAGCCAACAGTGTATGAGACATGACCTTCTCTCTGTCCCTCAAACAGCAAACACAAGGGGCTTCGGCCTTGTTTGCGATCCGTGAATATTTCCCCCATCATGGAGTCAGGGTGCTGAAGAAGGTGAAGCAGAAACACACACTCTTTTATCATGTTGGCAGATTTAGGTCTCTCCACAGTAACAATACTCCCACACCTGTGTATACTCTGGGGGTGATGCATTTTGCTGTTAGTGCCACCTCAAATAATACAAACTGAAGGATATATTTAAACAAATGCCAAAGGATCTTAGTGTTTGGAGAACATGCTGAAAATGGGTTTCCTATAAATGGACGTGAGAAAACTTTAAGGAGGGTTCGCTTTTTTGAATCTGAACATGAATGAATGATTTTTGTGCTTCTTACAGTAAACATGAACATGCTTAAATGCAACTCAAAAACTGGAGTTACTGCAAAAAGTTTTTCTCATAATTTCATTCAATAACTTCATTGTTTTCCAAGCTCATTACACATGAAGTGGAATATTTCAAGCCTTTTTTGATTTCAGGTTGGTTATTATGGCTAATCACCATAAGAAATCAGAAATCCAGTATCTTTAATAACTGGTGCATTTTCATATATCAACCAAAAAAGTTTACCATACAGAGATGTCCAACCTCTGAAAAGTATGCTCAGTTCAGGCTTCTTCACTAGACAGACTCAAAATTGGCATGGAAATGTCATTTGGTAACAGTTTTGGCACTGAGGGCAGGTGCTAGCATCCCTGTATAACTTGTCAGAAAATCATAGGAGCATGAAATGCACTGAAATTTCTTGGTAGACTGCTACTGTTGACTTTGAAAACTTCATGATCTTCAACTCAGGTAGTTGGATAAACAGCTAGCATATTAAACAAACTAAGTTACAAAAGAACCTGTCCACACATGAGAGTATGCCACCTTCTCCACAACCCTGTCTCCCATGCTGGACCACCAAAAATTAAACCAAGTATGACAAACACTGAAAGAGCTAATGAGCCATCACAAGGATAGGCTACTTCGGGCTAGCATATATAGTAAATGAAAAAATACTAGAATTTCACCTAATGTAAAAGCTGGTACACTAAGATGTTTGACTACTAAATTATATTTATATTATACTGTTTGTTTTTACATAATGTACAATAAAAAAATGCATTAAAAGATTTGAAAAAGCCCAAACAATACAAACACACATAAGATTTTAAGCTAAGCAACACAGTTAGCTGAGGTGATGCCTCTCTGACTCTTAGCTACTGAAACTCTTGTGAGTTAGAAAAGATAGGGTTTGAAATGTGGGAGAAATGTAGAGGAGAAACCAAAGCCAGATCATTTCTCACAAGACTGGGTCTTCAGCATGGCTTGACTTGCTCTTGAGGTCTGCTTCGAGTGGTCATCAGAGGAACTGCAGGTTTTGCAACGTTTGCTTCATTTCTTTAGATTAAAGGGGCTCATGCCTGCTTTTAAAGAGCCAAAGATGAATTAAACTGTCATGGTAGCTGTTTTAAACCCTCAACTTTAGTATTATTTCTATTAACTGTATTATTTATGTAAAGCCCAAACATCAAATATCACTGAGTGGACTTTGGATACAGTATTTTAGAGCCAAATGCTGTTATATTGTTTTTCCTGTTCTATTTTCTATTTAGATGAAAAGTAGAACTAATTTCATTGCCCTTATGAAGTTCTTTGCAAAGCCAAATCTTACCTCCTCTCTCTTTAGAAACAAGGTCTAAAGGGTGTTTGTTTCTCTGGGAAGACAAAGGTTCAGTCAGTCTTGGCTGACATTGTCTTTTAACAGGACAGCACACTGTTCGGTAAGTCATGTGTGGCTTTACCATCATCTTGTTTTCTATAATTAGCTTTAAAGAGATTTAAAAATGCAAAATTCTAAATTGGATCCTTCATTATAATCCACTCAGCAGTTTGATCAAGGTCACTTCTGCAGGGAGCCTTTTAATATGCTAACACACAACATGGGGGGCATCAGTGATGGGCTGAGCAGTGTAGAAAGTAGAGAAAAGTTCTATTCTAATTCAACCAAGCTCAAACATCAAGTCAACTTGAAAGAACAGTTTTTATGTTAACAAGAGCAGGATAGTGAGATATAGGTTACTGGAGCAGCTGAGGACACAGCACAAGTGGCGTCATGGTAAATACTGCATCTGTCTGACTAAAACATCTATAAATCTTCTTCAATTAGTTCAAAATACTGCTGCCAGACTTCTATAAGGTCACATATTACTCTTTTCTCTCCACTGGTTCCCCATACAATTCTGAATACATTTTAAGATTCTTATGCTTACTTTTAAAGCCCTGCATGGTCAGGCACCAGCCAGAACTGTTAAAACCTTACAATCCCAGTAGGACTCTTCAGTCCCCCGATCAGGGTCTGCTGGCTGTTTGACAGTCCAGATTTGAAACCAAAGGAGACTGTGCATACATGACCATTGCTCACACTCTCTGGAACTCTCTTCCATTGTGTTTGAGATCAGTAGACACTGTTGATTCCTTTAAAGATGCACATGTTTTAGTTTATTTAATTTTATTTCTTTGAAATCTTTTTATTATCTCTTGGCACTTTGTGACCTTACTGTTCCTACATTATTATTATTATTATTATTATTATTATTATTATTATTATTATTATTATTATTATTATTATTATTATTATTATCTGACATATTAAATTCTAAATCCATACAAGAGACAACAAGTCAGGACCAAAGACTGGAAGCTCTTGCTTCCCTGTCAGCTCATGTTGATTTTGGCACCCCCTGTGGACAAAGTGATTTCTCTTGTCTACTTGCTGAGCCTGTCCTGCAAGTTATTTCCTCCAAAAAATAAAATAAAATGTCCAAATCTGCCCTCTATAACTTTCAAAAGTCGTTAATAGTGAATATTTGCAGTGGATAAAGAAAAGGTGAAGGTGGTGCTCAGGAGTGTCTAAGAGTTGCAAAATGTAAATTTGATGATTATGTGGAGCTGTTGTTTACCACAAGGTGAGATTTGATTTGTGTTGGATTGCAACTGAAGGAGTTTCTCAGAAGAGCAAACAACATAAAGCAGCCTGCTTAATAATAACTGCATAGTAAGACACATGATATGTTCAAAAGTAACCTTTTCACCATAAAACACCAACCCCACTTAATTATCAAAGAGGTCAAATCTCAAAGCTAATTGGACACCAAGCAGACAACAACCATTACTCACCTGCCACTCAAAGTCACACTCCTTATTTTCATTTTATAAGTGAAATTAATGAGTTTGATGGAATTTAAATACTGTTAAGAGCCAAGAACAGACAAAAATGAGCCCTTGAGACTGCAACCCTACCCTATAATGAAACATGTTCAGCTCTGTTGTTAAATTGGGCTCTTTAACGGGGGAACAAACAGGGATTTATTCACCATGTGAGCACAGCCTTGTGTGGTTGTTTGAGTGACAGAGGTTTTTGGCACATTCGTTTCTCTGTGTTGTTGTAAAGTTGTGCTGAGCTTTAAAAATATGAGACAAGGACATATTTTTAAAAGTATCCAGTGGGTGTTTTAAAAATATGTCCTTGCCTCATGTAAAACGTTAACATGAACAAAATTCTGATTGGAGTCCATGACAGTCCAAGTCCAAGTTTGAGTCATCAGAACTCCTACACAAGTTTCATAAGTTCCACAAATAAGGACTCAAGTAGGACTCAAGTTTGAGTCCTGGACTTGGGTACTACAAGTATCCAGTGGGTGTTGTAGTACCCAAGTCCAGGACTCAAACTTGAGTCCTACTTGAGTCCTTATTTGTGGAACTTATGAAACTTGTGTAGGAGTTCTGATGACTCAAACTTGGACTTGGACTGTCATGGACTCCAATCAGAATTTTGTTCATGTTAACGTTTTACATGAGGCCATCTGCGCTGACCTGTATGTATGTTCACATCTTATCTTATTTGGCATTTATCACAGCTAAGATGCTTGAAGAAGTGTGCCTCAAATAAATTCAGATTCCTCTGTGATGACTCAGACTTGAACCCTACAGGGACTTGTGGCTTGACTTGAATATGAGGTTTGGTGACTGGAGTAATGCACTGTGTCCAACAGGTCCCTCTGCAATGACATAAATACCGCATGCCTCCTTCTATACAGAATGAGCTAAAACAGAGGGGTTGGAGGAGTGAAGTTCATTTTTGTTATCATTTGCACATAACTACATCTCTCTGCTCATCTTCTGCAGAGCACCAGCAAACTTGGGAAAGACTGCTGGAACAAAGAGTGTACAAGCAGAGTGTGTGCAGGTTAGCAGGCAGGTAGGTCATCTAGTTTTAACTATAAAGAGCATTTATTTATTTATTTATTTATTATGCCTTCACTTAAAAAAAAACACTTTTATCACCAATATTTCATCCCTGCCATGAAGTGCATATATATATATTTTTTTAAAAGCCCGTAAACCAGTCATCTACTCAGAATTTTACCCTCTGTTTATGTCTGAAAGAGATAGAAAAAAAAAACAGGATTGAAGCTATAAGAAATCTGTCTACAGTAATAACCTAATCTCTGTGTCATAGCTTGGGAGCCAGAGAGGAAACTGTGTAAAGGAGTGTAACAAGCCTCTGAATGCAGAAACCACACATTCAGCCAGATTTCCCTATGACAGTTTGAGGTAATGTGCTTTCTATTACCTGACCTTAATGAAATGTGTTGAGGTGGCTTCAGCGGCCGTGTATTGATTCTCAGAGGTACTGCAGTTTGTCTCAGGCTGCCAGCCAAGCTGTGGTAGAGTAACCTGCAGGACGTCAGCAAGCTCAGTCTCAGGGCAGAAGAGGAGAGGAGCGTAGAGGGGAGGCAAAGGAGGGAGGGAGGGTAGATAAATAAGCTCCATAAAGGATGCTTTGAGTCAGGCGGAGGAGAGGAGGTGAGGAGAGGGGGCTCTGGTCAAACAGTCCCCCTGCTTGTTGGAGGCTGCTGGCTGCATTGCAGAGAGATAGGGATAGCTAACTGGGGTGTCCAAGGAGAGGGGAGGAAGAGAGGGGGGTAAATGAGAGTAGAAGGAGGAGGAGGGAGAGGGGTGAAAGGAGGAAGAGAGAGCCGAGCTGTGGAGGAGAAGCTCAGCAGTGTCGGTGTGCCAGCCAGGCGGGACAGTGTGACAGAGAGGAGGGAGAACGAGGCAGGTTTTGCTGCAAGTGGAGGGACAAGTTGATACTGCAGCACAGGGAGAAAGAGGAAGAAGATGGGATGATGATTCATCGCAGCAGGAAAAGAAGAAATCCCACTTGAGGACAAGAGCCGGCTCCACATTTTTGGCCCTAGACTTTCACCTTCAGCATCACTTTGGCCCCTTGCTCGGGATGGGGAGCACCAAAGGAAGAGAGGAGACAAGCTGCTGCCTCCAGCCTGAAACCTCCAGATGTAAGACTGCACCAGCATCATCTGCTGGCTGAGCACCTCTCCTCACATCTCAGCTGGGGGGCTTCATGCCCTGGGACAGTCCTGGGAGATAGAAGGAGGAGGAGGAGGAGGAGGAGAAGGAGGAGCAGGCAGCAGGGAGGCTGGCTCAGAGAGAGCAGTGGTGGAGGGTGGTGGTTTCAGCTGCCTGTTTGCCGTATTTTTGGATGTGGGATCTCCTGAATTAAGCGAGCAAGTTGGAATAAAGATGTAGTGTGAGCTGTTGAGAGGAGGGGGGCAGAACAAGGAGAGCGCTGTGCTGAGGAGAGGAGACAGCTGGACGTCCCGGCTCTACGGACGGACCAGGCGGAGGGAGACGGAGACACAGGGTCCACTGGATCAGGAAGGTATGTTTTAAACTAAAATACCTATGATGTAGAGTCAAAGATGAAGAAAATGCTCATTCACCTCTGCAAAGGTCAAGCTCAGTGATGACATTTGAATTGTATATAATCATGTAGCTAAAGGCCTTATTATCCCTCAGGTTTTCCAGGTAGATGTTAAGATTGAAAAGAGAGGATGAATGAAACTATTCACAGACAAGGGGGAGCATGTTCAACAGGGACTCAAACTCAATGGAAAGTCTTTGAAAATGTGAAATAAGCAGCATGAAAGCTTAGTCAGAAAATGCAAGACAAAGAGGTGAGTGTGTTCTGGCTGGTGGGATGAATGTGTTTGCACTATGAGGTAGAGAAAATATTTTTTATGCCTGGCACTGTGAGCTTATGTGTGTGGGAGGGAGGGAGAGAGAGCTTGTCAACTAATCACTTGCTGCTTGTTTGTGCTTTGTTTTTTGGGTGAAGATGTAAAATTATCCAGGACCGGCTCTGCTCTATCAGTGTGGCATGTAGTACACGTGCTGTTTTTCCTCTGTGCGGAGGCAGACAGTGTCCGTTTGAAAACAGTAGACAGGAACGCCTGTTTGAATGCTCCTGGCGTCTCAAAAGAAAACGTTTGGTTTTCCATGGCATCACTGCCACGCTGGGCCGGGCTGGTCTAGTAAGTGTTTATAGGGAGTTTGGTGGCATTTGACAGATTACAGGTACACCTTGAGACCTCTGGTGAAATCCACAGCATATTCAGATTCATTGAGGAAACTGGATACATTTAGTTGGTGGGTATGATGGGAAATTTAAAGTAGACTAACTTTTTTTCTTTTGGGGGGGGGGTCTCTTTAATGGCACGTAAGTATAAGCAAAGGGAACCAAGTGGTACCTACAAGCTCATATGAAGTGGGTTGAGATTTGAGCCTATTTCACTGTATATTATGTTGAATTGTGTTATTATGACTTACAGTCATAACCTGATACACAGGGGCCTAATTAAAAAATTTTTTGTTGAATGCAAGTTTAAAAAAAAAAAAAAAAAAAAAAGATTATTTTATGTCATCAACCTTCTGGTACTAATATTTTAAAAGCCCTGATATACGATATCAAATACCTGAATTACCTGAATCCAAAGTTAATTTTCCATGCTTTGGATCAGAGTGTATTGGGATGGGGTAAACTGTCCTGCTATATTACATAATGTTGCATTCAGTCTGATGCAATGTCATATTAGGTCACAGTATGCTTTATTAACTGGCAATAAGTTATGTTGCAATAAGTTACAACACAGTAAGATATGTACATTACAAGATACATTGTGATATGTTGAGATCATAGACTGTATATAGAATGGACAGAGTCTGCCTCCTCGCTGGGTGAAGCCACTCCGAAAACAGCACCCTCTGGTGACGGGCTGCAGTATAGGTCATAAATCCCGCCTCCTCCAGCAATCCCCATGAAGCTGTAGACAAACTTAAAAAATTCATAACACAGAATATAAATTTTTCTCCCCCCTGGTTGTGATGTTGATATGTAGTTACACTAAGACTGGTTTGTGCTTAAGTCCTCTTTTTTCTTTACAGCTCCATTTTTAAAAGTTATTAGGGGGTTTATGTTTCATATGACTGACACTTGATACAGCCTATGGGCGAAAGAAGATCGTGTAGCTCACCCTGGGGATACGCTGTTTGCGTACAATGCTACTGCACAAGTGATGGAGTGTATACAACGCTACTGTGCAATCTTGGTTTCAGGAAGTGAAGAAAAAACGCAGAATTACCGAGAGATTTTTGGCTTCAAATGCTTATACTGATGGAGGGCAGAACTAAGTTGTCCATAGTATATACAGTCTATGGTTGAAATACGTTGCACTGTGATACTTTGCAATACGTTATCTTGTGATGAATTACTTTGTAATAATTTACATCATGATGTTGCATTGCAGTAGGTTGCAATGCAATAAGTTATGCTGAGGCTGGATAAATTGCAGTAAGTTTAATTGCATAACATAGCCTTTTGTCATGTTATGTGAAAGCAACACTACCTTTTTCTGGTGGAATAAATGTCATTCTTTAAATACGTTGTTATGCCACATCGTATTTCCTAAATGCCACAAATTCCTCATGAGGTTATGCTGGGTCATGGTAGGTTATAAACTCCAATCAGAAATCTTGTCTTTGCTAAGTATGTCCTGCACATGTGTAAGTGATGTTTTTTGAAAACAGGTTGATCTCAACCTGTTTTCTTTCAGCAGTGTAGTGGGTTACTCATTGTGAGCACCTGCTTTAGATAAAACAAAAAGCATTTTTCTGACATCTACCAATTAACAACGAATGGTCTCATTTGTATTTCGCAGGTTCTATACCAGCATCTGTTTAAACATGTTTTTTTTATATAATTGGCGTAACATGAAGACTGGTGATGTGCATATAAGAAGTTTCTTGCATCAGTAAAATCAGTGCTTAACTTGACAAGAGTTGAGAAGTTAGGGTCATTTTACAAACTGCCACAGGGGCAGCTGTTGAGCAGAGCTAATTTCTTACCATTTAAAGTCCAAGCGTCTGAATGACCCCTGTGACCTTGTTCATCCCAGTGTAACAGCCGAAACAGGTTAATTATGTGTTGTCTTTGACATTTTAACCTGTTGTTGTAACCTGCTGGACAGAGACTGCCTAAGAGAAAACAGGCTCTGAGCTCAGTGAGTATGTGTAGTATTATAAAACAACAAATTACATTCAGTACATTTTTTTTGAATGGGTGTCCTTACAGTCTCATCATGTCTTAAACACATCTCCCAGCTGTGAGTACTTCTTGAGATTTTCCATGTCTACATCACTCCCATCATTATGTAATAAGGTCAGTAAAAGAGGAGCTTGTGCTACTATAAACTGAATGAAGACAGTGAGAGAGCCCTCTAGTGGCGAAGTTATGAGAAGCATTTTTAAAGGCAGGAATGTCTGTTATAATCATCATCATCATCATCATCATAAAAAAGTTTATTTCTGCCTCATGACCATGACCTCTACTCTGTTTGATCCTTAATTGAACATGTGCCCAACACTGAATTGGTGGTGGCTGACAGTGTCCGTGGGAACATGTCACAGACCAGCATTTCTTTCCTCTATTCAAACACTGCCTCCACACTTCCTCTCCTCTTCCTCTTGCTCCACCCAACACTCGTCAGTCAAGAATATTCCCTGCACCCTCCCCTTTTCTCCCCACCTCAGTCAGGTAATAGTGCCTCCCAGAGCCAAAACAGCTTTCACCACCTCATCCCTTCACCTGGACTCCTGGCCCACTTAGTCAGATGGCCCAGATGCAGGAGATCCTCCCCATGTGGCTCTGCCACAACTGGGACCTAACCAGGAATACTACTGCAGTTTTCTAGCAAAGGATTTTTACCTGGATGTGTTGATAAGCTCTGGAATGATTCTTTTCCTTTTCTTTTTTGGCTCTTTTTAAAACATTTGGAGTTATTTTAACCCTGGATTATTTGTCACATGATGATTCAGGGGTCCTGTACACAGTTTCATGGATCACATTCTGGATTTGGATGCAAACTTGGACCAGACTTTAAGCAAAAACATCAGCACTTGTATTTTTCTGTGTTTACACAAGTGGCTTTAAGAGCTTTCTGATGAAGAGTACACCATCGCTTTATCCTAAAGGTGACTGTTTACAAGACAGCCCCAAAAACCCTCTTTGGACATGAGAGCTAAGTGAAAAGCCAGAGGCTGTTTCATGTCTCTCTTTCCCACATTTTGCTTCATCAATGTTGTTTTCCCAGGACTGAATCCCAATGGAAGATTTTAAGGTGAAAGTGACCTTTTCCCCTTTGTACTGTCAAAACTTCATATTACGGGGTCAGTTTCTGTGAGTCCCTGCAAAATTTGTTCCCAAATGTTGACATTGCTTCCACAGCCCCAAATGCGATTGTGCCAAAATGTTTTTGAACTTTCAGCTGCTGACTAGCACCGCTTATTGAATTCTGCCTTGTTATGCAGTCCAGAGAAAATGAATCTACCTGACTTGTTAATAATTGATGTTATTTTGCCAATTTTGTAGGACACTGGAAAGTAGTGAGCACATTCTAGCTAAAATATGAAGAGTAGTTCCCCCATCTTTTTATCCTAGAGAGGCAGCAAACATGTCAGAGTTGGGATAGCCCAGCAGCAGATGTCACCGTGGGGCTAATAGCACCTGTCCCCCCTTTAGTCCCCTGACTAATCTCAGCTCCTTGCCAGCCAAGTACCCCTCTGGTTACTGTGGCCTCTAATCAAGCAGTCCATGTCAGCTTGTTATCTGACCCGAGGCCCTGAGGCGTTCAGCCCATGCTGCCCTAGCCTGCTTCTATAATCCACCATGGATCACACATTGAGCAGAAGCTCTTGTCTTCAGTGGCAAATGTGATCCACGTAGATTTCCCAAAGGGACATGCAGCGCACCATGACTGTGAGGCATCAAAGAAATGGACACTTAAGTGTGTCTTGATGCTGAAGGGAAATCCATAAAAGATGTGTGGCTTTTAAACGGTTTGAAGTTGCGTCTTCATGATAGGTTTGGAAAGCTATTGTTATGGCTGGATTGACATGGAAAGAATAAGAAGCGAACGTGGTGAAATGAATGTATTACACAGAGATGCAGCTATCAGAAAAGTAATGCTACACTCCTTTCAGAACAGCTGCTTCTGACTTTATTTCCATGGACTCAGTATAAACAAGGCTGCAAAGACTATGATGTTCAAATGTATCATTTGACCCTTTTTTTACTCATTCTAGTCTCCTATTTGTAACTGAGGCAAGATAGTAGAGGTATTTGGGAATTTTGAAAGTGAAAAACAAGCAAGAACTTTGTAAGAATTTAGCAAGTGTTTTTGTGTCATTTCATCATTTGGCTGATGATTTTATCTGGAATGGGAGCAAAAACATAATTTGCTACAGAGTTATCAATATGACAGTAATAAGCGGTGATTACCAGGACAATGAAAACAAAAGAGAGAGGAGAAGACATTTGGGAAATCTGATATTATTGTGAGGAATGTCTTCCAAAACCTGGATTCACAAGATCCCTCTCTCAGTCAGTGTCACGAGGGCCGTTTTCTTTGACATGGTCTATGAAGAGGTAAAGGCCTGTAGTGACTAAAGTGTGATTCAGTTCCTGCACGTAAATTTGTACGTCCACTTAGAGACGAGGACAAATATAATGATGAGTTTTTCCCCCTGACCAGGTGGGCTGGTGGTTTGGGGGTAATTTCATGAATGAAAGAACAGAATTGTTCCTCCATTTTGACTGGTCCTGAGCACTGGCCAAACCTCCGCTGGCCTTTAATTAGAGCTATTAACCCAGAGAGAGGAGGGGGGTGCCAGAGGGGCTGATGGGAGGAGAAGGGGGGCAGTGGTTGACAGAAGGGCAGGTGGTGTTCAGCTGGAAGTTTTTTTTTACTTCAAGTTTCTTAGTGTTCATCACACTTGAGAGAAGTATGACTCTGTACAGGATGTGCTGATCAGAACAAGGTAGTTTGGATATAAATAACAGCTGAGCTGATGTTTGCACTGGAGCTGTTTTAGCAGTGATACTATTTATTCCCCCTAGTAGTGTCAGTGTATGGTAGTTTCACCAACAATAGAAATAGCTGTATCTAAAAGTTAAATTGAAGGTACTACTACTTACAAGAACAATAGTAACTAGAAAAATTGCATTTCCTTGCAGAAAATGTGTGGAAATGCTGAGTGCTGAAAGCTGAAAAAGCAATGCTAAACTGCTAATAAAACATGGAGAAAGGTATAAATGTTAAAGCTGTTGAAGGGGTGAAAAAGAAATATAAGTTGGATAATGGTTTAATTGGTTGAAGGACAAATAGTATGAATATGCTCTATAAAAGGAAATTTTATTAATGCTTAAAGAGGCTAGAAAAATGTCTAAAATTGCACAAAGTTTGAATGAAGAAGGAAATTGCCTTAAAAGGCAGGAAGGTGAGAAGTGGCATAAGTTTAAGTTGTAGTGCTAGAAGTAGTATGATAAGAAGTCAAGTAGTGATACTAGTAGTCATGTAAGCAGTAGAAGTAGTTTGAGAATAAAAGAAGTATAAGTCAAAGTAGTAGAGAAAGTAGAAATAGTAGCAATAGCAGCAGTAGAGAAAGTAGAAATCGGAGCAATAGCAGTTGAAGTAGAGGGGAAAGTACTAGTTTAATTGACATTAGCAGTAGTTGTAGTACTAGAGGTGGGATTTTGTTTGAAGGATGGAATAATGCATAAATATTAAAACTAATTTAAAACAGGAAATTTTAAATAATTAAAAATCCTCAAGTATCAGAAAGATTTTAAGTGTTAAAAAGGTTTGAATCAGTTTGAATGAGTTTAAATTAGTTTGAAAAATTAAATAATAAATCATCACTGAGTGACTTTAAAATGTGAAAAATTTAAATGCATATAAATCCTGAATACACCCCATAATGTCCTCAATGAGCTTAAATTTTAAAGCCCTGAATGGTTTCTGTAGGTCAAAGGTCATGTGAGGAGATAGGGGCTGAAGTTTTTTCAAGCGCTCTAGGAAAGGGTTTTAAGTGTCATCCCAAGTGCTATGTGTACTGAGCCTGGCTTCATGTGTCTCATATGGCCATTAGAAGCAGCTTTCCAGTCAGCTGTGTGTCTCCAGGTGCACAGATTGGTTGCCATGGGGACCTTGGATGCAAAACTATAGCAGGAGAAAGAAGGCTTGAAGCTAAGGAAACAGGACTCCAAGTAGGCCCTGACGCTCATCCTCTGTATATATTCATGATAAGGAGCTTGTGAGAACACAAGACTCTGCTGAACACATTAATACAATTTATTATCACAATCCTCAAAACACCCCATAACATCTTCAATGAGCTGAATTTTTGAAGCCCAGAATGGTTTCTGTAGCTCAAAGTTTGTGGGTGGAGATAGGTGGTGAAGCAGACACATATTAACTGTGTGTACAATCCATAGACTGTATATAAGATGGACAGAGTCTGCCTCCTTGTTGGGTGAAGCCACTCCGAGAACAGCACCCTCTGATGGTGGGCTGCAGTATAGGTCATAAATCCCGCCTCCACCAGCAAAGCTTATGGGACTGTGGACAAACTTTAGAAATTTATTACACAGAACATAAAATTTTCTTCCCCCTGCTTGTGATGTTAACATGTAGTTATTGTAAGACTGGTTTGTGCCCAAGTCCTTTTTTTTCTGTACAGCTCCGTTTTTAAAAGTTATTAGGGGTTCATGTTTTCTATGATTGACACCTGGTACAGCCTATGGGCGTTCAGGGATTGTGTAGCTCTCCCGGGGGGATACGCTGTTTGAGCCGAGCGTCATCACAGGGACTCTCTGCGACTACGCGGCCGAATGCGCACAACGCTTCTGCCCAGAATTACCCGGAATTACAGAGAGCTTTTTGGCATCAAATCCGTATAGAGGCAGAAGGCGGAACCACGGTGTCCATCTTATATACAGTCTATGGTACAAGCAGCTGAACTGCAAGGTAGACCTCATAAAGCAACAAGTACAAGAATAAGTGTGTGTGTGTGTGTGTGTGTGTGTGTGTGTGTGTGTGTGTGTGTGTGTGTGTGTGTTTGTGGGCGTGGGAGCGATATATATTCGAGCAAGGTTCTGTCGATCAGAGACAAGGTCTGCACTCTAGCTTTTCAAATAGTCACTCTAGCCTCTCCAATACACACCCATTATAAAGGCTGAAAATTTGCTGAAAACCACGAGGTGCTTAAAGCTAAATTGTGGGAAAACTGTAGGAGATAGCACAAAAAAGTCATACAGTATATTTAGAGGAGAAGATTGTGAACATTGTAAAGCAAAAATGAGGTCTCTAGGTGAAAGTATGCTGAAGTTAAGAGGCTTAGAAGATGGAAGAGAAAAAGGTAGAATTTTAAGACTTCCCTATTCATTTCTAATGGTACAAATTTTGCACAAAAAGTAAAAAAAAAACAAAAAGTATAAATGGTAGAAAAGCAAAAAATATAAGCACACATGTCCTGAAGGAGTGGAACAGTTTAAAGTTTGAACGGTTGAAATAGCACAAAGTTTGAAGGAGTTGAAAAACGGCGGAAGAATAATAAGATTAAAGAAACAGGAGAGAAACAAAAAGTGGAAATGCTTAATCAGCAATTCCACTTCATAATAAAGAAATAGGAGAATAACAATAAGTGGAAATGCTTAATCAGCATTTCCACTTAATAATAGTAGCTTAGTAAGTAATAGCCCTGTTTTTACTATGTAATACTCCTAATAAATGATAAATTAGGTTGTCAAAAGTCAGAATGATAACAATTTTTAGTCAGAAGATACTTTTTAAGCACGGGCAAGACAACCAATAACTGCATCGTCCACAGGGGGCACCAAAACTGACAAAAGTTCCTCACTGGAGCTTTAAATGTTGTTTGTCAATACCAACTCTATCCTTGATTCTCAAGTTGCTTCAACTGTCAACAACGGAAACACATAGGAGACATTTATAGCAGAAGGTTTTTATATTTTAATATTATAATAATAATTATTATTATTAATATTATTATTATGCTAATAAGGGCTGATAGTAGCATCTGCTGCAGCAATGATAGTTTGGGCAAAAAGTTTGCTATCCTATTTTTAGGGCTTAGAGGACTTGTATCTGGAGTAGAAGTGGAGGCAGCAGGGGCAGGTTTATTGGCAAAAGAAGTGAAAGAAGCAGCATTAAAAGTATGGGGTTCTCAAAGTGAAACATGTTCAGTAATTTAACAATAATTAAGTATAAAGTAAAGTATAAAGCAGTTGGGTGCTATTCGTAACATTAGCTGTAAATCAGAGCCACACTGGGCGGTTACTGTTTCCCTGGTTCTTATGGCTCTGTATGATGTCAGTGACTGGTGCTGGTGAGCTCCAGCTGATGGTGTTTGATGAAAGGTTTAAAACAACAAACAGGAAATGGCACTTAGGTCAGCTAATGAGACGTTACAGGGTCCCTCTGTCAGAGCTTTCAGTCAGACTCCAGAATCCGGAGGCCCTCGTCTCGTTCTCACCTGGTGTGTACAACAGACCTGTGTTGATCAGCTGCTTTCATGTGCTGCATAACATGCTCAGGTTCCTCATGTGTTTGTGTGTGTGCAAGTTTGTGCTTGTAAAGGAAAACTGATGTGCAGTATTCTGAAACTTTGCAACAAATGTCTTTTCACCTACTTGTAATTCAGTTTTGTCTCTCAATGCCTCCCTCATTTTCTCCTTCTCCTTCATCTCATCTTCACTTTTCTCAATTCCCTTCAGATGCCCTCTCGCTGCAGGAATGCGGTGAACATCGTGATCACCACCCTTTTTGCTGCGGTGGTCCTCTTCACCATCCTGCTGGCCTACGTCACAGGTGAACCTCAGATATGTACATACATGCAGGGTCATAACCTACAACCAAACAGAAGTGCTTATTTCCACAATAACCCTGATCCGGCACAGCAGAATGAATTTTGTTCGAGATGAATGTAAGACTCTTGAAGAACATTAAATGTTATTAGAGTTTAGGCTCTCAATATCACAGGTTAATAATAACATAATACCTGACCTTGTAAAAGTCATGATAAAATGCTTCATAAGGTGTTGTGATTCTTGCTATAAAGCATTATGATCATTTATGAGTGTTTATAACCATAGTTATACAGTGCTATAACATGATTATAACCCATTAGACATATTTATAATGTGTTATAGAGATAGGCGTCAAGTAAAGCGTTACCATTACTTTTGTATGTGTTTCCCCATAACTCTAGGCGGTAGGTCATATATATCATATATATTAATGCACAATATAAAATATAAATTGCTTTCTGGTTGAAGATTTTACTTGTTTAACTCAGGACAGCAAAGCTCTGTGCCAACTTCCCTTGAGCATATTTGATATGTGGCTTCCAGCAGATTTTGTGGTCGAGAATCACACCAAAGAATTTTATTTTTTTTACCCTTTATCTGCGTTTGCTTTAGATGTTATTAGAGTTTAGGCTCCTCAATATCACAGGTTCACCCTTTTTTCTTATTTGAGACTATTGAGTTTCAGAAACCTCAGAAATTCCATTGACTGTTATTCATTTTGATAGACAGCTTTCACCCAAAAGAGGGCGTGGTTGATTTGGAAGCAGGAGGTGATATTTGATTTCTTTTTTCCATTTACGTTTTATTTTGAAGGTATATTGCACCCTTTACCATTTGCATTTTTTTTTTTGCTTGAAAAGAGTTTCATGTTTGACATCTTCATAGCAGTTCATGAGGAAAACAAAACCCACCAGCTCAATATTTTTCCTTATTCAATATTTTTTTTGGAAATAAAAAACTTGTTCAGGATTTAGATTTTTTCTTTTTGATATTTTATTTTCAAATGGGACAATATGCATTAATCTGCATGTAAATGCATCTGCATGTAATTTCCATCCTGAGTCCCATTGTAGGTTGGTGTCAACACATAAAACCAAAAACAAACATCAAAAATAAGAAGTGAAACACACAGAGCATGTTGAGTATTTCTCCTTGTAATACCTGAGTTAAAAACCAGAAAAAATATCGATTTTTACACCTTTTCTGGTGAAAATACAATGAAATGAGTGAAACAGCATTATTGTTACAATGCTTGTAAAACCACACAGTGTAATCCATGGTGTAAACAGGACAATCAAGACAGAATATATATTTCTGTATTTTTATTTTATGCATTTTTTTTAAACAGCAACACAACTCAACACAAAACAAAACATGAAAAACATACAAACATGAAAAACATACAAACAAAAAAGCTTGGAAAGTTTGAGAGGGTTTGAAAGGGTTTGGGGAAGGTTTGGGGAGGGTTTAGGAAGTTCAGAGGGGTGAGGAAGGGTAAGGAAGGTTCGGAGGGGTTAGGAGGTTCAGAGGGGTGAGGAGGGGTTAGGAAGGGTTTAGGAGGTTCAGAGGGGTGAGGAGGGGTTTGAGAGGGTTAGGAAGGTTTGGGAGGGTTGAAAGGGTTAGAAAGTGTATGGTGGGAAGGAGAGTCCAGGGGTTTAGTCCTCACTGGAGGTGAGGTCAGTGTCCTGAGGGGTCCTGGTGTTCCTTTTAAAGAAGCTTAGGAACCTCTTCTTCCAGGTCTTCCTAGGTTTCTCCTGGGTGGTTTCCATCTCCTCCTCCAGAGTCTCTATTCTTTCCAGAAGGTCATCTGGTGGTGTGGATTTTGGTGCCTCCTTCTGCTTCAGAGCCTGCTTGGTGATGTTTAAGGACTCCATCACCTGGTTCAGGGAGGCCTGCAAACTGCTGGAGATCTTCTGGTCCTCATCCAGACGTGCCCTGTCCTCCTCCCACTGGAGCCTCTGGTCGGTCAGGTCTTTGCAAGCCAGATGGAGAGCAGTCTTTAGCCGGTCAATATCCACAGCATGCTCTGCCATCATACATACCTCGAACCTCTCCCATTGATGTTTGAGCTCATCAAAGCTCTACTTGTCCAAGTCCCACTCGTTCTTCTGGGTCTTCAGGTCTGCCAGATCATTTTCCAGTGATGCAATTGATCTCCTGGACTCTTCACTCTCAGATAGGAGGCACAATCTCTCCTCCTCCAACTGGTGGCTCTTGATCACTAACTCTTTTTCAGATTCAGTCAGGGCAGCCTTGACGTGAGACAGATTGTTAGTGAGCTCTTTAAGGAGACAGGTCTTTTCCTCGTTCTCTTGCTGATTTTGGGCCTCCGGGTCTTCGACAGCCTTTTGTAATGAAGAAATCAAACTCCTGTCCTCTTCATTCTCAGACAGGAGGCACGATTTCTCCTCCTCCCACTGGTGGCTCTTGGTCACCAACTCGTTTTGTGCATCAGTCAGGGCAGCCTTGATGTTGGAAAGATCGTCAGTGAGATCTTTCAGGAGACGGGGCTTTTCCTCCTACTCCTCCTGCTGCTTTTGGGCCTTCATGTCTTCCAGGTCCTTTTCCAATTGAGCAATCAAGCTCCTGGACTCTTCATTCTCGGACATGAGGCAGTATCTCTTCTCCTGCCAGTGGTGGCTCTTCGCCACCAACTCTTTTTTGGCCTTTGTCAGGGCAGCCTTGATGTTGGACACCTCTTCACTGTGCTCCTTCAGAAGACGAGTCTTCTCCCTCTCTTCCTGCTGCTTTTGTGCCCTCATGTCTTTGAGGGCCTTTTCTAAGTCAGCATTTTCAGAGAGAAGCTGAGTTCTCTCCGTCTCCCAGTTGCGACTCTCGCTTTCTTCAATTTTAGGTTTCATCCGTGCAGGTTTCTTGGCCTCTGCTGCATGGGGAGCTTCTTGTTTCCCAGCCTTAAAATTGGATGGGCCATCAAGGTCTGGACCCTGTGGGTCACAGAGGTCCTCAGGCCCCAAATCTTCAAAAGGATCACAATACTGATTCATAAGGATCCGGGTGCCCTTGCCCTTGCGCTTGTTCTTCCCTCTCTTGCTGTTCATCTTCTCACTTGTGCTCATTGTCTCAATCCTCTTTGACTCAGTTGATCCTTCTGTCTTGCTTGACTGGCTGGACTGAAGTGACTGATTTATAACAATAAGCATAACACATTATAATACCTGACCTTGTCAAAAGTCATGATAAAATGCTTTATAATGTGTTATGGTTATTGCTATAAAGCATTATGATCATTTATGAGTGTTTATAACCATAGTTATACAGTGCTATAACATGATTATAACCCATTATACATATATTTGTAATGCGTTATAGAGAAAGGCGTCAAGTAAAGCGTTACTATTACATTCATATGTGTTTCCCCATAACTCTAGGCGGTAGGTCATATATATTATATATATTAATGCACAATATAAAACATAAAGTGCTTTCTGGTTGAAGATTAGACTAGTTTTACCCAGGACGGCAAAGCTCTGTGCCAACTTCCCCTGAGCATATTTGATATGTGTCTTCCAGCAGATTTTGTGGTCGAAAATCACACCAAAGAATTTTATTTTCTTTACCCTTTCTTTGTGTTTATGTGTTTTCTTTAACAAGTTGTCAATGATCTGCAACACAATGAACAACAACATAAAGATGGGCACAACAGCCACTCCAGGACCTTACTTTAGTAAAAACTACTTCTATTCCGGCGTAAAATTAATTTAGGGTCAAACACACTGTAACGCCAAGTTAGACACCCCCTTAAGAGATTAACGTTGCAGACTACTTGCTTCTCTAGTTTTACCAACTTAAGTAACAATCGCAGAAAAGTGATACACAGTGGTCTGAGGAGCCATCATCAAACCTCAACCAAAAAGCCACTCTTTAGCCACAAATAATGCTCAGAACAGCTCCTAACTTCATCAACTGTACATACAGGGTCCCAGTCACAGCACTAGCCACCAAACATCTTTTTCCCACCAAAGAGACTAAACACAACTCACTTCGTTAGGTGCTGTTCTGAGCATTATTTGTGTATATAGAGTGGCTTTTTGGTTGAGGTTTGTTGATGGCTCCTCAGACCACTGTGTATCGCTATTCTGTGGTCGTTACTTAAGTTGGTAAAACTAGAGAAGTAAGTGGTCGGCAACATTCATCCCTCGAGGGCATGTCTAACTCGGTGTTACTGTGTGTTTGACCCAAAATTAATTTTACACTGGAATATCCCTTACATGAGAACTTACCTTCATAGACTTCTATATATACACCTGGTAATCAAAAAGACAGCAGGTCTTAGGCATTGCCATATAAACCTCACCTTTGAAACACAAAGATAGATTGTAGACTTACTATATCTACAATCTCTAGATTCAGATAAATGGTTGTCTGTCTTTTCACTGGTTTATCTTTTGTTTTTATTTTCTAAAGGCTACCAGTTCATCCACACTGAGCAGCACCACCTCTCCTTCGGCCTCTATGGTGCCTTCCTCTCCCTCCACCTCTTCCTCCAGAGCCTTTTCGCCTTCCTGGAGCATCGTCGGATGAGAAGCCCGGCCCGGCCACAGCACCTCCGTCGATCAGTGGCTCTGTGCATTGCTGCCTACCAGGAAGACCCAGACTACCTGAGGAAGTGTCTCCGCAGCGTCAGACGGATCTCCTTCCCTGGGCTGAAGGTGGTGCTGGTGGTTGATGGAAACCGACCTGAGGACCGCTACATGATGGACATTTTCCAGGAGGTGATGGGCGGAGCTGATCAGGCTGGCAGCATGGTGTGGAAGGGAAATTACCACAGTGATGGGAGTGGAGGAGGATGTGTGGAAAGAGGAGGGAGGAGCACGGTGCACATGGAGGAGGCACTGCGAGTGGCTCGACTGGTCAGAGGCTGTCGCTACTCCTGTATAATGCAGGAGTGGGGAGGGAAGAGAGAGGTGATGTACACTGCCTTCAAAGCGCTGGGGGACAGTGTGGACTATGTTCAGGTAAATGGTAGTCATGTACTTCTGCACTTAAGGTGTGCAGAAAAATAATGTTCAGAAGTTAATTTTAGGAATTTGAGAAGTCCAATAGTCCACTTTACTAAGGTTTAGTTTACAACTACCTCTCTGTACTGTGTGTCTCTGGTCAAGTGAGAAGACATATATCAATTCAGACTGGGTTTGAGAGTCCATATATTAAGTACTTAAAAGTATGGTTGATGATTGGAGAAACCCCCTGAACCTGTATCGCCCTCTCCACGACACACCCCCTCTGGCAGAGCAAGAAGCCGGCCGGCAGAAGATCCTACGCTAGCTTCAAATAGGATTCACCATGTCGGATTGCTAGTGACCAGTGGCAGTAAACAGCAGCTCTGCTAGCAAGCACCATCTTCAGCTGCCTGGACAGCTACCATGTTGACATTGCAGACACTAATAAGAGTTATTAGTGTAACATGTGCCACGATAAAAGGCAAAAATTACCTGTTCAACAAAAACTCTGCTATCTCGGCGTCTGTTTTCAGGCCCAAATCCTGGCAGAGCTTTATCCACTGCTCGAAGGATGACCCGATGTTTATTCGAGTTAGATTCCTCGCTTGGTCACATTTCCTCTTCGACTCTGCCCTTTCTACTGTCGGCTTGCGTTTTCTTCCCTCTTTTAATGTTGGGACAAGCAGAAGTGTTTTTGTTTGTTATTTTGTTTTTTTTTTGCGTCCTTCTCCATCACAGCTCCTGCAGCTAAGCTGCTACGCTACTTTCAGTCGCTCAGAGCTCCGAGGAGGGCCGGAAGAGTGGGAGGGGACGAGTCAGAACTACGGGAGAGGGGTGTGTCAAATACAGCGAGGTGATTTGATAGAGAGGTGGAGCAGGAGAGCAGTCCTGGATGGATGGCTCCCATTGGTCATTGTTTTTGCAGCCCTGCAGCTGCTAGGGTGAATAGATTTTTTCCATTCTTTTTTCCTTTCACTTTGTGGAAATCGCACTATTGGACCATGATCGTCATATAAATGAGATTCATAATAATTAGCAATTTCTCCAATCTCCAACCATGCCTTTAATGAGCCACCACCATAGTATTCAGGGTTAGGAAGCCTTTCACCTATTTCATACATATCTGTGTGATGGATCAGGTTGCACACATAAGTTGCCGTTGCAAGAGTTGTGGCAAAAGTTTGAACTAGTCAAAACTGAAAGAGATTTCATAGAAAGTGTGACAATTAAATCAGAAATTGCATCTTTCAATCACCACTGCCATGTCACTGGTGCCTATCTGAGCTGAAATTTGCCTGTTCTGTTTGATTGTTCTGTCCAACCAACTTCAGACAGTTTGCGTCTATTAAATTACGAGAGAGTTTGGCAGCACACCAACAACAAAATATTTCCGTTAAAGAAGAAGGAAAACTTGATACATAGTGCCTGTTGTGAGTCTATCTATCTATCTATCTATCTATCTATCTATCTATCTATCTATCTATCTATCTATCTATCTATCTATCTATCTATCTCTCTCTCTCTCTCTCCCTCCTTCTCTCTCTCTCTCTCTCTGTCTCCATCTATCGATCTGAGAACTGAATTCCAAACTGGTAAATGCGTTCTGGACAACCACCTCTTTCTCTTCGTTGCCAGCTGTTACATGACCTCCGTACTTGTGCTCTGGGTCAAATGTCATCTCCACAGCTGACCCTGGTCTGTGCCACCTGGATTGTCTGTCAACAGCCGTTCATTTCTGTTGTGAATTTTAACGTCTCTTTACTGAGTGGTTAATGACACACAGTATTATATACAGCATTGTAGCACTGTTCATTTTGTCATCTTATTCCACAGGTGTGTGATTCAGACACTGTGTTAGATCCAGCATGCACCATAGAGATGCTGAAGATCCTTGAGGATGATCCAATGGTGGGAGGAGTTGGTGGGGATGTTCAGGTAAAGTGTAATACTTTCAGGGATGATAAATATAAAGATGACCCAAGACAAAGGAAACTATCCAAGCTTTTGTTTTGTTTTTAATATGCGTAATTTTTCTTTGTTAGCCCAAGTATCCACTCTGTCTCTGAATTTTCTAATCCCTAAAACTGGGACCTTTGGAAAGGCTCTTCTCCATGGTCATGGTATCTCTTGCCCTGGTATACCACAGTGCTATCACATGACTTTGTTGAAGACGAAAAAAATAATAAAAATAAAATAAAAACTATCAGCAAAGAGCCGTTGACCCAGATAATTCAGGGTAAAGACAAGAGATGCATCTGACCCTGCTATCCACCATTGCTGTTCTGGTGTAAATTAACCATTAACCACCAGATTCAATCTAGCCAAGAGGCTCTAAGCTCAGCAGCTCCAGCTCTTTGTCTGTTTAAGGGATGACCAGCAATAATGTTGAGTCAGCTTTGCCAATTTGGGCTTAAAAATCTGTATGTGTACAAGTTTTTTTTTAAGTTTTCTTAAATTGTATTGTATTGTTTTACACAGTCTATAGTCCAGACAGAATTTGTTTTTTATTGTCATAAAGATAAAAACATAGTCGTGTGGAGAAATCCTTGATCTTTGGTCGGGAAGTAAACCAACAATTTTGGCAAGCCATGAAGATTTTTATATGTTGTGAAAATTTTTCCATTATCTTCTTTTGGTGACCTTTTAGACTAATTTCTATCCTTCATGTCCTCCAGATCCTTAACAAGTACGACTCATGGATCTCCTTCCTCAGCAGTGTGCGCTACTGGATGGCCTTCAACATTGAGAGGGCCTGTCAGTCCTACTTTGGATGTGTCCAGTGTATCAGCGGCCCTCTTGGGATGTACAGAAACTCCTTGCTTCAGCGCTTTCTGGAGCCCTGGTACCACCAAACCTTCCTAGGCTCTAAGTGCAGCTTTGGCGATGACCGCCACCTCACCAATCGGGTGCTCAGCTTTGGCTACAAGACAAAATTTACGGCACGATCACAGTGCCAGACTGAAACCCCAACCCAGTACCTGCGCTGGCTCAACCAGCAGACTCGATGGAGCAAGTCTTACTTCCGTGAGTGGCTCTACAATGCCCTGTGGTTCCACAAGCACAGCCTTTGGATGACCTATGAATCTGTGGTCACCGGCTTCTTTCCTTTCTTCTTGGTTGCCACAGTGATTCATCTCTTCTACCGTGGAAGGTTGTGGAACATCCTGCTCTTCTTACTGACGGTCCAGCTGGTTGGGATGGTGAAGGCCACCTATGCCTGTTTCCTTCGTGGCAGTCTGGTCATGATTTTCATGTCTCTTTACTCTCTGCTCTACATGTCCAGCCTGCTCCCTGCCAAATTATTTGCCTTGCTCACCATCAACAAAGCTGGATGGGGCACATCAGGACGCAAGAAGATTGTCATCAACTTCATTGGTGCAGTCCCAGTCACGGTGTGGGCTTTGGTGCTGCTCGGAGGTGTGGTGTACACAATCTACTGTGAAACCCAGGAGCCATTCAGTGAGACAGAGAAAGCCTTATTGATAGCAGGTACAATACTCTATGCTTGCTACTGGCTCATTCTGTTGGTGCTCTATCTGGCAATCGTAGCCAAACGGTGTAACAAGAGAGAAGAGCAGTATCACCTACCGTATGCAGAGGCATAAACCTGTTCCCAATGATGCTGGTAGAACATCTGGGCCGTGTTTTTCTACGGTATGATTCTGACAGGGTCTCTGTTGACCTTGGGGCCTGCTCGAGTGATCAGCTCACATCTTCATCACTGGTGCTACAGAGATGTGAAACTGATATCGGGCACAAAGAATTGAATTTAGTTGGGGGGACTATTCACAATGAGTGGGTCCATTCAATAGCTCTCCCATACATATTAGGCTCACTGGTGCCTCATGTTGAAAATACAAACAGATCTGATCCAGTTAAGAAAATGCTCACAATTGAGATATATTGAGAGGAATCGATAAATTAGGTTCAGGTTGGGGTGAAAAAAAAAACAGTATGATGCTCTGGAAACACATGAATAAAGCAGGAAAAGAGACAAAATGAATGCCCTGTATTTTAGTAAAGTTCTGTTATTGGTAACATACATTAGTAAATGAACAAGTTTAACTCCACTGTTAAATGAAAATAGGATTGAAAACCAGGAATGAGTTTTGACATTGGAGTTAAACTATGAGGTTCTCAGGTGGATGCAAACAAATTTGAGAAGCTCTGTTAAATCCTCTGAAAAAAAAGCCTTTGCATCTTCATCTGTACATTTTGTTAATGTGTCACCTTGAGGGTAAAAATGTGGGCTTATTGCGATGCTTAATTGATCTAATTTAAAACCAAATAAAGATAAGAAGAAGAAGAAGAAGAAGAGGAAGAAGAAGAAGAAGTGGAAGAAGAAGAAGAAGAAGAACTGGAGTAGTTGATGAGCTGAGAGATGAGAAATTAGTCACTTGAGTTTGGATGCAGAGCTAACTGTTGCCAGTGAGTAACCAGGTGGCGCTCTAGCTGTTTGTGAAAAGACGTGAAAAGTTTGGTTTGTGTTCTGTCTTCATGCACATCAAGTTATATCTCAAAAATTTTACAAGTCTCTCTTAACACGACTCACATACCATATGCTATTTGGTGGCTGTAATCCTTTCCCCTCTCTGTACTGGCCACAACGAGTGACTTAAAGTTTCCACTGTAATAAGAAGAAGGTTTCATCACTTCTTAAGATAAATGCTTCAAACATAGTAAAACAGGAACAGCTAGGCTAGTGACCTAAAGCGTTACTTCTTTACAGGAAATTCACCACACTGGCTGTATTTGTACATGCAGCTTAAAGAATTCATATCCCTGATGGCCACTTGAACCATAGGTATGTGAGTAAAGTGTCAAGATAGGCTTTAAGCCTGCTAAAACATTATGACTACTACGAAAACTCTCCAACATTCACCTGAAAAGCAAAGCACTTCAGGTGCTCTTACTCGTCCTTGGATGTGATGGGGTTGATGTCTTCAGAAAAAACTCAGAGACAGCTTGAAGACCAGTCATCGTGTGATCTCATTGTCCTTAAACAGCACAATCATTTGCTCTGGCTGTGTTTTGTGGAGCAGCTTTGATTTATCCAAACAGACAATCTGAACATGTCTTAACATATGACATGCAGATGTATCTCTGGTGCTGTTGAGCAGTCCCAAATGAGGAAATGTATTGATGTAGATTATGGTCCAATTCTCAGTTTACTGTTACTACTGGGTCAACGTTTCATTCAGTGTTTCAGAGGTTTTTATAAGGTCACTTTTATTACTTGTAAAGGTGCCAATTCTTGTTTTTGTAACGTTAAAGTTTGACTACTGGACTCTACTCTCTTAACTTTGGACGTTTGTGTCCTTTTACACCAAATGTATCCTTGCTTTTTTTCTTCCATCAACAATGGTGTAAAGACTGAAGACCAAAGAGGCGAGAGCTCTGTTGTTGTTTTTTTTTTTTTTTTTTTAATTCTATATTTAAAGTTAAGCATGATTTCAGAACTGAAAGATAGGAGTTTTAGACCTAAAAACATGTCAAGTGAACATACCATCAGTGTGTCTGTGTCTACACAGGTTTCATTGTTTGAGGGTGGACAATTTCTCTTTGTGCCATTTAAGTTATGTTCATATTGTTTTATTTAAACAGGCTGTGTAAGTTAAAACTTGAAAATTCAAAAAAGGACACATACATTAAATGAAATTGTCTACATGGGTTTGGTCGGTCTTGTTTCTTCAGCTGCTTCCATCTATCACAGCACACTGGAATTTTCCCAAGGCATTAAGAAATGCTTCCTGTTTGAGACACAGTCCTCCTATTCATAACTAAATGTCTCCATGATTTAAATGACTGCCACGACATTTCCCCATGCTGTCTGTTTGAATATTCAGATATTTTCATTGCTGAACTATCTTTTACAGGAAAAAAGAAATACTCAAATGGGAGCTAATTTTTTGAGATGAGCAGTGCTTCAAAATAAAGGGCTGAATGTAGCATCCGCAGTTCAACTCTGAGCACTTAGAACCAGGTGTGTAGACAGGGTAGCTTCAGCATTAAAGCAAGAATCATGAATTTATCTGCCATGTGTATAATTTAATGAGAATGACTCCAGACACTCTACAGATGATAAGCATCCAGGAAACCACAAACTAGATTATGAAGAGCTTAAGTAGACATTTGAAGCATTTTTTTTTTAAACATCTAAAGGATTAAATGGAAGATAAAGTCACCATATATATCATGGACTTGACAACATAGACAACATAAAGTTAATCACTTGTATTTCTGAATCCCAACCCCCCTACTTTGCATGTTTTAGTGCCTACATGACCGGGATGCTTGAACTTTTTTAAATGTGTATGCAAATAACTCCTCAAATTGAGTGTTTTTGCAACTACCAGGGTCAGATTTTGAGTTTAGTCTTATGATGATTCTTTTCATCTCTCTCATTTAAATCTCTCTCCAACACATAAACCCGCAACTACTGCAACAAGGAGAATTTAAAAGAAAAAAAAATACTTAAGAAAAGTAAGTATGCATGGAGAACAGCTTTATTTGTTATTCATAATAGTGCAAAAGCATTTTTTTCCAGAACACATGTCCAAAAATGGAAAATTTCTAAGCTTTTTATGTCTTTATGTGATTTTATTCAGTTGTATTCACCTTAATCCATGATCTAATCTATTCAGCCGTGTACAGACACTGAGCTGTGTCTGAAAAAAAATGTTACAAGCTTGCTTTTTCTACAATTTCTACTTTAGTCGATTTATTTACATGATTTCATTTGATCTGAATCTTAATTATGAGGACAGTATTTGTTTTCCTCTGTTTCTTATTCTAATTCCCATATTCCTCCATTATTCTTTATGGATTCATATCACATGGTCATACTCTAGGGGCAGTCATATCTAAATTGGCTCTACCCTTGTTTTAACCATTTAACTCAAACACAGTTTTAGAGGTACTTGGATGGTTTGAAAAAAAGGACTTGATCAATCAAAACCAGTTATAAAAGTACGCTGAGATTTGACTTTAACAACATGGATATAGTAACCACTTTCACCCGTGTTGCCAGCATGCCTGCACGTGTGTGTGTGTTTGTTTGTGGGAGGTGTCTGCTGAGCACAGGGGACAGGAGCGGTACAGCGGCTAAATGAATCGCCCCCTTCATCAACCTTGCAGAAAACAGGGCGGCTTTTTACTTCTTTACACCTCAGCATGAGACCCACCCTCATCCTACAGACTTACAGGCTGTAAATATCCTGGAAACATGTTTGAAAGGTAGATTTTAGAGGGGTAACACAATGTGAATGCCCCTTAAAATGTTTTTTTTCAGCTGATCATACAATTTACTTTTTCTTTTTGTGCAGTGATATAACAGGCAGATCAAAACTAATTTAAAATTTTCAAGCAGACACAAGTAGGACAATGAGAAAAGATGGGTAATGGAAAACCCGCACCCCCACAAGGAAGGGCAAGAAACCTGGATCTACAAAGATTTGCTTTTCATACTCCAAATGTTAGTTGCCTGATGGGTGCTGCTTTTATCTCTGCATTATCTCATCCTGGCTTTGAGTCTGATTCTGTGTCAACTCATATATTCTTCATTTTTATATCCAAACATAGAGGATATACACATTCACACCAATGAATAAGATGAGGTTTGTATGTTGTGTATAAAAACATCGTAAAAATCTTCAAAAAGCACAACTGCTCAGACTGATTATAAAACCTGTTGTGGTTGTAGATAAAGGGAAATGCAGGTTCCTCATCACCACATGTAATTCATATCCAGAATTAGATGAAATCTGGTGTAAAGCTCAGCCTGTGGATACTAGGGAACATGTAAATGCACTCATTGGCATTCAGTCGGCGTGAATCCTGATGAACCCTGATGAATATGCATTAAGATTATCATGAGACCAAGAGTCAGCTCTTAGCAAGCGTTGGTCCAATCATCTTTCACGATGGGGTTCACGCCGCAGTCCTCTTGGTCTAAATCCCTAATCACCGTCTCACTGGCTGAGTGTACATTCAATTAATGTACAGCTAGAAAATCCAACGCCTGACTAGTTTGTGTTTTTCTGAATCAGGCACTTGATGTCAAACGAATAAAAATCATCATTTTGTCAGCTGTATTCTGTAAGCTGCTTTATTCAACAAATGATCTTCTCTTATAACAGCATGACATTAACTCAACATAACCGATTGTATACAGCTGTTTGCTGTTTGAATGCTCTGCTGCAGTTTCTACAGACAGGGCTGAGAGTATTTTAGAGATTTAGATTCTGCCTCTAATGATGTATTTATGATGTATTGAAAGAAACGCAAAACACCAACTCATTTTCCCCACCGTGCATGTCTCTCACAAGTTCCTCTAGACTTAACACTGAGATCCAGAGGTCTGGTTTTGAAAGATGAAGATAAAAACTTCTGTTGTCACATCCATTTGTTTTGTTTTTATCCAAAAGCTGCAGAGACAATCCCTCAGGACTCCAATCGGGAAATGATTCTTATCAGAGAGGTGTATCCTATAAAACTGCATTTAATAAGTCATGAATTTCAGCTTTAGAATCTGCTCAGGTGACACACTGATAGTATGATCAATACAGGGTTTGTCCCTGGTCAACTGCAAATCATATATCAATTAAAAAGTCCAACAGCCTAACTAGACCTTCTTGGGAACGTTTGTAATGATCGGTTTTGGGCGAGTCTTGAAGATCAGCTTCCTTTTAATAAGAGCAGTCACAGAGTATGAGGTGGTGGTGGGTGCTTGCTGGTCTGTTTCCATGGGAGTTTGTGTGACATCACTGTTGTCATGGCCACCCAGACTGTCCTGTAAATGCCCGGGGTGCTTGGTGAGGACAGCAAATGGTTTCTCCAGTTTGACCTGCTTCCCATACAGAATATGATGTCCAACAATGAGCACTGGCACCCCCTAGTGGAAGGAGAAGGAAGAACAGCTGAGGCACATGGTTTCCTCATTTATACACAAAAAAATGGACCCATACATAATTCAGAAAAAAAAAAAAACAAACTTGAAGCTCAAGTTTTTAATGACATGAACCCAAACTGATGAATTGCATTTGTCTTTTGTGGGTTTACTTGTATAAAATGCCAATATATTACAAAAAAAACTACATAGTGAGCTTGTGAAAAAGCGACATGTAATCTGCTCATCTGTGCAATCCTTCATCCAACACTGTAAAAAATTAAATCGGGAAAAGAAGCTAACTTCACTGGGGTAAGAAGCATGTGCAAGTTGTGAATAGCTTGGCTGTGATGGCAGGCTCATGAGGGCAAAAATGCACTCTTAATAGCTGTTTTGGAGCCAAAAGAGCTGGTTCTTGCTGAGCTGAATGACCTGGGTCACTAAAAACAGCTGAAAGTCTCATCACCAGGAGCATACACTGAGGCTGTTTACCTGCTGAAGAGGAAAGTTCTAAAATCTATTACTAGACTTGGATCATGGGGACCTTTCCTGTTGCTGCACAAAGGAAGGTGGACCGCTGGATTTTCACCAACACTTTACGGTAATGTTTATGCTAACCCTGGGCCTTTTTTAAAACATTTCTATCTCTATTTGTACTTATTTTACATATAGGTATAAAATGCCTTACAGGTGAAAAGGAGGGTTTTAGTTTAATCTGAACTCTGATGTATTTCCACATCTGTAGCTGCAAATGCCCATTACATACCTCTTTAGTGTAGAGCAGGTCACCCATCACATTTCCAGCCAGACTTGAGTTGTGTCTGGAAACCATCTCTCCCTGAAGTTCAATCAGCAGCCATTCTGGAGGACTGCTGCCATCCACACTGCCTCTACAGGAGCACAGACACACAAATTATCATATACCAAGATACCCGAGAACGAGTTTACAGACTTGGTCTAAAGCATAATGTCAGAGGACTGTTGAAAGGGAGGTCACTCAACATTAAAATGTGAAACTTTTTCTTAAGTGCCTACCACTATAAAATAGGACATCGAGTAAACAATAACGATCATGTCAACGTGGGCAGTGGGCACATGTATATTTAATATGGAAGGTATATTTCCACCCAGAGGCACAGTACAGTACTGTTTTTACTTTGGATTCCCGTATTGTTCCCGTGTTAAAACACAGCATATTATGCTTAAGCTCTATATGTACTAGGGATAGTACGATTAATCGGTTGGCCGATTATGGGAATTTTGACGTGGTCCCTCATCGGTCTTATGATAACACATTTTTAGCCTATTATCCCCCCTTAACAGAATATCAAATCCAAAACTGTCATTGACTGGTGTTTCAATATTGCACTGTATTGATTTAGATGATGTCTGTGTCATTTCATTGATTCATTGCAAATCCATGAAGGTAATAGACGAACCATTAACCACAACAAAACAAAACCTGCAGGCAGTAGAAAACAAACTCACTTTAATCTTACCGTATGATTATTTGAACCATTGTCTTGTCCGACTGCAAGGGCCTTATTCACACGTTGACATATGTATATTAAAAGCTTAATTTATCTATCATAAAGGTTTAATGTTAACATAAAGTCCGTGATTCAGACCCAGATGACGGACGAATCTTCGTCGCACTGGTATTTCCCGCCAGCTGAGCTCTGAGTGACGTTTCTCCTTCTTCTTCTTCTTCATTAATGGCAGTTTGCAGCTGGTGTCAAAAGGCAATGGCGCCACCCAGAGCAGAGCAGTGGATTAAACACTGAGTGGCAGAACACACAGGATCAGGATCACTCATGTAACTCAGAAATAGCTCTGATAAAAACAATGATCATGAGGGCAAAGTTGCTTCATTTTTTATCTTCCCTTCTTCTTTTCTTTTTTTCCCCTTCTTTTTATCTTTCTTTTAAACATTTCTTTCTTCTTTCTTCCTCCCTTAATCCATGTTTGAATTCTTTTTATTATCACGAGTAGTGCCTGATACTTCTGCCAAAGCAGTTTACCAAACAATTAATTACCTGTCTATCACAAAATGTTTAACTAGGATGAAGACATCTAGTTTACAGTATTTGATAGGTAAAATTGATCATATTTTTTTTTCTTTCTGTCCTTCTTTCTTCCAGTTCTTTTCTTTCTTTGGTTATAAATCATTTTGTAGTTTGGCCAGTAAAGGTGTTGAATAATCAGCAGAAGAGACAGGATTCATGCCTTCTGATTACTAACACAACTCAAAAGTAGCTTGAGTAAAAATGATTACAAGTGTTTAGGCTTTTTACCCCCCTTCCTTCCAGCCATCTGTCCTCCTTTCCTTCTTTTATACTTTCTTTCTTTCTTTATTTATTTCTTTCTTTCTTTTAGTAACTCCTGTTGTGGTTTCAGCCACAGTTTTTTTTTACCCCTAACACACCTGAGAACTATGACGAGTTTTTATTTTCACCTGAGCAGCCCCACAGTGCTGACATAATAATAAAGACTGTTTAAAAGCATACTCAGCACTAAAAATGAAGCGTCCTCTAGTGGCTGTAACAAACCACTTGAGAATAAATCAGTTTGTATTTAAGAACTTGGTTTTACAGCCTCATCAGTCTTAATATTTTAAAAATCTTGTGTTTTTCTGAACTCTTCTTTTCTTCTTCTCTGCACATATTGTATGATATCAAATACAAATTATAGTAATGGAGGAATGGAGGAAGTAATTAAGACACAGGTGTGTTGGCAGTCAGGAGGCATGGGTGGTGGGGAGACTACACGGTTTTTACTGCACGCTATGCCGGTCCACAGCTCGCCGTTCTGCTTCACTTCACTTCAGTAAAGTCACAGTCTGTAGCCTAACACCTCACCACTACATCGCTAAAATAACCTGTCTTTTGTAATGTTGAAAATAAATGGGAACCTCACCCAAAAGTAAGTACGGATCGGACAATCATCCCTTCATCCATTCATCACGCACAGCGCGTCAAAAACATTGTTGCACAGTGGCTAAAATGTTGCCAGGATAGTCGCTATACAAATAATTTAAAATGCTGTGAGGAGACAGGCTGTAAGTGTGTGCAAAGGATTCAAGAACTTTCATCTTTCGAAAACACAACTTAAGACATGGTTTAAACTAAAATGTCACAATTTATTTGCATGTGCAAAATGTGGTGCAGCCTCTGTGTCAACATGGCTGCTCTCCTTCCAGAGTTTCCTCTGTCCTTTTCAGTCACCAGCTGGATAACTGCTGTGTTTGGAGGCCACTCTTACACTTGTTAAACTATAATGAAAAGACAAAAATATTAAAATACAATATCCTTTAACAGATATCCACCAAAGTATGTAGAGACCAATCTTTAAGAAGTGATTACATTCTGAAAGAAAAGAGCAGAGGATGCAGTCAGTGTACCTTCATGCCCTGAAACTCTTGTAATGTAATCATGTTAACCATCTTTGCTGCTGTTCTCATCTTATCTTCTTTTTTCGGCTGCTCATCATCTTCACTCTCATCCTTGCGTGTGTCTGTTGTATAGAGATAAATATAAGGAGATGAAAGATGAAGAAAATGCAGGTCAATAGAGCAGCACACAAAGACAACAGTTTAATGAAACAAACACATTCATCAAACTTTACTTACTTTACTTCTCCACGTCGTCTTGTTCATTCAATCTCCTTCTGCATCACGGAGTTGGTCGTCATCTTTGGCCTCCTCTGGAGTCATTTTAGGCGTTTGACTCTTTGAAGTTACCTGAAACAAACATGAATTTCAGCCCTTCAGTTAAAATGGTGTATTTTTTTCTTAAAAGCCGAACCTTTTAAGTAGTTATAGAGTTATTTACCTTCAAATTCCCAGAAACACACAGTACATCCATCATTCATCTTTTCTTCGTCTCTCTCTTCATGGGCCTGTCTCTTGTATGTTTGGTCCTCCTGCGTCTTCTGTCTCGTGCTCGGCTCTTCTGGGGGTTTCTTCTCAATTGAGGTCCTTTTCCTAAAAAAAAACAAAAAGAAAATGGGTCCTACACTGACTTTGTTTCATGTTAACAATGACTCTGGAGGAACCAAACTCACCTTTAGACTCACTTACCCACTAAGTGAATAAATCAAGTAAAGAGGTCCTGCGAAAGAACGTGACACAACACAACACATCACAACACAAACACACACACGACAACACAACACACAGAAGAAAACAACACATCTCAAGACACTATACTAAAACTGCGCCACTACACAAAACATCCCAACACATAACATCAAAATAAATAACCACACAACACAACCAAGGACTTTTGAAGTTCTGCCCAAAAAGTCCAAGGTGAAGTCCTTTTTCCTGCCTTTAATTGAAGCTTTTTTGTTTTTTTTAGTCGCCAGTGCGAGAGGAGGAGCTGGAGCGGAGCGAGGGATTTGTTGTCATTGACTTAAATGCAGAGCAGGATGCCGGAGGCTTTTATTGGAGGAGGAGAGGAGATGCTGCTGAGGAGCTGGAGACTAACTAATGCAGAATTAACAAACAACCCAATATTCCTAATAATTTAACTTCAGCCAAATTTAGAGGAGAGGGTGGAGCTGGAAAAGAGCAGGTGGAAGAGCCAGTGTATTTACTTATTCTAACTTAACTTGAATTATCATAACTAAACAACTTAACTTGTTGTTACTTATCTTAACTTAAACTTAACTTACTCTAACTTATCTTAATTAAACAACTTAACTTATTCTAACTTATCTTAATTAAACAACTTAACTTACTCTAACTTAACTTATCATAACTAAACAACTTAACTTACTCTAACTTAACTTATCATAACTGAACAACTTAACTTACTCTAACTTAACTTATCTAACTTGGCAAACAACTAAAATTATCTATTACTGTGCTACAGCTTAATAACTAAATTAAACTACAGCACAACGTGACCCCCAAAAGGACTCTTGCTTGGACGGTTGTTTCTCTTCTTTCCCTTCTTTCCTTTCTTTTGCTCTGCCTTATAAGTGGACACTAGCACGTGCATTGTTTTAACCACTTCAGGATTAAGGGTACCTTCCACTGGCCAAGGCTGGTCAATGTCAGGCCACCTCTTACTCCATTTCTTAGACATCTTTTCGATACCCTTAACAAGTGGATTACTCTTTATCACTACATCAACTGGAGTGATAGTTTTCAAACCTTTAACGTCTTCATAGGAATCAAAAGCACCAACAGATGACCAAACACGTTATTCACAGCGCCGTTAAGCTAATTTACCTTAAAACAAGACAAGCCAAAGAAATCTGCCAGCCCCAGAGACTTAGAACTTATCAACACTCAAAAAAGATCAATTTGTGTGATTTAACCAAGCAGCAATGACAAACCACATCCACAAGCTTCAGCAAAATTTGGACCTCTTGGAAATGCTCTTTTAATTCAACAATACTACGGTACTTAATCAGCCCTTTCAACTGGTCAGTCTATTGCCAAGCCTTTCTTTTTACCAACAAACCTACTGCTTTTATTTTCTAGCACTACCAAATGTATACACCCAACTAAATGTGTTCCCGCTATAAATGTGTGTATGTACAACTAAGTAGCAGCAGATGCATAGGAGAAGAGTTTGTAGATAAAACTGTACTGGCCTGTCAAATGAGAGCAGGTCCTGGTTGAGCCTCTCATCCGCAAGCCCCCTCTTGTTGCAGCACAGCCAATTATCTTCTTATCTGTCTTGTGGGCGCTCCAGCGTCAGATGCCTTTCATTCTCCTCTCCCCTCTCATGCATCAGAGTTAGGGACAAAGAACAAATCAAATGTTTAGTACATTACAATCACTTCATTCAATACAATTTAAAACGTTTACTACCACTATTTAAAGATTTCTTCTACCATAAGACTACCTAAATTTATTATACACCATTCCCCTTATCATGGTATATCATTTAAAATTTTCACACATCTAGGATAGTTAAACTAGATTTTTTTAGCTTTCTTTCTGTTCTCAGGCCTGTAAGAAGAGAAAGAAAGAGGGAGGAAAAGCTCCCTGGATTTTTCAAATTTTTAACTGGGCTTTTCCCTCTAAACATGATCATCAGCAAGTGACCATTCACTTTAAATATTCACACACACACACAGAGGAAAACCACACCCATCAGTTAGCAAATCACTCCATTTTACCCCACTCTCTTACTCTGTTTTTTCCTGTATCTGTATGAACACAAATGTGCTTGTGTACACTTCTTTAATTGTCATTTTAATCGAGGATGTTATCACCATCCAAAGTCCTCCTCATCTAATAAGGGGCTCATTTCTTACTATTAGGTGTACAAACGTCCTCTTTATCCTGAGAGGCTCATAGCAGTTACTTATTCTATTAATGTCCCTGTACAAAGAAAAACAGGGCTCATATGTTTTTTAACACTACAAAGGCAGCAGTATCTCTACCCTTATATGTTAATTTCTTATATCATATCATTATACATAAGCTATCATTTATCACTTTATCATAAGTTAATCACTTATATTTATGCTAGACCCTTCCCCAACTTTGTGCACACACAACTCACTGCACACAGACTCTTTTGCACTCACACTTGCAGCTCAGCACCCATACACACACTCCTCTCACACACACACCAGAAGCTTCTCTCACACACTCAAACTTCAGCACACCTCTTCTCACTGAGCTCAATGTTTCCTTACTATAGTATATAGGCCTTTTTTTCTTCTTTAAACTGTCCTTACCGGTTTGTTATGCCCAATCACGACTTCCCTAACATTAAATCAGATACCACATTAGTATAAAATAAACTGTGAAATAAGTTTCAGGCTGACGGCTTTAAATAGCCCAGAAGACATAAAAAATGTCTTATAGAGATTTCTCACATGAGCTTTTCTGCTCTTAAGCACATAGAGTCTTAGGCATGGTGGGCAGGACTTTCATACGATGTCAATGCATCACTTTTATGAAAACCATCCGAACGTCTCGACGGTAACACACACAAAAAACGCCTATGTTCACTTATTTTCAGTTAATTTTGATCATGCCTGTCACATTAAAGTCATAAACACTGTAAATATCCATGCACACATTTAATCCTTGTCGATGTATCGCTTAACCATCACCAAAGTCTCGACAGTAACACAAGTTTGTATGATAATATTGTCATGAAATCTTACGGTCTCCATGTCGTAGATGTTGTCCTCTTTGTTCAGGTGTTGGTCGAAGGTGTTTGTCGGAGATACTGTCCTCTTTGTTCAGGTGTTGGTCGAAGGTGTTTGTCGGAATCCTTGGTCGTATGGTGAGGTTTTATTAACGATGAAGCCGTCAAAAGTTGTAAGTTCGTGAGCCACAAGTTTTTCGTGCTGTTCTCTTCAGATTTGCTCTTCAGAAATGATCGCTCTCTTTGGCTTGTAAAGATTTAAAGTTTTGACATCGTTACAGGTTACCATGGAGATTTTAAATGCTGTTTACTTGAAAAAACCCTTATAGCTACTGGAAGATTATATCTACAAGTTTAATATTAACTTTAATTTACTTTAATCTCAATGGAATATAAATATCTCGAAGTAAAGTGGAGGTTATTTTTCGTCAACTAGTTTAAGAGTTTAAAAAGCATTAAAAAAAAAAAAACCTTCCTTATTTCGGTACAAAACGACCCCTTTTTGAAAACTATAGCTTAGTAGGCCTATGTCTCATAGGTAACCCGACAAAACTGGAAACTTTATGTTTCATTATAAATTCCACTGAAGCCTTTACTTCAATGAAATTCAGTCATTTTTCTTTAGAAGGCTACTAAAAATAGTATATATATATATATACTCCTATCATATCAATATTTTAGAGCAGTAACTAGATCTGTAAAGCACTTTGTCACCCTTGTTTTAAAAAACACTTAAAGTTGATCATTGTTATTTGACAAAGCCCATTATAAGACATCAAAAAAGCCATAAAGATATCGAATTTTGAACTTTAAAAGAACTTTAAAAATTAAAAATATCACATCAGCTCTGAGCCAAAAGACCCTTTCACTTAAGTAAAAAGAGGACTATTTTCATGTGATGGTACTTTACACTAATTCACACATAGATTGAAGTCATCACATGCTTTTATTAACTTGAAAAATCTTTCTAAATCGGCATAAATAATAAAAGATGTTTGGCTGAAAAAGAGATTTGACAGAATATGAAATATAGGCTAATCTAAAAATACATACATTCTATATACAGTCTATGCGTCCAACTAGCAGGCTGTGGCTAAAAAATCGATCCCAATTCCTAACTAAAAAAAAACGGAATTGCATTTGTAATTACAATTTGAGCATACTAAAATTAAAATCATTTTACATATAAAGGGGTCCCTCGATACCATTTACACACGTTATTGGCATTAAACTTGTTGATATTTTATCATTTAACCTCGGTGAGTGCTTGCCTTGTGGCCATAGAAGCGAATGGCGTCCGACGTGACAGGCGGTCATATTGGAACTACTGAGAGTTCCATAACCCGGAAGTGGGGTCCGCCGGGCTGGAGTGTCTCCACTCTGTTTAATCCACTGCTCTGCTCTGACCCAGAGCAGTGGATTTGCTCTGGCGCCGCCCATAATGTTTCAGCGCGAGCACAAGACAGCTGTCACAGTCATAGACATAACAAAAGGGTAGACCCCGCTGGGGGTGGTGCGCAGCGAGAAATGCGGCCGCCATCTTGGTCAGGTCAAGCTTCCCATACGCTCCGGTCAATCATATTCATTCATTCATTCATTCAGCGATGCCGGAGCACTGTGCGGCGTATTCCTGTGCCAACAGGCGGACAGCAGAGAACAGGGCTCAAGAAATAACTTTTCACAGTTATGATTAAACGTTTTTTAAACATTACACTTGACTGTAGAGTCATTTGTAGGCCAAAGAGGAAGACTATCGGTCAACTCCAAAAAGGAAACAGCATTTGCGAACAGCTAGCTTATTCACAATAATAGCAACTTTGGTCGATTATCAACAGATTTGCATTAGATTGAAAAACTTTTGTTTGAGAGAGGTTCTAAGAAACGTTAAGAAATAAAATAGAAAGAAAAAGGAAGAAAGTGAGCTCTGTTTTATTATCTGTTTTATTAAAGATTTCTTTGTGGTGATCTCCTGTTTCATTTTGAAGATTTCCTAAGGACAAAAACTTGAGGAAGAAGTGGGAGATTGCTGTTAGAGGGAGAAATTCGCAGCAAGTGATTCCTCTGTGCTGTGTAGCCAACAAGCAAATTGATATGTAGTTTAGATGCTGTCCTGTCATGCTGTTCTTGTGTTTAAATTTTTTTGATATGTAGGTTATATATTTGTGTGTATTTTCCAGTTATTAAAATAGTGCTTCTATATGACATTATTTGTGTGTGTCTACAAATGGATAAATAAAATTAAACTATATAAAAATTTATAATCAAATCAATATATATTGAATTGGCCTATTAAAACCACCAGTTATTAATAATTATTGAGACATAGCAGGAACCTAGCTCTAAACCTAAATATATCCTTGATTAATTGTTATACTATAATACAGCCACTGCTGCCATGTTCTAAAATATCATTTTATTCATTATGAGTATTTGAAAACGCCAAAAAAAAATATGGCCTCTATCATGCCTCTTTGAATGGCGTTTGCAGAGAAGAAAATTACGTAGTATTGAGCGAACTATGATTCATTTAATGCGCTCAGACTTCATTCCGCCGGTTAAACAGCAGTGCAGAGTGAGGCGGATGACCGGACCAAGATGGCGGCCGCATTTCTCGACAGCGCCCATTCGTGGTAGCGGCCGATGCGGGGTCTATCTTTTATTATGTCTATGGTCACAGTTACAGGGTAGCCCATAGACACTATATACGTAGACGCCTCATTACGTGCTAAAGCGTAATCTAGCGTCACCGCCATAGTGGATGGGTCTCCCCACTCCAAGTTCGCTTAAGAGCCAAACGGGGTCAATGGAGAACGAGCAAATATACCCGTTTGTTTGCACTCCATGGTTGGAAAAACCCGACGCAGTATTGAAACCAGATCACGTAGGATTTCACAAATAGCATTGACAAATATATATTTTTTTTTTAATGTGTGACATTGTCCTGTATTATTTCTTCATCCCTCCCGTTGTAACAAACCAAACAGTGTAAAAATCGGGCAGAGATTCGGAGAGTTACTATCAATATGGTTGGGCATTCCTACCCATCTTATTGCACTGGAGGCGCGTGGGGGACCCATCCAAGATGGCGGCCGCGCTGATACGCGAGTTCCAATAGGTAGCGTCAGGCTTTGAGACGTCTACGTATATAATGTCTATGGGGTAGTCTACAACAAAAAAATGCTAAAATAAGGTAAATAATTTTTGTAAAAATCAAACAAGTCGTAATTTTATAACCTGCTTATCCTACAACATGTTTAAAGGTTTTTTTGTTTGTTTGTTTTTTACAGTTGACGCATTGTGTTTAATGACGTATTTCCGTTACTTGTGGTGTTTGGGTCCGGTTCAAAGGTTCTCAACGTGGCTCCTGATGCTTTCCAGCGTGGGGAGTTTGAAGCAAAGAAAGTAAAGACAGCGTTGGGTAAACAAAAAGTATTTCTCGTGTATGTTGTAAATACTGTGAAGTGTAAATGAATCGTTTAACAGGTTATGTGTTTTAAACCTGTGGGATGGTTGATCACGGGTGGGGGGAGGCAATACTTTCAGTCTCTGTAGACTCTGTGTTGATGTCTCTGGTCCAGCTTTAATAACACGCCTGTTTGTGTTTTAGGTTAAAAGATGGGTGAGTTTAAGGTGCACCGTGTTCGGTTTTTTGACTACATGCCAAGTGCTATCAGAGCCATGGTGTTCAACAGGAAGACTGAGCGGCTGGCTCTGGCCCGGGCTGATGGATCTCTGGAGATCTTCTGCTTTGCTGATCACTATTTTCAAGAAAAGGTAAGAAGTCAGAGAAAGTCCAGGTACCCCCCTGGTACAGCTTTTGACACTGCAAATATGAACATAAGCATGTCAAATGGTACGCATTGTTAAAATTGAGCAGCACACACTGAAGTCCCTATAAAAATGTGTTCTGATCGGTTTAAGTTCTCTGTAAAGAAATAAAGATAGGTGTTAGTACTGGATATTTTATGTTGAAGAGTACTTTCAGGTGCTACTCCAGAAATCTACAACCCTCATTCCTGAAGACATGATAAGAATAATAATGAGTTTTACCATCACTCTGTTTGAGAGCCGAGGTGACCAGTTTCCGGAGTTTTGAGAGATAAATAAAAGAGCTGTGCTGTTGTGATACGCACAAAATATTTATTGGTATCTTATTTCTAAAAGAAGCAAGGTCTTCCCGGAAATGCATTGTCTAGATGGCAGCAGATGTTGTCCCTAAACAAACAAATAAACCAGGTGGTCCCATACCTGTCAAGTTTTGGTTTGGAAAATAAGAGAAATTTTCAGACCATATGGGAAGGACTGAGATGGATTATCTTAACTTTGTTTTTATAGCACTTTTAAAAACAGAAGTTTACAAAGTGCTTTGACAAACAGTCAAAAAGCACATGGAAATAAAGACAAATAAAAAGGAAAAGCTCAGTTAAAACAGAATTGCAGACCATTGTCATATGTCATAAGGAACCCAGACAATACAAGAACCATGCAACATAAAATGAGACCATGAGGACCAAAATAAAAACAAAGAATAGGTAAGAAAAAGAAAATGCAATAAAAAAGGGGGATTGAAGCAGAAAACAGGATAGTAAGTAGTAGGATAGTTATTTTACTGACTGTAAAAGTCTGTAAAAATTAGTTTTTAAATTTGACTTAAAAGGGGCGACTGTCTTTACACGCCTTAACTCCTCTGGCAGGTCGTTCCAAAGTCGAGAAGCTCTGATGGAGAAAGCCCCGTCACGTTTTGTTTTGAGTCTCGACTTTGGAACGACCAGGGGACCTTAGCCAGAGATCTGTCAGACCACAAGACAGTGTTCCACCTGTCTTGAGCCCATCCTGAGAAGGCATGGACCCAGAAAATTTGCAGACACCTCTGGTTCATGTTTATGGTTTCCTCTTTGCACAGTGCAGTTTAAACCTGCAGTTTTGGATGTAGTGATGAACTGTAAATATAGACAATGGTTTTTGAGAGTAGTTCTGAATCCATGCAATGATTTCCACCACAGAGTTGTGTACATTTTTGGTGCCCTTTGGACCAAAGACCCCAGCTACCCAGTACGTTATTGGTTTTGCCCCCTTTTGTAGAGAGATTCTGACTCTTTTTAATAACATTATAGACTAGTTGTGGGTGAAACCCTCAAATTCTCTGCAGTTTTATGCCAGAGGAATAATATTCTGGAATTACTGAATGATCTCCTCACCCACTTTTCCACACAGTTGCAAACCATGTTTTTGAGTAAGGATGTGCAGGGGTGATATTTAACATTGTTTTTGATTTGATGCGCAGGTCATTCCAGGACGGGATGGCAGGGCAGTTGAGGCTCTGTGTTGGGTGGGCGAGCGTCTGTTCAGTGCTGGTTTAAATGGAGAGATCACAGAGTATGACCTTGAGAACTTGAGGCCCCGGTATACAGTGGAAGCCTATGGGGGACCAATTTGGACCATCAGCAGCAACATCCAGGGAACCCTGTTGGCGGTCAGTCAAGATTTTGTGTACATAATATTACCCTTTTTATTCCACTTAAGTCTTCTACCCAGCCTTATACCCTTAAGGTCAGCATTGGGGTCGATGGTCACTTCTTGCCTTTAGCCAATTAATTGGATGTTTTCTGTTTCAGGTGGGTTGTGAGGATGGTACTGTGAAAATATTTGAAGTCCTGGAGGACAGAATTCAATTTCAAAGAAACTTGGACAGACAGAAAGGTAAGAAAACAAGCTGATTGAGAAAGTCTATTATGTAAATACCAGAATGGATAACTTGTATGCTTGAAGCTTTTCAAAGTAATTCCATGACAGTTTCAAAGACGGTTTTCTTCTCTCCATTATTTTGTTGTGGGTTTATAATGATGGAACTCGTCTGTGTCTTGGTAACATTTGGTGTTAAATTAGTTTTATGTGATCCTCCAGGTCGTATCATATCTCTTTCCTGGCATCCTGACAGTACACAGATCGCTGCTGGCATGATGGACATGATCAGGATATTTGATGCTGAGACAGGTAACCACCACAATTTGACAATTAAAATTGATTAGCACAACGTTTAGTATTCAAGCTGAAGAAAAGCAGATGAGTGTGGTGTCTTTTAAATCTTCACGACCGCCTGTTCCTGGTGATATGATTTTCCCCCTAAATTTTAGTTTTATGTGTGTGTCCTTGCTGTAGGCCATGCTACACACAGACTGCTGGTTGAGAGAGGTGTAGGAGCATCTAAGAGCAAAGAGGTGGTGGTCTGGAGCATCACCTTCCTGTCCGACCACACCATCATTAGCGGGGATTCTGCAGGAAAGGTTCAAATCTGGGATGGATTCACAGGAACTCTAGTCAGGAGTCACCTGGTCACCAAATGGGATGTTCTGGCTCTTTCTGTTTCCCATGTAAGTTTAGATCCACAATAAGTGAAAGAAACGTGGACTCTTGTATCCAGACAGAGTCACGGTAAATTTTGATCCTCTGAATCTGTCACAGGATGAGAGCAGTCTGATAGCCGGGACGTCAGAGGGAACAGTCATCCAGTTTCAGTTCCTTTCTCCAACCGTGAACCAGGAGGATAAAGAGTGGATCAGAACCAGAACTTTTAAAAACCACTCTCATGATGTGAGGGCACTCGCCCACACTGATACTGCTGTGGTTTCAGGAGGTCAGTATTACATATGTTAAGGTACCTATTCTCTGTAACAATCTATTAAAATCTGTATACAAACTTGGCATGATGCTCAAGATTCTGATGCATGTTTTTCTGTCAGGTATGGACACCCAGCTGGTAGTTCGACCCTTGCTGGACAAGGTGGAGAAAAATACCCAGGAGTCAGCGCTGCGCAAAATAGCTTTCCCACATGTGAGTCTTCATCAACGCGACTGTAATCAATCATCTTTTGCTCAAGAGAAGAATAATTTTTGGAGAAACTTTAAAGACACTTTTTTGGCTTTCATGTGGCTGTAAATAAAATGTGGTCATGTTTGTTGCTATGGTGACATGCTCACCTGTGTCTCTCTTCATGCAGAGAAATCTGGTGTGTTGTGCGAAGAAAGCGGGACTGTTGCTCTTTCAGTATCCTGAGCATTTAGAGGTGTGGAGAGTCGGGGAGAGTGATGTACATGGTGAGGTCAAAACACACACACACACACACACACACACACACACACACACACACACACACACACAGAGGGAACTTGTGTGCATAATAATAACTGTCCCATAGCGCCAAGTATGGCTGCGCTCACCCAAGTGTCTGTACTGCGACACCCTCTCTCCCCAACACCTGCCCCCCTCCCACATGTGCAAGTTCTTGTTGTAATGTCTTATTATGTTGCTTATAAGCGGAGGTGTTTTTTACTTATCCCACACTGTTGTCCCGGTCGTCGGCGACCCGACAGTTCTCCTGTTCCTGTCCCCCCCTGTATGTGTCTGTCTACTGTATGTTTCTTGGAAAGGATGAACTGTGAATTGGACCTTCCCTTGTGGGATTAATAAAGGATGATCTGATCTTATCTTATTGGATGTTATGTGTTGGCAGGAAAGCCTGGTGACAGACTCCCTGTGAAGAGGAAACCAGAAAAGCTGATCCAGCTGAAGTCAAAGGTGAGCACTGATGCTGATCCTCCGTCTCTTAACCCTTGTACCTTCTTTCCTCAGAATCCCTAATCTGGCATTAGTGGCACGGAACTGCCACTGTCACTTACTGGCCTATAAAATCATCTATAAATGAAAAATTGCCCTTTTTTTTATTACGGCTGTCATCATTGACTTCTGCTCTAACCACTCATAAGAAAAAATCACTCAGTTTCAAACTTTTAACCCTTTTAATTTTAGTGTTAACACACCGTAAAAAATGCCCAAAATTTAAAAAAAAGGGCTAAAAATAATAAGAGTAATGCAAAATCAAATTTCTTTGTGCAAGATTATCAGAACCTATGAGTGGTATAAGTATGTGTAAAATTAGTTTTAGTTGCAGTTTCAGTTTTTGCGTCACAGCCTAAAATAAAAAAAAAACGACTAATCTTGCATTAGTGGCACTGAACTGCCACTCACTTAGTGGCCTATAAAATCATCTACAAATGAAAAGTTGCCCTTTTTTTATCATGGCTGTCATCATTGACTTCTGCTCTAACCACTCATAAGAAAAAATCACCCAGTTTCAAACTTTTAACCCTTTTAATTTTAGTTTGAAACATGTGTGTGCATGTGTGGGTGTTTGTGTGTGACTGCGTGCGTGCGTTTGTGCGTGCGTGTGTGTGCGAGTGTGTGTGTGTGTGTGTGTGCCTGCGTGCAAGTGTGTGTGTGTGTGCGCGTGTGTGTGTGTGCGTGTGTGCTTGTGATCAGTGGAGCTGAGGGGAGGTACCTTCAGATCAGGTGGCGCGGCACAGCAATTAGCCTACGAGTTACGTCGGACTGCCGGATGCAAAACCCCGTTACCTGGAAGAAGAAGAAGAGGTCGGGACCAGAGCAGTGGATTAAACGCTGCTCTGGTCGGGACTGACCCGCGATGGGGATGAGCTTTGTGTGTGTGTGTGTGTGTGTGTGTGTGTGTGTGTGTGTGTGTCCGCCGCGACGCGCGTAAAATTTGCCGGCGAAGACCATCCGACACCCCCGTTTGCGTGTGGTGAGGTGAGGTGAACACCTCCAGAGCAGCCAGCGACTCCACGCCTTTGCTGACGCGGGCCTAAGGCTATCTGATCACGGGTAACGGGGCGGCTGTACCCGGGGCAACCTCGGACGCTTGGGGCGCATGTGCCATGAACGCAATCGCTGGCTGTGGCGAGCGCGCGCAAGATCGTGCGCGTGCACAAACATTTGCACACGAACACACACGACCATGCACAAACTGAAAACACTAACACATAAAAAAAATACATGCACACCTGATTTATTCACTTCTACAGTCTACTTTTGTTTTTTTGCAAAAAATGGCCTCTCACTGAAGGTCAATAACGGATATGAAAACAAATGAAATTTCAGCATTCATAATTTGAAAAAGTTGGATTGGAAATAGACTCAAGATAAAATGCAAAAAAATGGGGGGTAAAATCTGATTTGAACTCTTGTGGCGGTATATTACAAACAGGTAGCAGATTTTCCTTCCAAATGACTGAATCTGTCATAGGCTGTGGTTTACGGGTGTGTCAAACTGACCAAAATGGTAAAAAAAACAAAAAAACACCAGAATAACAAATTTGAGACAGTTTCATGCCCAAATAAAGTAAAATGATAAAAATAAAATAAAAAATTGCTTCCTTTTATTAGAGATAAAGTTATGTGCATTTTTTGATTTTTGAATATTGTAATTTTTGTCAAATTCCCATAAGGAATAATGGGGTTTTGACCACCTGGCTAGATCAGCCTCTATTATTCATGAAAAAAAAGGTGCACCTTGTGGCTGAAAGTGCACAGTGCATCTTTGATGTCTTCAGAAAAGGGGGAAAACAGTCTTTGCTGAAATTCATTTTTTCCCACTGATATGGGTATATGTAAAAGACAAGTGGTTTCCCATTGGAATGCATGTGGCACTTGTGTGGCGCTAATGCAAGATTAAGCATATTCAAATAAAAAAACACATAACCATAGGGTTTTTTTTCTTCAATTTCAGGTATATCATGCCTCATCACAAAATACACATTTTCTAGGAATTTCTTTGCAAGGGCATTAATAGAAAAAAAGTTATAGCATCAAAGACAAGGCCTTACCCCTCCAGAAACCTTAAGAAGGTACAAGGGTTAAGTCAGTATGGTTACATGCACGGTTCAGTCAAAGTACAGTTAGTCCATTTGATGATTTAACTACTTTACTTTCTGTCACTTTTGGCTCAGTATGTCTTATGGAAATATAAAAAAAAGTCACCAGTCTCACTGAGATATTAATCAAACTTTTACATTGTTGTCAGAATCAGTTTTCTCCCAGACACTACACTTCTTTGTCAGTTTACCTCAATTAGGAAGATCAAAATAAAGCTCTCTCTGTCATTCTCATTCTCTTCTCTTTTTCTCTTTTTCTCTCTCTTGTCTCTCTCTCTGTGCATGTGCGTACGCTCTGACCCTCGCAGGGGGAGGATCACATCTGCTGCAGTGCTCTGTCTCCTTGTGGAGGCTGGTTAGCTTACTCCACAGCCTCCGGTGTCCGTCTGTACAGGTTACAGTACAACAACATCAGTATCACAAAGGTTTGTTGTCATCGTTTGCACAGCCCCTGTACGTCAACAGTAAAACATCAGCAGCTAACTTTTTAAAACTCTTTTTAAGAATTTGGCTAAATGTAATCACTCAGTGTCTATTTGAAGTGTTATTCTCAGAATGACAGACCAGGACTTTGATGGAGCTCATCCCTCTGTCTTCTTTTCTCTCCTCTCTCCAGGTCTCCAGATTACCCAAAGAGCTGCGCTGGGCTCACCAGCTCTGCTTTTCTTCAGACTCTTCTAAACTCTTTGCTTCCACCAGTAACTCTTCAGTCGTTGTTGCTGCCCTCAATCAGCTGGAGTGCAAATACCTCCACACTTTAAGACCGAAGTCGGGTTAGTCTCAGTTAGTCCTGACTGCTTTGGAGCTTCTGCAGACTTGCATGAGTCCACCCAAAATATCAAGCTGTTAATGACTTGTGTTGATTTTATATAGAACCTTATATCAGACCTTACTCCATACAGATTTCTATATGTTCTGTATATTTAAACATTCTTTGTGTATTGATCAGGTTCACGGCAGCCGGTCCACTTGCTGTTCGCTAGTGAAGATGGGAAATGGCTGGCAACAGCAAACACCGACTGTGAGGTCCATGTCTACAACCTTCACAAGCTAAAGGTGAGAGGGGACTGTGGTGTTTCTCCAACATATATCTTGATGTATAAGTTACATTATTCCCTGATTGTTGTTGGTCTATTAAGTGTCGCCTCTTAACTCCTAAATCCTCTCCTATGTCTGCAGCTGCATTGCACAGTCCCAGTGTACAGCTCCTGCCCCACCGCCTTGGCCATCAACCCAGCAACAAGCAACCTGGTTGTGGTGCATGCAGACCAGCAGGTATACACAGCAGCAGACTGGAGTTAAACAGTCTTTATCATCTTTCTGCAGCTGCATGTTGAAACAAAGCCCTGGAACGATTTCTGAAATGGGTCAAACCAGCTGCTGATTTTCACACTTAAATATGTCAATTGGGACAGTACATAAAGATATATACTGTCTGTATGTCTGTCTGTTCGTCCGTTTATTTTTATTTTTATTATTATTATTATTTATTTATTTATTTTTATTTTTTTAATTTCCTCAGAGCTTATATTGAGGTAGATACACTCTGGATCTCACCAAGATGTGTTTTCTGCTTGTTGTGTTGTTGTGCTACAGATCTTTGAGTACTCTCTGGTGCAGAAGGAGTACACAGAGTGGAGTCGAAAGCTGCAGAAACAAGGACTGCACTTCCTGTGGTTGGAGAGAGACACGCCCATCACCAATATCGCCTTCAACCCCCAAAACTCCGCACACATCATCCTGCACGACATGTTCATGTTCTGCATCATTGACCAGAGTCTGGTATGTGATATCTGATTAATCACTGTACGTGTCACTCTTCACGCATCAAATCACGACGCACTACTGAAAGATTGAAATGCTTCAGATGTAATGCATAGATCTGTCTTTGTTTCCATGTGCAGCCGCTTCCTGGAGCAAAGACTCTGCTGTACAATCAGATGACATTAAAGAGTCTTCCTGAGAAGGAGCGGATACAACACAGCCATGCCTTCAAGATATGCAAGAACTTCCAGGTATTTGACACAATTCAAGCAGACTCTGATTCTGCAGTCTGTAGGGGGGCACGGAAGTAGATCACAACCTGATCAGCTACCCCTCATCTGTCAAATCATTTTTAAACATGTTCTGCTCTCACACAGTGGAAGCAGTGCCATGAGCCAAGTCCCCAACTTTGTCTTAGTTGCTCCTGTGCAAAATGGCAGAGTGTCTGAAAGTATCATAGTGGCTCACCTTATGATTTGGACACCTGAAGTATAGATAAATATACAGTCATCAGTCCTAACTTTACCGCCACATGTGCTTTTTTAATGCAGTCTACTTGAGCAGCTTTACCACATATTTTTTTTACTTTAATATATTCTTTTATGCTTTTATCATATTCTCTGACTTAGACTTATGTCTGTGGGAGTTTTCCAAGAAAGCAATTTGACAGTGTGAATACTCAGGTCATACAGTACTGATACAGTGGAAATTTACATCCCACCATAACATTTATACAACCACATGGACCTGACGCACTAGTGAGACACTTGAAGGGATATTCTGGCATAAATTTAAGTTATGGTCAAACATACCGTAATGCTGAGTTAGTCACCCCCTTGAGAGATGAATGTTGCCGACTGCTTGCTTCTCTAGTTATACCAACTTTAGTAACAACCACACGGTAGCAATACACAGCGGTCTATGGATCCACGCGCAAACCTTAACCAAAAAGCCACTCTATAACCACAAATAATGCTCAGAACAGCACCTAACTTCATCAACAGTACATATAGGGTCCCAGCCATAGTACTAGCCACCTAACAGCTTTTTAGCTTTGCCTGATTTCTTTTGCAAAGAGACTAAACACAACTCACCCACTCTCCTCCAATTAAATGCAACTTTTTAAACTAAACTTGGATAGATATTCCTGTTCTTCAAACCTTGTGTTTTCTGATGTTTTCCTGTGTTTTCTGCAGAATCTTCTGTGTGTATGTCTTCTGGAGGATCACTCCCTGGTTGTGGTGGAGCGACCCTTGCTGGACATCATGTCTCAGTTGCCTGCACCTGTGCGTCAGAAGAAGTTTGCTACATGAGTAAACTGTTGGCGAAAAGGAATATTGATAATTTACTGTATCACCCACATCTGGATTACAACAACTGTTTGTGAGTCGCCACTTTGTAAAAAAGCTTTGTTAACAAAAAGTAATTAAACAGAACTACTTACTGCCTCTCCTGTTTGACTAACTCCTCTGTGTGAACACCCAAGTGGGGTGAGATGTAAAGTCTGACCAGGGTTTTGGAGGTGGAGGGGACCCACAGTGCAATTTAAGCCAGGGCTACATTGATTAATAGCAATGGTGTCTGTCTTTAGCCTTCTGCGTCTATTATCACCGACCTTTGGAAATTTTGGGATGTTCAAGGTGTCCCATCACTGTCACATCGTCTGTGACTCGTGCAGAACATAGACTTTATACTTAGATTCATGAAAAAAATAACTTTTTAGGTGAAAGTGTTTAATGGCACCGAACGTAGCTCTAGACCGTATAACCATTTTAAATTGTATAGCCACATCAAAAGGGGCTTCAATGACTCTTGAATCATTTTGGTCATTTTGAGGATTATCTTTATTTATAAGATATTACCTAACAACGCCAGGAAAAGGATTTCCACTGTGACAGCCAAGGTCCTTTCTGAGCCTGTGGGTATTTTGCTTTTATCCAAGCCGTCTAACTGCTTCGACAGAAAACAGGCATAATGACATCAAGCTAGGAGGACCTCCCTGAATTCAAATAGCCTTGAGAACATTTGTGAAAAAAAAAAAAAAAGGTTATATCTGTGTAATGGATTTCAAAAATATCTTTCTTTATACATGAAGCAATCCTTTTTTAAAACATGTGCGATATAGTCTGAGCCCATTCGTCTTAAAAACAATAACTTTTAGAGAAAATTCGTTGAAGAAGGGAGTCTGCTCTAAAAGATAAAATCACAAGGAGAGATCCTCATGAGTGGTTCCAAAACTTTGGCCAACTTGGGAACAAGCTACCTAAAGGTCAGAGTAAATTAACAATACTGGGTTCAAACTCATTACCTGTGTAATTTGTAAACAGGCTAAATTGTTCTTGTTGATCAGTGAAATGATGGGTTTAGCACAGCTTCTTACCAAACAGCAGAGGACACTGTTGTACATGACAGCCAGTGATAGAGAGATAGACAGCCACGGGAGAGTCCATTGTTGTTTTCCCACGGGTTTCTCTACATATTCCTCCATCCCCCTACAAATCTTCAAGTTTCAGCTCCAAATTGATCTTAATTGATTCCTTTAATTGACACTTGACAGATTTTATGGGGTAATGCTCACATTACCAGGTAGAGTCTAAAAGTCTGTCAACTGCTTGATGAAGCCTTTGGTTGGGGGTTTCAAGTAACTTGGTGTTGGGACCCACAGAAACAACTTGACCTATACACACATGACAAGTGAGGTATTTATTTGGACAGTAAATGTGGCTCAACTGGGCCCTTCTCAGTACACCTATGCAACAAATGTAGGATATTCCAAGGAAATAACAGTGATGACAAATTGAACTGGGCCCAAATGTGTTACAATTTACCACTGGAGCAACTTTGAATTAATGATCTATTTCCTGCTGTGTAAATTCCTTGACTAATACAAGTTATGTTTCTAATTCCCTTTCAAGTACATATGCAGGAAAAAGGTGTGTCATGATCAACCGCTTATGCAACATTTGAAGCCATTAAGTAACTGCGCGCCTGTGTCATCCAGTCAGTGTTGCTTTTTTTTTCTTCTTAAACTGCTGTCAGGCCTCAGTCTTGCGTGGTTAATTTCTTTACCCTTTTTCTTATTCTTTGTTTTGTATACATATTATGTGTACATAATACAAAAGGTTCCACTTAATCCTGCATTTAGTGTGACTTAAATACCTTCTAATGTTGGCACCAATGAGCCCAATTTAAGCTTCTGGTAGGCAATGTGTTTGACTTGTACATTTTTTTTGAATATTCATTTCTAATTTTAAACAATTTTAATCAATGACAAGATGCCATATGATGCCACCTTCTGCAGCAGCTATAGTCCATCACATAAACCAGCACACAAAGATCTCAGACTTGAGATTTTTATTGAGTACCTATCAAGTAGAAATATCAGGGACAAATCAAGGTTCAAGGTAGCCTTATTGTCAATTCTGCAAAATGTGTAACACATACAGAGGATTGAAACTGCATTACTCAAGGGCCCATGGTGCTACGGTAAATATTTAGTATAAAAATAAAATGTATAAAAGTATAAATCTGGTGTAAAAATATCCAAGCGAAAAGAAACATTTGTGCAAAAAGTTAAAGTGCAACACAAGTGCTGGAAAATCTACCTGTGAAACAGGAGGATCTTTCTCTTTCGTTTTGCCTCTGGCACATTTGACTTTAATTCCCCTGGAACTTCTGCAGCTAGTTAATGAACAAAAGTGGGAAGATACACCATAATGTAATGTTTGAGTTCTGGGTACTTATCAGCTAGGTCACACCAAAATCCATGTTATGCCAAAAATGAACATGGCGTCTTAACACAGTCTTGTAATCCACTAAGATGTCAAATACAGACCCTCAAACTCCATAATCACATGGATCCTTGGATCTGAATTAGTGTAAAAATACAATAACCTCACTGATATCATTGAACCTTTGTCTAGGGGATATATTTTCAGTCATTATGTCAGAAAAAAAATACAGAAAGACATTTAGTGTTTATTTCCTTTAAAGTCTGTTTTCTTTATTTTGCATCAAAAAAGCTGAACTTTCAAGTCTTGTACACAGTCCCACTGGAACCAACAAGATATCAAACTCACAGAATTTTATTTTTTCACCAACTAGTAACAATAACTTCAATTGTACAGCACCTTTGAAAACAGAAGTGTACAAAGTACTCTGGTAGATGAATCACACTTAAGTATAAAAGCATAGGAGTCAAACATCTTAAGTCACAGAGTAGACAATAAAGATTTCCAGAAGAGGGAAAAAATAAAAAATGAGCAAAAGGATAAGAAAAAGAGAGAGGAAATGGTGAAAATGTAGAAAACATCACATCAGAATACAAACAGATAAAAAATTGAGGGGCAAAGAGGTACAAATAAATTAACCAATAAATAAACAAATAAATAAGTAAAAAAAATAAGATGAATGTGGTTACAAATGGCTCAAACAAATGCATTACTATATACATTTTTAAATAAAGTTAATCGAACAAGTTTCAACTGAAAAGCAGTTAAAAACTAAATTCACATAAAAGAAAGTCTGTGAAAGTGAGTTTTGAGAAGTGATTTAAAAGATGTCACTGAATCTACACGACTTATCTCCTCATGGAAATCATCCCAGAGATGAGGGGCCCTGATAAAAAAAAAAAAAGCTTGAGATTTGGGCCTGGACTTTGGAACGACCTCCAGGACACCATCTGAAGATCTTAGACTGCGGGACAGCTCACATGGCATCAGCGTTTCTACAATATAACTTGGGGCAAGACCTAGACAAGCTTTGAAAGGGATCAGTGAAATCTTCAAATCAATTCTAAAACGCACAGGGAGCCAGAAGAGGGAAGTAAGAATAGGAGTGATGTGGTGTCGTGTAAAACCAGAAGCCTAGCTGCTGTGTTCTGGACAAGTTGGAAGCAAGGGAGAGAGATTTATGAGTGATACCAGAGAGGAGTGAGTTCAGCAGTCTAACCGAACAGTGCTTCAAATGCTTAAATATTTCACACAAAAACAAGATAATAAATAGATAATTATTTAAATATTATTAGAAGTTAAATTATTAGTTTATAAAACTATACAAAAGCTATAAAAAAGAGCTAATCACCCGTTTAAATGGGCTGCACTTTGTGGAGCTGTAACAAAGTCCTGAAACAGAGCACACAGGGTCTATAAAGACCTGAACAATAAATACACAGTATCATGTGATGGTTTCAAAATATATCAGCCTATCAAACAGGCAGGTATGAACTTAACTTGTAAAGCTTTATGAATGATCTCAGGGATGTCAGCTGTGCTTTGAGATGCAGCCAACTCATTACACTGTAACATCCCTGAGTTTTAACTGGTGTTTTAGAACAAACACAACCTTAGGTCCCATAGTGTCTCACCCTGACTGTGTGGTTTCTGGTCTTAGGCAGACACAGCCCACAGCCACCTTCAAGTAAACTGGTTTAAAGTGGTATCCTCCCTCATCCCCACAGGGCTCCTTCTTCAAAAACATTCTGGTCTGCATCAGGGGTTTTGAGACGTAGTCATCGGTAATGTCAAGCCCCTTGCCTGCACCAGTGTCGTTTTGTATCATGATGCATCCTTGACAGAGACACTCAGCCTCGATATAAGATGAAGGAAAATGATCGGTGAGTGTTCGATTCCTGTAACAAAACAAAATGCGCAGGTTACCCAAAACAGAGAGGAGATGTCATTGAGCTCTCATTACACAATGTTTTCCTGCTTTCACAACTGATTTTTAAACCAACCATTTAAATATTTCAATGCCGATTCTACACAACATCAGTGTGAGACACTAACACAAAGGCAGACCAACAACCCCCTATGTTCTGTGAAGATTTTGTAAATGGAGAAGAATTTTTAAGGCAGCATTTCCATTTCAGTCTTGACTGTATCACAGCTGTTCTGTTAGTGATGACCCGATTGAAGCATGTTTTTATCATGTCAATCAGCTTGACCTTGGGGATTATTTATTATAAGAAAGATTTTTTTGTGCTTAAAATACTTGTAAAGAGCAAAAACGAATAAAAAAAAAATCTACACTGAGCCTAAAAACTGCTTCATGCTAGTAAAGATAATGGAATAAAAAAATAGCCTTTTGAGTGCTGTGATTGAGTGAGCAACAATGATAAGGTCTTAGCTCTGCTTTCCTCTCTATTCTTGTTGTCTGTGTTGTTTGTATTTGCATATCCTATCATATAATTTCAAATATCATATATTTTTAATTACATTTGCTTTGTAAAAAGAGAACATTAAGGCTGCTTGTGTTTTTTTGTAAATCATTTGAGTAGGTGGACCTATCTGTTGTAATGTGTCTGTAAGGTTTCTGCTGTTACATTACGCCAACTGTTGCGTCCGTTATAAGTAGACAGCAAAAATTTAGGACCTGACACTTTTACACTGTTTATTGACTTTGTACTTTATCTACAGATTAACTTTACAAAAGCCGTGGTCAAGGTTGATGGATGAAGTAAATATTTATTGACATATTGTCAGCGCATGCGCGCAAAACGGGCTCGACAGTAATGACAACAGCAGAGAAAGTGTGCTACCGTAAACCAACTCCGGAAAAAATACTCTGAATCAAGGTTATAACTCGCAAATATCACGATTTTGACGTTAAAATAAATGTATTTTTGGGAGAAGAAGGGGGAGACAGGATGTTACTTACACGTATCTCCAGGGAGACAGAGACCTCCCTGCCATGCTGGTCGGCGGATGTTTCCGGTACAGCTCCACGGGACAAGAAGGGCCAGGGTCCGCAAGAGATGCCGCGACTGACGAATCCCGAAGTTGGAGGTGCTTCTTCAGCCACTTCCCATTCGCGTGCTCTTGGCGGCACCGATTGGTCAACACGGGCACGAGGAGCAGTCCGAGGATGAGAATCTGAGGAGGTGCAGGCAGACACAGTCAGCTGGAGTCAGAGATGGCGCAGAGAGTAGCTTGTGCGCGCTCCTGTCTCAGTGTATGTCCGTATGAGCGAGTTACTCACCTGTTTCAAGTCCATTCCTTTCGTTTGTTTTCTTCTCTTACTTCTATCGAGGGAACTTCTTTGCTTTCGTTGGCCATCATGTCTCGACACTCGACTTTTATAGGCTACAGGCCTTTCCCTTTGGGAAAAACCAGGCGGCTGAGCTTCCTCTTTTTTTCTTCCCCCAAGTGAAAATGACCACACAGGTAGGTAGGCGGGCAGGTAGGTGTGAGGGCCACCTATGCGGTGTCTCAAAGGAATTCCTTTAGCAGTCTAGGAATTTTCTCCACGCACACCCACACGCAAGCGCAGGACAGCCAGGCAGTCAGTTAACTGATTCAAGCTGGGAAAGGCTTACCGTCTACTTTGTTTATTTCGACCTTTAAACCAGAATGAGAAAATGGAGAGAAATTGGTCATTTAGTAGGCCTACATAGGTTGAGTCACGGAAACTAAATTGGTTAATTTAATAATTTAGCCCATGAAGTAACTAACTATCCTTGGCTTACTGTACACTGATAGCCAAAACGATTGGATGGGATTTCATGCCTTATTAATCTCACTGTGTCAGAGGAACATACAGATACCTGATTAAAGTTAGCTGTGGGTGTTGTCTCTTAGATGCTGATGATTTCTTTTTTTTTTAAACTTAAAACATGGCTAAATCATCCTTCATATTCTCAAATCTTGTCTTCTCAGTTATCGTGCAAATGAGGTGAAAATACAGCAATTTGTGGAAAACTTAAATACACCAATACAAGCTTTGTCAATATTTGAGCTTTTCATCTTTTGCATGATATAGACTCTGTTAGTATCAGAAACAATACACATTTGTCTTGGATGGCAGAGTTTAGCTGGAGGTTAAAAAAATCCACCTAACATGTTTACAAGCATGAGCCAGAAAGTTTCTTTTGTTTTGTTTTCATGTATGGCAAAAGACAACACAGGTCCGAATAAGTGAGGCCAACCCTTTGCTCAGTTGATGAATGATTTGATAGGACTGCCAAAGGTGGAATGGTTGGACATTTAAACTTATCTAATCTTAAAACAAAGAAAAAACTGGACATAAGTCCTGTGTGGCACAGTCCAATTTTTACTCACTTCAATCATTCCCCCTCACCTCCAAACATCTAAAAAGTGTACTCTTAAGTCTCACTTATGAATGTGGTTGAATCCTGTCATACCTCAGTCGTTTGTTTTGAGCTATTTTTAAGCTAGAGCTTAAATGAATTTAATGGGTAGTTTGGGGCAACATGTCTCAGTCATTTTGGGGTTGGTTGTCACATGTTTAAAAGGGATTAAAATTGACAGAGAGAGTCTGCTTGTCAGTAGTTGTCATATTGAAACTTCGACTTTATCTTTACAGAGAAAAGAGTTGTTCAAAGTAGAGGAGAAAGCAAAAAGACATGGTCAGGAATTACAAAAGAAAAACAGAACGTGGCAGTGCAGTACCTGACGTGATGCTGAGGGCAGTCAGACAGGTAACCCTAGATAATAAATCAACGTTTGTTCAATGACTTTTTCTCGCTCAATGATAAACATTTTCTGTGCCTGACTTTGATGTTCACTTTCAAGTAAAACAATGAGAACAACAATAATTCTGTCCTTGTTTTATTAGCTGCAAAATCCACTGTGACATCTTACCCCATGTAGTGAGACAACTTACCCCATGGTGGGCAACATGTCACATGTTCACACTCTATTTGATTGCTTAAGATCCTTACACACCGGGACCGTTTTTGTTGTGCGATTATTTCGGACATACCTATCTTTTTTTTCGAACCCGTATCCTGTCAATACAAACGTTCACATCAGAGACGTTTTCCCGTCCTGCGATAATGCGGCATTTATTTTTTCGGATCATGGTCGATTTTTCTAAGTTTCGCATACTGTGTGTCCACTTCTGACCAATCAGATAGTGTGTGGTTGTGACGTCTGATTCACCGGTATATCCAACATAGCCGACCAGCCAATTGTTTACGTGTCTGAGAACAGAGTGCTTTTTGATAAAAGACACAAAGATTACAAAGATAACAACCTGAAGGACAACATAGCGTCGGATTTCTCATATGACGATGGTTTGTGTGCTTTAACAGTTTGCTATATGCCTTTGTTTTAACTTTTATCTGTGCTAACATAAGCTAACTGTTGTTACCATAGTTTCATGTGCTTATCTTATCTTCTCTGATTGGCTATAAGTGCTGACCGTTTGGCTTGAGCGTGTGATGACATTTCCAGCTTTTCTAGCTAATCAGAGGCGAAGGAGGCGGGACTTTCCCCAGGAGAAGTCTTCCCCGAGATGCGTCTTTCCCCCTCCCAGAAAGTTGCAAAATTGCATCGGGCTTGATGTGTATAGTCAGACGCGTCAACTTTCGCCTCCGAATATTTCGCGTTGTATATTCGCATTAGCCCCGGCATGTAAGGACCTGTATAACTCTGCACTGACACAAGATATGAAAATGATATGAATATGAAATATATACCTAAGACTTTGTTTTTTTGTGTGGTAAGCATTTTATTTACATATGATGTATTGATTCTAAGAAATGTATAAGAGTGTAAAAAGTGTGACAACAAGCCCCGGTCTCCCCTACATATTTTGCATACTTACTTAAATTATCCACAGTAGGGGAAATAATCCCCATCTTCTATGGTGTCACTTATTTTGTTGGAGACATTTGAATAAACTCAATCTGACCTTCAATAGTGTGATTCACTTTTGTTGATAGCCTATCTAATCATGATACAATAACATGCAACTTTCAAGACTGACAGGGGTTTATTTTGATCCTAGAAGTACGTTTAACTTTGACATGTTTTGATTGTGTAATTGTTTCATTTTTATCTTGGTAGACGAAACTCATGTGTTGGTGGCTTACAGGACTACGCCTCAATTTGGAGCGTCTCTCACGAGGAACAGTGAAATGACCGGAAACCTTGTTCTTAGCGCATGGATGGATAAGTGACTCGGGACTGTCCCATAGCTCATGCCCACGCTTTGGTGCTAGAGTACTCAGAGTTATCACACAAGTGTGTCCTCCCTCAATCAAAAGTGCAGCGCGATTTAGTGACCTTTTTTATCTACCTCTAGGGCAGCTGAGCGGTGTAAGTCCAAGTATAAATCCCACAATGTAACACCGGTGTAGATCATGTCCAGTATCACATGAAGACCCTCGAGATTGCAACTTAATGCCCCGAAAGAAATTGAAAGGTGGGAAAGATATCCCAAAGATACAAACCTTAATATGCCCAAATAACAATATGATGGTACAAACGCACACCTGTAAATTTGTAAAGGTAATGAATGTTCTCCTTTATCCTCTTGAGGGTAGAGAATGACAGCCATTGCAAAGAACAGCATCTGAAAAGTAGGTTAACCAAGTAGGTTTCCGTTTCTTTAAGGACCCACTCCGATTAAAATCACGTTTTCTTTTATGTTCATAAGGCAGTTTTCTGATGCTAGAGGATGTATCATGAGAAAACTAAGGGCAAATTTGCATTTCTGAGTATTTCTGCATTCAAATCACTGTGAACCTCTGGCAAACTAATAATGATATAAGCTTTCATCATGCCCCCCAAGACGTGTATCCAAGAGCGGAATAGCTCACATGTTACCTGCTTCTTTTACTACACTGACAATGTTGGGCTACAAGCTATAGCGTGAATGGGTGTGTGCAGAGCAGCGCTGTCTCCGGAGGCGACAGCATGGAGGCCAATGAGCTATTGGAGCTCTGCAGAAGAAAAGCCTTTGAAAATGACAAAGGTAACGCGATTTCGGCTAAAAACGTAATAGTCACATTTCAAAGGCCACTAATATCACTTTAAGTAGTAAAAAAAAACTATGGGAGTAGGACTTCAAATCGGGTGGAGGCCACGCACTCATACTTGCATACTGATATGAAAAATGTTTCGTTTACCCTTCAACTTTGGAGAAATGGGGTAACGCCTTTCTGTGAGCTCCATACTCACAGAGTTTGGATTAGTCTGGGTCTTGCAGACCTTTTTTTTCTCAATACTCAACGCTGACGTGTAGTCCAAACAGAGGGAAAGCGCGCACAGAGGGTTGCAGGGGGAAAAGTCTTGTCAGTGCGTAATTGTTGTCCTTTTACGCACGGTTCTGTTTCCATTAGAAGACGGATGTTTTATCTCTGACCAGACGCTCTGAGGAGGACAGGTGCAAACGGTGCATTTATATTTATTAGTTAATAGCTGCGCCTGTCTGAAGCCTGCTGCATCCATAAACGTCTGTGCTGTGTATGGAGAAAACTATAAAGATACTCGATGCGTCACGTTTCCGTCATCAGTGCGTTTCCCATGCGTCTGGAGCAGCCTCTGATGACGATCACCCTTGTACACTCTGAATGCCGTGATCTTGGCACCACTATCACAACGGGATCAAATTTGACAGCTTGAAAACTGCAATTTGAGCTCACTGGAGCAATGCAAGAGAAAATCGACTGACCCAAGTAATACACATTAATAAAAAAGACAATTAAAACACAAGAAAAAACCTAAAAGTTGGACCTAAATCTTCTAAGACATAGAGCATTTAAATGGGGTTGTAACAGTGTGTTCAAACTTACTTTACATACACCCTCCTATATAGCAATAAAATACGAATTCACTACAACAATCATAAAGGAATGTTAAAAGTGATTATTTACAGCACGATATTTTAACCTCAACAGTAACCACCATAATCTTACAAATCAGTGAGTAAAGAGGCAGGGCCATCGATCCCCAGACAGGCCTCAGCATGTGTGAATCTCTGCTGCCAGGGTTGTGGCAGCACATCACCCCAACCCTCTTCCACCACCACTGGCTGCCAATAAAATCCTGTATCAGTTGCAAAGTACGACTCCACATCTACCAACCCCTCCATGCCACTGCCTTTCTGACCGCCTCTACCCCTGCACACCCGACACTGGCCTACGGTCTTTCCCAAACACCAGACCCTGCATACGTGGAGACAGGACTTTGAGCTCCACAGCCTTCACCATCTAGAACAACGTCCCCTCAGACTCCTAAAATGCCCCATCTCTGACCATATTTAAAAAACTACTCAAACACAACCAACTCATCATAGCCTCAAACCCCCAAGCTGACCCTTATGCCTTTTCTCTTGTCTTTGTTTTATTATTTTTATTTTGTTATCATTAGTTTGTTACTCCACTTTGTTAAGTCCTGCATTTAATTTACTGTTGTTGTTGTTACTATTATCATTAAAGTACATGCCTCTACAAATACATGTCTTTTACTCTTACACTTTTATAGTAGCAGTAAAGGTCATAAATCCCACCTCTGCCAGCCATCCTTGTGGAGCTGTGGACAAACTAGAAATATATTACACAGACTATACATTTTTCTCCCCCCTGCTTGCGATGTTGACATGTAGTTACTGTCAGACTGTCCTCTTTTTTCTGTTCAGCTCCATTTTTAAAAGTTATTAGGGGGTTCAAGTTTTCTATGATTGACACCTGATACAGCCTATGGGCGTACAAAGATTGCGTAGCTCACCTGGGAGATACCCTGTTTGAGCCGAGCGTCATCACAGCGACTTTCGGCGACTCCGCCGCTGAATGCGTACCATGCCACTGCGCAAGTGGTGGAGTGCGTACAACGCTACTGCACAATATTGGTTTCAGGAAGTAGAGAAAAAAACGCTTCAAATCCGTATAATGGCAGAAGGCGTAACCAAGATGTCCATAGTATATACAGTCTATGACAGAAACTCTGTGAGGAGGTTTGGTTGACCCTGTTGCTAGGTATGAGTCATCATTTCAAAAGGGTTGGAGAAGTAAGTGCATCTCTAAGGAGATAAACCACAAACATGATTCGTGCATGTTCCAGTCTGTAGCATTTCAACAATTCACAATCATCCAGTGTTTGGAGAGTGTCTCTCTTGCCTCTTCCATATGCCACTTTGTCCCCTGCTCAGGGAACTCCTAAGCTGCCTAAAAGTCCTCTTCCCTGCTCTTAAGAGCCAGGATTCTTTAGGAATAGCTTTTATCTTTATTCCTCACTTTTAGGGGAACAGCCTTATGTTGGCAAGAAGACCTTCCCCCTCATCTGATTGATGGTTCTGCTTTACTCCTCACTTTTAGGGGTTATTCTAAGAAAACATCATGATTCTAAGAATTTTCTTAGTATTTGGCCACTAGGAGACTCTTTGCACAAGAATCTTTAGGAATACGGCCCAGGGTTTTTAAATCCCTAAGGCTGAGAACCACAAAAATAATTTGTTGATATAACTCTTTTGTCTCTCACAGTTTTGCTGCCAGAAGAATTTCCAGGAGATCTTTGTTGCCCGTTCAGTGATCCTGCCAAGTCTATTCTAAGAATAATGGTAGCAGCTATTAATAGCAAACCTTTGTTGTTTGCAGATCAGCTGCGCTGAAGTGTGGGAAACTCTTCATTGTTGTATTTAAGTAAGTCATGGAATGAGCTGGCACTGAGCCTCTGATTGTTACACTTGTTCGCTGTCATCCATGTCTACCTAGTCAGGGGTTTTCCTTGAGAATGTCTGCTAAAGTGCATGGCCTGTATTTAGTGGAATGAAATTAAATTTGTACACCAACTTTACCCAGTTTGATGATCCATTTCCTTTCTAATGCATATTAAAAAGGTCGTGTTGCTCCAGCCTTTGTTACTCTGACCAATTTCAAATGTAAAAAAAACCCAACAGAACTCTGATTTCACTCGACCGATTAGCAGAAAAATTCACTGAGTTGTGTGGATTTGCAGATTTTTAAAGGACAGTTTGCGCTGTGGGGTATTTTGTCGACAGAACCATCAATCAGATGAGGGGGGAATGTCCTCTTGTCATCACAAGGCTGTTCAGGGCATTTACACTTAACTTTCCCTGGCCTGTCTCGTGAGTGTGTTCAACAGCGTGATCATCTGCAGTGAGAGTGCACATCAATGAATTATAACAGAGAACTATTTCAGTAAAAACACTGGGGTAGATTTTTAGGTATTTCTCTAACTTCCCCGCAAACTTCTCAGTCTGCCACTTTGACTGAAGTGTCAATATTTGTATTTCTATTACTTACATTTTCAAAACAGACTCACTAGCATTCAGAAGTAACACCTTTGAGTGAACAATAAGCTTCACATCTGCACAACTGGCAAATGAGATATTAAATATGAGCTCTTTGGAGTTTTTCAGGCTAGTTGTAGAGCAAAGCACAGCATGGAGGAATGTTTGCCGAATGCTCTGAATGAGATGACTTGGGGTTGGCATTTTTTCTTCCAGTTTTCAAACGGTTTTGTTCTGATTTGCAGGAGAGATCTTTTAGCATGAATTTGTCACATTTACTTTTATTTTATCTTCAAAGGATGTGGAGAAGATGTAAAAATACTCTTTTTTTATGGAACCCTGATATTTCAGTGCCGTTTTGAGGATCCCAGAGTGGAGACATTTTTTCTTTCTTTCTTTTGGGTCAGCTTCTTTTGTTCACTGGGATGGATAAGGAACTTTGGATTTGGGACAATTTTGGTGCACCGTGTGGACAAGCAGCCTTAGCTCATCTTGTCTTTTACAGGTTCAAATAGCATCTTTTGACATAAATCTCGTCCTGCTGACTTTTGACAGGCCAACTTACTATTTGTTTTGAACATTTTATGTGGCAGATGTCAAACGGGCTTGGCTAACACCTACCCTCTCACATAAGTTTCAGGCATTTGAAATGATGCTATCAAAATATTCAGTCTGGTCATTGATGGTCTTGTTTACATACAAGTTTGAGTCTTTTTTTCATAAATATAAAAAAAAATCTCACAGGAGCTTCAACTTCTTAATGTTTTTACCTAATTTTGCTTCTTTTGCTCCCTGGCACTTTTTCTGAACAATAGTGTTTCAGTCATGTTTGGTGCTTGGTGTGATATGAATGCACACACAATACTTAAATCAAATCTAATAGTAACCCTACATTCAAAAGAGTTTCATGCTTCAAAGTTTGACCATGATGTGAAAATTACTTATCGTAGCTTTTAAAAAAAAAACAAAAACATCACATCCCTTTTTGGTCTGTACCCTCCTCTTCTTTAAATGTCAGGACTTTTGTCAAAGTTTGTTTACTTTGCAAATTTGCATATCAGAATAGTTCAACTTTTCACGCAACCACTGCCAGAGTACACTAAAACAACCCCTTAGCTAGATATAAAAACAATAATAGGCTAATTATTGTAAAGAATTAGTTGGTTTCACACAAAAACATGTCTCTAGTGGCAATACTTTTTAGTTATTTGAGAATTAGGCATTTTCTTCAGTGTCTTATTTCCATTTGTTTTGCACTTTTAGGCCACTGTACCTCTCATAATCATACACTTTACTGTTTGTGTTTTAAACCACCTTTTGTCACAATTTTTAATCTTTTTAGTTAGATTACACCGAAAATTGGAAAATTTAACTTATACTTACATCGTTGGCAGAAATAGGTCAATGATTATGTTTCATTAACTTCAATTTGTAGTAATAGGTCCTGTTGGGAGATATATATATATATATATATATATATATATATATGCAGAAAACAGACTGAAATTCATACTACAGCCTCTTTGTGAGCTATCACAGTATACAGTACTATGATCACTAAGACTGACTATTTCTATCTCATTATTTTTAAAACCTCAATTTGCTGGTGTCATTTGAGTCCATTTACATTATACAGCAGAAACAGACTTTTCTACATTTGCTACAGAAGAGGTTCTTTATGAGTGAAACGTTTGTTGTTCAAAATATGCCATAGATACACAGGAACAGAAATTCGACAAAATCAACACAAGCCACACGTTCCTTATAGGAGCCTTTGGTGATAAATCTTCTCAGCAAGAAGAAGAAGAAGAAGAAGAAGAAGAAGAAGAAGAAGAAGAAAAACTTTACTAATTCCTGAAGGGAAATTCAGGAGACCAAATTCATGCTCTTTGTCACAATAAAGGCTATTCTATTATAATGCTTGATAGTCTTTTTAATGAGGGCAAATTTCTGGTATTATAATAATAATAATAATAATTTACAGAGCACTTTTCAAAATCACAATTACAGTGTGCTTTATAAGACAGATTTACACAGAGGCCACAGTTTACAAGTAACAGTGAAGGAAATTCCTAAACGCCAAAGAAAAGCACTGACATTTTTCCGTATTTCTTTATCTTTAGAAGACAGACTAAACCTTGATTCTTCCGAACTTCCTCAAACAGTACCACAAAAAACACCATATTTTAATAAAGCTATAAACTGACCACTGCAAAAATGAAATGCTGTTGCATAGTCTAAGACAATCTCTCACCTGGACTTAAGTGAATACTGTCATTTATCTGGCATTTCAAAGAAACACAAGGTATTTGTTTACCAATTAAAAGGATGAGTACTCGATAAAGAAACAGATTCTATGATAATCACATCCTAATACTGGCCTAACTAATAAGGCCTTGAGTCAGTGATAATATATAGCTAACAGGTGGTCAAGTCTTTTTCCCACCTTGTAAGGACTCTAACTTCTAAAGCCTCATTATGCTGCTTACTACCCAGCATCCAACCAATTGACACATTGCTTGATTCAAGGATGTTTTTACTGTTTTAAAATGACTTGTGCTGCAAAAAACAGACAAACAAAAAAACCCTGTAGACCAATATTACTTACGTGATAAGGGTGTATCAGCCCTGCAGGACAAGGACAAGAACATTGACGTTTGCCTGTTTCTTCAGCATCCATAATTTTAGTGTCCTAAAGATGACGTCTTTTACCAAAATTGCCAACTTTTTCACTCAGTTGCTTTTTCGCTGATGTTGGCAAAAGGCTGTTCTTTGTTTTTCTCATCTACATAGCTCTAAATGTGCCAGTTGGTTTGTAGTCTGGTTCACCGGATGTCTTACAGTTTCATTTGTAGATATTTTGCTCGCTGAAAATCATTGTACTGAGGAGGATAAGTTGTGAATAAATAAATAAACTATAAAAGCACTCGGAGAGCGCAGACCTCCGCCAAGCAGCTCATGTCCCCCCTTATATTGTGATTCACACCAAAACTTTTACTGTTACGTGTCTTTTATTAACTTTTATTTGTGTTTAAACTGGTATGTTCACTGTTCATAATGTTCCTAAAACAAGAAATGCCCTGACCCGGATTCAAACCCAGGACCTTCTTGCTGTGAGGCGACAGTGCTAACCACTACACCACTGTGCCGCCCATTGCTTATCTTTCAGCATTGAAAATTCCAACGACACCCTTATTTTTGTGTGTTCTGGATCACAGTATCCAGAATTTTGTCTGGATCAGGATCAACCTTTGACACCTCATAAAACTCATTGAGATCCTTTTGTGTAATTTTTTACTAAAGACATTTTTATAGAGTTAAATGCAAAAATTCCAAATTTTCCCCCTATCTCACAATGATAAAGAATCCTTCAAAAAATTCCTGGACCCAGAAGGCGATCCGGATCACCACCAAAATGTAATGGGATCCTCCTGGGGCTGAGACGCACCTCTGGTGAAAATTTCAGGTCAATCTGTCTTTAACTTTCTCCGTAAAGTTGCTAACAGATAAACAAACAAACCAACCAACGCTACCGAAAACATAACCTCCTTGGCGGAGGTAATAAAAACAAGGTCCTAGAATGGGTCCTTGGGGAACACCAACAGTACAACTCTTCAAACAATTTGATGTTTGAAGTAAACATTGTTGTTTAAGGATTTTTCTATTGTTTGGGTCGAAGGTGCTAAGTGTTACATCCACAGCACAACGGACATTTCCTACAAAAAGTACCTGATAGCACAAAAAAAGAGGACAGCCAAGATTTAAAGTTACTTAAGAGGGTAAGTAGATTCGAAAACCCTTAACAGTACATACCAGTGCACTGTGCACTACTGAGAAAACCCGTGATGATGTGTGATACATTTTCTTACATCCTCACAGGCTATTTTAAAATATTTTCCACCATGATATTAGAACTGACTGGTTATTTGAGATCACATCGAAGTCCGGTAAAAGGAACCAGGTTTCTGTTCGTCTTAAACCTGAGGTGAGAAAAACCATTCAACTCAACTTCTCTTTATCAAAATAGTTTATTTAGAAGGCTCTTGTCACAAAATCATGACAAATCTGGTTTCTAAATTTTCCATTCCATCTCTCATACTCCTCAAACTAAAAATGTTACACAAATAAAACATCAGTTTATCGCTTAGGAAGAGCTCAGAAGAAAACAAAATGCTGTAGTTTTAAAAAAAGCAATACTTCACATCACTGTTGTCTATAATCGTACACTTGCAAGGATCCGATGATTTGCTAATTTTTTGTACAAAGTGAGACAGTGAACACTGCCCTGAACACACAGAACCAGATGTGTCATTGGTTTAAGATGATTCCTATGTGAACAAACACAGGCAGACTTACAGAACATGGAGGCTTTGAAGAATTTATACAGGTAAGCAAAGTGATGGCTGTCAGTCATCTGCAGGGCTGACTCAACATGGAGCAAACTTGAGAAAACTATGTGAGAACACAAGACAGTAAAAGGGACCAAAAAAAGACAGTCGACTCATTGTGTAGAAATGTGTTATTTGTCACACCACACAAGGAGGTGCTTCCTTAAGAGTGAAGGAACAGAGTGAGGGGCAAGTGGACAAACGCACCTCAATATCCTTCTGTTTCTGTGAAGTCTGCACTCCATTCCTGAGACTCTCCTCCTCGCCCCACGCCCACATGTTTCCTCCTGTTTCTTGTTGATGAGGTAAACTGCAGCTGAGACATTCAGAGACTTTGAGGGGATCTAACATCGAGTAGACGGGCGTGAGAGGCTCTCGAGAATGAAACAGAGCCAAACCTCAAGCAAAGGATGATTGCTGTGTGGCCACTTCTTGTTCTCTTGTACAATGACCTCTATACATGAACCATAAAACGATTTTTAACATCCATGAACTTTGAGTGTTTCTCTGCCTCACAAGAACCCACAAGCACACAGGTAAACAGAATATGTATGGGCCTCAGTTTATTTGGTGGGGATCTTTGCTCGTTTCCTGGCGATGGCGTCCTCCACAGCCTTCAGCTGTTTCAGCAGCTCCTCACGGCGAGACAGTGTGTTGCTGGGTTTGTTAGAGCTCGAGCCTGCACCAGAGCCGGAGCCAGCGGCTGGAGCAGAACCAGGGGCGGCTGGCTTGCCCAACAGTGCGGCTGGACCTTTCCCAGAAGACTTCGGGGGTGGTGACAGAGGACGTTTTCTGAGGAGGGGGAGGAGAGGAGCAAGAGTTTGACTGATGTTCAGTGAAACAAAAATATAGCAAGAGACAAAAGAAACTCAGTTCAGACCAAACAGTGAGGCAGATCCAGACAGCACCAAAACATGCTGTCTGAATTTCTGAGAGGAAACATGAAAACTGGAGTCTACAGTCATTAAAGTAAGGGACAGAGACCAATGAGTGCTTGAGTGCCTAATATGACAGCATTTATTGTATCAAAGACTGGCAGCTGAGTTCTGCATTATCGGGAGTCTGTCCAGGGATTTCTGACAAAGTTAATCCAGCCGTGATGAGGCTCAGCTTGGCTCGCCTCCACGATTTACTAGAGGAATACCTGCTTCAGGTGTTTTGTTGCAGGAGTGAAGTGCATGCACATCTGTGTCCAGTGATCTTCACTTAATTCACTGAGTCAAAACCATGCTGAAATTGACCCTTCTACAATCGAGTATGAACTTACTTTAAATTGCAATAATTAAAGTCTCCTGTAAAGAGCTTTCTGTCGGGGTTAGGGTGAGTTGACCAAGTGATAACCCTGATGTTGTTGATGATTTTGTCTAATCCTTGTAGAAGGATGTTGATTGACAAAAAAAAAAATCATCTATAGTTAAATTTATCACTCACTGTGACTACTTGCAGTAGAAATCGCTACAAATGCTGTTTCTTTAGTGGACCTTCCCCTGCCCAGCAATTACAGTGATACACCCAAGTGCACAATAGCCACATCTGGATGTGAAAAATTAGTTATACGACCTTAAGACATCATGCTATCACTACCTCTTGACTGCAATTTATGATAAATTTTTGCCTAAAATCCTTTTTATTCAGTTCCTCACAGAAAAGCCACAGCTGTGCAGGCCGTGTTTGTGTCTGTGCGTCATAATCATGCATCGTGACTCCACTACCGTCAAAGGGACCCAGCCAGGTGGCTTTAGTGGTGTCCTTGGGAGGACACATAAGAACTGCTGAATAAAAGTATTTCCTTTAGGTGTCTACACCTGCAGTGCGAGTACATCATAGTGATGTGAAAACTGTTTCCTGAGGGCGTTGGTGAATTTTTGTTCCATTAGAAGACCCAATACAAAGCCTACAGCATAGATTAAACAAAAATCTTAACACCAAGTTGATATTGAGGGAGAACGAACTCTACCACTCGACCACAGCTGCACTTCCTCTTCTGCTGTATTCTATTGTGGACGGACCTTTTCACAAGTATTGTCAGAAAAGTCATGATGGTGTTAAGCTCTTGCAACAAAGCAGCAAGCCAATTTTTTTTTTTTGCACAGGTAAGGTACTTTTTTCTTTTACCATCCAGCTTGTTTGTGATTTTTTTCACAATCCTTGCATCTTTATCTTTGACTCTGTGATGCACTTTTTGTGCTTGTGTCCATTATTTTATTTGATCAGTTTTCCTGCCAAATGTCACATATAAAGTGCTTCAGCTTGCTCACTGTATGTTAATGTCTCATGTCTGCATAAGGGGATGCTTTATGTTTGATTTATTGTAATTAGAGTCCGTGCCGATGAATATTTCTTTTACATCTTGTTTGGCATGTGTGTCCAATGTTTTTTTTTTTTTTTTCCTCATTGTTGTTCTTGTTTAGTTGTTGAGGGTCGAGCATGCTTAGTGTATGTTGTAAAAGAAATAGACTACTACTGAGCAGTGGAAATGATTCTTATGCAGCCTGACCAAGTATGTGTGGGGAAAAAAACCAACAAACTCACATATTTGAAAATGCTTTAGATAATAAAAAAAAAAAAAAAACACCCAAAATATACATAGATATCACAAATATATGTCACACAGTTACAATGCGTGACATATTCATTCATCACCCCAATAACTCGATAGTTGACATGGAGTCGTTCCCACGTGTCCTGAGCAGCCCTGCTGCTAAAAATACTCCACATGATGTAAAGCTGTGTATTTTACAACTTCTAAAAATAGCCTCTCACCCTCCAGTATTTCCGGCTGTTTGAATACTGGTTGAGCTAGCTGCTCATAAAGACTATTTATAAACACTACATTGCGTTTTACAGCATAACAGAGTGAACAGGTTTCAACACGTGAGCCTGTTGCTGCTGAAACACAAGTTGCTTTTATAGATTAGCCAGCAGGAATTACAAAGTGCTGACCATGCATAACTCACTGATGAGGTAGCTGGGCTAAAAAACAGAGTGCACTCTTTTCTGATTCAAAAATTAGCAATGTGGAATGTGGATGACACACCAGAGGCAAACGGCCAAATGTTTGCCGATTAAACATTTACTCTACTCAGTGAGGCTTATTTTAAAACCAACACTGACATTATGATCTCACAGCTTCCTGTTGACTGACTACAAGACTCTTTTTCCTGCTTTTGATCGATTCTTCCGCATCAGTCTGTTTGTTGCAGCATCATTAATTTTTTTGTTTATTTTCCTTTAGTGCATTCAGTTTTTACATGCAACCTGCTGCGTTCTTGTGCATCTAGCATCAATAAGCATCAAGGAGAAGCAAATTACTCTTAAGAATACATTTAAGCCTTTTCAGCACAACTCCAGCAGATCACATCATGCTGTTAAAATGACATTGTGTAAGTGGTTTTGTGCAAACTGAAAATTCCACAGACACTATTTTAGCAGGTTGAACAATTTGTACGGCTCGAAATGTCCTGTAGCTGTGCGATATCATCAGTTACATCTAGAATGCTGCTAGGGAGAATTTATGATTTAGAGGACAACCCTATTCGTATTGTTTTAGTAAGAGGAAAATCAATTGTTTAATCTTTTTACTATCTCTTCAAGTCAACGATAACTGAGTGTTATTTTTTCTTAAGACTGATCACAGAGAATACTTTGAATTCGCTTTTGCAGCCATTTACCGCTGTTTGAAATAAAAATAAAAAACAACCGAAGTGTGGACCTCGGTGACAGCATAGCAAGCTGCCACCTCTATAACTAAATCCTGCCAAAACACAGCCCCATGCTTCTACTGTAGAGTCATCTGCCAGAGGACAGTCATTGCTTCTTATGTTAGCGATGACTGTATGTGTGCAGCACGGCAAATGAACGCAAACAGTTACTATTACACAAGAATTTCCTTAAAAATTGAAGTTAAGGTTATAAAGTTGAGGTGGAGGTAAAAACGAATAACTGGCATACAAAATTCAAAGTCATAGGAGTTGACCTTAGGTGGTACATTCTCAAATGATCAAATCGTCAAAAGTGAGTTAATAAATAAATACATTAAATAAATGATGCCATTTTCTGAATTCGAGACATTTTATTTCCCCCCTTTGTTTCAGATATTAACAGTCAGAAAACAATGAGCTAATCGGAGATATTTACAGGGAAGTCGTGATCACAGTGTGATGTCATTTTATGCACCTCCAGCAAATCCACCACAATCATAAACTGGAAAATTGAAGTGAGAGGGTGTTCAATATTATGATGCATACTGTGGTGACAAATTGTTTGTGTGCTTTTACTCCTGAGGTGTGTTCCCTATTCTGACCAAGCACTGGTGGTCAGCTGAACTTCGTGCCTGGAGTAGTAGAGTCTTTACATTTTTCACACTTATGACTGAATATTTTTTGTCCATTTGATGTTTCTTTGAAGCTGTGAAATGATCAGTACCACCGTAACATGTTCTAGGTGCACTAACCTGTCTCCCTGGGGGGGTATGGGTCGGGGCCCTTGGCCTCTGGGTCGCTCCATTCGTGGCGACAGTGGGGGACGACCGGGAATCCTCTTATCACGGCCTGAGAAGCACAAGTTTCAGAGTCATTGGGGCTGTCAAGACTTCATAAGCACATCACTGTCGTTTTGCAGAATATACAATTGAAGAAGCTGTAAAAGCTGTGTTGTTTCCTCACACAGCTAGCTAAGATTGAATTAAAAAGTCTTGACTTTCCCATCGGATGATTGGGAACAGGATGTAGCATTATATACTGGTCACAGAGATTTCATGTGAAGAGCTGACACTTTTTTCTTTTCTTTTCCTTAACTTCTGTTATATTTCATGTTTACTGTTTGTACATAGAGGGTAAAGTTTCATTGTATGTGTACACATACTTGGCCATTAAAGCTGATTCTGCTTCTGCCTCTGAAAAACAGAAGTAAACTCACTACGGAGATCCCTGTGACATAAGGGATTTCTATGTGCAACCCTCATCATAGAGAGAAAACGAGGAAACTGTGAAGGAAACCTTTGCTGACACAACTTATTGTTTACTCAGCTCATCTAAAGCAGAAATCCAGGAATACCCCCATAGCACCTTCTGGTATGGAAATATACACTTAGTTTTTTTTTTTTTGGTCACAGTTTTCCTCCTTTCATTTATTTGATTTGTCTTATTTACATGCTCTGTTTACTTTAAGTCCTTACTTTGATGTAATTTCATTTTTCCATTACGCACTTTGGCTTGTGTGAGAAATGTGCAATAAAAATGAACGTTCTCTGCGCAGATAAAGAAGTAGGCAGGCTGGTATGAGTGGATGTGGATGAGCTCATGATAAGTCGAGCTGCTTGGCATGCACAGTTTCTGTCGAGCAAATAACAGACTACTAAAAGGACACTGAATTTGGATCATATCACGTCACAGCAAAAAACAAAATGCTGATTGTTCAGGGTGGAGGAAAAACGGAACCAGGGGACTGAGTCATGAATTTCCATTTGGGGATCAACCCAGTTCTTCTTCTCTTATTGTGTCTCTCCATTTTCAACAGTAATAAAAACAGAAAGAGTGATCTCTCAGCTACACTAGTGTGATGATGGAAACTTTACAGTCCTAACTCAGCTAAGCACACCATAAAACATGTAGGACAGAGGTCTTACATATTTTATGCGACTGCAACTGCGAGAGTTCCCTTTTCAAATGAGAATAGTAGGGGAAGTGTCTGACTGCACAGAACTGTTCATTTTATCGATTTACACACGGACAACACCTCCTTAAAGAGCCACTCTGATCAAAATCATGTTTTTATTGTTGTCTACATGTTCATATGGGATTTTTCTGATGCTACAGGTCATATCATGAGAAAAATAAGAGCAAAATTGCATTTCTGAGTATTTCTGCATTCAAATCACTGTGAATCTCTGGCAGACCCAAACGGCAGGTTCAGACACAGTGAGATTTCCTAGGTAACAAATCCAAGATCTGCCCACAGAGCCCCGCTCTGCTGGCCACACTCGGAAAAGAAGGGAGGACCATTGTGGAACACGCGTGTGTGCTAGCAGATTGCAATGCTCGTAATAAAGCTAAATATGATTTTAACTTTCATCATGTCCCCAAAGACATGAGTGTCTGAGAGCTGAATGTTACCCGTAAAAGGAGTGTGCAGAGCAGCGCTGTCTCCACTCACGGCTCAGAGACGAATTACTAATGAGATACTGGAGCTCTGCAGAAGCAAAGCCCCTAAAAATGACACATGTAACGTGATTTTGGCTAAAAACTTTATAATCACAATATAAAGACTGCTGAGAAACACTTTAAGTAGTTAAAAAACAACAACAAATGGAGTGGGACTTTAAGGGACTGCCACAAGTGGAAAAAAAAAAAGAACTCCTGTGTACCACGTTCTCCAGCAGTGCCAGATAAGCCATTGTGCGTCTTGATTAATTGTGAGTGCGTACCTTTTAATATAAAACCATTACTTAATTTCCTTCGCAGCTTTAAGTGTTGTAGCCTTATTGGTCAGCAATTCTGCGCTACGATCATGTCATTTTAAGTACAATTATTAGTATAAAACTTTATTTGTCTGGCACGTTTTGGGAACACGGTTACTGATTGCCTTATTGCTCCTGTGAATGGATTTCATAATAAGGTGTAAGGTTCGTTTCACAATGATCGAACAGAAGTGAGTCAATAATAATGGCCAAGTGTGTGGGTGGCTGGGCGTGTGCGTGCGTTTGCTCCGGTCTCCCTGGTATCAATATACATTTTTCCCTCTTTCTTCACTTATGCAAATATATCCTTAACTTGTGACATGTGTTGTGCAATGTGTAATATTTGGTTATTTCACACAAATGTATGAATGCCACATAGCCTTACTAATCCTGATGATGTTCCTCCAGGTGTTTTCTAGCATTTCACAAATTTTTTCCCCTGTCCTGATTTTTCTGAAACATGTTTCTGGCATCAAACTTAAAAATGTTCATTTTACAACACTTGCCCTTTGAAGATCTGTCAGGTCGTCTTTGCATTACTTTCATTCAGCTATAATGTTTAAATAATGTCTCTATAATCACAATCTATTATCTACATTTCAACACGCCGTCTTATATGTCATGGAGTTGGGTTGGACCAAAACAGAGGGAACAAAGCCGTGAACACATGACCATGAAGATGTGTGTACATGTGTGTACAGTTCTCACCTCGGTCTGGAGACAGGGCCATCCTCTTGCTGACGGGGGAACCTGGCCTGTCTTTGTCTGAAGGGAGGTACCTCTTCCGGTTACCCTTATCTCCTTGCTGCTGTAAAGGGTCCAACCGTTTCATCAACATTTGTGAGAGAATTGACCACCATGCATACAATGTGAGTGCTGACAGTCATGAGTAAATATTTGGGTTGAACAGGCTCTTCGTTTACAGAAAATTCACACAAAAACATACACAGCTGTCTTTGGGAAGAATGCAGGTTTGACACAACTGAAAATGAAAACATTTCACTCTCCCGGTGTTTCCCCTAGCTTTTTCTCTTTGGCAGGGGGTTGGTGATGGGGGGGCCATATGACGTAGACATATGTCACCCCGTATGACGTATGTCTATGTCATACAGGGTGGCGGGAGATGAGCCAGTGCTGCTTTTCATACTGGGAGAGATGCTTAAGCTAGCATGGACAAGAGAATGTGGGGCATCCGCATCACTATGTACCAACTTTTTGAAGAATGCAGATATTTTCAACTGGGGTGCTGAACGTTCGGGGACAGTTTGGTGCTCTATGACCAGTTTTTTTTATTGTTTTGTTGGCAGCAGACATGATGGGGAGGAGTCAGAACCCTGGGTTATCAAAACCATCCTGCGCAAAATCGGCAGGGTATGAGCAGCAAGTGCTCACAACCGGAATACCAGAATCAGTGGCGCTGACAGGCCGCGCCTCTGAACTATGCGGCGCGGCATGTCAGCACATGTGTGTATGTTGTGAGATAGAGAGAGGAGCGAGTGGAGAGCCCCGCTCATCGCAGAGGAGCGGAGAACATATTGAAATGATTGCGAGCTTTACAGTCTGAAATTGTGCAAATTATATTTTATAGGCTGTTTTGATAAAAATAAACATTAGATGTACATATTAATCTATGACTTCAATTTCTGGCTTGGGATCTCGTTGGCAGGGTGGGCTGCCCTGCCAAATACACTACCGGGGGAAACACTGCTCTCCAGTCGCTGAAGCTTTCACATTATCAACACTTTTACTAAACTCTACACAACCCCAACTGCAGCATGAGCTCACAGTTTATGTTACAGACAGCTTGTTTGCAGAAGAACGGGCTGTTGCGTCTGCATGCCTCATCTCTCTGTTATGTGCTGACTGAACTCTGGAGAAAGTTTTAAAACATGTTGTCTCTTTGAAAGTGCACTAAGGCTGTTAGGGATTATGTCTATTTTCAGGGGCAATTTCATGCCCTAAATTGTTTTTAATTTTACTCATTTTGCTCACTTTCATTCCTCACCAGCCTATTGGTGTAACTGCCCAAACTGTCTCTGATTGATCAGAGTAACCAATACAGCCTACCTTGACACTATGTCACGGTTATTTAATTTGATATAGCTGATCAAACTAAAAGAGAGTCAAGAGAAGAAAAATTTACTAGGGCTGCAACTAACGATTATTTTGATAATCGATTAATCTGTCAGCTATTTTAATAACTAATCGATTAATCGGATTAACAGGCTAAATTCATCAATGCAGCTGTTAATAGCAATAGCATAGGGCTTTAGTTTATCATATGAGTTTATCTGCCATGAGGTGTTGAGGTCTCTGCATGTGTAGGTTACTGACTTACTGTAATCATCGGGTCTATCTCGTCCTTATAAAAACCTGCTCTATTTTGGCGAGTGTCTGTCTTCTTCTGTAGTCAAACCGCAAGATATCAAAATCTACCCGGATACAGCAATGCTGCTTTTTGATTGGCTGTTCAGTAGATATACTTTATTTGATTGGCTTGTGCGTGGCATGCAGCTTCTGAACTCTCGGAGAAACTCAGTTGATTTCCCCCTGTTCCATAGTTAAAGAAGTGCAACTTGGTGGACATCACCATGTTCATTTAAATGCGTGAGAAATACAATGTGTGGTGTGTGAGCGTGTGAACGAGTGGGAATGCGTGTGTCATACGCTGAATGCGTGAGACTTGAGAGCCCTGTGCTCACGCATCATCGATGTACTCCCGTGCCATGCAAAACGGGCTTTGCAAATGTTGCACTGAACGCCTTCCTCTTCAGTCTTGGTAAAGTTTTCCCACACCATGGGTTGTGTCTATGTTTTTCTCAGCCGCTGCCTCGGCCATGGCTGTTTCTTTTCTGTGCGTCCTGCTGATGTTTACACGCCGGTGTCCATGGACATATATAAAGACCCGACGAATCAATTACAGAATTAGCTGGCAACGGATTTTTTCGTCACAATGAATCGACTTAATTGATTCGTTGTTGCAGCCTTAAAATTTACCTTGTTGAGGAGGGTGAGTTTGATGTCTTTGTGTGATCCTGAACCTCCATAGCTTCCTGGAGGGCCCATGGTGCTAGGTGGGGGGTGCAGGGGGTGGCCACCTCTACTTCCAGGTCCGGATCTAGGCATGGGGTTACCTCCTCTTGGTAGGGAACCAGATGGGTCCATCTTTCTGCGGTCCTCCCGGAAAGGTTCATCCTTCTTTAGCGGTCTCTCTGCATGAAGGACAAGAAGACAGTTACAAAGACTGAGCCAAGCAGTCGCACGCATCGATTCAGAGAACCAATCGGATAAAAGATCCACCAAGACTTTTGAAATCTTTTGGTTTTAAACTTCAGAAAAGTCCAAACATGTCAATTAAGTTTCTCTTTGGGACTCTACAGGGACATTTTAGTGGGATATGTCTGGAAGAGGTATTTGGACATCAGTCATAACAAGATTATTCACGTACGGAAAAGGTTTTCAAATACAGCCAGTGGGGTTGCAGGGTGTATGTATATATGTATATAAGTAGTGTGCATATGTATATGCGGTGTTGCTCATATTTGCTTAATGATTGCAATTATCCAAGATTTGAGATTCCAGTTAACTGCAGACTGTGTATCTTTATTGTTCCACCTCCACATCCTGCTGTGCAAAGACTGTCTTGTGTCTTGACTAACCCCTGTTTTTGTCTCTGCCATGTGGAGGTCTGTCCCGGGGAGAGGGCCTCTCTTTCCGGGGGTGATTTGGTGTGGGCGAGCGGGAGCTGGCAGAGGACACAGGGCTCGCCAGGTCAGCATACATGTCATCTGAGTCTGCGCTCCTCACTGAGCTGCTGCTGGATGATGCAGATGACACCGATGACACACTGCTGACACTCAGTGACCTGTAAACAGAGGCCACCAAGCTGAGTTATCTATGGGATTCAAATTTGCTGTCCCACAGAAGCGATGACCATGTGCACACAACACAACATACCCACATTTTAGCACACATGCATATGCAAACACCACTGATAAGGACCAGGAACAATGATCATACCTGGATTTTCTGGAGGGGTTTCCCAACAGAAACAGCATATGAAGGCAGAGGAGACGGACAGAATTAAAAAAGAAAAAAGCATTAAGATCTGTATCAACAATTAAATGTACATTTAAAACTCGCTGTTTTAATCTGTTCCGACTGACACAGGAGTTTAGGGTGGGGCTGAATCAAAAAGAAAAAAAAAACTAAAAGCGCGACCTTTTTGATCGACAAGATTCTTTTTCACTCTGGGACATTCAGAGTTTGACACAGCCCTCTTTAGTGTGCTTTTAGGATTTAAATATGAAGTCTCAAGACTTACTGAAGGTTAATGTAGTTATGAATAGATGTGAATTTCACAGTTTCAAAATCCAGAAGTAGTCATAAGTCAGTGACATCTCTGAGTGTCTTTTTGTGATATATTTTTTTGTGATATATTACTGGATTTTAAGACCTTTCTAAAACTACATTAGATTAGACTGGATTAGAGAATATCAGATTTGATTAGATACAATTTTATTCATCCTGTTGGGAAGGTTCCCTCAAGGAAATTGAAAAATGACATGATGCCATATATAACAGTATCTCTGTAAATGAACATTTTTGTACAATGATTTTCTGACAACAGTGAGCGGTCAAAGTGTAGAAGCACCTGGATTTTCTGGATCCAGAACGGGAGCGGGAGAGGGAGTTAGAGGAGGATCTGGATCTGGAGCTTGAGCCAGAATAACTGCTGCCACTTCCACTGACACTCCCACTTACTGTTCGCCTGAAAGAGACGGACATAGACTGTTCAAGCCAAATCGCTTTTCTGTTCCTTGAAAGGCAAAGGATGGTCAGAGGCCTGTTTTTGGATCCAAGCTGATCCAAATGTATGAAACCAGGATAGTTTTAATGATTAAAAAGACCAGCGCTGTCACCAGGCCCAGGTGAGAACTGTGCTAAGAAGTTTAACACAAACCTGCTCATCTCCACAAACTGGACATGTTTTATCAGCTTTGTTTTATTTAAAGTTTAGGACAAAAGCATTTCCAAAAATGTTGGGACACTGTGTCCAGATGTAGATAACACCAGATTTTGATTAGAAATCATTCAAAACAAACATTAAATAAAAGTGCTGCATGGAACTTTTATCTTTTCTTAGCAAAACAAGCTCTTCCATCTGTTTAAGACATTTGTCAAAGACATGTGCTTCCTTTCTTGAGTTTTACTACTTTATCTTCAGTGCGTAGTTTGTTTTGAGATGTTAGTGACTTTACAGACAAAAACACCTTTCACTGAAACTTCTGAAATGATTTAGCAACACACCTACGCGCACTGCAACGGCAGTTTCTGCCGACTGACATGTACCTGACAACCTGAGGGAAGTAGTTTACAAATGGAATACAAACCAGTTTTCCAGGAGACTATACCTGCCCACACACGCACACGCACACACACACACACACACACACACACACACACACACACACACACACACACACACACACACACACACACTGTTCTCAGATGCCCTTTAACTCGTTCTTCCTCTCTGGTTATCATTGCTTTTAGTTTCATACACACAAACAAAGCAAACAAGTCCGACAACAGTAGATTTCCTTCAATCCTTTCCACCCACTCCTCCACGCCTACACAGCCTCTCTGGTCTTCCCCCCAAAATGCACAGGTGTTAAATAAACAGACACGGATATGCAAAAGTTTAGTTTGAGGAAAAAAATTTGTGCTTCTTGCAAATTAATTTGTTTGTCATCCACTGTAAACAGTAAACATACTCTTGACAACCAATCCAGAAACTAACGGTTTACTTAGATCCATCCCTTTAATGCTCAAAGCATATAACGTGACTTTTGAGGAAAGAACTTTTTTTCTTGAACTCCGGGTGAAAAAGAAAAGGTAAACTACTTCAGATCTTCAGCAGTTTTCATTAAACTGACACAAAGCAACTTTACACTGTTGTTTGGTTTCACCCTTTGTATGAAAGCTTTTATAGGGCTCTAGGATGTGCTGATTTTTGAGCGGTGGGCTCATATAAAGGGCTCTATTTTTCAAGCCTCGCCGCCGGCATGGTGTAGGCGCAGCGTAAGTCAGGTCGGACGTGCTGAGCGGCACAGCCCAGTGTAAGAATCCCCTCTCCCTAACTCAGCTCCTCCCAGGCCAGGGGTAGGCAATTATGTGCCATGGAGGGCCGAGAGGCTGCAGGTTTTCTTTCCAACCCAAAACTCCACCAGGTGATTTCACTGATTAGTCCCTGCTCTCTGCTTGGAGGTAAGGTAATCAGTGAAATCACCTGGTGGAGTTTTGGGTTGGAAAGAAAACCTGCAGCCTCTCGGCCCTCCATGGCACATGATTGCCCACCCCTGTCCCAGGCATAAGTCAGAAAGAGGGAGGGAAGCAGGCGTGGAGTGGGTTTCACCAATCACATCAGCTCCTCTCTTCACCTTTAAATGCGCCACCGGCAAGGCGTATTGCAAATTTTGTGCCCATCAGATCATATATAGATCAGAATATATCGATATAGATCTGAATGTATGTGCTGACATAGATAGTTGCACTGAATATTGGTTGTTGTTGATTATCTATTGCACTGAAATGTGAAACCCGTCAGTGAGGCATCGGTGACATGTGGGCACTACGCCGTCAATCTACTAAAATACCACCAGAGCAGCTGCGCTCTGCCTGGGCTGAAAGCTGACCAGGTTTGAACCGGCGTGCTTTCAGTGCACTTTCCACGCCGACGGGCATGAAAATGTTACTGCGCAAGCTGATTCTGTGGACACCTCCCCATACCATGCCACCACGCCCAGCTTAGCGGACCTCAGTGCGCCTCAATCTACGAAAGTAACAAACTGGCTGTGCATCGGGCTCTGCCAGACGAAAATCCCACTGTGCGGGATGCGTCACCCTCCGCCGCACCGCTGGCGGGCACGAAAATAGAGCCCAAAGTGTTACCAACTACACTGACTGGAGACCTCTCCCTCTTGTAAGTACATACAGAGTCTTATCTGGTCAAAGGTGTATTACTTTGGCTTTAGGTACACAAACAGACCAACAATGTTTGTGAGAAGATATCATTTGTCTTTGCTGACGTTTACAGTCTTCCTCGCTGAGTCACTCTGAGGAGAAACTGTTAACAGAAACTAAATGTTTTCTTCTCACTTTTAAGTTGTAAATAAGGGCATTGTCACAGCTGTGAAAAAAAACAAAGTCAGCGTGGTGGTTTCATGTTTCTTCTGACCTGTGTTGTAAACCTGTTGAGTAAGAACCCAGATCAAGTTTAAAAGGAGGTCTACCTGGAAGAGGAACTTTAGTTTCCTGATTCCTGCCATGAATCAAATACTTTTGTTGGTGTGATGTACTCCAATTGCATCACATAAGTGTAATATGACGAGTGATATGTTATAACCTGTTTTTTTCTTTTCTTTACACAGCCTGTGACATCAAACTAAGACACCTACCTCCGAGGAGGGTGCTGCTGCCGATCTCTTCGCCTCTCTTCTCTTGGGTTAGGTGGTTTTCCAGGTTCCCGCGGTGGCGGGGGTCTCCCTGCTCCTGCTCCGCCACCACCAGCCCCACCCCCTGCACCTCCAGGCTCCCGAGGATTGATGGGAGGCTTCCCTCCTTCTGGCAGGGGTTTTGAGGGCCTGCCCTGTGGTCCAGATGGATGAGAAGGACTGGGGGCTTTCTTCATCGGAGGCTTTTCCCTGCGTGGAGGGGGCATGGCACCGGGCTTCAGCTGCATGCTTTAAAGAGGAAAGGGAAATTTTTGATTCTTTGAGCAAGCAGACAGTGAAAACATTGGCTATACAAACAGAACAAATGTGATGTTTTTACTGATGATCAATTTATAATTATCAGTACAATCATTATGTCATAACACACACTGTAAGAATGATTAAAGGAGAGGTCCGGTATTTTTAAACGGACGATAAGAAGAACTTTTCGATCCCCAAAGGGAATGTAAATGTCGTCCACGTTTTAAAAAGGGATTTTACAAAAATTAGACTAGGAAAATCTGCAGCAGTTGATTCCATTGACAGATGATTGTGGCTGCAACTTCTTAATGTCTTTTCATGTTTTTTTCTTGGACCTGATAAAAGCTCAAGCTAATCGATTTATTTATCTTGTAGCACCGAGACAACCCTGTGTGTGAAACCCACACATTCCTTGCAGGACAGGTTCCTTATCTGGTCCGAGGACGCAGGTTAATATAAATCTTTCCAGACTTGTTTGCCCTTTCAGGTTACCTAACTGACCCGATCGAAGGTTGACCGAAACCTCTGGCTCTTCACGATTGGTCAATTCAGAGAACAGAGACAGAGTTTTTATTACTTTTTAAACGGACTCCATCACTGACCATTCAAATATAAACATTAACGCCTCAACCCAGGTTTCCTATTTGAGATTTACCGTATTAAAGTGTGTGAACACCCGGATCTAAAGAAAGGTCTGAGGAGCAGGACACTGACCCCCAGACCTCGGTCGTAAAACCATGCTCAACCATGTTCTGATAAAAACTGCATTCCTTTGGAGAAAGAATACAAATGACTGATCATGACATCTTATATTTTCGTCAACGTCATAGTTGACGAAAACAACACTGATTACTAGAATAAGTGAATATCTGAGTCATGACCACAGACGAGAGATGACTGATCATGACATCGTATGCATTTAGCAATGTACTAATCTGTCTAATCATGAAATTTGTGTTAAAATGAAATATGTCCCATTTGTCCCATGCTATCTCATCTCTCGTCTGTGGTCATGACTCAGATATTCACTTATTCTAGTGATCAGTGTTGTTTTCGTCATCCGTCAACGAATACAAAACTGCACGTGTGTGCGTGCGCCCGCGTGTGTTTGTGTCTGTGTGTTGGAGGAGCACAGCAGGCTGATGAGAGCTGTCAGAGCGGACTGAAGCTGCTCCTATATGTTCAGCATTTAACTGACTGAATTTTGCAGCTCTGTTCGTCGTTTTCGTCTCGTCCCGCCAACGTAAACGCACTTTCGTCTCGTCACATTTTAGCCATCTCCGACTTATGTTTAGCTCGTCAACATTTCTTTCGTGGAAGAAAAGGAAAATATTTTCGTCAACGAAAAAAACCAGTGTTGTTCTCGTTGACGAAAAAATTTCCCTTTTTTGACGTTGACGAAAATATTTGACGAAATATGACGAAAACAACACTGCTAGTAATCCTAGATTCATCCAAATCCACAGCCAAATTTATGTTGACACCAAAGTTAGCATAGGTTAATATGTTAGAGCATATTCACTCACTATCATTACCTTTACTGGTTCTAGCCTGACTCAGAATTAGTGCTGGACGATAATTCGATAACAATATATATCGATCGATAGACGTGTGGAGCGATAGAAAAAAAACGGGTCGATAAAAAGTTCGATAGAAAAACACAGTTTCCCTTTCTTTTTCATCATAGCCTATCATGTAGCTTTTACTACAGTCATTACTTCCTCCCAACCAATCACAAACGCAGACCCAGGTACGCTACGGCACCAAGCCCAGCCCCTATCAAACCACAACAGACAGCACGTGTATTAGAAATAATGTAACAGCAAGGAGAAGCGGAGGAAATTGTCCCGAAAAAAGGTTTCAGTAGTTCACCAACGTGGCAATGTTTTGGTTTTTAGAAGTCTGACAAAAAGCAAACAGCGGTCGTTTGCAAAATTTGCAGAGAATTAGTAAAAACCAAGTCCGGTAACACAACCAACTTGTTTTACCATCTAAACCGGTCGCACCCGCAGGAGTACGAGCTGTGTCGGCCGCGCCGCGGCTCCACGTCGTCGTCGGAGGAATCCTCTGGAACCGCTGTTAGCACCAGCACAAAGCAAGTGAAGCAGACCAAACTGGACTTCGTTTCTTGCCAAAATACGACAAAGCGTCAAAGCGGCATAAGGACATCACCCATGCAGTAACATGCTCCATAGCGAGGGACATACTGCCAATAACTACCGTTGAAAAGCCTGGCTTCGACCAGCTTCTAGCCACTCTCGACCCGCGATATGAAGTGCCCGGCCGCAAGTATTTCTCAAACACAGCGCTTCAGGCATGAAAATGGGTCAGGGGTTGAAAAGGTGAGAAGGGTGCGGAGGAAATACGCTCCGGTGTAGCTTCTTAAAGTGGAAGAAAATGAGCTCATATTTTACAAAGACGCGAGTATTTGGATCATGGCTACTAGCAGGGGGGGCATTCGGCAGGGGTGCATTCTACGACACAACACCGGCGTGGATAAGTCCTACTTCTCGTGCTTAGTTTGTTTATTAAGTCAATCACATGATATTTAAAAAAAATAAATCTCCCGACCCCAGGAGAAATATTTCAGTGTTCAGACACCAGGCTGTGGGCAGTTTCCCACACAGTTAAAACTGGTAGTATGCTATTCCCACCTAAAGCTATTCTGTTTATTTATATATTTGTTTGTTTTGTTTATTTTCATCAAAAGACTATTTAAATATTTATTTATCAGATTTTCTGGTCACTTTAGTCTTTATGTTTGTCAGTATTTACTGACGTCACTCAGGCCACTTAAGTTGATTTTTTTTTTTTAAGTTCTTTTTAAAAAAAACTTTCAGTTGTGGTAAAAAAAAAAGGTGGTTGAATAAAGGTTTGAATTTGAATTCAGTGCTTGTGTGTTCTTTATTAAAAGTAGGTCATTAAGCAATAGCATAAAACATCCAGGGCTGCAATTAAAATATATGTTAAATAATTATAATAATTATATCGATAATTATCGATATCGATCAATATGATTTATTTTTTATCGATATGCTTATTTTCTATATCGTCCAGGCCTACTCAGAATCTTTTATTATTGACCTATCATTATTGTTTATCCTCACTATCTTATCATCATTTATTGCATGTATGTTGTACCATCATTCATCCTGTAATAAACAGATCATTATTTTTCTAAGTTCTTGTCTGTTAGTGTTCTTCCAGAAGTGGAGTCCCTGAAATAAGAATTTCCACGTGAGATATGAGATTGATCAATTTAAGATTGACTTAATGTTTGATTTCTGAATTAAACTTTTGTTTTTCTTTATTTTCCCACCATTAAGGGTGGGTGCTGCCCCTTTCAACAAGTGCATAAATATCATAATTTAAGATTATTGATCTTCAGACATTTATTATAAATTCAAATCGCTACAATCTGTTCAGTCATATTTTGCCCAGGCAACGTTAAGACTTGAGCCAAAGTCTAGGAAAACCCAGGAGACTGAATAAATTGAAGCAAAGATAGAAGTATATGGTGGGTGGGTGTCAAAAATGGTCTGAAGTAATTTCGGATTTACCCTTTAGCAAGCATGGGGGGAAGGTCTGGTTTATTTTTGGCCATCCTAGGTGCTGCTGGACTCGGTGAGGGGGATGTTGAGAATGATCTGGACCTGTGACACAATCAACAAATAGTCATTACACAGTTAATTATCATCCTTTGTTAATCCATTGAAGTGTTTATTTTCCCCTAATTTTTTATTATTTTTAAAGCCAGTTCAGGCGTCAATATAGATAAAGAAAGCCAAAGAACCTGGACGTAAAATTAGGGAAAAAAACATTACAATTGCCAACAAAATTCTAATAACAATAACAACAACAATAATAATAATAATAATAAACAGTGACACACTTTTTTGTATCAAAAGTTGTGCTACTTTTTCTGGCATTCTGTAACAACATGCTGACAGTGAAAAGTTTTCACTCCTTCCTCTTTTCAAAGGCACAAACTGTCTACTACTTAAGTTTGCTGAAGAGGAACTCAAAGAAGCCACACTAAGTGTGCAAGTGGTTTCTCTCTGTGCACTCACACTGCCGATTTTAGTCTCTTCTTCTTGGAAACAGCAAACTCTCAACAGACTTGTGCGGACCGAGAGCTAACTGCGGCTAACATATACTCTGAAAGTTTCAGGGCTTAAGCCCGAGTAGCTGCAAGTCTGCCAGTGGTTCATGATGTACTACTCTGCATAAATGTTAGTGAGAGGCAGTTGATTGGTCACACACGGACACACTCACTTTTCAGACAGTCTGCTTTTAGTTGCTGGTTAAAGCCAATCGTTTAAACTCCTCTGTGTTTTTATTTTGTGCTTTCTCTTCGTGACGAATGACTGCAGATGTTTCAGAATTTTGCATAGGACTGTGGAGGTGTTGTATAAACACTTCTGCAGACTGAAGCACACGGATGGCTATCTGGCTATGTCTTTTGGGGCACTTGTAAATATCAACAATTAGGCGTATTGAGATACACAGTGACACACTCCTGCATACCTGGAGCGGCTCCCGCTGAAGGAGCTGCGTTGGGAGGAGTGACTGGAGTAAGAGCTGAATGAGGAGGAGCGGCTTCGAGAACGAGATGACCCAGAGCCTGTGTAGGACGAAGAGCGTGATGACGACCTGCGACACACATAAACACAAAGACAGTTAAGAGGATTGAAAGGCTAATCACACACAGCCTTTGTACCTGAATTCACTTTCTAATAACACAGGAAAGTGCCTCAAAATGTACAGTGCGTACATTCATACATACGTACATGAGAGTGGAGCAAGAAACTTACTGAAATAAAATGCAATACATACACAACAACAACAAAAAAGCTCTTCACTGTGAATTTATCTAAACTGATCACCACATGAAATTATGAAATTGTAAGTTTGGTAATTTTATACCAAACAGGCAGAATGCCTAATAGCATATAAGATCAAATAACTTGATCCACTCGATTGCTTAAAAGCTTGAATGAACTCTGTCAGCAAATTTAGGTTATATATTTTATGTATTCAGTTAAAAACCTTGAGGCATGTTTTTTTTTTGCTTGACAGCCTTTGCATTACACATTGGATGTGAATACAGAAACAGGCTAGTTGATCTGAACAAGCCATCAACAGAAAACTGCTGGTATGCACTCTGGTTTCTGAAAGCAATTAATATTTCCTCTCTTGCATTTGTGCAACTTCATGCTGCTCTTTGGTCAGATTTCTTGCAGGAAAAAATGCCAATGTCAAGATTTGCTGATCCAAACAGTTTCCAGGTTTAAAAAAATAAACATCTGTGTGCAGTGTACCAGTCAGCTGCACACTGGACCGGTAAAAGCTGTTTTTAGCACAGCATGTGTTTCTGTCTTATGAATCTGACTCTTCCCTTTGTGAGGAGTGAAGCTATCCTGAGCATCAAGAAGAGCGTCTACCTGGAAGAGTTAGACAGAGAGACCGAAGAGCCGGAGGGCCGGTGTCGCCTGCGCCCTCGTGGAGGGGACCCCATCCCAGGCCTTCTTCTAGGGGATTTGGACCGACGCCATGGGTCTTTCCACTCATCTGGTCGCCTCATGACTGGAATCATCTCCTTCTTTGAGGGGGGCTCCATTGGCCTGCTGATAAATTGAAAGTACAATCAATGGCTGGTCAGTCACTAGTGTAAACTATAAAATAATAATAATGATAGATAAAACAAATAAAAATGAAGCAAAATCTAAATATAGCTCAACATTAGCTGTGGTTTGTTTTATATTGTATTCAGTTTCATTAGGGACCTCATCTATATGTCCATTATTAGACTACTAAGCTTTTGTAATATGAACACTATCTTCAATTACAAGTTTAAAAAAAACATTTTTGAATCCTGAGAGCAACATGATCCACAATCAAGTTTATCCCAAAATCTGAGGCGACTTAATGACAGCGAGACCTATCGGATTTATCATCTGATACAGAGGAATGCAGTTTAGACAAGAACGTGGAACAAACAACTGCTCATAACCTGTTCATGTGAGTGACATCACGCTGACGCTCCATGCTATGTGGGGAAAAAATGCAGCAATGCTAAACTTTGAACATACCAGCCCACACTGTCTGGGCTATTTTTGTTTAACATCCACATAGCATGATGTTGACAGGTGATCCTTCTCTGAACCCTTTTCAAACAAAACTCTCACGGGAAGGGGAGATCCACCTGTGGTCTACAAAGAAGAGACAATCCAGGCCTTTATCACCAAATTGCAATTGCTTAAGACTCCCTACTATAGAGCGGTAATGAAGAGAGATCACCCAGGGGACTCATGTTTGGTCTCAAGAAACCAGACAATGCAAGGCTTTTATACCAAACTTCAGCCAATGAAGTCTTCCAGCCACGTGAAGGCCAGACTCAAGTCATCATTCATTAAATGAGAGACCTGCCACTGTATTATTTTGGTGCAAAGAGAAAGAAGAACTACAACAAGTCTAATGTGGATGTTTGATAGACCGCACAATATGGTTTTCTATCTGTTTATAACATTTGCAGTAAAATGGTCCTACTTGGCTAGGTAGCCCAGAAGCTGAGAAATTAATGTGACAGTTATAATCAAATGTATTTCAGAACAGCTTTACACAATATGAGTCATAATTTTACTCTAAGTAGGAGGAATAGTTTAGAAATGTTAAGTTACGATTTAAATAATCTATATAGTATTTTTAACAAGTAGGTGGTTGTAATGTCCTGGAATGATCGAAATGCAAGTATATAGAAACGATTCATTCACATTCTTTGATTTTTCTTGAACATCATCTTAGTTCAAATGTTGAAAATTCATTTTTTGTAGTCCAAGATTAAGTTTGTAACTTATTTTTCTTTAATTTTACACATCACAACTTTTTTCTCTATCATTTATATATCTTCCCACAAAAGATTCACCACTTAACTTGGAGAAGAATTGATTCTTAGTAGGCCTTTTTTTTAAATCCAACACTAGGCTACAAGAGTTATTGTAATATCTGCAAATGACAAATTGGATTATTACACGAACGCTAACCACGCAGGGTTAAAATGTAGAAGTTATTGTCATTCTTCTCTTTTTTTAATTAATGATGAACTACAGACAGCTGATAGCTGACTTTCAGAACAATTGAATGGCTTGCAGTTACTATATTTACCATCACCATCTGAGGGATTTTCCAGAGCAACAAACTCAACCTTTATTTTCATGAACAGCACCGTGGGGTCCATCGTTCACCATGGAGGCAGTCTCTAAATATTTGTCAAAGGAAATGAGTAAGATGGGTGGATATTCCCACTATGAAGAAACTGCTAATTATAACGGACACTATGAGCTTAAACACTTGAAGTTACCCTTTTTTTTTTTTTTTTTTTTTACGTCAGCTGCCAACAAATGAGGAGAGCATTTTGATTAATCATCACGTTGACGACTGTCTCTGGTAAATTTACTGCTCAAACTTAGTATCATATGTAAACAAATTCATTGAACTTATGGAGCAAAATATTCCACTCACGATGATCTCACCAAACAGTCAAAATACGGCAAGTACAAGTACGTGACAGAGTTATACTCAGGGTGGATGAGACATGATGATGCAAGAGCTAAGAAATGGCCCTCTCCCTTTAACCTCACAGGAGCTAAAAATAGAACCAGGGTTGCTATTTTTAGCCAAACATAACCTACACAAACAGATTTTTTTCTTTGAGGAAATGATGAGAAGAGGTTATATGATTAACCCCCTGCCTGGGTCCACAAAGTGTTGTAAAAGGTAATTATATTTTCACAGTGTGCCATTATTTCTAATAACTCAGCCTGGGTGCCTTCTGGGAACGCCTGAAGCAGTCTGATGGGACAGCCCTCAAAGGTTTACACAAACTGACGATGAACTTTGCATGAACCTCGTGTCGCATTTCTATAAATAGAGCAGATGTTGAAAATGTTTTCGAGTATTACTTCCTTCTTTTTTTAAGCTAAAAATGTAAAGAATCGGCTGTCGAAACTAACTTCTTTTGAAAAGTGTTGATATTTTTAACACTTAATTTCCCCCATATTCAGCGTCTGTCTACTACTGGGTTTCACCAGTCACTGGTTTTATGTAAATGCTGGAGGACAAGAGATGCTATTTAGTTAACGTGCCGATTCCAGCACACTTAGGAGTATTGTCAATGACTACTAAAACATGGATTAACAGACTTGTCCAAAATAAGACAAAAAATGAGTGAATAGATTAAAAGGAAAACATTTTTTTGTTTCTTTTTTTAACCATAAAATGTCACAGCATCTTTTATCTCAGCGGTTGCCTAAGTGTGTGGTGAGCCCCCCTGACAACTATCTTAAGTTCTGTTTAAGTTGTCTTTAATTTTCAAATTACACATCAAGCGATGCAGCAGCTCAGTCTCAAATGTCCTCAACACTGGTTTGAGTTCAAATGTTTTCTTTTCTAGCGTTTGATTGAAAATGTGGTGTAATTCATCTGTTTGAAAGTAGTGTTAATGTAGCGATCCAGAGACAAATGTCAGAAAAAGGGGTTTGCTCAAAACCACTGCTTTAACTCATCTTTAACTACATCGTATCTGTGTAAGAGACACATGTCTGCTCGGCTCGTATTGGAGAAAAAGAAAAAGAAAGACTTAACAGACGACCTACCAGCTTCTCTGAAGATCATTTTTCAGGACATTTCCAATAAGACTTTGGCTACATAATTTAGGGATCATAGGAACTTATTGTGTTTGCACACTAATTTTTTCCACTCTGAGCAAGTGCTCATAAGATATTATTTTTACTTTTTCAACTTTCATTGACTCAAATCTCTTCAACATCTTCAGCCCTGACCACTACAAAAATTAAATAAATTAATGACAAAATTCACTGTCACAATGTTAAATGTTATGCCAGTTATTGTGCACCGCGTTATTGGACTTGGATTCAATGAGAAAGTGCCCGTTCCTAACAGCTGAGTGTATTGGAATGAAAAACACGCCAGTTTTACCCCCTTTTTCAAGCCTTGTCCTAAACCAAATCATATGTGGGTGAATTCATTTGTCATGGTAAGTTGATTTTATGTATAGGAATATAGAATCAGGGGATATATGTAAGATAGGAATCACTTACGAGTGCCTTTTAAACCTCTAACCAAAACATGACTGCAATAACGCTGATTACACGCATAAATAAATTTACTGTATATTTGAGATGTGATATTCATACCTATTAATATGAAGGATCTGTGCATCCTCATGCATGAACATCCACTTGCTATGTAGTTGAAATTGTCCAAATGCCCCCCTCTCTTAGTTCCAGACTACAGAACTGGGGCGTCACAGTCTCAACTGTAAAAACTCTGCTCACATTATAAAAATGGACGCAGGTTTTTGCCCAAGAGCACACAAAGTTTTCCTTACACATGTAGCCCACTCATACATTTGTAAGGAATCTAGTTGCACGTAAAGTTTGAATCAATTCTGATAATGTTTAGTGTGCTGGCACAATCTGTTGTATCACTGTGGCAAAGTAAAATTTAGAGCCTTGGTGATCGAGTGACTGCAAAAAAAAAAAAAAGGTTGCTAAATGTGTTTTGGTGCCACAAACACAGTCAAAAAAACGTGTTTTTAATGGAAGTCTATTGTCCGTTTTGCCGACAAAGTAGGCTAGATGGAGCTAAATCGCATTAATAGAGTTCTATGGACACCAAATTTTTTTTTTAATTTGAAGAAAAATAAGAACTTCAGCCAAATTTGATGCCTCAAACCTTAAAAATGAATCTCCTCAAAACAGACATAGTAGGAACCGAGGGTTAAGAACTCAAACCTGCTTATAAACAAGATATAAGGATCATAAAATTATGCAAACAAAGCGCTTAATCATATCAATTCATTTACATCACAACACTGAAATGGGCATTTATAATCTAATTTTCCGTCATTTAAATCTGAGATTTCATCACGCATTGGCTTGAATTTTCTGTTTAGTTAAAAAACTTTTTAGTCAGCCATGTCTCTAAGTGCTAAATTTAGTTAAAATAACAAATCAAAGTACCTCTTGTCATTCAAGCACATCAACAAAAGAGCTTGGCTGTTTTTTTTCTAAATTTGTTTATTGTTTGAGCTGCACACTCTCTTGACATCACTCCTCACTGAACAGAAAAGAAAACAAAGGTGTGGCAGGGACAGGGACGTCATCACTGTCATCTTTTTCTTTGTTTACATCACAAAGACTCCGGGAAAAAAACACCGGATTAAATTCCATTATTTCAAAACTGCAGATTACATATGCAGGGACAAAGACGACGTATGACACTCACTTAGCAATCAATCCAGACAATAGGACCCGTATCGAGATCTGGCGACTGTGAATCAGTGGAAAAGTTTCCACTTATGGACAACTGATTTTCCCTTGAGAGAGCTTTGAATTGTCTAAAAGCAATTCAGAAAAATGTTATATTCATTGTGTCTCCATCTTAATCATGATGAGACTGCCACCTGTTGCATTCAACCGTAACTTTGTGTACCGAAACTTCTTTTCGAGTTTTTGTAATGAGTCTGACATGCCAGGAACGGCTTGCAGTGGTGCCGTCATCTACATCCATTGTTCCTAACACACATAAAGCCAGAAAATAATGCAACATTTAGGTGGAAAGTTTCTTGGATTCTTTCAAAGCTGCTTTTACCAAAATCTAGCAACTGTGTGGCCAAAGAGGGAGGCAATTTCAAGTTTTCTTACTGCTGATGTGTGTATGAATGTATGTATGTGAGCTACAATATGATAATGCATCAGCATTGGCAGTTGTGTCACAGCTTCACTTTAAGCAAGGCTTTGCTTATGGAGCCATCAGCCAAGTTAGTAGGAACAAGTTATTAGCTATGGGCATCCCCAGAGGAGTGTGCCATAGAGACACACATTTGGTGGTTTTATTTAAACTGTTCTATCATATAAACTAATATTGTTATACATAATCTTGTGAGTTTGCAAACTGAATTCTAAACAGCAAAGGTATTACTGAGGTACTGTGCAGCATCACTCCAGCTATGTGTGAGCGCACTGCTTTTCAGGACTTAAATGGTGCTTAACTACTGTCCCAGCGGTAATTGTGCGAGTGGGATGTCAAGCTTTGTTTCTGACAATATCAGAGGAGAGGACTTGGACAGTAACATATAATGTGTTGGCAGAATGACAGTGACTGTGCTTGGTGCAATGAAATGCAATAAGCCTTTATTACTTCGCTGATATCCATCAAACACTTGGGTCTCGTCCGAGCCGAGCGCCCCCCCCCAGCACTCACGAGCTTAAAGTGTGCAGATGCAGAGTCGACCCAGACAGATGTCTCTCTTATACTTGTATCAGTTTTAAGCAGGGACACGAGTGTCTCAACCTTTTATCATAAGTAATTTATCAGAACAAACAACATTAGAGGAGCAGGCTGTTTGGCTGACAGCTGGTCTGAAATCTGGTCTGGTGGAAATCTCTGCCAGTATCGTTTTAGCAATCATGGGACGGTTGAAAACACGAATGAGATCAATAATATTCAATGAATTGAGCAACCTTCCTCTGAGTATTGACAGAAATCTTAGGCGGAGATGTTTTGTTCAATCACAATGGATGACTAATGAATCTGCGTGTTACTGCTCTGGTTCTACTACATAATAACACATGTCACCAAACAATGGAAATGTCACTTACTTTGGTGGAAGGCCAAGAGGTGAGCGTGGTTTCATTTTGTCCTCATCTTTCTTCTCCCTGGCGTCTCGAGGAGGACGCATCCTCGGCCTGTCCTTCTCATCGCGCTTCATTCGGTCCCTCTCCCACTCCTCCTTTCGCCGAAGTCTCTCCTTCTCCCGCTCTCGTTCCCTCTCTCTCTCCCTCTCTCTTTGTCGGCGCTCCCTCTCGCGGTGATCTCTCTCCCTCTCTCTGTCCCGGTGTCGCTCACGAGGGTCTCGTTCGCGTTCACGTTCCTATTGAGACGGGTTTGATCAGTGTTGTTGCAACAAAAAAGGCCATTGATGTTATTGCTAATGCTATTGTGGTTGTTGTATCGTCGCTGTTGTGTCGGTGATTCGGGGGGATTGTGTGTGTGTGGGTACATATGTGTATATATATGTATATGTGTGTATGTATGTGTGCATGTATGTTTGTATGTGTATGTATATGTGTACATATAATTATTATTACAGAGATATTCCAATGTAATCCAATTAAGATTTTTTTTTCTTTTCTTTTTAAATTCTCTTTTACATATTATATAAATTCCTTCCCCCTCCCCTCCCTCACAAAAGTATTTTTGTAAATTTTTTATTTTTTATCTTTCTGTTGTTGTTTCTGTTGTTGTCGTCACTCTGTTTTGTTGTTAAATAAAAAAAAAAAAGGCCATTGACAGAGACCAGCGTTTTAATTACTGCAAATAGATCTCAGGAAAATAACAAAAATATGATCTGTTATTCTGTCTCACAATAGCTTTTAGTTTCCTTGTCTTGACTCAGATATCCCTCTGGTTTAGATTTAATTAAAAATAGGCCGTTCTTTTTGTTCAAAAACACCTTATAAAACAGTTTCTGTCATGCCTTAATAAACCAAAGTTTTTAAGGATTTTTTTTGAAACTATGCAAATAATCACACACAAAAAAATCTTTTAACTGGTCTTGCGTATTGGCATTTGTGTAAACTTGTGCACACTTTACTGATCTTAAAAAAAAACAAAAAACCCCATAAAACTACACAAGGATGCGCCTTAACAAAACCCAATGCTGTATCTATTCACCCTGTTTACATTGCATGTTAACGGGTCATGAATTAAAAAAAGGATAAACGGGTGTAAATATAAGACTTAGACGCAGACTACAGCTGCCCCCTTATAAAAGTTCAAGTATGACTTAATTCATTCTCATTATGAGTTCAATGTGTAACAAATGATGAGGTGTAAAGAGTCATGCACTGATTTCTATCAAGTAGGATACCACAACAACAAAAACGACAACAGAGGTGCAAAGCAAGACACCAAGGATGCATCACTTCAGTCTTTGCCTTGATGCTCTAGAGTCACTTGTTGCAAATCTTTTTGAAGTTCAGAAAACACATAAACAGACTGGTCAGGACACTCACAGCAAAGTGGTAGGGAAGAGGGGCCTCTGTGTATTGCACTCGAAAGTTTTCATACTGGCCTCCTCGCCATAGAGCCTCCATTTCATAGTCATAGTAAGGGTCAGCATACGGGTCACTGCAGAGGGGAAAACCATATGATATTATGGAGATTAATCATAGGTCAATTATATGCTTTTTGAGCCTGCTAGAGAACAAACAAAGGCTCTCATGGGTCATTTCCTTTTATTTTACAGAGTTGTAAAACTGACACAACGAACTATTCTTCCAAAAAATACATGCATTTGAATATCAGAACAACCGTTCTTACACAGGGACACGACCTTTCATTTTCATTCACTTACTCAAAGACAGGCAGCGTATAAAAAAAAGGGGGTTTTTGTGCCGATCTTTACAATTGGATAATAGATTTACTTTAATAGATTGGCAAAACTTTTGTACAGTTTAAAGATACATGCACCAAAACAAACAAGAAAAAAAAGTCAGCTGTCTGTTAAGTATGAACTGAAACAGTGAGCTCTATTTTATTTTTTGTTTGCAACCAAATAATAAAAAATAAAAACTCCTGAGAAAACAGAAAATTGTAATTGCTAAAACTACCACAGGTTGATTTTTTACATTGAAATAAAAAACAAAACTACACAAATGAGTTGTTACGAGCTTTACCACAGGGGTCTATATTTGTCTGACTTACCTATAAATGGGATCCCTGAAGTCCACTTCACTGCAACAGGAAAATAGGCAACATTACTGACAACAGACCAAAAAACTGCACCAGGAATATTTCAGTTAGAGAACAAGTTTCAGCATTTCGAAGAATGTTTGACATGAGGAAGGACAGCCAAGTCATATGTTTGTATTTCTCAATTGCAATCATTTGTATTAAATGTCTGTATATCATTTCAAGTTATGTTTACCCACAACTTTGGCATAAATACTTAACTAGAGGAAAAGGTGACTTTGAGAAAATGCGAGCAGCAAGGAATAGCATAATGGGTTTGTTTACTCAGTTGAGTCTGTGATCAGATGAATAAAAGAAGACCAGTTAAAGGGGTAGTTGTGATGTGTATGTAATAATTGAGAGATAGGGAATGAGTGTGTTTGTTAAAATCAGAGACAGAAAGAGAAACTGACAGCCTAGTCTGTATTTCAAGTTAAGGGTTCAGTCCACTGGTTGATTTTGTACTCTAAGGTACTTTCTTTTCCAGGGAGTGTACATGAGACTTCAAGTTTGGTTACTGTGTCGAATGATTTAGTTCCCGGTGACGATGAAATGTGTTAAAGGTGTGCGGTTCGTACTCTCGGATGATGCGGTAGCTGCGTTCTCTGAAGAATTCATTCTCCTTGTCAAATTCTCTCTCGTCCTCTCCAATGGTCACATTGAAACGCTTCTCCTCGAAGTCCGGCTCCTGCTCCTTACGGATAGTCGCCTTTTTCAGCACCTGTGGGACCACAGAACCAGTTGAAGATTTAACGGTTTATACTTTTTATAATGATCATTTCTACTTTAACTGTATTCAAATTGTGTTTTCTTCATAAACTGGAGGACAAAATACCTGCCTGCTGAAATTGACCATTATATGAAATTGACAGGTCGGTAAATTTCACCTCTTCATTTCTTAGTCACAGGGTAATCTTACTGGCTGAGTTATAGTTACATCTTTCAGATACACTGGCAATAAATTTAATTACATGTACTTTATTTTAATGGCTGTTACTCTTAGAGGGTGGTAACGAACATCACTAAATTACCATCACTGTGCCCTCCTGCTTCAGAGTGTATACAAGCATTAAATTCAAATAATACTCTCGCAGCATGAGCTCATTCTTTCGTCATGTCATACGTTTTGAGGGGGCGTTGACAGGATTTACCTCTTTGGCATGCCTTAGACCTCTTTCCCAGGCGCTCTCCACAGGAGGTTCCACTGGAGGGGGTGGAGGAGGAAGTTCCTCCACAGCTGGTGCAGCCTGACATGGAGACAAATCATTCACTTGTTTGGCTTCATTTGCATACATGCTCCCAGAGCCAAGAGAAAATGCCTGTGGAAATGGTGACAGTGTGGACCAAGTTGAAGCCTAAGCTCTGGAATGCTCTTCCTCCTCATGTTCGACTGCACCCCTGACTACCTGTTTTTAAATCAAACTTGAAAACGCACTTTTACTCCTTGGCTTTTGACTCTTGAGAACTTCGTCTTTTAATGGTGTTTTCATTGAACCATCTATGTCCCCCTGTTCTTTAATGTGGTCATGTGTCTTTATTTTATTGTTTGTGTTAACTGTCTGCTTTTATTGTTTTTTAATTTTCATTGTACAGAACTTTGGTCAGCATTTTGTTGCTTTAAAATGTGCTGTATAAATAAACTTGGTTTGGATTGGATTGGGTGTGCATGTGTAGTCTGATCCAATTTTTACATCATCTCTAGTTCCCCTTAAAGCATTAGTACACTTGCATGATTTTAGCATTTGCATTATCCAAACATTTAAATATCTTTTTAGATCTTTTACTAATGTGCAGAGTTGTGACAGACAAACATACCCAGGGATTATTGGGGATGAGTGGGTGTGGTCCTCCAGGAGGTGCTCCATTTGGTGAGAAGGGGTCTGGCTTACTGATGAGAGAATAGTTACCTTTGTCATTTACTCCTGGATGAATGAAGCGGCAGTTCATACCCCAAGTGCAATTTCCTGCATGAAGCGAAAAGTAACAGTGAGTTTAAAAATCACGATGACCCGGAAACATTCACTCAGATTCAGAAAATAAGCTCTCATTTGTCTGAAGTAGTTTTTAAATGAAGGGCAACCTGAGCACCGTTCAGATATATTGAAGAACGGACACAAATACTTTGCAACCACCAGTGAAATCTTTTTGGGTTGCAGCCTACATAGTAGGTGTCAGAAGGCTGCTACGTAATGTCTGAGTACAAACTGTACAGCTTATAGAAGTTGTAGGGACTGTAGGCTAACAGATGGACTGACTGTAAGTCTCAGTTTGGAATAATGTACCAAATGCATCCATTATGATCTTTTTTTCCCCCAAGAAATAAAAGGTCACCCCCTCTAGTTACTCACTTACTAACTCACTTACTCACTCCAGTTACTCACGCACACGCTTTCTCTTTCCCTCTCTCTCACTCTCTCTCTCTCTATACACATATACATATACATATATGTGTGTATATAAATATATTTAGATCAAACACAAAAGATTCTTGTACTTTTGGGTCTTTTACACCCCAAATTTTATGAAAAGTACATCACAGGAATGACAAACTTTTATATATTTAACAGCTAATATCTAAAACACTGAAAAGACAGCAAAGAACAAATAAACAGTCTTTAAATCTGACACCACAGTCCACTCTATTATGGATGAAACAACACGCTTCTTTGAAACAAATGCAAAAAAAAAAAGAGATGAATCACACGAGGCATTATGAAGTATCTGTCAGAAATTTAAAAAATCCAGGTATCAGGATTGAACAAGAAAAGAGACAGACACTTACTGTCAGTGCGAGTTTTTTGACAGTGCATGACTTACAAGGGACTGGAAAAATCTATACAATGTCCAGTAGCTCCCTCTGCTGTTTACAGCTGGCATTACAAGAGCTTACAAAAAAATCACATTCCTCACATGCTTTTTATTGCAGCTAAGAAAGTGTTTGATTTCATCTTTGATTGTTTTACACAAATGAGCAGGGTAGCTGCGCACTTTATCTTAGTCAAATAAAGACTTCATAAGAAGTTTTTAAAGCCCAAACAAACAAGAAGTAAGAGCAGTATTGCACTGAATAACAACACTTCAGGGACTCTTGATACTATTTGACTGTAATTTTTAATGCTTTGGTGCGTCCATTTCTTCACTGTTACAGCTTTTTAAATTTAAATTGAATAAATGTCACTTCATTTGTCTGCATACATACTGCTTTGTAATTATAGGATAAAGCTACAGTATACTGACAGCATAATAATTGATCTGATTTCATAGAAGGTAATGGAACAATTGGCCAAACTTAAGCTCCTCTGTAAATTCAGTGAAGTTACAAGTTCGGTTTCTGCCTTAAAGAGCGAGTGTAGCAGCGGTGAACAACCATGAGACAGCAAATGTATGCAGTATTTCAGTGAATATTCTCAGTTACTCTCCACCACTTAACAGTAAAGCAAAACAGTGTTGCTACAGTCGGGTTTCCCTTGGGCAGACTTTCTAAATAATTCTGATCTACATAATAACTGAGTAACGTAACACATTTGTGATTCAGTGACACTGCAGTTTCTTGTTGTGTACTTTGTCACATACTGTACATTCATCGATATCAATATCTCCACACATTTATCTTTGTACAGCTCTGGCGTAGGATCATCTCTCCACTTACCTTTAATGAAGAACCTGCAGATGGGACGGGGCCTGATTTTCCTGTCTGAGGGATCCTTGACCTCCCCCTCCTCCAGATCATCATCCTGCATGCACAAAAGACATCTTGACTCAGTACACCAACTATTTGTTATCATGCTCAAAGTAATGCATCTTGTTTGTACTTCATTTGAAACGACATGAAACATCCAGGAGTATGTCCGGTTATCATGCTCCATAAAACAGCTCTGGGGTCTCATTTGTAATCATTGTCTCCACACAGAGCTCGGCTGAAGAGAGACATGCTCTACTTCCAAAGTGAACGCTGTAGGAGGCACTAAGTCACCTCTTCAACAGCTCCCCTAATCCTCTAGTACATAGAAGATGGCTGGATTTTATGGTGACTTACCAGTTAAATTTCATTGTTAGCTGAAAATAGTGTTTTTTTTTCTAAACAGTGTTGAGCGGGGATGTTCTGTTCAAGAGTCATCTATAATCGATCATTCAACACAAGTTTAATCTCATATTTATATAGAAACAAAAGCTATACAGTGGTACTTCATACATTTCATGTTTTAATTTTAAGAATCTTAACTGTTATGATAATGTGTGAATATGACAGAACTGAAAGCAGAACTAGGAGGATGTCACTGCTCAGGCTGCTGAGTCACATTCCCTCAGACAGTGGGGTTTCCTCTCTGGCTAATGATCCATGACAGAGTACCGAAAGTGGTAAAAAGAGCATACAGAGCTTGTAGAGGGCACACTAAAAAAACAACACTCAGATTAAGGGACCAAAAAGCACACAATGCTGGAAAGTCCATTTCAACATGGACAGCACTTTACTAAGCTTGGCGCAGGCTGGATTTTTGAAGCTGCTACATAAATGTAACATCTCTATCCCCTTTATAAATCCAGAAAGGAGATTTAGACTGTTACTATTTGCATATCTAGATTTCCCTCACACCTCTGTGTATCCACATCTGCTCTACTGCTCCCTTCACATACCCTAATTTCAAGTTTTATTTGTGGGTGAAATGCACTGTTAGCACAGTAAAAACACTAAAGCTCAGCCAGCTGAGGTGGTACAGCTCAGTTTAGAAATCAAAGTATTTGACTCTGATTGCAATGTTGCTCATTAGGGCTTGTGCATTCATCTGGTGGTGACAATAACCATCTTTTTAAATATTTGTTCGATACCACCACTAATACTGTACTCAAAATAGGCATACAGCGATACAGTCCAACAAACTGGTTCATAATCAGGGACAGTGGTAGAGGTTCCTAATGCTGGTGTCCACCTTACATCAAACAGAGGAAATATGAAGAAGACAGTGGAGAGCCAACTAGCTAGACTTTACTGCACTGTGGGTCCAACCAAAGCACAAACCATGTCTGAGGAAATAACAGATAAAAGGGAGGTACAGAAGGAGAATATTACAAGTACAGAAGAACATTCAAACAATTTGTAAAAACAAAATGGACTTTTCACACTGCTGCAAAAAGCAACAACAGCTGGTTAGTTAGCATTTTTTCAGCTTTCAATCAGGGCACTTTTGGACTACCCAACAACTCTGGGCTGTAAAACCTTGGTTTGACCACTGGTGTTAAAAAGTGGGAGAGTTTGTCAGGAGAGGACACAAAACGATACGGAAGTGAAATCTTGCTACGCCTTAAAGTTGACACAGAAAGCTGTTGCACAAACTTGGTACATTTCATTGAATATTTAACAGCCAGTAAACATAGCTCAATTAATGGGCGAAACACAACTTAAGTACACGCAAGCAATCTTTCAAACAACGACCAAAGACACTCTAAAAGCCTAAAATAACTTGTTCCTGGGCCACATTCTGAACAGTGGTTGTTAAAACAGACTCAGTGGTATTTTCATGAATGAAACCTGATAAAGACGTGATGCTAAAAGAGTTTGCATCGTGGTCGTTGTTACAGCAGGTTATGTAACACATTGAATTTTTTCAAACAAAGAGCTTTTGAGCTTTTTTTGTGTTTGTGTCTGTTTCTGCGATTCAAAAATCACCCCAAAATAACTCCTGTTACGTGTAAAAGTGCTCATAACCTCATATTTTCTAGGTAAGGAAGATTATGGAGTTTTTCCACTGCACTGTCTCATTCTTTAAGGCTTCCAATATCACTAGCACACTCTTCAAACTGAAAGCATTACCAAATTATTTATCATTACGTAATCAATCAATGAGACTTTCTTTTTTTACATTGCTCAGCCCAACACTGATTCTTGTGCAACAACCAGGCAAATTAAGATGACTTACGTCAATTTCTCCTTCATCAATCTCTCCATCATCCTCATCCTTCTTCTTGTCTCTGAAGGAATCCCTGCGTGCTCTCTCAGACCCTTTGAGGTCATCTGTCCTCTTAGATTCATTGTCTGTTGGTGATGGAGGAAGAATTGTTTTCCTCTCCTTCTTCTTACTGCTTTTGTCCTCGCTCTCCTCCTCTTCTTCTCCCTCCCCCTTTGTGTCTTCTTCGTCATCCTCTTCCTCGTGTCCAGGGATGCTAGGCTCTTCTGGCACCTCCTCATCATAATCCAGTTCATGCTCATCTAGCTCTCTAGAAACAGACGCTGAGTCATCCTTCATTACCCTTATTACAAGAGCTCTCCTCCTTTTCTCTTCCTCAGCTCTGACTCTTTCTACCTCCTCTTCCTCCTGTGCTTTGCTTTTGTCTTCCTCCTCCTCATCCACCTCAGCTCTGTCATGCTTTATCGAGGCATCCTTTTGATAGTCATCATATCCTTCCTCCCCATCCTCTCCATCTTCTTCAGCGATGAAGCTCTTGCCTCGGTCTGGCTCAGAGTCTGGAGACAGCGGAGTGTCAATCACTCGATCTTCTTGTTCCTCTTCTTCCTCATCCCCACCCAACTGGTCCTCCTGAGGACCATCATCATCCCCCTCCATGAGCAGAATGGTCCCATCTTCTTGTCCCATCTCTTCTGGGTCCCCCTCATCCTCTGGATCTGAAACAAAGTCAGGGACCACCTCATCGTCTTCCCTCTCCTCCTCCAAATCCACACCTCTTCTTCTGCTTTCCACTATTTCATCCTCTTCTCCATCCTCGGCTAGCTCCCCATTGTCCTCTTCTTGGACTATCTCACTGTCAGAGATGACCCTGTCCTCGTCTTCATCATGAGAATCCAGCAGCTCACTGTCAGAAAGGCCCTTATCCTCCTCTTCTTCGGGGGACTGAGGGGACTGGGTAGGGCTTTCAGGAGTATCCATTAGAGAATAGTCTAGTGCAAACAAAGATTATAAAGAAAGAGTCAACAACTGATACTCTACTTGCATCTGCACCAAAACTGGCCACTATACTAATCACTTCACAATGCCGCCTTTCAGTCATTTGCTGTTCAAATAAAAGACAATTATATGACTATATCTGAATACAAAATTCCTCCTTACTGCAGGATAAATGTTATTAATGTAAAGAGTCATAAGGTTGATAAAGTCTCCTTTTACGAAGCCTCTGCATTCTTGGCTTTTGTTGGTGTGATCTGACAGGTGATAAACATTATTTAACTTGGTTACTAAAGTTATCTGCTGGAGAATATCAAATACCAAAGTGTCCCTAAGATTTTGCTTCCGTCATGTTTGTTTATTAAGTTGACAAAAACTCATGAATCAACTTTCAATAAACAAACTCCAGTACACCACCTACACCCACTATGTTTTAATCAGCAGTATAAAGTCCAATAATCAGCTGTCTGGTCATATCAAGAAGAACCAAACACTAAGATCCCTCATGAAAGCAGAATTTGTGATGGAGCTGTTGTACTGGACTTCAAGATCTTGTTTGGAGGTTTCCAAAACTATGGCTGATAGAAAGTAGTCTTGACAACTATCATCCAAGACCAAAAACCCATCTATCAGTACTGGGATGGAGGACATCGACTAAAATGATCGTAAATGCCGTCATCTTTCTGTACAGGTAGTTAAAGTGATAAGTATCTGGTTTATGCTTTAGTTTCAAGGTTAACGTCGTGCCTGCCTGTGTTTGAAAACACTGACTCGGCTCACCTGCAGCTAACGCGACAGAGAAGCCCTAACATCACTTTAGCTTAGCCGCGCTTGTTTCCATTGAGGCCCATAAGGTGAGGAGAGCCGGCTCAACAAAGAGCTAACTACCATCATCGAAAAGCGAAACTGTTTAAACTAAAATACGCTATAACACTTCAAACTATCGGACTCTTGCGGCTTCAGCGGTGAGCGGCCAATGTTGCTAACTAACCTCTCATTAACAAAGCAGCTAAGCTAACAGCGCTGCTCCTCTCTATCTGCGAACAAAAACATATTTTCAGTCACCTTGTCGACCCGGACCTTTTCAAAGATGACGCTACTGCGTTAAAACTTCGCTGTCCCGCTGATGTTGGTTTTTAATTGTCTTCAATGATTATCAATCGGGTTAATTCAACCGCTGTGGTGGAGAAAATAAAACATTCGGCACGGCACAGCGAGGGCGGCCATTACCTCGACGTCATCAAAACACGACGATCTAACGGATAACAGGCCGCGATGGAAGTGAGTGAGCACTGATCTGAGATCAGCCTGTGGGGGCAGTCAATGAGTGCTGTACACAGGTCACAATAACAAAATCTGATTTGAAATCAGTATTAGCGGCTATTTTATTGAAGCGTCCAGATGCTATAACGCAAGAAACTAATATAATATAATATAATATAATATAATATAATATAATATAATATAATATAATATAATATAATGACTTTTTAACTTTATTATGATAGCCCACTTAATCATAAATCAATGACTTTTTAATTACCATTTTATATCTCACTCAACCATGAATTAGTGACCTTTCACCCTGTCATCATCATCTGGTCTACTATGAATCGACATCTCTTCAAAGCTAATGTCGTGATGTACAATCATTCATATTTACACTCACCGGCCACTTTATTAGGTACACCTGTCCAACTGCTCGTTAACACTTAATTTCTAATCAGCCAATCACATGGCGGCAACTTAGTGCATTTAGGCATGTAGACATGGTCAAGACAATCTCCTGCAGTTCAAACCGAGCATCAGTATGGGGAAGAAAGGTGATTTGAGTGACTTTGAACGTGGCATGGTTGTTGGTGCCAGAAGGGCTGGTCTGAGTATTTCAGAAACTGCTGATCTACTGGGATTTTCACGCACAACCATCTCTAGGGTTTACAGAGAATGGTCCGAAAAAGAAAAAATATCCAGTGAGCGGCAGTTCTGTGGGCGAAAATGCCTTGTTGATGCCAGAGGTCAGAGGAGAATGGCCAGACTGGTTCGAGCTGATAGAAAGGCAACAGTGACTCAAATAACCACCCGTTACAACCAAGGTAGGCAGAAGAGCATCTCTGAACGCACAGTACGTCGAACTTTGAGGCAGATGGGCTACAGCAGCAGAAGACCACGCCGGGTGCCACTCCTTTCAGCTAAGAACAGGAAACTGAGGCTACAATTTGCACAAGCTCATCGAAATTGGACAATAGAAGATTGGAAAAACGTTGCCTGGTCTGATGAGTCTCGATTTCTGCTGCGACATTCGGATGGTAGGGTCAGAATTTGGCGTCAACAACATGAAAGCATGGATCCATCCTGCCTTGTATCAACGGTTCAGGCTGGTGGTGGTGGTGTCATGGTGTGGGGAATATTTTCTTGGCACTCTTTGGGCCCCTTGGTACCAATTGAGCATCGTTGCAACGCCACAGCCTACCTGAGTATTGTTGCTGACCATGTCCATCCCTTTATGACCACAATGTACCCAACTTCTGATGGCTACTTTCAGCAGGATAATGCGCCATGTCATAAAGCTGGAATCATCTCAGACTGGTTTCTTGAACATGACAATGAGTTCACTGTACTCAAATGGCCTCCACAGTCACCAGATCTCAATCCAATAGAGCATCTTTGGGATGTGGTGGAACGGGAGATTCGCATCATGGATGTGCAGCCGACAAATCTGCGGCAACTGTGTGATGCCATCATGTCAATATGGACCAAGCACTCTGAGGAATGCTTCCAGCACCTTGTTGAATCTATGCCACGAAGAATTGAGGCAGTTCTGAAGGCAAAAGTGGGTCCAACCCGTTACTAGCATGGTGTACCTAATAAAGTGGCCGGTGAGTGTATATTTATATAAATGAATACATAAAAATTTATATATACATTTATATTTATTTAATAAGGACAACTGTAGATCAATGTTTCCACATCACTGCAATTAATGTTACTTTATCATCAGTTTCTATTGTATTTTTAAACATTGCAACTTCATTGATGTTGTATTGAAAATTTAAATTTTAACCATAAAGATGATTTTAATAGAAAATTAACGTGGTTTCAATATTGTCTGGCTATCTGTTTTTTTTTTTTTTAAGGAAAACTTGAATTTACAATAGAAAGTGTTAGATTCTAGATATCTTTACCTCTTGCTCTTTCCACATCTTGTAAGTTTCAATGAGTTATATCGGCGAATCAAGGTTTCGCTCCTGCTGCAGGGCCACTAGATGGCAGCAGTGACCTTGCACATACATTCTGAGATACGTCTCATTTCTTGTTGCAGTGCTGCAGAAGAAAAAAGGTTTGCTAAATGAGTTACATTGAAAGTGCTACCATAAATAAAAGATGATGCAAAATGGCGATTGCACATGACAAGGACAAGAATTAGTTTCAACATTATAACATTATTTCTCTGAAGAAACTGAGCCATGCTGAGGGAGAGAGTGGTGTCGTGAACAGTGCCAGGCGCCGTAAGGAAGAATTTCAAGTACAGAATATACATGACTTCCTCTCAAAAATTACAGCAGTAAAACGGAATATCTTTAAACCATGCATAGTTTTCAGTATATGTTGTTTCATTAAGTTTCTTGCAAATTTTGCAAAGCTTTTAGTCAAAACGGATGAGTTCTCTATAAACATTACAAGTATGAGGAAATAAAGTTTTAATCCAACGTTTTATTTTTATGTCAAAATGTTTCCACACGTTAATGGGGTTTCTTGGGCTTTTGTTACATTGACAATAGAAAACAGACGCGGTATCAGTAATGTCAGTGGTTCCTGAAGTAAAGTTTAAAAGTCTATCAATGCTGAGAAAAGTGTGTCGCTTTTAATTTGAAGGTACAGGTGCTGCTTCCTTCGTAGGTGTATGTGGGTTTGACGGAGTTCATTGGTTGGTGTTGGACGCTATGTTGCACAGTCTTCAGACAACAGCATGAGTGTGCTGCCGACCCAGCTTTAACGAGCGACGGACAAGGAGCGCAAGAGGAAAATGTAGAAATTCATTTTGTTTAGAGGGAAACGGGTGTAATGACGAGTCTGAAAGAAACGACCAAAAGACACACTGGTAAGTTTTTTTTTCTTCTTTTTGCAAATGAATTTTGATAATTTTAAGTTTAAAGCTAGTTATTGCTCTTCTTTTTTTATTGCTGTAGTTAATAGCCGGACTATGCACGCACCAACAATGATAAATCATATAAATACTGGTGTTAGAAAACTGCCTCAAACTGACAGATGAAGGCAAAACTGCCAAATGAAAATGGGTTGATCAGTTCTCTTTTTTTAAGGTCTAAGATGTTAATTCCCATTTTATGTAAGAAAATACCAGGCTATTCAACATCCAATGCAAGAACATGAAAATTATTTGACTGTGAACCTGAACTTTTAACTTTGTTATAGTTTGTTATTTTGTCAAATGGATCAACTGGGTTTAGTTTTCTTTCTTTTGCTTTATGTCATATTCGTTTTTTGTGCAAGGTGGTTTACTAATGATATAATAATAATAATAATAATAATAATAATAATAATAATAATAATAATAATAATGATATGGTTTTATGGAAGTTGCAGTCATTGAAAAGTTAAACATACACCCACTCTAATCCCATTTAGTGAAAGCCATTGTCAAGCGTCTTGTCGCATGTAAATGTTCCACTTATCCTTATTTGTACAAAACACATTTCTTTAACCTGCAAATGTATAATCCATCACCACTAACAGCTGTAGCCAAACAGCTGTTTCATTTTTCGAACTGACGACGCTTTACACATCTGATACTGATGTGACATTAGTGTTAAATACAGGTCACTCTGCACCAAAGCCTGAACCTATTCTCTCATAACACTTGAAAAGATATCTAATAACCTTAATTTTCCCCTTGAAAGATCTAATTAGATACCAGAATCTTGTCATTATGTGTCAAGAGAAGAAAGACTGAGATAGGAAGGACATTTTAAGTTGATATCATGTTGCATGACTCATTTAAGGTGTCAAAAACTGACTAATTGTAACTGAGGACTTAAATGAGAGCTTCAACTTTGATGGGTGTGAAAAGAGATGAGTTTTGTCAGTTAATCAGCCACATAATGTACAAATAAGTTTGTGGCATTTAGAAGTTGGATTTAACAAAATGACTCACGTATGACAGGGTTCCTTATGTGCTGAATTGATTTGTAATCTGCTAGTTGAATTACAAATATGAAGTGATATTTTTTTCGAATTAATTGACCATATTTCACACAGTTTACCAGTTTCTACATGCAAAATCTAATCCTCCCTCCTGTGATGGTCTGTGATGCTACCTGTGCAGAAGAGTGTTTGGGATGTTGTAATCTATGAACCATCAGCACTCTCTGCTGGACATTGTATGTAACAACAGCCTTCTCCACCCAGCCCACCAGAATAGCATGCAACTATTCCTCTAGTACATTTTAACATGGATCGACCCACCTCAATGCCTGAGTCAGTCTTGCAGGGGTGGCCCATCCCTTCAACACTTTCCCATCATGCTGTGTTTGACTGAATAAACATGCAAATGTCACATACTGCTCATGGTGCTGATGTTAGTCGCTAGAGGATGTTGTTTTGTGCTTGATGTAATTTTAATGAATTTTTTTGTTACCCGTTAGTTTTGGCCTTAACTGCAGAAACTGTTCACCAATGCAGAGACACATCTTCAGCTGTATATAAAATTTGCTTTAAACAGTCGTTTACCCCTGCAGGGAAATTCAGAAAAGTGACAATATGTTCATAGTAATGTGTTGCCTCTTCACATGAGTGAGTCACAGCAGTGCTTATAGCTTCAAAATCCCTGATGAGTTAGTTTTGAGTGTTTTAGGTTGAGTAACTTATATTTTTACTTCTCCCTTTTCTTTAAAAGCTTTATTCAGTTAGTGAATTACACTTAGTGACAGCTCAGCTCACAGCCCCTGAAGCCCTGCCAAAGAAGGTCAACATATGCAGATTTTAAACATAAAACTACATTAATAGATCTGTTTTTTTTTTACTTTCCCCCTTTTTTTTCTTTGTGAAAGAAGTAGACCCTAGCTGAAATTTCTCTTCCAGTAAAGATTGTTGCAACAGTGATCACTGAAGAGTAATTTTTAGACAGAGGGCCTGACTCATATACAAAACTTTAGCATTTACAATTTTTTTGTAACCAGTCAATACAAAGACACATAGGCCTAAGTGTTTTTGTTTGTTTATTTTTGTAATCAACAGCTAAATGAGCTGCCTTTTGAAAACTTCCTTCATGGATTAAGCGAGATATCAATTTTGAAATTTCAGTCGCATCTGTCATTTGACTCTACAATGAACTAATAGGGACTTTATATTTCCTGATAGAATTTTGCATCATCAGGATGAGAGTGCACAATGCACCCCCGCACAGCAGATCATAAAAATGCAAACAGCTCATCTCAGTTTCAATAAAACACAAAACTAGAGCAAACTGCACAGAGTTGTAGAACTTTTTGAGCATTTCAGAATTTGTTTAGTGAACTAGATCGTGAAACAGAGAAGATAGAAGGGGCAAATGATGCACAATTCTTGGTGCTGTTGGTGGCTGTAATCCATTCTCAGTGAATTCCACACTCAGAGCAGAATAGATACCCTTTGACATTAAATGTTCTACATGCTGGTTTTCTTGTTTGTTCCTTACTCTGTATTGCCCTATGCACATAGTCACAGCCAAATAAGGGCGCAAAGATTCAAGTGACAAGTTGAGAGTTGGCTATGGGTCCACTTGACTAAATTGGGCTGCTATAAGGCAGCTCCTCGTGAACTGTTGGAAAGCACTGCAACCACACATTGTTCCTCTCTCCTTCTGCTGAATTTGATGGACCCTGAGACAAGCTCAAAGGATCAGCTTTGCTGGGTGGATTGATGGAAATGTGCAGAAGATCCGAAACAGCCAGACTGAGAGCAGAGTGGTTAAATTAAGTCACTTTTCATTTCATGTCCACCTCAGTTTATTAAAGGCAGCCCTCAGGAGGAAAGAGAGAAAAGAGCAACAGAAGCCGGGCAGAGCTTCACAGACTTGCTCGCTGGTTAATTAGCTTCTGGCAGAATGAGAAACCTCAAACGCTAACGTCAGGATTCTCCGGATTATAAAAATGGTTGACATTGTTCTCTTGTAACCCCATCATATTTGGAGGCAGTTAAAGGTTAATAAATGGCTTTAATCAGAAATTCTCTTCTCTGTTGGAGATTGTAGGAATGGTGCTGTAACTTAATCAGAAATACATTAGGAGGCATCATTAGTGCATAATGAGAGAGGAGTAAACTTGAATTGACTCTTGTGTTTTGTGAGAATATTTGGTTGAAATGATCTTAATGCACATTAAGAAGAGTTCACTAGCCTTAAGTTCAGTATCAAGACCTATTTGCAACGCTGAATGCTCAGATGCACCAGATTGGCTCATTTGAATTTTTCCTGTTTTATTCACATCATATCTGAATAAAGCCTCCCCAGGCAAACTTTCCACTCTGGCTCTCAATCTGAGGGTTGCAGGCTGATAAAGGAACATTTGGGTACTTTTTTAGGTCCTTGGAGGGGGAAAAAATCCTTTTTGGTGGGTTATTAATGAATACTACAACAATAGGGTGCTTTAGGGGTAGCCTTTCTCAGAATCATCCCTCAGCTGCTTACTTTGAGGGGAAAGTCTTTAATATAGGGAATTCCTGCAAAGGAAAATTAAGAAACAGTTCTCTTGATGCATTTCTTATTTTCCTGTTGTGGAAAAATGCTTGTTGAAGTGATACCTGAAGTGAGTAGTTTAAGCTGCACAAATTAGGAGGAAATCATCAAATTTCACAGTATTTCACTTGCTCTGAATTTTTCTTTCAGATGCGTGATGGCTGGTTTCAGGGCCAAGATTATTGACTGACAATAAAACCAGTTTATGACTGACAAGATGTCATGAAAAGTCTCGGTGTTGCCAAAAAACTCTCCCCACTAAACCCTGATCTTGTCCATATACTAACTTGATAAGTGAAGAAAAATTGGAAATATTGAATAATGAGACATGTTAATTCTCTTCACAGACTTGCCTGAAACATCAGCAAAACCCAAATCCATCAATAATTATAACTACATGAAGCATCAAAAACACAGAAATCTGATACTAATACGGTATCACGTTGATGCATTTTAAAGATATGGAATGCTCTCATCAATCTGTTCAATCATATGAGAGAAGAACTGTATTACTATAACACTGAAAAAAAAGTCTGTTCAATTTACATGAAAAAAATATGTACATTGGTTGCACATATAAAGTTATGTTCACCAAAAAGAATTTATTCATGTTCAGTATTCTTAATTCTTATTTGTTCAGATAACATAACCTTTTAATGTACATTTTAAGTGTTTCTTTCATGTTATTCATATTAAACTACCTTTTGTTATACCAACATGATTTTCTTATGTAAAGTATGTTCAATTACTCTATATTAAATACACAATATATTTTTAAGTAAAGTATGTTTAATTTAGCTATATTAAACCAACATGATATTTTTATATATATTTTAACATATTTTTTACATAAATATTATATATATTTATTTTTGTATTTTTTTTAATTGGGTATATATACCAAATTATATACAGGGACACCAATGTGCCCCCTTACTTACAAAACTCAAATCTCCCCAAACCCAGCAGGTCAAAGTTTTGTGAGCAGGAAGGCTACCGGACACAGAAAAACCAATCAGATGCTCAGTCTGTCTTTCACGGGTTTCCTCCTTACAAGCTGCAATGTGGTACTCATTAGCAGAGAAATGTTGCACACCAACACTGTGAAACACTTATAAAGCTTACACATATGCATGGGCTGTGCATTTGTGTGTGAAGTGCCTCTCTATCCTCTCACATGAATCTTATTTGCTCTTGTTAGATTTTGCACATGTTGCCACTGTTCCCAGCTGAGATTGATTTGCACATTAATGAAACATTTCTGTGCTTTAACCTGACAGTCCTCAGAGAGACAAAAGGCCAGTTTTGTTTTTGAGAATACTAAGAAAGTGAACTTCGTGCTGATTGTGTCATTGCTCTGCAGCACAAGTTTCACGTGGCTCCTTTTGGATTGTGACTTTGAACCCCAGGCCTGCAGTGCTCTGTAGTTTTGACCCCTTGGTTTTGACTACCTTATGCTTAATTTCATTGCAAAGGTGACTTCTCTTCCAATCTCATTTTAAGAATCCTTTGTTGCCAGGACTGCAGGCACCCAAGGGAGTAACAGAAACAAATATTGTATGTTAACTGTTTAACATTGATATATTAATGTCTGAAGCTAGGTTATTTTCAATTCAAATCCCAATTTGTCCAATTAACTGAACTCATTTTCTCTTTCTAGGTGACTCAACAGGGGCTGAGTGTTGGAATTATCATCATATTCAACATGCTTTTTACATTTTTAATTGCCCACAATAGATAAGAGTGAGACAGTAAATGGCAAAAGAAAAGAAGGAAATGAACAGCTGTTTCTGCTCCTGCAATAATAACCGAGGCAACAAGCTCTGAATGAAAACGAATGCTCTAAATGAAGAAAAAAGCATGGCAACAACTCATGGTAATGTGTCTCATCACTTAGCTTTATTTAAGTGAACAAACACCACCAGGGATTGACAAACACTTGGGAAAACAAAAAAGACAATCTGTTAGCAGACATGACTGACAACGTGAGCTCCAGAGTCGACACTCCAACCAACATCTCTCTGAGTCCCAGCCTCGCTGTTTCTGACTCCCTGGAGTACAAGACAGTGGCAGTGTTCCTGGTCCTGCTGGTGTGCTTTGTGGGCATCGTAGGGAACATCATGGTGGTTCTGGTAGTCCTCACCACACGCCACATGAAGACACCCACCAACTGTTACCTGGTTAGCCTGGCTATAGCTGACCTGACAGTGCTGGTGGCAGCAGGGTTGCCTAACATCGCGGACAGTCTGACAGGCACGTGGGTGTTCGGGCACGCTGGCTGCCTTGGGATCACATACTTTCAGTATCTGGGCATCAACGTGTCCTCTTGCTCCATAACTGCCTTCACAGTAGAGAGGTGAGGATTATCAAAGAGCTATCAACAACACAGTTTCATTTCGTGAGTGATTAATTGATGTATTGGAATGAAAATGATATATCCATAGAAAAATCCTACAGGGAGATGTTATGGATGTTAATAATAAGATCATAATAGCTCGTGGCTACCCTTTATACAAAATTTTGATCAAGTATCTGGCAAATTGCATATATCAGAGATACAAAGGGTGTGGTTATATTGTCAAGAGAGAAAATAGGCAGAAACAAAGGACCCACATTCAGACAGTACAGGCAGATGGGTGACATACAAAGACCGTCAAAACAAAAGATAACTGGCTGGATTTGCAGGTAAAACGGTAACAGGAAACAGATGTGTGGGCCAGATGGGGAACAAACAGGTCTAAGAAACAAAAGCACAAGATTCAAAGTATATCACAGAGGCACAGGAGGAGGAACTGGCAACTAAACAAAGACAATGCTCCGGCATCTGTGAAGCAATACTGATGACGTAGACATAGGAAGCAGGTGAATGTCAGGTAACTGCATGGCTGAATGTGACTTGAATCAGGTGTGTGGCCCAGGGTATGAAGAAAAGTTTCCTGGTGTCTGCAAGAACTGCAAGAAAAATCAAAGGCTAGGAAGCAGCCTTAAAGAAATGAGCGGGGGCTGGAGATAAAAAAAATGAGAGGGTAACAGAAGGCAGAGGATACAAACACAGTTTTTTGTAGCCTTAATGGTTGCATATACAAGACTCTAGTCATGCAGCCTGTTAACCTTTTCCTAAATGTCACCTTTGCTGCACACATGACAGACTCAATACATCACAAAATATCATGAGAATACAAGAGTAGGTGATCCAAATGGGTTCATTTGAACAGTGAAATGATTAAATGTATTTTTTTCTCCTCTGTTATGCCACAATAACGACTTAATTTCAGTATTTTTCTCGAGGTTCTTGAGTTAATTTTCTCATTATCTTTAGATAAGATATTTATCTCGTCAAGTGTCCTGCCTGAGGACACTGTGGCACGTGGACAGCTCTCGGATCTAACCTTCTGGCAGGGAGATGACCGACCCTACCAAGTGAGCCCTAAGCTCCCCCATTAACGAGACCACGAGGTGAAAACTTTGTTGATGAGAAAAAAAAACAAATAAACTCGCTATCATGACTAAATGCCCTTTAAAAGTAAAATGCAGTCAAGGTGGTGAGCTTGTGAAAAATAAAATATCGATATTTGATAAAACATGCATAGTGAGCAATATGCAGCTGATATGCATTGCTAACATTACTACAATACATTATATAGCCCAATCAAAAAACAAACAAACAAAAAAAAGCCCTTGTAAGATAAGAGAAGACAAGATACGATATGATAAGTGCGCAATCTAAATGTTGGGGAGCCGGGAGGTATACTCATTTTGTTATTTACAATTTTACAATTATATTATTTACTCCAATGAATATCTTTTTGCAGGTACATCGCTATTTGCCATCCAATGAAAGCCCAGACTGTGTGCACAGTGTCCAGGGCAAAGCGAATCATTGCCGGTGTCTGGATCTTCACCTGCATCTACTGCATGCTCTGGTTCTTTCTGGTTGATATTCAGGTAAAAGGACCCTATTTTGAATTTTAATCTCTGTGGTACTGCAACTTTCCTCAGATGAAAATAGAAATATTTTTTATTTATTATTATCATTTTAGGCCTATCAGCTGAAGAGAGTGTTAAGTGTTTCTGTAAGTGCTCGACAGACAGAGAAACAAAAACAAGAAAATAAAACACATGATTATCAGGATCTCTGATAAAAGCTCGGGTTCAACTAGGGGTTAATGTAAGCGCTTTTTAGCACTCTGTAATTCAAGTGGTGTTATCATGCAAGATGTGAAAAATAATTTTGTGTGTTCCTGTGAAAAGTAGCCTGTTATTAAAGCATCTTCATGACGACTGTGTGAAATTCAGGAGAGCCAGGATGGGCATGTGCAGTGTGGCTACAGAGTGAAACGGGAGCTCTACCTGCCCATCTACCTCATTGACTTTGCCATATTCTACGTCATCCCGCTGCTCCTCGCCATTGTGCTGTATGGCCTCATTGCACGGATCCTCTACCTCAGGTACAGTAAAAGCTCTTTCAAACCATACGAAAGCTGAATAAGTTGATTGTTGCATGTGCCTATTGTACTAAAATGATAAAGTGATCTTCTAAGGTGTCCTTAAGATAAATAAATAGAAGGTTCTGTGTGTCTATGAATAACAATTTCTCAACTTTTACTGATGGTAAGTGTGGTGTGCCTCAGGGGTCTGTTTTAGGTCCCATTTATTTTCCTAATACATGCTCCCCCTGGGGTACAAGAAACCTGCTGCAAAGAAGCTTGGGGTCTGGTTTGACAGTGATCAAACTTTCATGGAGCACACAACAAACTAGTACTGTCGTATTTTTATCATCTCAGAAATATTTCTGAAAAGAACTCATCTGTAAAGGTTTTAAGAAGAACCAAGAAACACAATCATATCACTCCTGTTGTAACATCTTAACACTGGCTTCCTTTATTTTTTCAGATTTTAAGATTTTACCGACTACTTTATAACCCTAATGATGCCAGAATACCTTGCGGCACCTCTAGCTGGTTGGTAGCCAAAGAGGCAAATTATTTCACTGGAGTAGGCAGAGACCAAAAAGAGAGTTATTTTCAACCTACTTCTGTAAAAAATACCCAAGTCTACATATGTATCACTGTCTGCTATATGTGAAAATTGATCTGTTGGTAGCCAAAACATTTAACAGTACATGTCACCATCTACTATTATATGATTATAGTATTAGCATGGATAAGTTTAGATTAGATGGCACTTTATTAATCCTTTTGGGAAGCTTCCCTTAAGGAAAGTAAATTTATAGCAGGTACAGAAAAAAAAGACAGAAGGGAAAAAAAGAAATAAAAATGTAATATATGTATAAAATAAAGATATAATAAAATGTAGTACTTTTCTTTATCAAAGCTTCTGTAAAAAAATGAGATAGCAATAGTGAAATGAATCTACTTTGGGTGTCTTTCAATTTATCAAAAACAAGAAAATTAATCCAATTTCCATAAAGAAAATAGTTCAGCTTTTTTTGAGTCAGAGTTTTATGATATAAAATATTACCCACAGCTGACCTGCTGCATCTTTCCCTGCAGCCCTTTGCCCAACCACCAAGACACCAGTGCCACTACTCTTCGGCGGAGCTGTCAGGAAGCCTCTGAAGTGGGGAAAGGAGGACGCCCCAGCCGGCCAAAGAGCGTGCTTTCTTCCAGGAAACAGGTCTCTCTCACCTGCTCTTTCCTCCTCTCACTGACCCCTTCTTTGCTCTTCTATCTTGCTCTTATCTGTCAAGAATTGATTGTTGTGCAATAGCTTGTGCCACATTTGACCTTGGTCACCTCTTCGGGTATGCGTGATCTGGTGGGAACACAGAGGCCATGATTACCTTTTAACAACACTGATGATGCTGTCGCCCCAGAGAAGGGTCTTCTTCTCGGTTTGTTGGCTCTCTGACCCAGCTCTTAAGGCCCTGGAGGTAATAGTGATGGTAATGGCTTCTTTTCCCTGGGCTGAGCAGTCAGCGATGCTTCTTTCTGGGAAAACTGCTCTCATCTGGATTGCTGTGACTACTCTGCAATGTTGTCTTGTCTATGTGCTCGTGGTGAAGGACACAGTCTGTCAAGCTATTTTAGTCTTAAAGCTTTTGTCTTCGAAACCCTTATCCTGAAAAAGGTTAAACGGCTCTTGTTTTGTGTTTGCATGTGGTTTTTAAAAGGTACATGGCATTTGAAAATCATTTGAAGAACAGCACCACAAGCCCTTTTTTGCCCTCTCTGATTTGAATAAATGTACATAAAATCATTTACTTACAAATTTGAACCCCAAAAGAGATTGGCATATAATAGAACTAAAACTTCATCCTAATAAGATATTACTAAATTACTGTTCCTACAATGAGTATATTACACTTCCAGGGGAAGAAAATGATTGCAGATCTTGGGCTTTGCAACCACACCATCACACATACTTCATTCAAGGGCACAACGTGACACTGAACCAAAAGAAGACCCAGATGCAAACTCACAGGCTGGCAAACATCAAAGTCTGTTTATTCAGAAAAAAGGTCGGTACACAGGGTGATGGTCACTGTTCATTCACTAACAAGAGAGATAGGCAAGGAAGAGTTAAAGGGGACCTGCCATCAAAATGTAATTTTGTGTGTTTTTTGTGTCATATAAGGTCCATATTATGTTCGTCTTATGTTGTAAATGTGAAAACAAACCGTTACGTTGTTTGCATTCTGTAAAAGTTTAAAATAAAGGAACGGGTAAACCAGGCCAATTGAAAAAGCAGGTCCCTCTGACGTCGCGCTGACCTTGCTCATTATTATTCACGAGCGTGTCCTTGGTGAGCCGCGCCCACTCTCTCGTTCTCGTACTCATTCACAGTCAACATCACTCTCCAGCCAGAGCGAGACCCAGCTACCACTGTATCCGCTATGGATCTCTTCCAAACGACCGGTGTTTCCTTGGGTTCACTGCCGGGGAAATGAACTTAAAGCTGGGCAGAATGAATGAAAACACCGCTGGAGCGTAACCTTTAGCATAAGGTGACCAGACGTCCCCGATTTCCGGGGACAGTCCCCGTATTGGATGACCTGTCCCCGGCAAAAGCTGTCCCCGAAAATGTCCCTGATTTAAGCGTTTCATGAATGAGAGCAAAAATGTTGCGTGTGGGCTCGAACAACGGTTATTACAGTAGCCGAATAGGTAAGAAGCACAAGTTAGCAGTCCTGAACAACAGTTTTTAAGGGGGTTATTACAAGGGGCATGCGCTGCTACTAAATAGTACCGAGATTTTGTCTGTGATCACACAGCCCCTGCAGCCCCTGCACCCGCCGCCGCACCGAATGTCCCCGGATTTCATTACAGACAACTGGGCACCTTACTTTAGCACACATTAGCAAAATGGATAAACCGAAATCCGAACCTCCACTGCTGAGCCAATCAGAGCACAGCAGGCTTCACAGCAGCGATCCAATCAGAGCAAAGCTCATTACCATAAATGTTAATGAGCCAAAATCAGTTGGTTTTCCTGCAAGGTTCTTTAGGCATACTAAAACAAACCATCAAATAACTTTTCAGCTAAAATTATGTTGCAAACATGATCAGAGGACATCAAGGATTGTGAAAAAATGATAAAAATGGGTATGAAATTTTGATGGCAGGTCCCCTTTAAATTCTTACAGCTAAATATCCTTATCCTGAATGCTATTAAGTGCTAATGGAAGATTTTATTTATTCCTTCCATGTCACATAAATTGAGGCAGAGGAATGCAATTTTTTTTACGAACTGATAACTCATTAATTTCATATCATGTGTTGAAAGTGTGTAAAAACATTACCTCACCAACTTCATGCATGTCTTAGCTGTTCGATTCAGAGAACAGAAAGGCGGATGTATCCGTTAGCAGAGTTTCTTCCTCCAGCAGGATAACAACCCTGACAAGACAGGTTCCAATTATAAAGGCCAGACTCTCATTTAGAGACGGTCTTCTGCTCGTTCCTGGGCGTTCAACACGTTCTTTGGTATCGATTTTTTTGATATCCAACTATCCCTGCTCAGTTTCTGGGCTGGGAGAGTTCACTGACATGCTGTCACTCAGCCTTCTCTCTCTGTAACTATCAAACCACTCAGCATGACCTTTACAGGGGAATGGTAACCTTTTGAGAAACTGGTTTCTTACTGTCTCGTCCAGCAACCCATTTCACATCAAATATTGGACATATCATAATTTGTTATATTTCACAATGCAATTAGCGATATATAACCTTTTCAGTGGATGTACATGGATGCATGCATAAATTCAGCTGTAATTAGCTAAATAAACTACACAATAGCTGTGTCCCAATTCAGGGGCTGCAGCCTTTGTAGGACGCATTTGAAGACCCAATACGTCATCGTGGTGAATTTAAATGCTTCTCCAAATGCAGCCAACATGTGTGTCCCAATTTCACTGGGTTGTAAAGGCTACATTAGGCATGTCCCTCGGGACCCTGATTTATCCTGTAATTTTTTCTAAACTTATACAATCAAGATTCTCAGGCTGTAATACACTGTAAAGTAGTACACGGTCTGATGAAAGTGTTAAGTTTTAACTCGGTAACAAGTCGTCATAAATGTTACAAAAGACAGACATGTTGAAATTTGAAATGATCTTTGCAATGTTGGTGATGGTGTTTAGGTTACATGATGCTAGCCATCTGTTGCTAAGTGACAAGAACGGTATGTGAGGCAGCCGTCAGGGTTGTAAGGGTCTCAGTTCAGTTCATCATGACTGGTCTACACAGGCCACAACAGCCAAGTCCTTCTCAGACTGTGGCACCTGAATTGGGACACAGCTACTGTTACTGTCAATATCAATGTCAGCTTTATTCATATGGCACATTTAAAACAGCCAGTGACCTACCAAACTGTTACTGTGTGGGTGTGTAAAGGTTGCTACTTTCCATCAACTGTTATTATTTATTATTTATCTATATTTATTTTTGTTTACACTGTTAATGTAATGTAATGTACTCTTGTTAGCATTCCATTGGGACCGGTGTTTTGTAGCATGAGACGTGAGCACCCTCTGCTGGGACACTAAAGGGTGCAGCCTGAGTACTGTTGCTTGGCTGCTGTGTTCTGAGGTTAAAAAGTCATATCAAATTGAAAAGTACCATTTATTCTTGTGGTATCTTTGAGCTGATTTTTTAAATTCACTTAAAAACCCATTTGTGACATTTTTGCTCTGCTTTACATAATTTTAAACCCACCACGTTTTTACACACCAGTCATCTCTGTGATGCAGTCTGCTAATTAACTGCCCTTCCCTGACACTCTTACATGAGTAAATAAGTAAAAACTGATTAAAGTAACATAAATACCCCTCAAAAATTATCCTTAATTTGTCATGTCTTGAGTGCTTTACCATCCTGTGCACTTAAAACCATGTGTTGTTCAGGTAAGACTGAACTCTCATGTGGAAGCAGAAAGAAGATCTTAATCTCATGTGTTCAAGGAGCTGCGTCTAGGAGCCGAACATTTGCATAATGTGATTTGGGATTTACATTGAAGTGTTCTTAGCAGTGCAGATGATTTTACTCACAGTTCTTCAAGAGGCACTTCAAACTCTTTCATTCATCTTTTGATAGGCTGCCTCAGTCTGATGGGAGTTTGATAAACTTGTGTATGCCAAAGAATGGCACTTTGATGATTGGAGATTAATACAGTGTGGTGTGAGATAGCTGTATAGTTATGATATCTGAGAGTTTTTTTCATGCCTCTGATCTCCTCAAGTGTATGTAAGGAGAGAAACGTGGAGGCTTGTTGCTCTAAGCAGTTTTTTGTCTGTCTGGGTGAACTGTGCGTTTGTGACTGGAGTCGGTCTTAAAGGATGCTGTGTTGAGCTAAAAGTCTGATGCCATAATCAAGTAGCCTGCCAGCATATAATTACGGTCATAATATGCACGCTCAAAGTGTCACCCAATGTTTTGTGTTTGATTGTTGCAGCACTGAGATAATTAGATAGCTCTCCTTCCCACCTAATCGTGTCCAATTAAAGGCTTTGTTGTGCTGAGTTTTTCCTTTTTATCAGCTTGCTGAGGTGGCTCTCACTAGCTTAACACTTGAGGCATGGACACCGAGCTTTATCTGGACTAAAACTTGCAGAGAGGAGGCACAGGTATGAGAGCCAGTGTTTACCTGGCATACTTTGTTTTGCTGTTTTTTTTTTTTTCCTTTTCTATTAGTGCAAAAAACGAATGCTGGTCGAGCAAAAAGCAACCAAGCGTTGACTGAATTATTGAAGCAAAACGGAGGCAGGTTGTAAACTCTAAAACGGCAGAAGATGGAGGGTTGGATGAAGGGGTCAGGCAGGCGAGAGAAAGGTGTGAAGCATTATAGCAACCGATAAGACTAATCACTTGAGTCTTACAAGCTGACTGGCTCTATTTCCCGCTTGCTGTGTCGCAGGGGTTCAGAAATGTCTGAGCTGTTTCCATGGTCACAAGCTGGTGATGAGGTGGGGTGGCGTTGGGTGGGGAGGAGGGTCAAAGCATGCTGAGCGCATTGTACACACAAAGAAACACACACACCATGCAACACATTGACTTGGGGGTTGAATGGCATTGCAGTCCATTAAGCCCTGTTGGCCGGCTGCTCTTTAAAGGTTTTAATGTTGAACTGTTTTGGCCTCAAAGAAGAGGTTTTGAGACACTGCTGGAATTCATTACCAACAAAACCTTTTTCAATTCACGCATCAAGCACACTTTCCCGGCAGACTCTCAAAGGCAATCTGAACATTTTTCTGTGACTGCTACAAGTGCTACAAGTGCTACAGTCGTGAAAGGTTTCTTCAGCTGAACGCTTTAATGAAAAACCATTAGTTTGTCAGTGCTGTTCTGACTGATAGATTTATAAATCTAGTTTTTCAAATGACTCACTGTCCCCTCCTTTTTGCCAATATGGTTTGGATGACAATGTGCACTTTTTTGCTTTTTCATGTGGGTTTTTATCACCAGCACACCCAGCTTAGCTTGCCACCAACAGTGCCAACCTACAGAAGTATAGCCACAAACCAATGGATAATTTTTGTTACACTGCACTTGCAGATACACAAATTTGAGGAAATGTTGAATTTCTCTTCGAGCTTAACATTCAACTCACACAGATTCAAATGAGCTTGCTCCCACTCACAGTTTAGTTTTTAGTTTTAGTTTTTAGCTAAATTTATGGATCAAAAAACTGAACTAATCCATGGACATTTTTTTAGCTGCACTTGTTTTTTAGGTGGCGCCTCCTATCCTTCGCTCACTGTCACTGACTAAGACAGAAATTAATTTTAAAAGCCAAGAAAATCTCATTTGTACCCGTTTATTTTAACCAATTAAACGTAAGAAAAAAAATATACAGTTAAGAAAGTGTAGAACATTACATTTTACTGTAAACTGTGGGCTGAACATTTGGAAGAAGCTAGAATACACAGGAAAAAGTTTATGTCGAAAGCCAAAAGGAATCAAGACGATCAGGGGTAAGATTGATCATTTTCATATTATTATTTTTTTGATATGAGGAAACTTGAAAAATTGCAGCAGATTCAGGAACGGGTCAACCTGAAATTTCTCTGAAATTTTAAATAACATTTTCAAGGGACAGATTTGACATGATTTGCACTGTTAATTATGAGTATTGGCCTTCTGTGTGAGAAATAATGTGAGGACTAATGCTATGCTGTTCGTGGGGGTGAGGGTTGGGCATAATGCAAAAAAGGAACCCCAGCATACAGCAGTGTTGTCACTTTATCTTAAATATTGGTTAACCATTTTTGCCTGAGACGCACAGATAATGGTTAATTTTAAGTTGCTTGTTTTTGAATAAGATTCGGTTGCAACCATACAGAAGTAAGAAAATGTCATACTTTCAAGCAATGTTAGCTTCAGAGAGTAGCTGGCTACAGCTGATAAAATCTGTCAGGAACATAAAGGAAGAAGCTACTTAAGACTACTGTCACAGATACATTAAATGAATCCTGCTCTTCCTCTTAACTGCATATGTTTTACCATAGTCACTGAGGCCCATGTTAGGCTAGTTGTAAAGGATCTCAAGAAAAGAGATGGACATGCATGGAGACCTCGCATGTCATGAGTGACTGTCCAGCAACACAGTATGTCAATCACAAGAACTGTTTCCTAATGTACAGTGTTGCTTGTCCATGAGGATTTAAGCGCCTGGAGCATCTGAGAGTGTTTCAATGCAAAATCTGTACTTGATGGTGTTCAAGTGGTATCGAAACATTAGGAAGGCATGCACATTTTGCAGGCAGTAAAACCCCAAGGGATCTGCACACTACTCACTCAGACACTCTAACGTTGGTACGATCAAGCAGATCAATGAAGAGCTCTGTGCCTTGAAATGAAATACTCATTCATGTGCACTGGAACCAGATGCACACATGAAGTTCTTAACTTTACTCGAGGGGAAATAATTGACAGAGCTCTGAGTTTTGTCTGCAAGAGCCCAGGGATCTTCTTTTCCCACAACAAGTCAAGTAAACTAAGTTTGACCTTTTTGCCCAGTGCACCTTCAAGCAATTGTGACTCCTCCTGGAGGGACCCTGGTCACTCATCACGAGTCATCCTTTGAGACTGGCTCAGAAAATTATGCAAAGATGAGTCAGACCTGATTCTGTGTCACTCCAGTCAAAGCGTCTGTGAAATATCAGAGCCAAAGCTGTGCAGATGGTCTGCCATGCTCTTTCAGTTTTTCACACTTGTGTTAGGTTTAATCAAGTTTGAATGCACAGACACAAAACCTTAATCTCAACCTGGAAATAAATAAACACTCATCACTTGCTTGTGTGTTTGTGTGGAGCTTGGCCTAACTTTAGTCCTGAAATGGCTCATCCACATCACTGCTTGGTTGAAATAACTCTGTGGCGAGTAGCTTCAGCTGATCAAACAGCCATGGACAGATATACAAGATGCAGTTTTGATCTTCTGCTCTCTGTCCTCTGATTAATTTAAGCTGATGTCATAGTGATGTGCCGATTGGCCAGTAACAAAGTATCTGAGGGTGTAGTCCCACCTTTAGTTGGACCAGTCATTAAAACAGATTGTTTTTAAACTACCTCAAGTTTGTTCTGTGTTCACACAAAGGACATTTACTCCCTAAATAGTAATTTCTTGAAGCTACTGAAAATAAATACAAAGTTGGTTTGCAACTTTTTATGTTCACACAAGATGTATACATGTGAAATACATTATTTTAAGTCACAAAAGGATTCTAAATAGACAAACACATATTAAGATACGTATAAGAAGAACTTTATTTATCACTGAAGGGAAATTCAATTGTCTCTTGTTTCATTTGTCATGTCTCAAAAGTAATCTACTAATTATAAAAGAGTTATAAAGTCTGATGGCTGTTGGTACAAAAGATCTTCTGAATCTTTCTGTCCTGCAGCGAAGAGAGAGGAGCCGTCCACCACCATTGGCCCTTTGGTCCATCAAGGTGTTGTGAAGTGGGTGATCCATGTTCTTTAGAATAGACTCCACCTTCCTCAGTGTAGATCTCTCCACCACATCCTCCACTGACTCCAGCTTCAATCCAACCACAGAGCCAGCCTTTTTCACCAGTTTGTTCAGAAGTCTTGCATCTTTGTGTTTGATACTTCCTGCCCAGCAGACTGCAGTTCAGTGTATTGACTCTTCACCTCTTTTTGGAAAAAGGCTTGAAACTTACACCAATAGCAGTGATTGGGTCAAAGCTTTTTTTAAATACGCTAAATTATGTTATAGGTTTGGCCTGCCAAGATTTATAGCAATAGTTTTATTTTTGCTGCGTTCCAGTTACCTTGGAAGTCGGATGTCAGAGCTGGGAATGGCGTTACACCTGAGTTAACGGCGTTCCAGTTAACAAGTCAGACAAACCAAGATGGACACCTACAGTTACCTGTTGTCAGCTGTCGTTAGCTGTTTTCAGTCGTTGTTAGCTGTTGTCAGGTGTGGTTAGCCATTGTCAGCTGCTGTTAGTTGTTGTTAGCTATACCAGTTGTAAACAACGCACAACACAGTATTTTACTCTTACAAACACCATAGCACCGTCTTCAGATTTAGACATTGGGCAGCACAACATTTACCACTTATTTAATTTCACCAAAACAAAACAGAAGTGCTGATAAATAACACATTACGAGAGCTTTCAGTATTTACTGTTGATGGACTGCGCTGCCATCTTGAATTATGACGTTGTCGTCAAGTCGGGGTTGGCGAGGATCGTCCGACTTTCCGAGTTGGAACAACTGGAACGAAGCATTTGTTTCTTTTCTGTAACTCGGAAAACTGTTTTCTAATCAGTTTTATTCACTCATTATATTTGTCTCCTTCTTTTGCTTGCTTTCTTTGTGTCTTAATTAAATTAAAATTGCACATAATGCTAAGAGGCCTCTTTTAACCCCATGTTATAATCCACTTACACACACACACACTGTTAATATTTGGTTTTAAAATCCATTCACAAAGATTTATCCTCCAACACATAACACAGACACATAAAACTGTTTATGAACACCTCGTGTGTTCATGATGACTCAAATAATCAAGAAGTAATCACAGCTAATCAGAGAAATTACAACCATACTGAGCTGGGCCTTGGAGCTCTGGCACAAATGTTGAGCTGCTGAAGCATTTCATTCACATTTCATACATACAGTTTGTTGATTAGTGGGCATGAATACAAATGTGATATTTAGACATTTTCTAAACCACAGTGTGTTATCAGCTTGATTTCACAAGTTAGAGTCAATTGAACTGCTGTGCTCACTCACTGTGAGAGAATATTTTCACCTCAGTAAACTCTGAAACCAGCATGATTGCCTGGTTTTATGGTTTAGAAAAGAATAGGGCTACAGTAGCGCTCAGTGCAGCACTGTCTTTTACAATGGCTTTAACTGTGATCATGCTTTTAAAATACACCATTTGGTTTGGTGGGATATTCATTTTTTTTTTTTGGCTTATCATTGTGTGGAAAAGAGTGACAAAAACAGCATGAGTAGACTGCAGACAAGGAGCAAGAGAGTATATATGAGGAGAGAATTGTATTTTGCAGTAACAGTGTTGTATTGCAGCATTGCAAAATGAGAAGGGGCACAAACGTCTGCTGTGATCCTTTATTCCTCCTCAAACAAGTTTGCAATGCAAGACTTGTGTCTGTGTCTGACGGCTACTTCCAGCAGAATAATCCACCATGTCACAAAGATAGAATCTTCTCAAACTGGTGTCTTAAACATGACAATGAGTTCACTCGATCCAACAGACCACCTTTGGGATGTGGTGACATGTGATGTCCAAGTGCTATAAACAGTTGATCTATACAAACAGACCATTTACCATTTATCATGTACCAGTTCTCAATCAATCTTGGACATCCAGTAGATACATCACAGCGATTCACATCCCAAAAGTGCTGTTACTTTCAGACATCAAACTAGGAGAGAAGGTGCAAAACTTTTACCTGTGCCACAATTCCCTTGAAAGTTGTAAACACTGACAGCATGCTTTGACAGAAGGCGGAGGCAGTGGCCTTTGGTTAGTGAGTGTGGCTTATCTTTAATGTGTCTGGGTCTGGTTGTAGACCCACTTCAAAAAGCACAGGGCATCTGAAACTCACTTCCAGCCATTATGTGTTGCAACCGACCACTTCCCTGCACAAAATGAGACCTTGCAGTGCGGCTCTGGCTGGCAGTGCCGATGTCTGATGTCTTTCTCCCCCGTTCCTTTATCATGATCAGGCATTTAGAGAAAATTGTGGTTTTCAAAGTATACAAATGTTGTTGGGTATTAGTTTGTTGAAGAAGATTTGTAGGTTTTAGACAAATGGGGCAGCTGAAGTGGGCAGTGTATGTCTGTCTCTGCAATTGTTAAACCAAGGAAAGGCCAGAACATATGTGAAAAAGTAGTGTAACTCCATTACACTACTTTTTTGCCCACCATGGCTGCATTGGATTTGGTGGACTGTTATGTGAGGACCAAAGTTCAAGTCTAAAACACTTGATCAAGCAACTTTGACAGTTTTGTAAAATCTTGTTGTGACAGAGGCTGATACTGGGTTGTTATTTTCTTGACAACACCATACCTGAAATGTATGTGAGCCAATGAAGAGTCTCCCAAGTGTCTTGATTTAATCGACAACTGCCCCTGACTGGAAAACTTTCTTTTATGTAGCAATAGCTTCAATATTTTCTAAAACACAGAAAGGAGATATTAAACTAACTGTCAAAGGCAGGTACATCATCTGCAGGGGCTGAGTTTTTTATATCCGAATTTTATCATGAAACGTCAAAATCTATCAAATCCACACAAAAAAAAACAAAAAACAGCTAAAAAAACAAAAAGCAAAACAAACAAAACTTTCTAGTACAGTTTTTGTTTGTATCTGTTATGTAGTTACAAAGCAATGTGGACCCACTGCTTAGCCTATAGTGTAGATTCATATATATGAATAACCTTGGCATCATGAAAAATCATGAAAAAAAAGCAAGCATCTCACATTTTGTAGTTTCAACACAGCATTGCTCATGCACGCATTGTAAAAACTCTGACCTCCTGATATAATGAAATGACACTCTGCAGTGGTCACAGCTTTCTCACACTGAATAAAGCTGTTGTGATATCAAGGACAGAGTGAAAAGCAATCAGAGGCAGCAGCAAAGGACAAAATCATCATCATAGCCTAAGGCTTGAAGTAATAGCTTGGGACATTCAAATGCCAATTTCCCCAAGCATCAGCTCAGGTAGACTTTACACAGTCTTTATATCGGGGAGCTGGTAGGGTAGAGTCTGCTAAATGTGAGGTTAAATTGGTGAAACTGTGGCTCTACATGCCTATAATTCCTGCCTGCTTTAATTAACTTTTAAAGAGCCTTTTCTCTGCTATCTCCATTCAGGTCACCAAGATGTTAGCAGTGGTGGTGATCCTCTTTGCTCTCCTGTGGATGCCCTACCGGACTCTGGTTTTGATCAACTCTTTTGTGTCGACACCCTACCTGGATGCCTGGTTCATCCTATTTTGCCGGACATGCATCTACGCCAACAGCGCCATAAACCCAGTGATATACAATGCCATGTCCCAGAAGTTTCGCTCAGCTTTTCGTGGACTTTACCGTTGTCAGCAGCAAGAGGGGAATCAGAGGACACTGTCGCTGATTCAGACTGGATTCAGTACTGTGCGAGACCCTCGAACATCACAGGTCAACAGCAATGGAATGAATGAGAAGGCCAAAACAGCCATCCTGAAAAACACCACGGGTTTGTCGACAATGCAGAACGGGAGCAGTCATCAGGAGTCAGAAACACTCAGTGCCAAGAAAGTGGACCATCTCGTCCACATGAACTCAACTACGTTTGGTTCAGCTCCAAATAGTGAAGAGAAGTCAGAGTGGCCCCCATCAGTAGATACTGCCGTTAATGAAAAGCCAGAAAATGTGTAAATATGTCATGTTTACATGGTGGGATGTCTACAAATTCATTCAAATCACTGACATCCAGTAAGGAAATAACCCATAGAGCTGTTTCCATAGAGATACAACAGCTTTGTCTCCCACCGACACAGTCATCTTTAGTTTGTGACTTCAGAGAGAGAAAGCCTGACACCTGCATAATTTTATAATTCAACAGTGGTAAACTGATCTGGACCACTGGTAATCAGATTAAAACACTGCATGGAAACAACAGTTTTTGACTTCAGTATCATTTGAAACTTGCATGGGCAAATGCTTTTATAAGGATGTGAACATTTCATTTATCCCCAATGATTTCTCATTCGATTTTCTTCTCTTTTGACCATGAAAAATAACTAGAATCTCTGTCTGGTGATGATGTAGTGACGTCAGGTATAATGAACAACACACTTTCAAAAGGACTGCATGGGTTGCACTTATATTTTTTCTGATTGAACATCTCTGTTGAATTTCAGAGAAATGTTGGACAGAAAACACTTTGGTGGATAAAATGGATGATAACGTTTTTTCACTATTACCTACACTGTTTCAAGCACTTATCACTACAACTATACTTGTTTTTTAAGCTTTTCCAAGACTTTAGCAAACCTTTGATTGAAAGCTTAGATACCGAAGGAGCTTTTAGAAAGCACTTAGGCACAGCTCCTCTAAAAACACAGGACAGGTTCGATATGTGAACACTAACCAGAACAAAAGATCAAGTCGGCATTTTTGAAGGTGTCAAAATGGTGACAAAGATCAGGTAAGGGATCGGTCATGAGAGTCACTCTTTTTTTCAGGTGACTTAAAAGTGAGTCAAAGTGGCTCTATGATAGACACCTGCCTGTCTCAAGGGTCGGCTCAAAATTTGTGATCCATATATATATATGAATTTGATAAAATTCAACAACTATAAGAATCATACATCTCTGTGTTTTCATAACTTGCTGCTGTTTATCGTCACACTTTGGTATTTACCATGGACTGGATTAAATATGGAGGCAGTCTCAGTGTCTTCACCCACTGGTTCCTGAGTAGGAGTGAGTAGGGGCGAACATACGTCAAATCGAATTTGAAACCTGTGCCATGAGGACCATAGCCTTTGTCCACCTGAACAACTAAGCTGCACAAACACCTGAGACTGAGCCTTTCATCATGAATAATCATGACAAAAAGATTATTATTGCAGTTGAATAACTAGGTTTCAGGAACTAAACTATATATTTTTTGCTGCTTTTTTGCAGTCTTCTTGCAATGTTAACTGTTACTGTGATGTTTAGCACATTTTTTATTAGCTTTGTTTTTTGTTAAAGAACTGTGAAAAAGTAACAAAGTTGTTGTCACTCCAGTAACTTTTGACGATTCAGATCAAGTATTTAGGAATTTGAATGGAAGAACAAAAGGCCATAAAGCTTTGGCTGTATCAGCACTAAGTATTTTCAGGTCTAAAATATTTGAATTTACATTAGTGTCAGTGCTAATTACAATGTCGGAAAATCAGTATTATATAATTTGATTATGAATTTTCAGTATTTGAGTTTTAATAATACCCATTTTTGTTAAATTCAGTGAGGTTCTCAGTGATAAAAGATGGAAATTCTTTGCTTCTTTGTCCTAGAAGTCAGCCAACCCTTTAATTCATGAAAACATCACTCATTGTACGTCCGCGTTTCTTGGGTCTACCGTGCTAATGGGATAGTGTCCTTGCATACTCTGTTACATTACAAACAGTGTGTTAAAGGACATTAGCCATCTGTCATTGTCATGTTAGATGTTAGTGAATGTAAATAACTTTTTCCTCACAGTAATCAGCCTCTTTTTTCCACTTGATATTATGTTTGTCAAAGTTGAAACCCCTGGCACTGGGGGATTCTGAAACTCTGACTTTGAAAAAATGACTTTAGAAAGTTTTAGGGAGTTAACCTAAATGTATTAGACATTATGCTTTTTTATGTCCTTCAGATATGACCATCAGCAACAAGATTAACCATTTTTACACTGGAATTTTTGATGCCTGTGTGAGGGAGAGGAGGATCTGGAGAGGCGCCAAAACCAACATAAAAAGTTCCTCAAAGGAGCTTTGTAGAACAATCTGCATGTAAATACGGCCGAAATTGTGATACGCTCTACAGTTATTGTAATTGATGTTTACAGTCTTGTGTCCAGGGTTTTAAAATGCTTTGCATGCTCACTTTAACTTTTGTGGATATTGTAGGCTAATTTATCTATTGGTACACAAAATGCTTTCTTTTTTATCCTCTCAAATGTTTGCTTACTTCCAGCAAAGATTGTTCATACTTTAACTTTTTCCAAAAAAGTATTTACTTAACCTCATTCACTTCTGTCCTGGACAAAAAGGGAGGGGTAGGGAGGAGGATTGATGCTTGAGAAAATGAATATGCTTAAGCTTCTATATAATCAATTTAGTTACCAAGTTCATTGATGTGATGATAAAAGTGATTTCCAGCTTGGGGATTTAAAGAAGTTAAAACTGACAATTAATTTTGTTTTGTTGTTAAACATTATACTCTGGATAAAAAATCCATCATGCTTGTCCAACTCCACCATGCTCAACAGACTTCAAAATTCAGTATACTACCTCACCTTATGCTTTTTTTCTGCTTATAGTCAGTTTGTTGAATATGGGTCAGAAGAAGCTGGATTGTCACCAGTCTTGATTTAAAAAAAATAGTTTTGAACATTTGCTGAGCTTTCTTTAAATGTAAGATGCATTAGATTTATTTTTTAGGTCAGTAAGTTGCAGCATAACAAGACAGAACCACATCACTGACATATGCATGCCCAGTAAATATCCTTTACAGTCACAGACCTCTGCTTGCATTTATGCTGTTTATGCTCTCTTTTGCTATATAACGATGGAGCAGGTGAATTCCTGCAGTGGTCACCTCATCCCTCAGCAGCAAATGTACTTACACATATCTGTGCACCCAAGAGTATAATGTACCTTAAGATGTAAATGTACACTTTTACTGGTGTTAATTTAAAATACTGAGTTCACTTTGTTAAAATATGTCTGTATGTCTTGATATATGTGAGCATGTACTTGAACTGCTTATCAGAGTTTTAAAAAATAAATTGCAATTCAGGTACAGCCAATTAAAAAGTCCAAATGGTATATTGAGTTCCTGACAGCTTAGAGAGATACAAGTGGAAGAAGAATAGTAACAATAGCACAATGTAAGCGTGGAGCACAGTGACTCATCTACTTATTCCTGCACTGTGCACTTGATAATACACTTTGAATTAATTTAAACTGAGTGTAGTTTGTCGTTTTATTTGGATAACAACTGTGCAGACTAAGTCGATTGTAGAATTCCTTTCAAAAATGACCATTGAGTGTGTATGCGAGTGCGAATGTGTGTGTGTGTGTGTGTGTGTGTGTGTGTGTGTGTGTGTGTGTGTGTGTGTGTGTGTGTGTGTGTGTGTGTGTGTGTGTGTGTGGGAAAGAGAACTAGTCTTACTCTGTCATTATTTAGCCCTGGAGAGCTGCGGGTTTAATGTGTTTTAGATGTGCTGTAATTGCAGGTTTTTAAATGTATTCATTATTCAAAGTGGTTAAATCTGTATTGTTGAAGCGAATTGTTTCTGTTTTGTTCGAAATTTGTAGTTTGCTTTGGTCTCTGGTTTTATGGTATCTCTGTGCAGTATGATGGCTTTCTGTCTGTACTTGAACAAGGTCAATTAAAAAAAAAAAAGTACAGTTTCTGTCTCAACATGCTTTGAATTTGTAATACCAACTTTTTAAGTCAGCCACCCAGACCCTGGTTTCTTTAACTAACAGCATAGATTCTGTGAATATACTGTATGTTTTCACAGATTATATAAGTAATTTAATTCCTAACTCTGAAATTCACTCCATCATACATACATTTATTCACTAGATGCCTGCCGCGTGGTGCTGCTAAAGCAAGATATATTAAGGGGGCAATATGAGCAGTCTTTAATTCTATTCCATTTCTTATTTCAATTACTGAGTCCCTCACAGCCTGATCAGTTTTCACTGCAAATTACTCTGAGTTTTCCTGAATACCATAGCTAGGAAACCTACAAGATAGAAACAACCCAATAAAAATAGACAGACTGAAATAATTCAGGTTCAGGTAAATAAAATGTACATAAAGGTCAGCCCCCAATCATTACATTCTTGCATTTTCATTTTGATCCCATGAATGAGTGATATTGTTTTTTTTCTTGGGTACCATTTCTAAATTTGGGTTTCTGTGGGAGCACTAGAGATACAGCCCACTCTTTGGTTCTTGTAAATAAAACAGAGTATGGCCTAGACCTGCTCTTGTGCTGAAGCCTCTTCGCACAGATGAGATGGTTCAGGAAAGAAAATATAAGGTCTTTACTGGCAGTATTGGTTTTAATTTCTCCAACTGACATTCATGACCTAAATTACGATTTAATCCTTCATGTTATTTAAGATGCACGGGTGTCTAAAATGTTTTTTTTTTAGGTGGGATTATAGACTGTATATAGAATGGACAGCGTCTGCCTCCTCACTGGGTGATGTCACCACAAGATCAGCACCCTCTGGTGACAGGCTGCAGTATACATCATAAATCTCGCCTCCTCCAGCCATCCTTATGGAGTTGTGGGCAAACTTAAGAAATGTATTACACAGAATATATACTCTTCTCCCCCCGCTTGCGGTGTTGACATGTAGTTAGTGTAAGACTGGTTTGGGCTCAAGTCCTCTTTTTTCTGTGCAGCTCAGTTTTTAAAAGTTATTAGGAGGTTCAAGTTTTCTATGATTGACACCTGATACAGCCTATGGGTGTACGAAGATTGCGTAGCTCACCCCCTAATTACAAAGACTGTGTAGCTAACTCTCGGCTTCAAACCCATATACTGGCGGAAGGCGGAACCAAGTTGTCCATAATACAGTCTATGGGTGGGATCATCCAGAGAGGAAAATATTTAAAATGCCTTTCTGTGTTCAAGTCCACAACGTACAGTTTCTGTCTGCTGTGAACCTCTTTCTAAAACCAACAGTTACCCCCTTGTGGAGTTTGCAGTCTTAGGTCGCGTTCACACCTGACCAAGCGGACTCGGTTCGACTGGGGAGCTGAAAGTCGCAACATTGTTGCATTTATCACTTGTTTCGGTTTTGCTTTCACACTGTGATTTCTAAAGCGCACCAAACTTTCCGAGCAGCATTGGACAAAGTAGGAGGGGTATGTAACGTCACAAATTACAAACAGGGGTGGACTACCCGTCTTGTATCATGCTTCGTCACATTATTTTATGGAATGCTACAACGTTAGTGAGCGCAACTGTTCCTATAATGCTATCGTAGCTTGTCAGGGATTGATCCTGTTATTTTTCTAACTTTAACGATCTAACATGTGACAACATATGAGCTCAGAGTTGAAGGACTGTGACTGTTGGTAGTTGTGATTTGATTTTGTTTAAATATGCCAAATTGTGAATTTATGGGTTAATGTTGTTCAGACAATTGAGCTGAGCTAGCTAGCAACTGCTAATGTCAGCGGTCACGTGTTGCCATAGCAACAAGTGACGCTGTGCTTCCTCTACCCAAGATGCACTGCGTATAGCATCATTACGTACATTTGGTCCTGTGTTTGGTCCGGTGAGCTTTCACACTGCATACCAACCGAACCAGGGTTCACTTGCAAGTGAGCCGAGACCCACGTTTTCAGGCAGACCAGAGTTCGCTTGTTTGGTCAGCACCAGAGTTCGGATGAGCTTTCACACCTGCCCACATAACAGTGGACTATCCGAGGAAAGGAACTCTGGTCCATTTTAAGCGGACCAAACAGCTCTGGTGTGAAAGCAACCTTAGTAGTTGCTGATACAGAAGTTGGACTCAGCCTGAGGTTTCTTACTGTCCATTAGGCACAATGATGATATACTTGTTTACAAAGTGTGTCGCCAGTTTTGGATGATTAACTTAACACTTCACTTCACTGGCTACATTATTTATAAGAGGCAGTTTTGTTTTAAGCCTGCATGATCAGTGCATCTGTCTGTCATAATGAAAAATAAGCCATGCTGTGGTGGACACTGTGGTGTTAAAGTGCTGCTGGGTCCTTACAGTGATCACACACAGATGCTCTTTGGCTGGTTGAGATTTGCAGAGCTTGTGGCAGTTATCAATATCTGAGACTTATGTATTGTTTGGACAGACCTTCATAGCAGTCTGTTTGGAGAGGGGGCTCAATTACAGCAACTACACAACAGCCACACTTCAACTTCTTTAACCCTATTTATGCATGACTTCTTTTGAACTGACAAAGGACAGACATAAGGTGTGTTTACCTGAAATGTACAAAAATAGAGCTCATAGTAGTGAACGCTACTTACTGTTTCCAATGGCAACCACAGATGTTGCCAAATAAAGAACATGGTATATGATCACCATCAGGGGGCTTGTGCAGATTATCAGTAAACGTAACATTGTAAGTAACAGTTCATTACTCATGTGTAAAATGTTATTTGGATGGTAGAGGAACAAAAATAATTGCTTCACCCTGGATTGGGGGTCACTACAGAGAGTCTTTGTTTCCTATTTTCTGGGCAAATACTAAGGAACAAGTGCTGAGGCTGTGTTGTTCCAACAATAACGAGTAAACAGATTATGTCGAGTGCCTTATGTGGTGCCTTAAACACACCCAGTTTGAGGCAGAAAAGTTAATCTGTTTTGGTGTTTCAATTAAGTACAGAGTTTGAATAGGAGGTAGAATCTTTCTGCTTTAAATGGGGCAACAAGCAGCACAGTAAACAGAGTGAGTGTGTTTGGAAGAGAGAGTGAGGGAGAAAGGACTTGGACGGCTTGTTATCATGTGACACCACTTTTGCTCAGCAAGCAAAGATTGTTGTAAAATCACTCTCAGGAGCAGCTGAGGTGACTACAAAAGATTCGTTTATTTTTTCCCAGTTGTAATGCAGAGTTTGGTCTTCATGCTGTACTAGGTACCTAAATTTGTAAAGCTATGCTTTCACTCAGGTAACATTTTCACTATTCTTGATTTACAATTGCTGGATAATCTTGCAAAGAATCACTGTAAAGGTGCAATCAGATGCAAGTTCTTGTCTAGTGATGTGAAAAAGTGACGCCAGTTCTTGAAAGGTGAATTTGTGATGCAAATTGCATGAATTGAATGAGAAGTACATGCAAGTGAATTTGCAAATGATGCAAATTTGTGATGAGTTCAATGCACTATTTGGGTGCTTCTTTTCAAGAGTAAAAAAAAAAAGATAAACTCAAGCTAATCATTTTCCCACTGTGGTATCCAAAAACAAAGATAGATTGAGGCTCCAAAGGAAGCTTTCATTGTTGAGAGTTCCAAAAAAACAGCAATTGCCAAATATTAAGTTGATGTGACCCCTTGGAGCTGGTCATCGTTTTGTCACTGGCATGCATCTGAAAAGATCATCAGTGACAGCAATATTCACCTCATTACATCTGAGTGATCTAACTTTGGTTGTCCCTCGAAGAAAGCCAACTATTTTGCGTTGTACGGAGTTGTCAGGGCATCGTGAGCAAAGATTTCCCAACATATTTGTTGTAAATATATGAGCCATTTTGTTTTTTGTTTTTTTCATTTTGGTGATTTAAAAAAGGGGAAATGAAGCTTAAGAATCATCTTTCATATTTTCCTTTTAAAAATAAGCATTATTGTAGAAATGAAGCTTTAAACTAAATACTTTGACAACAAATCTTGTAATTTTCTGCCATATCCTGGCATACAGAGCTTCATCACTCAAATATACCCCAGCGATACTCCTGTAGTGACCTTGGATGACTTGAGAGTGGTGGCACTTTGTCTCAGGAGTTTCACTCTCCTTGAAAGAGATCGGCCATAACTGCAGAAAAGCACACAGTGAGAGGCAGAGATATGAATAAAATGCTTAAGGAGACGGGTTGGATGGTGATAAGGAACGGATGAATTCGGCTTTTGAGTGAATGTGTGTTTGCAGTTGTAAGCCCCACTTTGAGGGAGTCATCTGTTGATATCTGCCCATCTTGTTGTCACAGCCCAAAAAAATTTCACCTCTGCAGACAGCAATCAGCACCTCGACACAGTGACTGAGACGCTTCATCCTGAGAGACAGACTGACAGAGATTTGTATTCAGTGAACCACCTTCCAGAGAACTGGAATGACCCCGAGTGCATGCATTAGCAAATTCGTATTTGTATGCAGTGAATTTAATCATTATCAACAACAATAGACAGCAATAGCAATACCCCCCACCTTTGGGGAGAGGACCATGACAACATGCTGTCAGACTCCCTGTCTTCAGCATTTTAGTGCAATATGCACACTATCTTTATTTTATGGAAGACTTCCTTCAGTCTCACTGAGAGACAAAGACAGAGACATTAACTCAGATACAAGACGGGAGATTGCATTGAAATACATCTGAAAAAGGGCAATGTCTTGGAAAGCAATTCAATTTGAATATTTGCAGTGAACTGCACCAACTCTGTGTAAAGCTGTTGTTTCCATCATGATAGGCCAGCTGTGACTCACTGATACAAAGTCAGGGGTTGAGAGATGAGGAGACATAGGGGTTAGAGCAAAGTAGCATATAGATAGGAGAAGTTACCCTAACTGAGGCAGGGTTATGATGCATTTGATAATTAAATGGATGTGAATGCAGTAGAGATATTCAACAACCATCAAACAGCCAAGAAAGAGTCGGTACACACAGAGAATAGTCGCAGAAAAAAGTAAAATGTGG